AAAGCTTTTATATTTACTTTTATATTAAAATAAAAGCATAATAAACCATTAAGCTAAAAATGGCTTATTTTAATCTTAGGGTTAAAAATTAAAAAAAGATAAAAGATTTATAATTTTTTATTCTTTCTTTAATTATTTTCTAAGGAAAGTATTTCTTTAATTTTTTAATGCTAGCATAAATAGCATTAATAAAATTAAATAAATATTTCTCTTATATATATAGTTAATTATAAAATTAATAAAAAAATAAAAAAATTAAAAACTTATAAACTTAGGGTTTTTTACTTTTTTTCTTTTATACTCCTTTATTAAATTATTAAGGTTTTTATATATAATATATATATATAATAAACCATTAAGAATAATTATATATAAATATCCTTATAACTTAATAAAAGGCTTAAAAAAGACTTTAAAAGTCTTTATAATTTACGTTAAAATAAATAATTTTAATAAATTAAAGAATATTTCTTTATATTTATTAATAAAAGTATTTCTATTAATATAATTTAAAAGTTCTTTTAATATTAAAAAAACCTTTAATATATTATATATAAAATTTCAATGCATAAAAGTATTTAAAGAAATATTAATAAATATTTATTAAATAGTTTTAAAAAAAGGGAATAAATACTAAGTAAAATATAAGTAATTTTATAGCTTTTTAACAAGGCTTATGCTTATATAGCTTTTTTAATATTCTTAAATAATAAACTATTAATCTTAATATTATATTAAGTTAATATTATTACTTATTTTATATAAGTAATAAGATTTAATAAAAGTTAATATATATAAATATATTATAATATTTAATATATAAAATTACTTATTATTTTTAATAATATTATCTATAAAAAGAGCTGCATTTAAATCTCTTAAATATTCTTTTAGAAATTCTTTAATTTAGGAATTTAAAGTAAATTCTTTTAAAATATCCTATGCTATTAAATTAATAATATACGCTATATAATGAATATCGTTTTTAAACTAAGAATTTAATTTAAAATTAAATTCTTTTTTAAAAACCATTATAAACATATTATTATTTAATGCATTATTTCTTATAAAGTTATAATAAAAAGTTAATTATTTATATTTAAAATATAAAAAGAATTAAATACTTAAAAATGCTATTAAATATTATATTTAAATAATATTTAATGATTTTTTAAAACTCTTTAAAGAAAATTAAGCCAATATATCTCTTTTTTAATTCTTAAAATCCAATTAATTTATAAATTAACTAAAATTTAAAATTAATATAAAAGATTATTACTTTTATATAAGCCATATTAAATTTAAAAATTTAAATATTAAAATTAAAAGAAAATTTACTATTATTAATAATATTTTCTTTTAAATTTAAATTTAAATAAATTAAATTAAAATTAAAAGTATTATTTAAAATATTTTTAATTTTAAAATAATTTATCTTTAAAGCATCCCTAAAATAAAGTTAAGTTATTTCTTTTTATTAAAAGAAAAGAAATAAATATAGATTTAAATATAATAATAAATCTTAAAAAGATTTAAAACTTAAAATATTAAAAGTTAAATTATTTTTAATAATAAAGTTTAAAATCTTTTTATAAGTATTATTTTTTATAAATTTAACTTTAGTTTTCTTTTTTAAAAAAGCAAAGAAATTTAAAGGAAAAGCTATATTATTAAGCCTTATAATAATTAATTAAATTTTATTTTTTAAAATATTATTTTTTAATAAAAACTTACTTTTATTTTTATTTACCCTTAATATTTCATTATAAGCAATATTTAGGTATTTATATTTTTAATATTATTAATAATTAAAGGGTTAAAATCCCTTTAAAGTATCTTATTATAAATAATAGCAATTATTAATTTATTAATTAAAAAACTAAGTAAATTATTATTATACTTAAAAAAAATATAATATCTTTTTAAAATTATATATTATATATTAATTATATAGTTAAGGTGCTCTTAAAGAATATTATTAAATATATTTTTATTATTAATATTAATTTAAAATATAGCTATATGCTATACTTAGCTAACCATAATTTAATATAATAGATAATTAAATATAAATAAAATATATAATAATATATTTTATTTATATTAAATTATATTTTAAAAAGATAAATATATAACTTATTTATTATACTTAATTATAATTTTTTTAAGGTAATTTTCCTTAATAAAAAGTAAGATTTAAGTAAATAATTTATATTTAAAAATATAAATTTTCGTTTTTTTAAAAGGGTGTAATTAATAATTAAGAGAATTATATTTATTATTTTAAGATATTTATAAAGTATCTTTAAAAAAGAAATATTATTCTTAGTAAAGGCTATAAATGTATTTATAAAAGATAGATTTATTAAGAAAAGATTTCTAAGAGATAAAGGGAAAAAAGATATTTTAAATATTTAAAATATTTAAAAATAAAAGAATTCTTAATGTTAAGGCGTGAATATTAAAGTGTAAGTAATTTTCTTAATGGTAATAAAATAATAATAAAGGAAAAGAAAAGAAAGAAAAGAAGGAAAAAAAAAGAGGTTTATATATATTAAAGATTAAAAAAAAATAAATAGTTTATTCCCTTAAATTAGCTAATTTATTTCTTTAAATAAGCTAAATATTTATTTAAAAAAATATATAATATTATTTTTTAAAAATAAATTAAATTACTTTTAAATAATATTAATATATATATAAATATAACTTAATTTAAGGATAATTCTTATATATTTATTATATATTTATTTAAATATATATAATTTTAAATTAAATAATATATATATTTCTTATAATAAAATCTTAGCTTTTAAAACTATTTAACTTAAATAAATAATTACCTTAAAGGCTAAAAAGCTATTTTTATTTTATTAATTTAAAAAGGTTTAATATAAATATATAATATTTAAATTTATATAATAAATAAGTATTTATAAGGGTAAATAAGCTTAAATAAGTTTTATAATTACTTTTAAAATTAAAGTATTTATAGAAGAAAATAAGCTTAAATAAGCCTTATGGCTGTTTTTAGAGTTAAAGTATTTATAAAGGTAAATAAACCTAAATAAGCCTTATAGCTGCTTTTAAAGTTAAAGTATTTATAAGGGCAAATAGGCTTAAATAAGCCTTATAGCTACTTTTAGAATTAAAGTATTTATAAAAATATATAAATTTTAATATATATAATAAAAAAGTGTTTTTAGTATTTTTAAATAATTATATATAAATATAAAAATAATATTATTATAATTAAAAAAAACTTTAAGATTTTTATATAATTTTATAAATATATATTTAATATCTTTATATAAGGTAAATCTTATTTATATTAAAATATTTATTTTTTTAAAGAGATAAGCTATTTTATAAATATTATATATATAATATAAAAGAAAAGAGTAATTTAACTATATATTTTTTATATAGCTAGCTTAAAAACTTACTAAAAAATTAATTGCTTTATATAAGTAATTACATTAAGGATAAAGGGGAAAAAGAGGGGCGCAAATATATTATATACTATATACTATACATTATACATACTTATAAGAAAGTTAAATTATATATATTTCATAATTTTATAATATATATAATATAATAGTATATAGCGTTAATAAAATTCATAATAATTGCTTATAATAATCATAATAATGCTTATTAATTTCATAGTATATAAATGCAATGTAAATTCCTTGCTTATAATTATATACCGTATAATATGCTAATAGCTAAGGGTTTGAATTACCCTAAAAACGACTTTTTTTAAGTTTTTTATTTATTTTTTTAATTTTTTTAATTCTTTTAATATTTTTTTAATATTTTTTAATATTTTTTAATATTTTTTAATATTTTCTTAATATTCTTCTTAGTATTTAATAGGCTTATAATTATTTAAATATTTTTAAAACTTTAATTAATATTAACTCCGCTTTTTTTCTTAGTTTTTTAGTTAATTTAATTAATTTTTTAGTTAGTTAATTTAGTTTTAGTTAATAAGATTAACTAAAATAAATTTAGCTAGTTTTTAAAATTAACTAAACTAATTTAGTTAGTTTTTAAAATTAACTAAACTAATTTAACTAATATCAACCCTAACTTCAGTAAAGTCCATACAGAATATTAAGAGGATAAAAATAAACGTTGAATTCCAAACTGGTATGAATTCATTTCCATGCCCAGACACTTGCTTCTCGATCCCAGAATCAGCCTGTGGGGACAAGAACACTTCACACCAGCGCTGCCCAGGTGCCAGGACATCTCAAGAATCCCGCAGGCATCACTTTCCAAAGGTCGAGTTAAATGAGACTGCATTGCGCTCAGCTTTCACACATCGATATCTTTCGAGTTTCCTTCGTCTTTGATCCAGTGGTCGAAACGAAAAGTAAACTACCGTTTGCTGTCCATTTCAAACCTTGCTGGAGAACGTCAGACACACGAAGCAGGACCACCACTCGTCAGTCTAGTTCCAACCCCCCGAATAACATATCTAGGATGACTGATGGGCGCGCCAAGATTGATCACAGTCTCTGCTTCCAGGTCGTCTCGACAAGGCACAGTCCAAGATGATCAAATTCCGGCGTGCCAGTGGTGCTTGGCCACCATACCCTCTGAATAATGGAACACCATACACAGCAGCTTGGAGGAGTAATAAAGGTCATGATATACCTGCTGGCCTCAGACATCAGATCCAGTGGCGTATTATACAAAAAGACCCAAGAAGCTGGTAGACCCAGCTTTTCCATAGAAAAGGGCTGGGTGAAGAGCTTCATTCCTGCCGCAACTGAACGAGACCGCGCAAAGCCTCCCGAGTGCTCTTATCTTCCAGAACCCATCCGAATTTGATCTATGTCTTCACCAGACATTTTCACGCGGCCCAGGCATAAAGGAAAATCAATGCATAGTGGTATAAGCCTGACAGCACGCCAACTACCTACCCGTCTAGTATACTCTATTTGTTTCTATTCCTCCCAACTCCTCCCCCCACTCCCCGTGCCCATCTACTGCATATGCTCCTTGGAACCAACGATAGAATAATCATAATCCCGTATCATCTCAGCCCTCTTCTGCGCCCGCACCTTCCAGATCTCGACCTCGCCGCCACCACGGATGATACCGACGCGGTACTTGGCCAGAAGGTTGCGCGCCGCGTTGGAGTGATTGTAGACGCCGCCGTTGAACATGGCGGTCGCGTCCTTGCCGATGGCGGTCGAGATCAGCGCCTTGCCGCCCGGGTGCTCGTGGGCAAAGTCCGTCACGTCGTGCACGAGGCCGGCGACGGCTATCAGGGCGCGGGTGCGCGACTGGTCGACGAAGTCCTCCCACTCCATTAGGGGCAGGACGGTGAGGGGCTTGCCCCAGTCGAGGACGCCTAGCTTGCGGTCTAGCTTCTTTTGCTCTTGCTGGAGCTTGCCCTTGTCGATCTCGTTTTGGGAGAAGGTGCGGAGGTCGCTGGCCAGGCCTAGCCATTTCCAGGTGGCGATGCACCACTTGTTCGGGTCGTAGGTTAACCATCTTGTCGTGTTGCGGTAGTCGGTAGGAAACTGTTGGTGTATAAGTTAGTGGAAGGACGGCGGATACATGCTGACGACGGCGCATGAAGGCGGGGATGTGCATACCTCATGGTGGAAGTTGTGGTATCCCTCGCCTAGACTGAACAGGGACGAGATCCAATGATCGCGGGGTGAGCGTCTGTCGTCGAAAGGCTGATCGCCGAGGTAGTGTCCGAGGCTGTTGATAGTGAAAGAGCTCTGCTGAACCGTCACGACGCGGAGAACACCAGCGTATATGATTCCACCTTTCCAATCTCCCCAGCCAAACCCCGCGACCAAGGTCGGCATGACCCAGGCGAAGAATATAGAAATAGGAGCATAGTACTTGTGCTGCCAGACAACGAAGGGGTCGTTGGAGAGGTCGGAGATATCGGTGCGGCCGTGTTTCTTGTAGTCCTGGTTGAGGAGCAGCCAGCCCATGTGTGCGTGCCACACTATGGTCTCCGGTGATCAGCATCGAGTTCGTTGCGGGAAGAGGAGGAGCATGTTCGGTCGTATAGAATACCATCGTCAAGGCCAGCCTGCCCCCCTTCAGGCCGCCAGGCGAGTGATGTAGTGGAGTTGTTGTAAGAATAGAGGGGGAGGAGTAGGAGCAGGAGTGGTGTAAGTAGCCTCTCGACTGGAGTTTGACTCACGGCCCTTGTGAACCGTGTACGGGTCTGCGTCGGTGTCGGTGAACCTGTGGTGGGCGCGGTGGCCCCAACTCCAGAAGCGAATCGAGCCCTCGAGGGCACTGGCGCCACCAAAGCCGAGGAAGACCTGGAGCGGCAGCGTTGCGGTGTAGGAGCAGTGAGACCAGAGGCGGTGATATCCTGCGGTGATGCCTATCCCGGCCCAAAGGTGCAGGAGGACGGAGAATATCAGGGTGGGGCGCGTCAATGGCGTGTAGTATGCATAGTAAAAGGCGACGATGGGGATGAAGACGAGGAGGGTCGTCTTGAACCAGTCGATATGGAGGTACCAGTTGGAGAGCGTCCATGGCAGCTCCGAGATGTGCGGACCGCGACGCGACATGTAACTGGGCTGCTGGCCTGGCTTCGCGAGGGACTCGTTGGCCGCAGGTATCAGAGACGCCGTCGCCGTCATTGTCGAGGACTGCTGCGCCATGGTTGCGCAGGTGAGGCGAGGTTGAAAGGATCCAAGGATTGGTGGAGAGGAAGGAAGAGAGGGAACGAGTCCTGGAGGTGGTCGATGAGAAAAGCTAGGTTAGTACGTCCTGAGGTGGTCGCCAAGGTAGTCTAGTCCAGTCTAGCTTGTGCTTGGATTCAGAAAATCCAGAATCCGAATCCAAAATCCAAAACTCGTGCAGGGCAGGCGTGGCAGGCAAAGCAGGGCAGGTGCAGGACAGATTACATCACGGACCCCCTAAGTGGACAGCAGGCGCGTTGTACAGAAGGGGCCTCCTTTAGTGGGGGCAATCTCAACTCGTGGCAGCGCTTTCCGTCACCGTTTCCAGTGCCAATCCCAACAAAAGGCATTCGAGACAAGCCACGTTGTGCCATGCATTGGAAGTTTCGTTAGCTCTCAGAAAAAAAGCACGGCGCCCAGGTCTTGGGTCCCGGCAGAAATGCAGGATTAATTGTAATTGGCACAGACTTCGCCACGCAGAGTGGAGCCCCGATGAGATTGAGATAGAGCGGGATGGCAATCGGCATACATCTCAAGAAGGTCTACCCTCGTCTGGACATGTGAAGACCTTGCTGCCCAGGCACGTGCCAAGCATGCATATGGGCAGGGGTTTGCAGCAAGAAGGGTCCTCCTCAGCCTGTCAGTCCCCAGTTCGGGAGCTCCTCCGAGCAGCATCTGATTGGCCTGCGAGCTGCAGGTACGGGTCCTCCCACTAGCAAGGGTCAGGGGCCTAGGGCAGTCTGTAGATCCCTTGGAAGAGGTTAAGATGTTTCACAGACGACAGTCACGTCCGCTTTGGTAGTCATGCCTTTGTTGAGAATTGACTACTATATTCATGGGTCGTGTGGCGGATTAAGCTCAATAGTGGTATAATCAACACGAGATGCCACCTACAGCATGTGCGATCCCGATATAACATGGTTTTGACAGCTTTTTGCGGTCGTTCAAATGCAGGCCCCCAAAGACAACCGGCTTGACGTCATTGAATCTTTGATCCATGTAATACCACTTCTATCCTCGGTACTTGCAGGTCAGAGTCATCTCATTACCCACTGTAGACGCCGATGGCGACCTAATGAAGGCCAGAGACGGAGACAGAGACAGAGACAGAGATGGACTCGCCATTGTGATCAACGCACAGGACGGAGGAGATCGAGAGGGTCAAGGGAGATACAGTATCCCGGGGATGACGCCCTCGAGAAGGGCCTGAATCTATCTGGATGACAAGACGGAGTGCCAGCAGCCGGTTTATGGGACGACCAAATACCAACCAAGCGAGCGGACTCTCTGTTCCGGCGACTGCACATCGCCGAGGAAGCCATGTGCCAGGCGCCAACGCCGTGCGGCAGACGGGTGGCAATAAGCAAAGCCTGAAATGGGAAACCAACAAATAGGATTCCACACAAATCAGGAAGTAGAGTTTGGTGATGTGCATTATGGGGTTCCCACAACATACCACCGACAGAGGACCCATTATGAGTGGCCCGAACGCGGTCGCCAACAGATACACCGACAGCATCATCGTCGACTCTGTAATTGACATGTTCAGATTTTTTGCCATGGTGGTATTGTGCGTACCATCATCTGCAGCTTAGAAAGACCTCATTAGCCAGTCCGATGGCATCACTGGCCGTAAATTCGGTACATGCTGTCCATAACATGGTACGCGCTTTGTCTACAACGCCACAGCGGTTGCCCATTCCCTTTAAAGAGGCTTATTTCAAAGAACTCCGAGCATATTCAGTGCTAAAAGTGACGAGAATGGTCTGTACGCCGGCGTCAATATTGTTCTGGGACTGAACTACATCTCTTCTGTTGGGTCATGCAAGGCCCAGGTGGTCATCTTGATTATTGTTGACCATACCGCTTAATAGAATGAAGAAAGTTGGCCAGATGTGCGATAGAGTAGTAAATGATGACAAGATAACCGAAGACGGACTGGGATGTGGCACTTGTTGGCCAATGTTTTACATTGCATGACCTAGCCACCGCGAGTGGTTGTCGCCTGTTAAACGAGGTCCTTCCGGCAGGCTTATCTACCTCAAGCCCCATCAGTCTGGTAGTCGTGGTAAGGGTGATACACCTGCTACTGAATGGCTGGACCAAGATAACAGAGGCAGATGCACTTCAGCATGCGATCCATGTGGATGATATCCGTCAACCATGGTCCTAAAAGGCGGTAATGCTGACTCGAGCAATGTATCAGGCACATGGAAGACCGCGAGGCTCGCCATATTAAATAATTAGACCGCTCTAGCTGTGTTTGTACCCCAAATCTATAATCTTATCAGATCAGCTTCACGGAAACGGCCGAGCCCGTACGGACGGGCGGCCAGTTCACCACCCATTTTATCAGATAATGAGTATCTCAGCCCTCCGTGAGGGTGTGGGGTGTGCATCCTGGTGTCGCTCCCCTAGCGGAATGGGCTAGATCTCCTTGGAGATAAGATCTGGTAGGTGGAGGATTGAGGCATGCTCCTTAGCGCGTCATCGACACCGGAAGCGGAGGAGAGTCGAGACCGTTATCGAACCCCATCTGGAATGAACTATTTTGCACCTCGTTGATATACCTGCTTGTTCACGTGCCAAGCGGCTGAAAGATGCTGGTAGGCCAGATTGACTACACATGTAGGCGGATCCCTCGTGCTCCGAACGCAGCCCACTCCGCCTCCATCACTATCGCAGATTCTATAGGTTACATGCACGTTCCAAACCCCTTCTAGAACAAGATTTAGCTCGAAATCGTCTAGGAACGCCTGAGGCATGCGACTGCTAGTTTAAAGTCTTGTCAGTCTTCTTCTCAATTGGTATTCCAGCGCCTGCAGTGTTGATCTCATAGATTCGCATGAGTTTCAAGAAAAGAAAGAAAGCAGGGTGCGAAGTGAATCCAATCGAACTCTTAGGTGTGGATCGCGCCTTCACATGTCTGTCACATGAATCTTTTCTTTGTCGTGTAGCGTTGTCGACCGGATAGTCATTCCACCAGTCTGTGCGATGGCGTCGATGGCGACGTCGGCTTTCAGCCTGGCTATTCATACGCGTATTCTTTTGTTCTCCCTGGTCAACAAGTAGGGTCCCGAGCAGCCTCATCTCGGTTGTCAAATGGACATGGGAGATCTCACACACAACCAGCGCAATCCTAGCAACTTTTGCACCCATAGAAGGCCATGTCTCTAGGCCTACTAGTCTGCATAGACCGCAACTGCGATATCGTTTTCTGAAATTAATCTGCGAGGCTCGTCTCAAGACGAGTTCGCCGACCATGTCTCTCGCTGATGGCAACCCCAGCACGAAGACGGAGTCCGTCATCACCACGCCCCTCGTTGTCGTTTCCGCTGTCTTCCCTGTTTTGGCGGCAGTCTCTATCTACCTTCGTCTCATGGCAAAACGACGCATACGCCAGCCTTATCACGCAGACGACTGGTGGGTCATTGCAGCATGGGTGAGTTGGCCTTGCTTTCAACGCCACGTCGCGCGCCACTCTTCTGCTGACCCCGACCAGTTCATGACTTTCCCGATGAGTGTGTTGTTCTGGGTCTTCGCCGCCAAGTCTGGCGTCGACTATTACACCATAGACAGCCTTCAGGGCACGTATGACTCTTTGCAGGTACGTGGCTGCAACGTTGTGATGCACTGATTGTCAGCAGACATGGAGGCTGATGATGCGAGGCCCCTCGTCTCAGGTTGCGTTCTTGACGGCCTGCATACTTCAATTGCCGCTATCATCTGCCAAGATATCCGTGTTGCTTTTCTATAAACGTATTTTCACGATCTCTGAAAGGTTGAGCGTGTGTATCTGGATCGCCATCGGTGTTATTGTTGCGTGGTGTTTCGTATTCACTGGTGTGAGTTTCCCACCTCCCTTCAGTTGTAGGAAGAAGCGCTTGCCTATCCATTTTTAGCGTATAGGAGACCTTGAAATGCATCGCTAACCGCTTTTTATCAGCTATTAATAACTCTTTTTGACCCCATCTCCGAATCATGGCATGGAGCCAGGATGCGATACGACTTGACAACCATGGGTTTAGCACAGGTGGGCAGCAGCTTCGCGCTTGATGTTGTGGTCCTGTGCTTCCCACTACCCATCGTTTTCAGTATGCTGCTGTCCACTAGGAAGAAATTCATGGTCTTCTTCATGTTCTGGCTCGGTGCATTGTGAGTTGACCTCAATAAAATCCTCATAGGCCGTTGCTCTAAGCCGCTGACAATCGCCGTCGAAGTTGTTGTGTTGCAGCGGTAATCCGTCTGATACTCCTCGTAGAAAGTCTCGAGGGATTTGTTCAGGCAGAAGAAAAGATTTGTGAGTCAGCAAGAGCCCTTCGGACTTCTGCACAAGGCAGCTGACAAGTCTTTCATGACACGATAGATCGCCAGTCGACCCAATACATTTTCATGTTGATTGAACCTAACTGTTCCATCATCGCGGCATGCCTGCCATGCTATGGACCATTCATGGCCAAAACGCGAGACCGCATAGCCAAATCGAACCCCAACAGCGACCTCACTATGTCTTACACCCACAGCCGGACTTCAACCAAGGGAACCTGGCCGGGCAGCAGGTACGATGGCTCATTCTCAACAAGAGCGGGCTCCCAAGTTCAGCTTCACCTACCATATCGGGGGCCGGTGCAGAGCCATTACCATGTCCGATGCTCCGGTGGAAAATCTGCCTTGAAGTCATGACGACATGCTCATCGCCGGCAATTGCGAGGTACGCTTTCGGTTATATTAAAATAGTCGTCATTAGGAAAATGTCACTATGGTGCTCTTCATGAATGGCGAATGTTGATGTGACTTCAATTGAGTGTGCCACTCCAAATTGACACGGATTCAACAATCTCCGAGGGAGTTGGCCGATTAAGGCCACGTGTACCTCTAAACAATGTTTACGGTCTGTCCTCTTCTATGGCATGGTACAGCAGTCTTTGCAAGCTCCATAATATTGTCATAATCTTTGAGGAACGAGCAATCCGAATATTCATCGTGCTTGTCCCACGAACCGTGTGCGCGATAGTTGAAAAACCCAATGCGTCTGTGCTGGTCTGGGGCCATATTTGTTTTTTTTCGATAACAAGCCCAAACACTGCGTGGAATCCCACATGATAGCACTCATTGGAATGGCATCCGGGACGATCGCCACAGTATCTAATACGAAGAGGAACAGGGTTGCAATTTGTTAAATAGTTTAGTTAATTTCAAAAAGTAATTAATTTAATTTTAATTAATAGAATTAACTGCAACTATTAAATTAACTAAAAAAAATAGAAGTGGAGTAAAAAAACAATTTTAGCTCCAACACAGGTCAAACCATGGCTCTCCAGAGTAAGGGCAAGTGATTTTTAAAAATAAAAGTGAGAAAATTCACCCTTGCACTACCCACTTTTATTAGCTTTTAATTAATTTAGTTAGTTGATAATATTAACTAAAACCAATTTTAGTTCTTAGTTAATTTTATTAACTAAGACTAACTAAATTAACTAAAACTAAGAAACTAATTTGCAACCCTGAAGAGGAAGATAATGTATGGTCTGACCAGACCGGGAGTCCTTTCGCTCAGCACAATCCAAGAGGAACGGAAGCACATGACCTGCCCGACCCAGACTGCAAGAACATATTCCTTTCTTTTTATCAACGTCAAATTTGTGTTCAATCCAGCATGACTTTCGTCTCGCCCGAGCGACGCCCTCGGCTGCGATGGTGCCCTCCACGATCAGATCACAACTGAGCGAGAGTGTTCCGTGCAACACAGCTCCAAAAATGGTTCCTCCAGGATGTACGAGGGAGACTGAACGCACATGGGCACGTAAAGTGTAAGCTGGCCTGGAGGGGCTACCGAGCGCGGAGATGACTAGCCCGTCAATCGCAGCCCAACGACCACGATGGCGCTCTGGACTGGGGTCGCTGCCGCGGGTCTGTTACCCTCCAGCATAATTCTTCCTCCAAAGACTTTCGCCGTAGACCGGCCACGTATTGGTCACCTGTCATGCTTTGACATGAGCGGACGATGCCAGCCAGGGCCACCAGTTTGTCTCCCGAGTTGGTCAGGTCGCACTTGGAATACCAGTCTTTCAAGTCCTCCCACTGCTGGCACGGATTGGTTTCATTCAGTAGCAAACTCGAGTTGTCCCGAATGAAATTATTTTCACTGAAGCCATCCGTAAAGTATTCGGAAGCAATGTGAGTCCTGCACTCCCAAAAAAAAGCCATGAGCCCCACAATGCAAGGTCCGAGGAGCGAGTATCTTCTCTTGTACAGTCCACGCTCTTGTTGCCAAGTGAGTGCCATTCACGTTTTTGTAATACTCATTACCAGGTGAAAATTCGAGCATTTGTCTCTTTCCAGCAATGGAGGCTCCAGCTGTGAACCCACCGCCATAATGCCGGGTTTGGAGAAAACAACCTTCGGTTTCCTCTCTCGCAAATGAGGCAGCGATGTTGAGGGATGATCCTCCATAAACAGAAGCCATCATACTTGCTTCTACCTCCAAATCTTGGCTATTGTCTTGGATTATGCACAAGGAGTCGATCCACAGAGCCCACCATTCCGTGCAATTCGGATCGCATCGGCAAATACTTTGACGAGGAATTTGCTGGGTACACGTTGCTTCAGCTCTTCAATATTCGTCGACTTGAGCGTCTCGAAAGTACTTGTGCCCCAGCAGTGGCTGAGGGTCGCGTACAGAGGCCTATCGGTCCACCCCGTCGTGACCACAAGTTGTATGGGGTCCGTGGCAATGGACAAGAGCCGAGTGGGATGGCGAGGCGGTCGTTCGAGGTTGCATGCCGAATGGGATTCAAGACAGTTGGTTGCCCACCGTCGAGCCAGGTTCGTTGAAGAGCTCTGCGATACCGGAACCCGCCGAGATGTGGTACAGAGAGGTCGAGCAATTTGCTTTGCTTGTGCGTAGGTCAGAGTTTGGACTTGAAGCACGATAGATGATCACAGAGGTTCCCGAGATTACATTTTTCTTCGTAAAGAAAGGCGAAGAACCCAAGCCGGGTGAAAAAGTTGGGGTTTAGGGAAATTCTTCCAGGAAACCCGACATCGAGAGTGATATAAAAGTCTCTCTCCCAACAGGCCCAAAGAGGGATTGTTGAAGGCTTCCCCAGTCTTTCAAGGCGCGTTTCGATTCTTCTATACAGTTCTAGCCAATCCTCGTCTTCGATGGCTTGTAGAATCAAGGCGCAGCATCGACAGCCTTTTTCTGCTGCTGCTTCAAGTCGCACCGTCTGTCCCTGGCAAGGCAAAACATAGAATTTCCCATAAGGGCCCACATCAGTCCAGTTCCTTGAGTTGAGATCAACCGAGGGTGATTGTGAGGACACCACCGATCCGTAAGGCCTGGCAGTCTGTGTCTCGTGCTCCGTCTACTCGAAGTCCGAGTCGGGGAAATTGTCCAACATACTATGGCATATCGAGCAGAGGCCATGAGTTACGTCGATCTCTCCCATGAAGACTGACACCTGGGCTTCAATTGCGTCGATGTCGAGTGACTCGGAGCATGGGTGATCAAGTATTTTGGTCGGGTCTCCCCGTGTCATGTATTTCGAGTACCATTCCTCCAAGGATTCGAGATCCTCGTCGATGCTACCTTGCTCCATGGTGAGTCTGCAGTCGACAATGCTTCAAGCTGCGACAAGTGGACGGAGGAGATACTGGGACGTCGCTTTGGGATTCTCAAGCCTCGGCAGCGGTTCGCCGACACAAGATGGCTTCCTGGACTCACGTCCTGCGGAGGACGGAGGAAGTAAAAGTAGACAATGGACAGATTGATCCACAGAGAAACGCTTGATGGAGGGAATCTGACGGTATGCCACATCGAGGCACAGGGACGAAAGCTGACAAGAGGGAGCCCATCACTGAAGGCTTGCTTTCAATTTTCGCTGATATTGGATGACTCAGATTGGATTAATCTGGTCCCTCGATCCTGCGCGTGCGTTTACCATGGTACGCGAGCTGCTGGAGGACGTTGCCATTTGTTGTTGACATGTCAGTTGGGAGTTTGTGTTACTTATTATATCAGAAGGTGTGTTTGCCCTGCAGAGTTCTTCTTACACTTCACCCGAGTTACTCGGACAAGCCGAAACGGGAAAGACCCGAGTGCTTTGGCAATGACTGAACGATTTGGGAATACGAGCAGGCCACAGCAGCCGACTTACGTAGCCTTGGATTGGCTTGAATGAAAATAATAACAAGACTGAGCATCTCCTCGATAATGTTTGGCTTCTCCGCACCGATGATTAATTGCCATTGTTTGATGGCCGATGTGATACTCCGCCTGACAGATATCAATCACCAGTTACTGGTCATTCAAAGGGTCAAGGCCTCTTTGGACACAGTTAGTTGTCTGTGAACTCCCTTCCAGAGGCTCCAAATTCTGTGGAAAAAGCGAACGCTTAATCCGTCAGCCGGATCAAGCCTTATATACCGTAGGTACTTCAACAAATTCCAGAACCAGACCATTGGAGCCAGGATGGAGTGCTGCCGTCAGTGGCGCCTGGTCAACAGAGAAGAAAATTGGCCTTAAAAGAGCCTGGGAAAATGCAAATGGAGATATCGTCCAAAGCACGAATGGGCGAGACAACTGTTGGGCTGTGGGGTTTGGGAAAGGCTGAGTTCTGACGCCCGCGAAAGTACCTGCCATTCATCTCGTCTCACCTCAACTTCACCGCCAGTCGGACTCTGGGGGTTTTGGTGAACTTCCCGGCACGAGTATCCGGCCGATTCCCCTTACTCAGCCCTCGTCTCCAGATATGGATGCGCAATGATCATTGCGGATATTCGAACATTGTATCAAGTAATGGTCCCGTGGCGCATTGGTTAAGCGCTGGGCCGCCCATCTGCAGCAATGCAGAGGGCACGGGTTTAACATCCGCTAGGGCCATCGACTACACTATATTAAATCTCTAAGATTATCAATATTATGTTATTATTATATACCTAGGCTGTAAGGATACATCGCAGTATATTTTTTTAGATAGCTAATAAAACTAGCTATAGTTGGGTATATTATAGCTGCAAGCTGTAGCCTTAATCTTAGGTTTCGGGGCACGGTGAAATTCCGGATACCGGCTAAAAAGATTGGAATGCCCCTTCGTCACAACGCGAAGTAAAAACAAGTGCCACCCCGTATCAAGTAATACGACTCAGGTGAGTCAGCTAGCCTCAGGTGAGTCAGCTTGCTTGCAGGTTGCCTCGTTCCCACCTAGATAGTGAGTTTCTTACGGCTTGCCAAGGCTCGGGCCCAGCTCAAATCCACGAACCCAACCCAACACAGGTGCCTCTGTAGCTGTACCCCGCAAGGAAGCGCGCAATGCTGCCACGGCATTTGTACTCACTAAGCTCTTCGGAATTGTGCCAAGCTTCATAGTGCCGCGTGAAAGTGGACCCGGGAGATCCAAATAAGTAAAAACACCCGGCTTGTCCTCTCGGCCTTTTCCAACACATTGGGGCACTGCAGGTGATGGAAGCAATAAATCTGGCATGATTTACACCTGAAAACCCATGGATATGGCCAAAGGATCTTCAATACGATCTGCCTTGTTCGATATATCTAAGGGCGTCACTGCGTAGGTGTTTTTCCATTCACTTTCTTCTGTCCACCTCACTTCATTCTGCAAACAGGTCGAGCTGCGAGCGCCCAGAGTGTTCGCGCTCTTCTGATCCGGAACCTCGCTTCCGCTGACAGTGTCGCAACTTCTCAATGGGGCACGCTTCCAGGGTCACGAGACGGGCCAAGAGTCTCCGGGCCGCTTTGTAAATCTTCCGTGGCGCGCTTATGAACGACAGAAGTGCTCGAATCGTGCATCGTGACCTGGATTCCGATGCAAAATGAAAAACACCAGGAATCATGAGATATAAGATCATGGCGTCGAAACCGCATCAAGTGCTGCATTTCTTGCGCTCACCATCAGGGCCAGGTTCAATCTCTCTTTTTGCTTCTTGGATCCATTCGCTCCGGCCGCAGTTCTCTCCCAAGTAGAGAGACCGGCCACACACAGCTGTTCCCGTACAGAGACCCAAGAGCCACCTCGGACCTCTTCTCAAGATGGCGCCAATGTGGAAGCGACTCTTCGGCGGCATGTTGGCCGTCGCGTCCATCGCCTCGGGCGTGAGCGCGGCGTATCCTAACCCGGGCCCAGTTTCGGGCAGCACCACCGTCCACGACCCCTCCGTCATCAAGAGCTCGAGCGGCACCTACATCATGGCCCACACGGGGGCCAACGTGGCGCTCAAGACGTCGACCGACCGCACGGCATGGCGCGACGCCGGGGCCGCGTTCCCCAACGGCGCGTCCTGGACGACGCCGTACACCAACGGCGACACCAACCTCTGGGCCCCGGACATCTCCTTCCACAACAACCAGTACTACCTGTACTACTCGGCGTCGAGCTTCGGCTCCCAGAAGTCGGCCATCTTCCTGGCCACGAGCCCCACCGCCGCCTCGGGGTCGTGGACCAACCAGGGCCTGGTCATCGAGTCGTCCAGCTCCGTCGACTACAACGCCATCGACCCCAACCTCGTCCTCGACGCCTCGGGCAACTGGTGGCTCTCCTTCGGCTCCTTCTGGTCGGGCATCAAGATGATCTCCATCAACCCCAGCACGGGCAAGCGCTCGGGATCGAGCCTCGTCTCCCTCTCCCGCCGCACCACCAACGACGGCGCGGTCGAGGCACCCTACATCACCCGCCGCGGTAACTACTACTACCTGTGGGTGTCATTTGACCGATGCTGTGCAGGCGCCTCGAGCACGTACCGCACCATGGTTGGCCGATCTACCAGCATCAGCGGCCCGTACGTGGACAAGAACGGCGTGAGCATGGCGAATGGAGGCGGCACCGAGGTGATGGCCAGCCACGGCTCGATTCACGGACCCGGCCACCCATCTGTCTTTACAGACGTGGATGCGGACGTGTTTGTGTACCATTATTACAACAATGCTGGCACTGCGCTCCTGGGCATCAACCTCATCCGCTGGGAATCGGACTGGCCTGTCATCTACTGATTACCCGCACCTTTGGAGGCGGTGGGCGGAATGCTGTGGCAACGGCTGGCGGGACTGGGTTGGGCAAATCCAGATCTTCTATAGAGGTCAACTCTCCGTAGTGCCAGACGAAGAAAATACCTAAAAATTGCTTTAAATCTCGATCCAACACCGTGAGCATGCTACATCAACTTTTCACGTGCCGGCACCCCTTTTGGCGCCACCCCCCGATTCAGCCTCGCAGGCTCTCAGACAACTACATCGTCCAAAACTGCCAACCCATCTTTGCTGGCCTTGACTTTGGCCCTCTTCAACCTCCGTGTCTCACGTTCGATGTCACGAGTCACCAACCAAGTAACCAGAGTAACAGCGACACAGGCCCCAACACAAGCCATAGCGGCGCCGAAGCTCTGCGTATACCTCGGCGCATACTTGCGCAGGAAGATCTGCGGCCCGACCGCGCCGCCGACCTGTCCATAGCTGTTGACGAATCCGATCGAGAAGGCGGAGCCCGTCGCGCGGGAAGTAGTCTGTACGCGCCACGGCCACATCATCGGGAACCAGGATGAGGCCACTGCATTTGCGATGGGGGTGGCCGTGTAGACGGCGCCGTTGCTAGGATATGCTACCATTACCCCATAGCAAGCCAGGATGATGGCCATCAGGGTTAGAGGGTACACCGGCCTGGGCAATCTGCCATTGTCGGCAAAAAAGCCTGTGATGCCGATTACGACAATGGAGAGTATCGAGATGGGCAGGTTCAGTAGCTGAGCGCGTGCAATTGTCCTGGACGGCATTAGTGTCTGGCTCTCGCAACTGATTTGCAGCCGAGTGATACTCACGTAAAACCAAGGTTTGCAATAACTGTCGGCTGATAAAACCTGACACCGCTAGTCCCGATGGTGAAGGTGGCCCAGATCAAGGTGAAGAGCCAGAGCCGTCTGTCTTTCAGTGACGAGATGATTTCGCGAGAATCGAAGTCCATTTCTTCCGCTCGAGGTGCGTTGGGAGGCAGGCGGGCCTGGATGAAGGCCTTCTCATTCCCAGTGAGCCACTTTGCCGTAGGTGGGACTGTCTACAACGGTGTCAGCAGAAGCGTGACCTAATGTGAGAACCGGGTATTATTCTGTGACGCGCAAAAGCAGCTGCCAGTGTGCAGTACACTGGCTAACCTATATTTTATAATATATTCATACAATCGGGTAGCACAAAGTAGATCGCAATGCCGAAGAGTACCATCACCACACCCTCGACGAGGAACAGCCTGCAGATATACGCGGGTAATCAGCTAATGTCAGTCTAGGTCCAGAGCAAAGCGGGAACACTTTACCATTGCCATCCTGATAGCCCTCCTGCACCTGAAATGCTATCGAAAGCAAATGCCAAGACGCCACTGACTACACCTGAAAAGTTTCCAAGTATGTCTACATGGTTTCTGTCAGTTGTGGATTCCATTTGATTGGCAGCTGGAAAGCCCACAGAAATATAGCAATCGAATCGACATCTCATCCGGACGGTACCAATAACAAATTTGCAAGATCACTCCTGGAAACATTCCGGCCTCGGCCTAGACTTGTGTGTGAGCGAGGACTCGGTGGCCCGGCTTCTCTGCTCTTCATGAAAGACTCACCAATCCTAGAAGAAAGCGAGTTGCCCAGATCCCAGCCTTGTTCGTCACTGGTACGTGGCATAGAAGAGCAATTCCCCATGAAACCATGATTCTGGACTGCCAGGTGCTGAGGCTCGCCCTCTTCAACAACAGATTTGATGGGGCTTCCCCAATAATGTATGGCACCTGTCGCGCGATTCAGCATGGGCAAACTTGTATGCTCTTTTGTAGGGCTGTACAAAATACAAAATACTCACATAATAAAACACTGTGAGCAAGTTGTACTCATCCGACGTCAACCCCAGTTGTGTCACGATATTCCTATCAGTCCCTCTGTTCATGATCCTGGCATTCGATATGTTGTCCGAGTCAATGTTTTTGAAAAGGAACAGAAGAGAACACAGGGTCATGATGCGCAAGTCAACTCTGCGCATGAGCTTCCTCTCCTCCTCGGCCGTCAAGGACGCGCGAGCCCGCATGCGGTGCGCGTCGAAGCCTGAGATGTCGCCCGCCGCAATCGCCTCGTCCATATCTGCGCCGCGAAGTGCGAAATGCAGATCATCCTTCGACTGTACGTTTTGGGTTGATTCATCACCCTCACTGATCGCGGTAGGGACGGTCTTTGTTGCTTCCATAGCCGCCGATAGCGCCACGCAGGGCTCGGAAACAAAATAATGTGACTGAGTACATTCAAAATCGTCTTCTGTCCGACGTTGGCCGGGTCCCTTTTAACCATACGGCATCGTCGCTATTTGACACTATAGCAGCAACCAACACCTCCGAATTTCAGTGTGGAGTACTATTCAATGGTGTAATTTACACCGGAAGCACGATCCCAGCCAAACGACCACCGATATTCTGCCGGTTGCTGATATGCCCTATACACCGTAGCCTAGCCATCGCGACGCCCCCACACCAGTGAAGACATTGGGCCTGTTTCGGTCTTGGCATTCCCATTCTGCTTTCGCTTTTCCCATTGCCTGTGATGAGAGGTCACAACGAGGTACGTCAATGTGCTTCCGTGGGGGTGGGATTGACCAATAGTAGGGCTAGTAAGGCTGATATTCGCAAGCCGTCCCCAACATGACGAATCTACCTAGATATCTCCCCGCGATATCTGGCACCTGCTGGCGATATCTACAGGGTGTGGCACCGAAACTCGCTGCCGTCACTGAGCTGTGGTATAAGACGAATATGCGTTCGCTATCAACTTGCCGTAGATTTCTAGAGGTACAACGTCTGATACTTACCAGTAGCCCGCCAAAATGCCGTCTGCGGTAGAAACATCTAGTGCTCTACCCGAGCCGAAGGCTCCAAAACTTGCATATACACAAGTTCAGGAAACTCAACATGATCGTGAGTTTATCAAACACCCATGGTCACAAAATTGCACAGTGCTGACGAGCCGCGCTCATTTGCCAGTGGACTGGGACGATCTGGTCACTCTGGACCTGGCCAAGTTCGATGAACCCGGCGGAAAAGAAGCTCTAGCTCAACAGCTGTTTGAGGCCTTACAGACGATCGGGTTCTTCTATATCATCAATTTCGGCTTGGGCCAAGAAGAGGTCGACAGACAGTTTGCCATTGGGAAGGCGGTTTTTGAACTCCCTACCGAAGAGAAGCTTTCGTACCGCGCCGACCTGGAGAATGGTGGCCACAACGGGTATAAGCCTCTCGGCCTCAGAGTAAGAAAGCGATCAGCATATATTTAGGAGCACGAAAATTAGATTAACTGTCTCGCTGTCTCGCCTGATAGGAAATCAAGCCCGGCATCTTCGACAATACAGTGATCTTCAACATCCCCAAGTTCATTCCGGCATTCGAGAAGACAGCCCGAGGTCATCAACGCCAACCGGCCAGAGATAGAGCACTTTGCTCGCCACATTCACCACAACATCGTGCATAAGTTACTGGTGTTGTTTGCCATCGTCCTGGAGCTCCCCGACGAAAAATACTTCTCGAACAGCCACCATTACGATGAGAAGTCAGATTGTCATCTGCGCTACATGAAATACCACCGTCGTTCGATTGAGGAGAATGAAGCTTTGGAGAACGTCTGTATGTGGATTTTATCTTCTCACACATTCATTGAAGTCCATGTTCGCGCGAGTTTGTGTCTGTAGTTCAACAAGGTCCAGCGTTTTGAGCAGCTCCAGTCACTGACACATCGCCAGGGGTGAAAGGCCACACCGACTTCGGCTCCCTCACCCTCCTATTCCGCCAGCCCGTCGCCGCACTACAAGTCCGCGCCCCAGAGGGCGGGTGGAAATGGGTCAGGCCCCACCCGGGGAGCATCACAGTCAGCGTCGCCGACGCGCTGGAGATGTTGACCAACGGCTTCCTCAAGAGCAGCATCCACCGCGTCGTCTTCCCGCCGCCCGACCAGCGCGACGCCGAGCGCCTGGGCGTGTTGTATTTCGTCAGGCCGGAGGACGACCTCGAGCTGCGGCCGGTGCGGAGCCCTGTGCTGGAGAGGCTTGGCTATGACAAGGTGCAGGAGGACGTCGTTGGGATTACCGCTGGGGAATGGGTTAAGGCGCGTGTGCGCGGGTGTGAATAAGAATGAAAAGGCGCGGAGTGAGACCAATGAGCAGGAGATTATTGGGGGGAGGAAGGCGAGGTTTTATGACTAGTTTGATTCGTATGATTCCAGTCGGCCGGGAATGGTCTGTCATATAAGCATAAGCCATTTCATTTGATGGTTCAAGTACTGGTTCATTGCCCTCGGAAACCAATTCCCAACTTCATGACTACCTAGGTAACTTATGTTCGTTAAAGGGAATAACACACAGATTCTCCACATTGGTTCTCTGAAACTAACTGGACTTAGTCAACTCCTCGAGACAGCAGTAAAAGGAGAATCTTTCTTCATCGACAGAAATCTATGGCCTCGAATCGGGGGATGACTGCACAGCCAGTTTTAGATCCCCCTGGCTGTGACGCCTGACTGATTGGTGAGATCGGCTCGTCCGAGTCAAGCTCGCTAGACATCAACCTAGGTGGGATTTCCAAGAGGGTGGAATTTGTGGGAGATACGACCTCCGGAAGTGCTACCCAATCTGAGGTTGAAGAGGTCCGCATGGTAGTACTAGACCCCGTGGCATCGATACTTGCGACTGAATACGATCGATCGGCGTTTGGATCGCCCTGTGGCTGACACACCTGGGTATTGGCGGGTTGTGCGCTTCTCTGTACATCTGATACAACCTCTTTGTTTTCGTCGTGCGAGTACGCAAGGTGTAGATCCGCCAGGAAATATCCTGGCCGAGTCTTGGGTACAGAGTCTGTGTATCCTGACCATGCTTCCGAGCCCAGGCCTTGGTACGCCATGCGCTGTAGCTGGAGAGTTTCGTCGCCGGTCCACTCAATGTATTTGTACTCTTCGTATTTGTGCCGACGTGCCAGATATTGGAAGATTGGCTCGAGAAGGTAGGATATTAACATTATAAAAGCTCCGGTCGTGAAGGTGAAGTACAACCCAAAGAGACTGAACGAGGTGTATTTGGTGCTGCGAACTTTCTGGGACGAGGTTCAGTGTTAGCCGATAGATACTTGTAAAACCACATAGCGAAGACTTTCACACCAATGAATACGATAGAATGAATAATGCGTATAGCCTTACCTGGCTGTGGCATAATTGTTTCATATACTCGTTCTCGGGATAGCCCGTAGACTGAAGCAATAATGGGTTTCTCGGACCACGAGCCACGCTCACAAAGGCTGTCTGCTTTGCTGCCAGCAGCGCCGTCCACCAGTGAGTGACGTCAAGTTTCCATTGGTTGTTGGGAATCTGGCCAAAAGTGCCCATCGCATAACTGCTACGGGAAGCAAGCGCTGAAGTACGCATGATTTTGATCAATGATGCAAGATCGTAGCCGGAGTACATTATCCTTTCGAACCAGATAAACTGGGACGACGTCCGACCTGAAGCATTGACGTAACCTTTAAGCTGATCCAGGGGAGTACCAAGGAATGGCGCCGCTGTTATCATAGCATCGTAGAAGCTTGCGAGCTCTCCACATTTGTGCTCTGCATTGCAATATTGGTACTGCTGGATGCAACCCATCGGCGAAGCGGCTTCGTCTGACCGGTAGATGGTCTTGCTCCATTCACTGGTCATGTTGTTTGAGGTTTCCTTGGCCTCCGTCCATGGAACAAAACCTCGATACCACGGATCTGTGGTCTGCTCCAAGAAAGAGGCTCCGTTACCTGAAAGAAATATGAGGTAAAGGTCTGCGTCTGGTCGAAAGAGCTGAGGATCAGGCACGAAAGATGAAAATTTGCCTTGTACAGTCTTATTGGCGGTAGTTGCTTCGAAAACACTGTAGATAGATAGGCAGCGTCAACTTCTGCAAGCATCTTACAATTCTGTGACTGAAAACTTTGGCTGCGATTTCACGATAATTACTTACCTCAACCGGATGTCCTTTGTCGAGAGCGCTGTCCGTCCCTCTTCTGTTTTACCATACTGAGAATGCAAATCTTCTACTTGCCAGGTATAGTTTTCTTGCCCCAAAAATGGGCCGTATAAATACTGAGTGTAATTGTCCGCAGGCGTGCTAATATTCCTTGAGAAGCCTTCCGTGTTAACAGGTGCACAATGCATTGTCGTCCGGAAGAAGATCCGATGATTGTTTGGCATATTTAGGCCAAAATGTTCGCGGCTATCGAGGTATCCTGAGTCGAGGAGAAGATTCGATTGATTGCTTCGACACATGCTATCCTGGAATGGGCATCCGGCCTGGTCATCCATGGTTCCCGGCAAGTGATCTTTGATGAAGTTTGTGCAGTCAAAGTTACCAGTAGCGTTACTGGAATAGCACTCCTGTGCATAGTTCGCCGCGTTATTGATGGTCTGTGAGATATACTCGTTCTGGGCAGACATTACTTCAGGCGTTGGGTTGCCTGTGTAAAGCACGCCGCACCCATTTCCATCAAGTAGCACCTCGGTGCCCACCCCGGAGGAAATGGATGATGAAAACCCAGCAGCAATGGTAAAAGAACAGAAACACAGGCTAGAAAGTACCAATGCAGGCAGAATTCGAGCCAATAGTTGTTGCGAATCATGACGCCACGTCCAGGCAAGTTTGGACATTGTCCAAAAGCCTGACGCAGCGGAGGGCGAATTTCGGAGAGCTGCGATCATGAATATTAGCAGCCTATATCGCTCCAATTATGCTTATATTGGTAGCAGATCATTTTCGAAGACTTACTGGCCTGTCTCTGATGATGCAAGGCGTCCCGGGCGTCGGAGGTTGAATAGATGCGGTGAAAGCAAAGGCAACAGACGCGCCAGGCAGCCGTAGCAACAAGTCCGACGAAAGTTGCAGTAAATGCAATAAGGAGGTTACCATACAGTCGATCCAGGGTCAAAGTCGCGCCCATCATGCGGCCCCTGGACCAGTTGACCCAGACCCCGAGGTAAACATCATGCTGCAATGTCCTGGTAGTACCAGACCAGACTGAAATATTTGTCATATTGCAAATAGATGTAAAGTAAAACAACAAAGATTTTCGGAAAGTCGCAATGATGGCATGTTCCGGTCTTCTCCAGAGTCCGACGCGTCTGTTTCGCGGTGATCACAGCTTTATATGTCCTTCCTCGGTAGCCTTCATGACCTGTCACAATACCCCCGGGTATTTAAAGATGTTCCCGCAGGCAGTGCTTCAAAAATACCGCCAAGAAAAATTCAGCCAAGGCAGCTGACACCATGGCTGATGGTTGTGTAGCGATGGGCTACCAATGACAGGCTGCAGCTGTAGGCAAGGATACCAAGCATAATGTGCAACTGCGAACGCCGCATCGTTGGAATATTCCATGTTTAGTCTGCTTATTATGAATACTCGAAATTAGAGTTTCTTTGAGGATATCGAGTATCTGGGAATCCTAAACCTCAAAATCGTCAATGAGAGCTCCAAGTACGATCTCGCATTCTTCGCCTGCTAGAAAATCGGAACTCAGTTTTAAACCTGGCTAGATAAGCATGAAATCCACGCAGAGGGTTGTGGGTGCATCCATTTTCCCTCTGTATTCAAGTAACTCTGTATCCAGTTTCGTACTACCCGCCACCTCCAGAAAGAAAATGTTCTCCCTGCAGGCTCCAGCGGCCCCCAACTTTGCCACTTCAACACACTGCTATCTCACAGAAACTCTCAACAGATACATCTACGATTGACTATTTTCTTTTGGAACACCACATGTCTGTAGAGCACTGGAGCCTTCTTGAGAGCCCGCCCCCCCGGTGTAAGTCAGGCAGTCTTGACGTGCCGCCGGCGGACTGTAAGGCATTTTTGCACTGCCCAAAATTTGTGTGCTACACCGAATGCCTGCTGTGTATTTATAGCACATGCTTGGCACCTCCAACCCGCACCCCCCTGCCCGTACATAGCTGCATTCACCGGCGTTGCGCCAGGGAGTCCAGCCCCATAGTATGCTCATTTGCTATTACCGCCACCCACAATCCTTCAGGACCTGGGTTCTCTTGATAGGCGACCCATGGCTCTGATGCTATTAGAGGATGGATCTCATTGAGTAGAGAACAGCTTGGAAGCCACCAAAACGTGTTAGCCCAATAGAAAAGAGAGTGAGGTTCGGGATGCACCTGCATCTGGTCGATGTCAAGGGTGGGCAGGCTGTGTTATCGGCGTGTGTCAGCTGGGATTCAACGTGGCTTGCTATATAATGAGTTTGTCATCCCTGGGGAACGTTTCTACACTCGATCCGGGACACCAGAGCTACCTGTACTGGCAGCCGCTTTGTGTCCCCTTGTCATGCGGGTCTCAGACCATTTTCTACCCACATTTCCCGCAGGCGCGTCAAGACACAAAGCCAATAGAGCATTAGAGGACGTTAAACGTGCCAAATTCTGTGCAATGTGTCTTCACTGATTGCAACCCATGAGCGGGCTATTCTAAGCTTCGTGAGTAGCTGGCGCTGTCTGAGCCATCGCAGTAGCTTCAGAAATGAACTTTACCTCGGCTCGTAAGGGCTCACGAAGAATTACAAAGTCTTGTGACTGGATCGCATCAAGTTGATAGCAAGTCACAGAATGACCAATAACATGCCAGCCACAATTGCAGTTGAGCCCACACACACAGCCTGAAGATACCGATTCTTTTCGCTCCCTCCCTTCTGTACGACACTCCGACAGGACCACACCCTGCTGTCACAAAAAAAAAAAAAAGGATTGCTCTCATACCCATGTCTCCCACTCACAGCCGATGGACCTAAGCGACATGCAGGTTCTTGCATCCTTAGTCTGGGCCGCAACCCCGAACAAGACGAGAGCAGGCTCTCAGGCAACCTTGGCTTGTAGCTATGGGTGGGATCCTGCCCCGACTCCATTTGGAAAATCTGTCCCAATAAGCCTCAAAATCAATTAGATAGATCAGATCGCAAGGTTGAGATGCAGCGAGTGGGTCATGATGGACTCGAACGTGGCAACACACTCGGAGGCTAGTGCGGTGTAGACTAGACTGGGCACTTCAAGACACATTAGCGTATGCCGCTAAACTTAAAGGGAGAGTAGCTAAGCATGTCACCGTTCCGTGTTACATGCGGATGAGGCTGGCGTGACTGTACCTTGTAAGAGTGAATGCACCAGCTTGACCCACGTCTGGTCTCCAGTTAAATGCTAGAATGCCGTTCTTATGGACCGTGGCCTCGATTCAACCATGTTCAAGTTCCTCAAATAGTGAATAACAACCCTAAATGGGCAACGTCTCATTGGTGGCATCAATGTGCGATGCGCACGTAGATACATTATACGGTAGAAGCCACAAAGCCGGGGATCACCGAATAGCAAAAGGCAACGCCCAACACATCTCAGGGCCCGATTTCCGCTTCTCACTGTTCCTGCGTCCAGGTCGATCAGCGAAGTCGTATTCAAGCTCCGCCAGTGGAACGGGTGGTTCAGCTGCACATCGTTTAACCTGCAGTCTGTAAGATCTCTTTCAAACATTCTAAGACTGATTCACTCCGTGCAACCGCTAGCTGTGTGCTCAAGATTTGGTCCACGTGCGAGGCCCAGGCGGTATTGGCACCGTCCACGCCTGCGTCTCGACCAGACTATCATAACAGGCGTAACAGAAATGCAGCGAGATATTGGCTCTGAGTGACTAACAAACTGACTCTAGAGCCCACTCAACTGATTAGTCCAAATGAAGATTGTTTCATGGACGAAAACCATCTGCATTTGGTTACCCCGAAGTTGATGGCGCAAACCATATCAACTCTGCAAGCAGCAATGTTGGTGGAATGTCAGTTGGAAATCTGTGTAACCTGTGACATCCTCCCGTAAAAGCTCTTTCCACATTTTCTTTCAAAGATGCTGGGGCTAGCTGTTATGACAAATGCTAGCGTATGCCCACAGCTTGTGAAACCGAAGTTCTGTTCTCGTTGGACTTGTCTTAGGACTTTCGACACACGGGATTCATGAACAACCGTGAGTGCCTTCGAGCAGGTAAATCCGTATCACATCTATTTGACGCTGATGGTAAGATTGCTTTCTGACTCGCCTGAGATGTAGTCAGCGCCTGTGACACGGTCCGACTCTCTTGATCTCGGTCGGCACTCCATACCCCTGTCCGAAGGATCGGGCTGCATGGCTTAGTGTGGCCCTGGGTTTTCAGCTTTGGAGTTTCGTCAGCACACACATCGGAGGTAGGTAAAGACCACTTCAGAACAGAATTTGAAAACAACATCAATTCTGTTGCGTCTTCCACAGTAACCATGTCTTCAGAGTGGCTTTCGGCCTGCGAGAGCTCTTGCAGCGACTACCCGGTGGGCATCGATGACCTTTGCGGAACTGGGGTAAAGCCAATGAACATCTTTTCTACACGCATGTCTGGAACCGCTGCTGACGCTCCCCGCATCATCAGGTCATTGTCGGCTTCATCGGTGGAGCCTTTATTGCTATGGTCTTTCTGATCCTTTATTACTTCTGGGCATATGATTTTGCCATTTGTGATGCAGCACCGGTCAACCCAGTGGATGACTGGGTGCTCAGAAGCATGCGAGGTTGGGCCCGGAGAAGGTTTCCCCGGCTTGCAGCTCGTTTGGCGCGTAATCAACATTGCCTGACTGAAGCACTAGGAGAGGCAAGTTCAATTTTCGTAAGGTACCAGCTAATGAACATGAGAAACTGACTACGTTACGTATTTACAGGGCAACCTCAATATGTGCGATTTGCAAATCTTAACGGGATTAGGTATTCTGCTTGCCGGTTTTGTATCCCTTCCTGTCCTGAAGGGTGCCCACTGGCAGATGGTGTGCTACCTCGCTTGGTTTGCAACCGTAACGCACATGTCCGGGTTGAGCATGATGTCCAAATATCTTCACGGACGCTCCTGGGAACGCAAATCCCGTATGATACTCATGGGTGTCCTGCTCATCATCCTTGTGGTTGCGATGGTACCCATGGCAGCCATCACAATATCCGAGGACGATGGAGGAGAAGACCTCGTGCTCACCTGGAACTGTAACGCAACCTGCTTCTTTAGTCCGCAGTTCATGGCCAACAATCTTCACTCAGTGTCATTGGGGCTTCAGTGGGGGAGCACCAAAATACTTACGCAGACTGCGGCCCAGTTTGGTTCAGCAATAATGGCTATAGCGTTAATGGCCTTCAGCTTTGTTGTTCGATTGGGAAAGATAACACCCAAACTTCTCTCAACAACACAATCGAAAAAAAGGTCCATGAGCGAGAGGGTTCAGAGCACGCTCTGGAAAATGGCCAACAAGGAATTCTCCAGAGCATGGCAGGCTGTAATGTGGAGAGAATTGCTAGTGCGGCCATTCTTATGTGTGTTCATACTCCTGCGGGCATGGCTACTTCTATGGTCTTCTATGTTCTTTGAGGTATGTGCTATTGCGAACTGGCAAGCGCTCTACGCTCACTATTGAGGCTCACCGCGGCGATAGATACTCTGGGTCTGCTTTCTCGCCTTATATGGGTTGAGCAGAATCCTTCAGGTCTCAACTCAATTTTACACGGTAGAAGGCGCACTGAATCCCGACCCTGACAACTCGGTTCACGGCTACCAAACACCCCGGGGTGACTATCGTGGCGGGTCCTGGAGCTTTGGCCAGATTCTGCCAGTGTTCCTCCTCCTCGCACCTGTGGTGGGCTTTCTAAGGTCGATTTCGCCCAGCGATAGTACCCTGCAGTCAAACAGCCATTCAAAGGTTTCACCTGTTGAAATTGGTCAGTGTCCTACACACCAAAACAAAGAGCGAGAGAGTACTGACCTTCTGCACAGGGAGAGATATTCCACACTCCCCTGCCATCTTCGAGCCTCATGCCAGGACGCATTCCTTTGGCTCTATCGATGAGGATACGGATGCGTTCCCACAAGGCAGCCTCAAATGTCTTCGGTATCTGGATAAATCCGAGTTTGGTGCGAGCCAGCTTGCCAAACACACGTTTGTCTTCACTTCATTGCTCGTCATTTCCCTCATGGTATGGTTCTTAGGCGAGCTTTTCTTGGATATCGGGGTGTCATATTCTCTCTCAACGATAATCTCCACCCTCCCAGGCGCGTTCTTGGTAGGCGTTCCACTGGCAAGCTTGCTCCATATGTTTTTGGTAACAAGCATCTTCGACGTGCTACCAGAATCCTTCCGACGCCGGTCTGTGTATTACTGGGGTGCCCAAGTATTTGTGTACGGGCTCCTGGTTACCAGTGTCTCAGTCGCGTCGAAGCAGTCAAGAGGATTGTGCAAGGCTTTTTGGCCGCCTGAAAAGTGCGATTATGCCGCAGATACCGATAATCTGGTCATTTTCATGGCACCCAATCTGTACATCATCTTATTGATGACTTGTATCACGACGCTGGCTGTGTTAGTTACAACTGGCACGCACCTTTACACATCCCAGTCTCGGGACACACGTCAAGAGTCTGATGAAGAAAGCTCTCCTCTTGAGGTTTCTCCAGAGACATGAGAATATAAAGTGATGCGCTCTGGATAATATGGTAGAAATCTGGTAGATATGGCACAGCTAGTCTATATTCAGCACGAAAATAAACTGTTACAAATTTTCCGTCAGAATTCTGCATGGAACATTAGTCAGCTTCGTTCAATCTCCCACTGCAATTTTAAGCAACATTTCTCATAGACCATAACAGTTTTAAACAGCAGTGTGCCCTGTACAGCACGCATCTTTCAGCTTATATTCTCATATTGACATATGAGTCACTTTCATGACTATTCTGACAGTTTGACATCAGACCTAGGGCCTTGTTGATGGAAACCCAATGTCCACATTTGAGTTGTCTCAACGTCTCTAGTTAAACGTCTGGCCTCTGTTTCTGCAAAGATCGCTATTTGTACTGGTATCCAGGCTTTCCCCTCAGCTTCCAGCCCCCAATAGCCCCCAAAGTCTCGTAAATTCCAACATGTTGGCATCTGATCGCAAGGCGCCGATGGATACATTTACGATTCGTGGTCTCCTTTTAGCTCGACCAAGACTACTTAATCACCCCCACATCTGAATCAGGCAGTCCTGATAAGACGATTATTGATTGCAGGGCATATTTCACTGCTAGGAATTTGCATAGTACTTGAGCTATATCTATAGCATATGCACAAACCCCCCGAGTCCTACTTCTTCTTACACGTGTACCTAGGTCACACAGCATAGTCATATGTACCTAGGTAGGCTGCGCCCGTCGGATTGGTGGTTCAGCTCAAATTGACCAGAGCACAATCTGCAAAATGTCTTAGATATGCGATGTACCAAGCCATCATCTCATGTGCTACACGCCCCTTAATATCCTTCACTAGCTAGGATACCTTGAGAGGGGAAGTCTTTTTGCGGGGCGTGAGACGGTCCTCACGACGAAATGGCAACGAGGGCACAATGTGACAGTGAAGAATGGTTGATTTACAACTAGGTTTGCTTAAGAAAAAGAAAGGAAAAGGAAGAATTGCCGAAAGGGCAGATCAGAGTGATTTTGGAGGCCAGATGGGCTGATAAGATAAGCCAACCAGACGGGCCCAGAAAGACGTGTGTCACCACGGCGGGCATGTAATATACATATGCGCGAGTATGTAGTGAGCGTGTGGTGCCCAATGACGTAAGGTTGGCGAGTGAGACGACGAGTGAGGGAAGGGTCCCGATTGGACGACCAGAAGAAAGAGTACACCAAAAAAGGTCAACATGGGGGTTTCTTCAAATGTAGCACCAAATGCTGCAGAGTCTACTCCGTGCATGAAGTTGGAGAACGCCACTTCCTAGAACATTCTGCACGCAGCACAACACTAAAGCTGTTTGGATGATGTCTCACGGACTGTTCGAATACACCTTCTCCTAAGTATGGTAGAAGCTAGACTTATCGAATAGCCAGAGCGCTCGCAGCCCCCGCCGTGAGGTTCAAGCCGATAGTCAGGTTCCCGAGCACCGAGCCGGTCAACCAAGTATCGACAAAGCCATTCACCTCCTCAGGCTTCTCCCACATGATCCAGTGCCCGCCGTCCACCTCCCCACGTGACAGGCTGTCAAAGTACGCCTCCATGCCCGTCGACAGGACCGGCGGCAGCGCCGTGTCCTGCAGCCCGCCGATGTACAGCCCCGGCTGCGCGTACTTGGCCGCGTACGCCCCGCCGCCGGGCACGAACACCTGCTCGTCCTCCCAGTTCAGCTCGCCCGCGCGGTACCAGTTCAGCGTGCGGTTGAACGGGTCGGCGAGGTAGCTGTCGACGTAGAAGTCCAACTCCTCCGTGCTCAGGAGAGGCGTGTCCTCGGTGACTTGGTCGAGCAGCTCGAAGGTGTACCCGTCGCCGCTGGCGTTGAAGGCCGAACCGCCGCCGGGGAGCGTCGCGCCGTAGATTGTGTTCAGGATCTGCCGCACGCGCGTGGCGTTCTGTGCGTCCACGGGGCCGATGTAATCCTGGACCGCGTCTGTGCGGAACTGCAACTGGTAGTGAAGGGTGGGCAGCGCGGTAGCCTGGTCGACGTAGGTGGCTCGCGGGGCCGCGAAGGGCGTGCTGATCACGAAGAAGGCGGCGACGAGGTCTGGCTGCCACAGGGCGGCGCGGTAGACGACGGCTCCGCCCCAGTCGTGTCCGCCAAGAATGATGCGGGACAGGCCGAGATGGCTAGCGAGAGCAGCGATGTCATCCGAGGCGCGCTTGAAAGTGCTGATCATGTTGGTCAGTCTTCGTAGGACTTTGTAGGTTTTCAACGTAGGATGATGAGAAAGATTCACTCACTAGAAGCTCAAGTCTTCAGGTGCATCAGTCCCACCGTAACCCATCATGTCAGGGGCGATGACCCTTAGACCTTTGGAGGTCAGGATGGGGATCTGATTCCGCCATCCCAGGGACAAGTCCGGCCATCCATGGATCAGGAAAATTGTTCCGACCACTTTGCCCGACGACGGCTCTGCAACGATGTAGTTGTACGTGACCCCATTGACCGTGGCGGTCTGGTACTCGAACTGAGCGTCGTTGACGGTGGCTACATCCATCTCGGCCGAATAAAAAACGAAAGTGGGTGCAGTTGGTGCTGGTGTTGAAGCGGCAGAGCCGGCCGAAATCACGACGGGGGAAACATTCCCTCTTTGTACTCGCTCAGGTGGATCTTTGGCTATGAGTGGAGTAGTAGCCGTTGTGGAGCGCCGTCAAGACTGCCATCCCATTTTTGGACGGCAAACCCGTTTTTGAGCCCTATGATGCTTGGCTATGGGGTGATATTGGGATATGGGTTTACCCAGATACGGTACCAACGACATAATCATGCCGGCGTCCTTAAGGTTTTCCGCCCCGCGCTACCATACTTGGAGTAGGAAGGGCTGAAGACATCTGACTTGTCTGCAGCGCGATATGTAATCCCAGATTTCGATTAATTCTTTCTCCTCGGCTTGGAAATGAATGGTACGGCACCAGGGTGGATATTGTGCTATAGGTAGGTGGACTGAGGACAGGTTTTCCTGATTAATAATATTGATTATCAGGAAACTGGTGCATCACAACAGGATAAGCTTAAAAAATTGGCTATTTTCGTCCACTTATTTCCCCTTGGAGATCCAGTTATATTGCATCATCGATGCCGATTGGCCAAATGTGCAGCTAGGGCGAGGCTTTGCTCAGGTACAGAACCCAATCTTGCGGGCAGTGCCAAGGTTTATGCGCACCTCGGCAACTCCAGTCTGGCCAGGATAGAAGAGCCGAGATGGTAGCGTTCGGGCGGACCGATTTGCACAAGTTCGGATTAGCTGCCTCGGTATCGGCGAAACTTTTCAGGAGTGCCAAAAGGATTGGGTCCAAATTTAGATGTCTGGATTTTCTAGAGACTGCGACTTTAACAATGGTAAAAGGCATGCGTTGAGAAAGAGGCTTAATATATGGGCTGAGAATCTCTTATGCTAGCACGGAAGCAGTTCACGGTCAAAAATGTTACAGGATCACTTCAATAGGGCTTTGGCACCAGCCACCCACATTGACTCTGTCCGGTTACGAGAAACCGTCGATAGGGGCGGAATTTGGCACCAGCTCCATGAATTTCAGTATCCATACACACAGGTGCATTGCATACACTGAACGACCAGCAATCATTCTATACCTGTCATGAGAACACCCATTTCCCAACCAAACTCCCAGACTGTAGCTGCTACAAGAGTGGCAAGCAGCGCGGATAAAATGACTGCTGCCCTCGTCAGCGTTTCGAACATGGCCATACTAGCCAAGGTGGCAGATATTCCCGCTGCCGGTGTGAATTTGCCGCATACAAAATATTGCAAAGCCGCGGCAGCGGTCCCTAAAGTGCGGCGGTATTAAAATCATGCAATGCGAGGAACATCAAAACTTCCAATAGGTTGAGAAACCTACCTGCAACAATTCCGATCGGACCGAAACGGAGAGACGTCATGATTATGCTGATTATGGTAAATGCGATCCACCAAGAGAACACGACAGCCAAGATATCTGGTCAGGGCTCAGTCTAATCCAAAAGTGCAGCACTTCAGGGAAAAACTCACGTGGCTGGGAGACCCAGCTCAAGAAATCTCCCCAGACCTCAGAAGAGTGAAGCCAGGTCAGTATAGCCCCGTCGACGGACTGCCCAGGAAGCTCCCACAAGTCGTCCAAAAAGGAAAGGTCGTCCTCCCAGGGTAAATCTTCAGCATTCGCGAACAACAAGGCAGAGGACAAAAGAACCATGGTTATGCTTTCGAAGAACATCGCTAAGTATGGATTCGGCATTGAAGAACAACGACCGATGTCCCTTGGTGAAGCTCTGGCGGGAGTGATCAGCTGGTGGCCGTGTTTGCTGGTAGCCACGAGAAGGCAAGACTGAAATCAAATTTTGAAAGTTCCCAATAGGTAAAGTCCCATACGTTGTAGAACATCTGCCAAATTCTTTGTAAATACTACTGTATCCTTTGTCATTGGAGTAATAAGGCAGAGGTAGGCAGCGAATAGCTGCCTGCAAGGGATATCATTTCGAAACCCTCATTCCAAACACGTCCACCTTTGGCGATTGTTTCTTTGTTCTGACGTATAGCAACCAATCTATCCAAAATTCTTCTAGTCTTTGGAATTGACGGGCATTCTCTACAACTGGAAGTTTTGAACTTTAGAACGCGAAATGCATTCGCTCATTCGCTCGATGAAAGCCAAGACCTACCTACCAGGGGGAGGGGGGGTATTCGTTTGGGTGCTGCAAGCAAGTCAATGGGAAAGTAACATAATAGTGACATGCTGTTAAGGTTCTAACAATATGTTTTTTTATATACCTTGCATTATTTACATGTTACTAATATATACTCATTCCTAACATGGTATTAATATTAATATAATATTAATATAATGTTAATATATAATATAAAGATAAAAAAAAACCTCTTTTTTCCTTTTATCCCTAACCTAACTACTTATTTACTCTTTATTAACTTAATTATTTATTATAAGAGGATTTATAAAATTATAGAAATATTTAAAAATAAAACTAAGTTTAAAGTTAATAAGGTTTAAATTAAAGCTTTTAATATAAAATTATAGTAACATTAGCTAACATAAAGTTAATATTAATATAAAGTTAATATTAATATAATTTAAAGCCTTAATATAATTTACTTTTAATAATATTTCAATAGTCTTTTACTAGCATTTCGCTAGAATTACGAAATTTTAATTAAATATTAAAACATGAGTGCATTGCGTGACCCCGTCAGAAACCCCCCTCCCCCCTGGTAGGTAACATAGTCGGCCAAGACTCGGATCAATGATGGAGACGGGACTGCCTCGAGAAGCGGGAGGGATTAGGTGGGTCCAAAAAGCAATGAGATGGCTTAATCAGGATGGTAGTATAATGTGAAGTTGTCTCGGGAGAAAACGGGCCACAATTACTCCAGCCCCCAAATATAGACTGAGACATTGTGGAAAGAGCGGTAGACGTGTTTATGCGGGGCAGGCGGGGCTCTGAACACATAAAGCGCGGTTGCAGGATTTGACTGAGGTTCTCTGTGTTTCTCAACCATTTTGAGAAGTTCTCTAGCTGCAAAGTCGCTTCTTCCACTCATCCTCTCATTCACGGATACCTGCAGCACACAACGGGAAATCTACTGGACGTTGTCACCCACCTAACATACCAGTACATCAACTCGACTCATCAAGATTATTCCTGACCTCGTCTACGACCAACATATTTCTTGCATGATCTAAGCACTCACTGGCCCAAGCAGTCAACATCCCAAGAGTCGAATATCGAGCTTTGTCGTATCTCTGGGGAGACCCCGCGACCTTCAAGGAGAATCTATCTTCGGAATGAGACAATTGGGTATGATTACCAATGTCAAATACATTCAAACCTATGGCTATTTCCTTGCCCACACGTGGAGGAAGAAGCAGTTCGAGTGTCTGCTGTGGACTGATCGCCTCTGTCTCAATCAAGACGACGAAGAAGAGATGGCACAGCAGATTCCGAGAATGGGTTTGATCTACAGTCAAGCCGAGAGTGTCATAATCTGGCTTGGATTATCTGCGTCGGAAGAAAAATACTTTCAAGAGCACATAGAGTGGGTTAAGAATGGGGGCCAGCCGAAAGAGTTCGACACCTGGTCTGTGAGGCCCCCACAACATCGCTTAGCGATTTGTTCGGTGCAGAGTCATGATTACTGGAACAGAATGTGGATCACTCAGGAGATAGCGATGGCGCAGAAAGTCGTCGTTGAGATGCAGCACACCTCTTCATTTGATCTCCAACAGCTGTGTCAAGCAATGAACGGCTTCAGATGCAGCACCGGTGAGATTCAGTGGCGTATCATGGACCTCGTTGGTTTACGAGGATCAACAGGCACAACGCCATTAGAGCCACAACCCTCTTGGGAGCTGGTTAAATATCACTGCCAACGCCGGTGTACTACACACCGCCACGATCATATTTATGGCCTTCTCGGCATGGTCGAAGAGAGCGACCCGATCCTGCAAATCGCAATCGGTTACAACAAGCCCGCGGCGGATGTGCTATTCGATGCACTTTTTACGGCCACAAGTCCTTCGCTTGGGAAGAACAACTTCGCGGTCGCCCAACCTTTGCTGAATCTTCTGGAGGACATTAACTCTCTGGGAGTATAGTGACAGAGACCACTCGTGGAAGTTGACAGAAAACAAGGATGTCAGGACATTTGCCAGAATTGTACTGGGAGTCTTTGATGCCTTCAACCTCATCCAAGTAATATGCGTCGGCATCCCTTTGCGGTTGTACGCCATTGAGGATATTCTTGCACAGATTTGCTGCCTCGACCCCCTTGATGTCGACGATTTCCAGTGGAAGGCTATTATAGGCATCATGATGACAGTAGACTTTGGGGGCACGTGGAAGAGAAGACTTGAACAGTGGAAGAAAGTGCGATGGCCAAAGTTCAAGACGCAGTCAGAGTCCTTGTGGCTTTGTTTGCAGCATGCCTCGCAGCTGGCGCCGGCGCAGCCACATGTGGAGACTGTAAAATAATAGCGTTGGATGCTTAGTCTATTAGGCTAGCTAACGTCTATTTAATGGGAGGGAAGGCCCCTATTTATAGTTATTATCCTCCATACAGTGGCAAACGTATGGAGAAAAGGATATCCTGTATTAATAATAGCCTAAATATCTAGAATATTTCAATAGCCCCCCTTAAATTAATTCCCTTTTATTTATTTTATTTTATATATAAAGGATTTAATTTATAAAAAAGGAATATTTAATTATATAATGAGAAAACCTTATAAAAGGAGAAAAACTTATTTATTAAGTATTATATATTTAAGCAAAAAACCTAAAAATTTGCTATTACTTAAACTTAAACTTATAGCTAATAAGGTATTATATATTAAATTATGATTTTATATAGGATTTACTAATTATTTTATAATAATTACAATATATTACGGCATTTTTATATATTAAAGTTATATATTATTTTATTTATACTATATATATTATAAAAATACATTTTTATATAGAATTAAATATATATAAATGCAGTATAGGTATATTATAATTATATATATATATATAATATATATAGGCTGTGTAAGTAATGCTTATTTCTTAGGAAAAACCTTTATTATTTTAATTATTTCTTTTAAGGGAAAACCTTTAATATTTAGGGTAATATTATATATATATATAATTAAATCCGCTTTATTTATTTACATATTTTATAAATAAAGAAAAAAATCTCAACCCTAATTATTAAAAAGTAAATACCTTAATTTATTTTATGCATATTATAATATAAGTAAAAAATCTCTTTATTCTTTAGCTTAATATTTTTATATTATTTTTTTATTAAATTATACTTTTCTTTAAACTTTTTATAATGTAATTTATTTATTAGTTTTATAAGCTAATTTATTAAATTTTGCTTAAGATTTATATATTTTAATATTACTTTATTATTTTTTATTGCTTTTCTTATATAATGATATGCAATATTTATATATTTAATTCTTTTATAAAATAAGGTATTTTTAGCTAATTTCTTAGCCTTATTATTATTTATATATATAATAAAAGGCTTAAGATTAAAGTTAATATTTAAATTATTATTAAAATATTTAAGTAAATTATATAAATATTTAGCTTTTTTTATAGCTTTTCTTAAAGCTATATATTCTGCTTTTATAAAGGAAAGTGCTGGTATTTTTTATAGCTAAGAATTTTAGCTTATGGAATTTATTTTATTATTATTATTATTATTATTATTAATAATATTATATAGGCTAAATATATAATTAAAGGTGCTTTTTTTAATGAATATATTGTTATCTTAGTTTAAATCTATATAGCTTATTAATTGTAAATTATTTTTAAAGTAATTATATACTTTAAATATATATGGGAATTTATATATATAACTTTATATTTTATTTAATTTCTTTATATGCTTTAATTTTGAGTTTTTTATATATTTAGCTAACTTATTTATAAAATAGGTTAAATTTAGCTTTGTTTTTAAGCTAGCATATAATATAAACTTTATTTATTGCTAATATAATTTTATAGTATTTTTATTAGCTTAGTTAATATATTCTTTTAATTTTCTATTAAGGGTATATAGTATAAGTTAAGGGATTATTTCCTTTTTCTTAACCTTTTCTTTTATATTAAATCTTTTTAATATTTTATTTATATATTTATTTTAATTTATAATTATTTATTTATCTTCTTTATTTATACATATATTGCTTTTAAGGAAATCTATTAAATCTCCTTAAAAATCTAATTTTATATTCTTATATAGTTTATTAATTATTAAATTTATATTATTATTATTAAATCCTATAATAATAATATTATTTATATAATATATAAATATAATTTATTTATTAAGGTATATAAATATTTCTTTATTATATGGGTAAATAATAAATTCTAGCTTAATTAATATATTTTTTAAGTATTTATATTAAAGCATAGGTAATTATTTTAACTTATATAAAGCTTTATTTAGTTTTGTAACTTTACTTTTATATTTTAGTTTATTATATATATATATAGGTAATTTTATATATATTTTAAAATTAATATTAAAGTATAGAAATATATTTTTAATATTATAATTATATATATAATATCCTTTATTTATTGCTATTATTAATAATATAATATAGGTTTTAGGGTGGTAAATTATAAAAAAAGTCTTTAAATAATTTATGCCTAATTTTTAGTTATATCCTTAAATAACTTATTTAAATTTAAATTTAATATTATTTTTATTATTTACTATTTAATTAAACTTTATAATAGCTAGGTTATTTATAAATTTCTTTTTATATATTTATTTCCCCCTTAAAGCTATATAGCTAGGTAGTAAATCCATTATTATATAAGTATTTTATTTTTATAAATTATGTATTTTATTTAATATAAATTTAACTTATAGGGGTTTTTCTAAGTTATTTAATATTTTTTTTAAAGAAGAAAGTTTATTAATATTAACTGTAATTAAGCAGTATTTTAATATATTTTCTTGGGAATTTAATATAAATATTTAGTTATTTAATAATATATTTTATATAATATATATATAGTTTTTTAAATTCCTTTAAACTATTATCTTATTTAAAATAAGAGGAGAATTTACTTCTTTATTTTCTTTTCTTTATTCTTGCAATTTTGGAAATATATATATATTATTATTATTATTTTTATTAATATTATTAATATTAATATTATTATTATTATTTATATATTACTCTTTTAATATTTAAATATTTTAAATTAATATAAGCTTTTTATTATTTATATTTTATACTTAATATATATTTAATTTTAAAATTATATTTAATAATATGCCCTTTTTATTTCTAAGTTTTAATTTAGTTTTATAATTATTATTCTAGAAATATATAATAAATCCCTATAATTTTAAGTTATTTATATAGGGCTTCTTTTTATTTATTACCTTATAAGGGTACTTATACCCTAGGCTTTTATAAGGTATAATATTATATAAATATACAGCATATTTTATTACTTTTCTTTATAAATATATAAGCAGATTTGCTATATATAAAAGGCTTTTAACTTTATTTATTATAATTAAATTTAATTTTTTTATTAAGCCATTTAGTTTTTTTATATATAAGGGCGTTATATAGTAAGTTATAAAGTATTTATTTAATAAGATTTTAAATCTTTTATTTATATATTCTCCTTTATTATTAATAAAGAACTTTTTTATTTTTTTATTATATTTATTTTTTACCTTATTTTTATAATTATTAAAAGCTTTTAATGCTTTATCTTTATTTTTAAGCAAAGAAACTTTTAAATATTAAGTTTTTTTATTAAGGAATAATATATAATATTTATATTTATTATATATAGGTTTTAAGGGATTGCTTATATTATTATATACTTTTTTAAGTATATTATATACTTAGTTATTTAGGCTAATTTTATTTATTTTAATTATATGCTTAGCTTTTAAGCATACTTTATAATTATTTATATATTTTTAAATAAGTTTATTTATTAATATATTTATTTTATATTTTTAAAGAAATACTTTTAAAGCTTAAATATTTATATAGTTTAGTTTATAATGCTATTTATATATCTTTTCTTTATTTTTATTATTTATATTTAAATTTTATTATATTATATATATTTTTTAAGAGGTATATTTAGGCTTGTTTATTTATTTTATTATATTAATTTTTATAAAGTATAAGCTATTTTTTTAATATCTTTAAGTTATTAGCTTATTTATTTTTTAAGAGTATAATTTAATAGTATTTCCTTTTAATTTTAGTTTAATTTTATTATTTATATACTTATAATTAAGTATATTTAAACTTAAAAAAGGCATATAATATATATTAAAGAATTTCTTTATAGTATTTATTTTTAAAAACTTAATTATTAAGTTCCTTATTTTATTTATAAATATAATACCTTTATTACCCTATTTTATAATTTTATTAATTATATATATAATATTAAAGAAATAAATATTTTGAAAACTTATTATATTTATAATAGTATTTATAGCTATTTTTATAGAATTTATATATTGTTAATTTCCTATAAATTTATTATTAGCTGCTATAATTATTATATATATATATAGGGTATATAAGGGGTTATTTACCTTAATTTTCATTAAGTTATTAAAAGAAAGTTATAAGAGATTTAATAAACTTTTATTATATTTAGTATTTTTTATTAAATTATTTATAGCTATATAGGCTATAGGTTTTTCCTAAGCGCTTTTTAAAGTTATAAAAGATTTTATGCTAGCTAATAAAGCTAAGAGTTACCCTTATATTTTCTTTTATTTTTCTTGGCTTATATTCTTTCTTAAAAAAGTAGTTTTTTCCTTTTCTTTTTTTTATTTATTTATTTTTTAGCTAGTAGGTGCCTTATTTAAATAAAGGAAATAGCAATTCTCTTAAATATAGCCCTTTATTTTATAATTAAAATATATAATAATCTTTTTTTTATCTTTTTTGCTCTTTTTATATAAAGCTTTTATAAATAATTTAAAGAATTTATTTTTGCTTTTATTTAATAGGCTAAAGAAGAGAGATTTAATTATATAAGTATTTAAATCTTTTTTAAGATTTTAAGTTATATTTTAAATAAAGTTAATATATTTATTATTTAAGCTATGGAAAATTTAATTAATTATAATTTATTTAAAAAGAATTATATTATTAGCCTTTAAATTTTTTAAAAAAAGCTTTAGCTTATTAATATATTCTTTTATAATCTTAAAATTATTAAAATTAATATTAAAGAATTCTTTATAAAGTAAATATTAGCTTATAAATTTAAAGGGTTTATAATAGGATTTAAGTATATTTTATGCTTTTTAAGCATTATTTATATTTTTTATAAATATAATAAGCCTTTATTTATATATAAGTTTAATATTAATAAGGGCTTTTTTATTTTAAGCTAAAAATAAGCCTTAAAAAGATTTTTCAAATTATTTTTAATAATATTTACTTTCTTAAGCTAAACTTAAATTTTAATGTTTTAATATATATAATTCTTTATTTTATTAAGGAGTAAAATACTATACTTATTAAAGGATGTTATTTTAAGGTAAATAAATAAAGTATTTATTAAAATAATTAAGATAATAAAGAAAGATATAATAAATTTTAAATAAGTTTAATAAGTTAAGAAATAAAGATATAAGTATTAAAGTAATTTAATTATAAAAAAAAGAAGAAAAGCTTTTAAATAATATATTTTTAACGTATTATAAATTAAAGATAGCTAAGATATAGTTAAGTATTTTTAAGAGAATTTAAGGATTATTATAAATTTATTAAAATTTGCGTTTTTAATATTAATTTAATATAATTTTTAAAATTTAAAAAAATGCTTTTATTATTCTTAATAAGGGCTTTTAATTAATATATAAATTATATAAATAGGTTAAGTATTAATAGAAAAATGGTTAAGTATTTAAGTAAAGGAGGTGTGGTTTTTATATATAGGCTTTTAATTAGGAAATAAGATTAATTTATAATGTTAAATAGGGCGATTTAATTAATTAAGGGCTTATTAATTAGCTTAATTAAGTAATTAATTAAAAGGTATATCTTTAAGTATAAAGCTTATCTTATTTAAAAGGTTTAAAAAGTAATAGTAATTAGGGGTATTACATAATATGCGTTTTCTATATTAAGTTAGCGTTGCCGTTTTAAATTAGCTTTAAAGCTTATAACCTATAAAATAATAGCGTTAAATGCTTAGTTTATTAAGTTAATTAATATTTATTTAATGAAAGAGAAGGCCCCTATTTATAGTTATTATCCTTCATATAGTGGCAAATATATGGGGAAAAGGATATTCCGTATTAATAATAGCCTAGATATCTAGAATATTCCAATAGAGACGAGCATAAATCTAGAACGCCGTGAATTCTGGCCAAACAACGTCGTCAAGGTTTGTAGGCATTACCGCCAAGATGGATCCGTTTGCGACGGATTCAAGTTGAACCTCGAGGTCCCAGACAGTGGAACTCGCTTAGAATTGGATTACGTTGCCCCCATGGAGAAGAAAGACAGCATTAATTCAAGACGGCAGCAGGTTGATCTTTTTATATGATTTCAAAAAGGGGCCTCGAGAAGCACCTAGAGGATACCGGGGCGCCGCGAAATTCTGAGACGATGTGTAGCATTCTTCAATATATATCCGGTGTGACGACGCCGTATGGTCCTTATACATCACTGAGTTCAATCAGGGAATTTGGAAATTATGGTATTTTGGCCGGCGTCCTTTATTTTCTGGTGATTACCAAGCTTCGTGTCATCTAGGTTACTCAAATGTATAATATAAAATGCTTAAAAGATGTCCATAATTTAAAGAAGCTCCTAAGGTACGAGTCAGCGTACGCCCACCCAGCTTTCAGCGTTAACCCACCCAGTATAAGGAAATTGGCTGTATGCGCTATAAAATATTGATACTACGGGGTTATTAATAAAGCATAGCTATAGCTATCCCAAAAAGGTCCCATAGCTATCCCTTTATTTGCAACTTAAAAGTTACTTTTGCCCTCTGCGCCCCCTGCCCCCTCTGCGCCCTCTGCGGCCCTCTGCGCCCTCTACGGCCCTCTGCGCCCTCGCGGCCCTTTGCGCCCTCGCGGCCCTCTGCACCCTTTAGGCGCTTTGGGGGCTCTGGGCGCTCTAGGCGCTTTGGGGGCTGCTTGTATTTTTAAAGTATTGCTTAAATTAAAAAACAGCTACCCTAGCTTTTTATATGCGGGGTAAATTTAGAAAAGTACTTAGTTTTATTAATATAATACTAAGAAAAGGAATTACTGGGTGGGCCAACGCTGGAAGCTGGGTGGGCGTACTGTGGAAGCTGGGTGGGCGTACGCTGACTCCTAAGGTACCCATATTATATGTGACAACTATTGAAGAATTGGATTCTTAATTTTTCTACATAGTATTAAAGTAGTTGTGACGGCACGGCACTTATATGCTGCTGGGTTATTTGCAATTTTAATTGGAAATTACTGGTCTTTTGGCTGAGCGATATCTATTTGCCCAGATTCGTCTCAATAGTAGAGAGTAGGTTGGCTATGGAATATTTTACGGCGCCTGACATATGTGTCAAGTCCTAGGATTTTGAGGTGGGCAGACTTTGCCCCTCCTGTGTTCCATCCACCACCTTTTGTTTTCCATCTTGTGCACCTCCGGCCTCTTGGGCGGTCTTGTCATTGATATCCTGCTCATCCTTGGTGACCTTCGATTTTCCACCTTCTGCCCTGCCAGACTCCGCAGCCTTGTCATCCTCCTCACTATTGTTGTCCCAGCCGCCCTCCAGCTCCTCCAGAATTCTCATGGCTTCTTCGGGTCCGACCCCCATAACTTCCGCGAGGTCGCCCAGGTCTAAGAGTGCTATAATCATGATCAGTGGGGAATTCAGGGCTAACTGGTGCGTACTCGACGGTTTCAGTTGCTAAAGTCCTCACCTCTTTGCCCCACTGGAGACATAGCCTTAATTCTCAACTTGCTCTCGGCCAACAACGCCATAAACCACTTGCATGAGTGGTTGAAATTTGGATGCAAAGGCTGATCACCTGGTTCCGCTTGAGGCGTATGTTGCTCAATTGGTTGCACCGCGGTCGCTTCATCGTCCATGATCTCTATAGTTATATAATTCAAAACGTTATAACAATTTTATTTAAAAATAGTATATTAATCCACCCATTAGCCTAAAATCAGACGAGCCCATTCGTCTATTCGTCTTCCTCAGGCTGCAGGCTGCAGGTAAATTCGACCAGATTCAGTCTCGATTTTGAATCTTCATGGTGAGAGGGTGGATGTCAATTGATGGGTATGAATCGTGAGTACAACCTCTTATAGAAATTGGGCCACTAATTGTTTGCGGCGCATGCTGAGCCCGGGTATAGTCTTTTGTCTCTTCAAGTGAAATGGTATCAACATTTAGATCTGTGAGATCTTCCTATACACAACACCCCTTTTCCGCTTGAGAACTACCGTCAACACCGACGCAAACAGTAGCGCCGCGACCATGATGGCAAAGATTGATAAGAACGGCCTCTGTGACAGGCCTGACGGCAAACCATCAAAGCCGGGCCGATATAACTCAGCAAGCCTCTGCCTTGGGCCGCAAGTCCCAGTGAACATCTTCTCGCGATCGATGGGGCACTCATGGTTGACCTCAAGCGAGTCGCCCGGCTCGGGGAACTCGACGCAGCTGCCCTGGTTGGCAGTCCAGCACCCATTGCCGTTGTTGGCCTCGAACATGAGCGGGGCCTGGTTCCACTTGGCCATCAGCTCGCTGTCGTCCCGGCTGATGTCAACGCTGAGCAGCATGTCGGGGCCCCGGCCGCCGAGGACCATGATGGGCGCGCAGTTCATGAACATCTCGGGGACGGACCAGCGGCCGTACCACGTCCAGGCCATGACGGCCCTGCCGAGGGGCAGCCAGTCCGGGATGGTGAAGTTGTAGATGTCGGGCAGGAGGGTGGTCGCGCTGTCGCCGTAGTTGGTCTCGGTCAGGTTGCGGATGGGGCAGCCGCCCTGGATGGAGTGGATGACGCGCCAGGTGGATCTGACTGTCGGCTTGAGGTCGTAGGTCACGGAGATCTGGCAGGATCCGCCCCCATGAGACGCACCTCCCATGGCACTTCAAAGTTGACAAGACACACATGTTAGTCGATTATTCTTCCAGACATGGGGTTTGCGGTCCTTCTGAGCAATAAGAAACCAAGGAGGTTGCCGGGTAAGTGGTGCCAGGTGGGGAAGTCTGGCGGAAGGCCACAATACAGCGGGCAGTGACGAAAAGAAAAAAGAAGGAGAACTCACTGTATGTGCTGCGTTGAACCGCGATCCCATATGTTCATGATGCCGTTTGGGTCAAACTCCTTCTCTCCGCTGCATGGCCAATTTGAGCCATCTTTGTTCATTGGGCCATTGTCTTTGAGCTGGCTGGGAAAAGGAATCGGGTTTTGCAGAAGAGTATGTCCACTAGCCTGTATGGCCAGAGAGGCCACCACGCTTGTCCACGAGATAATAGCCATGTTCGTTAGATGTGGGCTGGTGTGCTGGATTCTTCCACCGAGGCTACACTTCCAAATTCCAGGGCTCTTTTGCGTATATATGAAGTGGCCAAAGGAAAGAATTGTGTCATCCGGTTGCCTCCGCCTCGTACGAGAACCACCGACTCAGGCACTTGAAGCGGTGAAGTGACAAGGCGCACGACACTGCATGAGAGAGGGGCAAGAAACTTTTCGCTAAGGTATGAATTCCTAATTTCGGCAGTGGTATCTTGCCACCATAAGCCTGATCAATGTGAAAACCAGAAGTGTGCAAACGACTTTAAGATGGCAGGCAGGGCTGCTTGATATGAGCTTCGAAACGGGATCGGAACCTTGACAAAGAGACTCGGAATTGAGGCCATCACCATCAGCAACAATTACAACTATGGCTTACTTGTCTTTAAGAGGACTGTCCACTCGCGCCAAATTTAGCGAGGTGCAATGCTGATCTATCGCATACAGTTTTAAGTAACTGAAACTCGAGCAGGCTCTGCTGTCTGAGGTGATTGTGCGCCAAGTCGGCATGCTTTTGCGCCCTGCCGGGCAGCTGAAAAAAATTGTGCACGGTGTCTCTGACCAGAGGCAAGGTTGGTTGCCTCTGCCCAGCACATGGATACAAACAAAGTTTATAAGGTTCGGCACGTCTGTCACGGGCTAGCCAACCAAAAATGCGCCGGTGGGTTTCAGCTCTTGGCTCTAGGCGGTCGGAGTGAAACGCGAGGGACCAGAGCATTCACCTCGGTCTAGATCTTCCACAATCAAGCTCGGGAGATCAACCCAATCTAGCATAGCAGTTCGTCCCCGTGATCTGGACCCTCCAATCCAAAAGTTTGTTTCTCAATGTGTAGAAGCTCCGAGGCAGTTCTCTCACGATGGTGGGCCCTATCGCCACCACTCTCGTGCTCGACTCGCGAAGCCCTAACTTAGTCGGAAGGTGGATTTCCGGCAATACTGTGGCAGTTCTCGTGGATTGCGCAAATGGACACTAGTGCCAGTTGACCCTCATCTGGATATCTAGAAATGTGTTTTTGAGCGAGCAACCACCGTCTCGATACTCCCAATCGCCCACCGTTGGAAGTGTCGAGAAACGAACATGCTCCGGCTCAGAACACCGGGCACCGGGCCCTCAGTGCTGAGAATTGCCGCGACTTCGGGCATTTTGGCCGGGGCTTTTGCCGTGTTTCAACTCGGTTATCTGATCCTCACCGTCGATGCCCTTGTCAAACTCTTTTTGACGTTCTTGTACACTCATCTGAACTCCGAGCAAAAGCGAAAGCACACAAAAGACCACGAGTTTTTTTTCAGCCAGAAGGATCTGCCGCAGGTAGAACCACAACAGCCATGTGAACTCGAAAAAGTCGAAGTCCCTTCAGTCAGCGTCAGCGACCTGGGTGTCGACGACAGAGAACCTGAGGTGGTTGGCTGCGTTGTTGGGTGGCGTGAGGATGAAGAGCTCTACGCCCGGTGTCTTGAGAGCCTCTTCAGCACGCCAAGCTGTACCACCATCGTCGCAGGTATTGATGGCGACGAGATAGAAGATGAGCGGATGGTGGACGTTTTCCAAAAGGTAAGCTGCAATCAGCACTGACATCCTTCGACACCGTGTGGCCACACCGTTCTCAGCTCCTGGACAACCTGTTCTTGGCTTGCTGACGGCTTCCTAAACTCTTAGGCCTACCCCGATGGTGTCGTGTTTCGACTGGCTCAGCCTCTCTCAGAGACCTTGGAACATCTAGCAACTCTGGCAGATGTAGACTTGCTCAATGATGAGGCTGGCCAGGAAGCTATCACGGAGCGTCTGCAAAGCTACGTCCGAGAGCTCCTCGCAGAGGACCTGCTTCCAAGCCACCTTCGCGATGTCAAAGCCATATGCGTCGTTCAGCCGCACCGATCCAAGAAGGATATCCTATTCACGACCTTAATTGTCGCCACGATTCTAGCTCAAGCGCAGTCCATCGACTTCGTTTTCAGCACCGACTCCGACTCAACCGTCTCTCCGGAGGCCATACCCAAGATGGCACGAAAGCTTAGCAGCGATCAGAATATCGGTGGTGTTTCAGGGCATATGCGATTCTTCCACCCCAACCCGACATTTATCACGAAGGTCGCGACGTCGTACTACTGGTTCCAACAGGATGTCTACAAGATCCAGGGGGCAATTTTCGGAGCTAACGAGTGCCAACCTGGGCCGTGTGGTGCCTTCCGAGCTTCTGCACTGACCAAGGTGCTGGTCCCTTGGTCCTGCCAGCGAGTGCTAGGCCGAAAAATGGTATGCTGGCTCCGCGATGCCCTAGTCACAATCCGGACTAGTATCCTATTGCTAGATGGCTAACGCTTCGCCTTATTGGTTCTACAGATCACCAACGAGGACAGACACCTAACAACGCGGCTCCTCTGGGCCGGCTACGACGTGCACCACGTCCCCGACGCCGTCGTCTACACCGACACGCCCGACACCTTCTCCACCTGGGTCAGGCAGCAGGTTCGTTGGTCCAGGGGCACCATGATCGAGACGATCTGGTACCCGCGCATGGTCTCGCGCCTGTCGCCCTGGCACCTCTTCACCATCCTCAAGTCGCGGCTGATGCCGATCGTCATCTTCTGTATGGTCGTCAGCTCGGCCGTCACGGGCCGGCGGCTGCTCGGCGGCATACTGGACCGCGTCGTCGCCGACATGGTCACGACCGTCGACCTGTTCTGCTGCCTCTCGCTCCAGGTGGCGTACCTTGTGTTCCTGGGACCCAATGATACCATCCTGCAGGATCTGATCTACCTCGTTCCTGCGCTGGCCTGGTTCCTGGTCTTGTCCCCTAGTATTGTTGTCTGGTCGCTGATTACTGTATTGGACGGGTCCTGGGGAACCCAGCCCCGTGCCGTGGCAAGAAAAGCATCTGATGGGTGCACCAGATCTAATATCAGACACGCGTCGAATGAGGTTGTATTTGTTCTGTGCTGGCTGGGCGTGTTCGCTATAGCTGGTATTCGGGATTATTATCACACGGGCACCATGATGTAAGTAGAATGAGTACTGGATGATTTCACGGTAAATATGACAAAGAGAAATAGACTGTATGATATAGATATAGAGACTATGTTAGAATTGTTTTAAACAAAAATCAATTTTCACGGCAACAGCTTGGAGGCAGATCCGGTGGCTTTCTGCAGCGACATCCACACATTTCAAGCATACAATTCAAGGCAAGAGAGTCAAAAGAACGTGTAGTGGTTGATTAATACGGTAAAGACTGTGGATCTAAAGCAATGAATCTCTATGACTTTCGATCAGGCCGCCTTCGACCCACTGAGCATCAAACCCACCACACACTGGGACACGACGAAACTATCTCATCACCTTATACAGGTCTAAGCTGGCGTTCTTACTGTAGGCCAGTCAACCTCTGCCGGGGCTTGTGCAGCACTCAGTCGCACAACCGGCATCGTCTTTCGAATTCGCAGCAACCTCCAACCGGCAGAAGCAAGATCTGTCAACAACGACATCAGCCCCCGCCTTCGCAATGCGCAGCTGCTTCTCCACGAGAGCAGCCTCAGCACGGCGCCCTAAACGCACCAAACGCTCATGGTACCCATGAAGCGCCCAGACGTTGTTAGGGTGCTGGCGGACACGCACAAGCTCGTCGTCCAGCCCGAGGTCCTCCGCGTAAGCCTGCATCGCATCCTCCACGCGGCCCTGTTCCAGAAGGAGAGCGGCGTATGCGTGTCTGGTAGGAAGCATCCAGGCCCAGGGCTCGGCGTACACGAGTGCATCGTCCCGCTCGATCGCAACCCTTAGATGGTCGAATGCGAGGTCGTAGTTGCCACGGCGGTATTCTAGCTCGCCGTCCAGCATGGCTGCTGCCACAACCAGGACGTCCTTGACCTTATTTAGGAAGATCATGCGGGACTCGGGTACCAGTTTCGATGCCTCCAAGAACAGAATTCGTTCCTTTGCTGCCGAGTCCACATCGCCAGTGGCTGCGAACGCTACAGCCCGGCCGTAGTAGAGCATTGCAGTGGTGCCGCTGTAGATTTCTTTGTTTTCTAGGATGGGTAGTTGCTTGAGTGTCTCCCACATCCCAAAACGAATATATGCATGAACACCAACGAAATTGAAAAACTCTAGCCAGTCTGCCATTAGGGGTGATTAGATCAAGAGAAGTTTATCCGTAATAGTCGCCTCCATGCGCTTGACCAATTCTACAGCAACACAGCGTTGTCCGGCCAGCATGGCGGCATAAATCAGAGAGTGGTAATTATGCAGGCGGTATAGGCTGTAGAAATTGCAGGGTCCTTCTTTCTCATAATATTTGTCGTCTGCCGCGGTAGATAGGAGATTGGTATTGACAGCCCGCCGATAGTCACCAACGAGAACATCAATATGACTAGGCATGTGATGTGCGTTGAACAGCGTCCGGAGCAAGGCTGCGCAGATTATCAGCTGCAAGAAGAGCAGCCTCTGGCGTGGATGACATCTCCATGAGGTGAATCTAAAGGTGAAGAATGCCAACATATCCACGGGCAGCGGGAATCTTAAGACCATCTTCTAGGATGCGGCGAATCTCTAGAACCGGGTCTCGAGTCGCGGTTGTCCGGTTTGGCTTTCGTATAGAGCTCGGGGGTTCGTGTTCATCAGTGCGTCGGCCGTGAGAGTGACGATATCCAGATTTCCTTGTCCGCACTCGGCGTAGACCTTCTTCATCACCGTAGCATACGAAGAAAATAATATCTTTGAAGTCGCTTGGGGGTCGCTCAGCCGGATATCGGCATGCTATCGCATCGAGTAACATTTGCTCCGCACGAGGCACGTCCGTCGCGTGCCTCTTTGCCTGCCGCACCATGAGGTGGCCCAGCTTGAAGGTCGATGCGAGATCTTCGGGGTCGAACGCCTCCCACTTCTTGTTGTAGTTGGGCCCTGCGGCGTATGCTACTCCCCAGTAGCCCATGACGCAGCTTGGGTCGTGTGCGATGACCTGCTGGAAGCATCGTATGGCCTCCTCATGGTTGAAAGCGTGAGCCCAAAGAAGGCCTCCGTCAAACCAGGTCTGGGCATCGGCGGACTGGGTGTGAATGGGGGAATGGAATGCGCCTAGGTCGTAGTAGGCGTCGCTGGCTGGCACGGGCTCAGCTGTAGACTTTGTAATCGACTGCATGGTTGAAGAGGTCTGGTGATTTGAGGACTTCTCAGAATAAAAGTTGATGCATTCAAATTCGCTAATCAAGGTCAGTACGGACGCTATGAAGGCGTCAATATTAAATGAACGAGACATACAAGGGTTGTCGCTGTATACATGGATTGGAAGCCCGCTGCCGCAGTGGGCTCGGCCGACCGATGCACCCGTAGGCCCAGGCCCACACAATCAGTCGGGTTGACACATCGTAATGTCGGCGCGGACGATATGACGCGCCGGCTTGTGTAAAAGAGGAGGGCGGAACACGTAAGTGAGTCGAGATTTCTAATGTCGCCACTTTAGGTCTCGGGAGGTAGGAATAGGGCCGAGCGCACAGCACCGTCGTAGTGGAGCGGTAAATGCGGCGTTTAACCGAGATGCTATTGCCAGAACATCACTGGGAAATCTTGTGTCTCCATCTGGAAGGTGTCGACCAGTGATGGCCAGGCCGGTACCTCACCAAGATCTGGAATCCATCCATCTTCGACCCCGACAGAAGTTCTTTGACAATTTGTCCAGGAGTCAATACCGTTGGCTCTCTGTTCAACTGGCCAAGCGGATGCGTTATCCTCCTGGGTCGGCGTCTCGCCCATCGTGTTCCCGTTCCCCCGCGAACTACTACGTATCATTGCAGCTTTTCCTCTCAGAGCAATCAGAACGGCTCCTTTAGACCCAGGTCCCTCTGCAGCCTGAGGATCCATTCTAAAGAAGAGATCAACAACGCCCCATGCTCTATCCACGTTGGGCCCCTCTGGCCGTACGCACAAGTGCCATAAAAGGTACATCACGACATGATATTCTAGGTCAGCTCTCCAAAGCTACCAGTACGGCTTGAGCATCTCATGCTAGCGGGAGACAAAGTCAGCCTTGCGCAGGGCGAGATGCGACATGCGAAGCGCAAGTCGATGTCGTGGGATTACAAGATTGCACTGCTTGAGAGACATCTCAATGCGTGCCCTGGTCTCGTCGATGATCTGCTTCCGAACCGACTCTTTGGGTGGAGACGCGGACGTTGCCCCAGCGAGTATGCCCGCCAGGCGGTGCACAGCGCGAGCGATTTCGTACGTGACCAGAGGGAAGGCCATGGCAGTCACGCCGGTTCTAGCCGGAGGAAGAGACTCCATGTCCGGACGGAGATCTGCGTCATCAACGTTCAGGGGCAGGTCGACGTCAGACCTGAGGTTGCAGACCTTCTGGAGCCCGTAGTCCTCGGCCGCGCGGCTGTCCCGGCCGAAGAAGTGCCACCAGACGCGCCGCCAGAGTTCGGACTGAAGGGGGAGAGGCCTAGCCGCTCACCGTCGCGGTGGAGGCCCATGGCCTGGGCCATTCGGATAGCGAGGCCGTGAAGGACCCAGACGCCCTTGCCGCGGTTGTAGAGTCGGAGGGAGGACTGTGACATGGTCCGCGGTCAGCAGGCGCCACACTGCGGTGGGGCCCCAGGGGGGGGGGGTGGAAGAGACCACGTGGACTGACCAGATATATTGCCATGGAACAGAGAAGTGTTCGTGTTGGGTTGTCTAGAACATTTGTTTCCGCCAACGCCTGCTCGTATCCAGCCAACTGGGGCCAGGTTCGTGGTTGTATCTCCGATGAGTAATGACTGAGTTTCTGATGGTTGCAAAGATGACATTGCCGCATAAATACTGCGAAGCATAAGGCCAAGCTCTCGGCATCGACCTCTGATGGCTGTTCAATAGCGGCGTAAATTCGGACTTCGTCAGTGGGTAGGTGCAGTACTTTCATTCCAGTGCATGATTCAACTCTCTCACAATGAACATTCCACAGTTTGAGAGCTGTCTCCCTCGCGGGAAATATGGCAAAGGAACGGTTTGACGACGGAGCAGACAGTATTCCCATGGGATTGGCTATGGATATGTCTTTCAGATCTTCCCGCCTGCTCTCCGGTGTTGTCAAGACGGATTGGATGTCCCGTTGCTGTCAATGGTATTGGTATCAACCTTTATTCGCTGACTCGCTGAGAAATAGGCACAACTGGGCTACTGACCTCTCTTATCACCTTGGATAATAAAATCTCGTTGAAGTACTGGCTCTGTGAATCTCTCTGCATCAACACCTCATCCACAAAGACTTGGTCCGCTTCCGCAGGCGAGGTCGTAGACCCCCTAGCCAAGTGCGATGACGATGCCTTTGTGGATGGTGGTGTAGAAGGAGACACTCGGCGCAGGGGGTTGCGATCCGAGTCGTCGGCTCTCGCGGGAAAGAACTTTTCCAGTTGGGACAGGCGATCAGCCACCCATGTCATGTTCTTCTTTCTCGGCCGACGGATCTGGCCTGCCGGAGGATACACGCCTGCCTTGCCAGCGCGGCTGCAGTTGGAGCAAGGCTGTCGCTTATCGCAGCCCACCTTGCGCCGATGGCAATTGTAACACGAACGGGTTCCCACTCGGCTTGCAGCAGCCTGGTCGTCGAACCTGCTCCGCGGGATGATGATAGTCGAATCGAGGGAGGTCTGGGGATCCGGATTATTCAAATCGGCGGGCGCTTCGGCCCCGGCTTCGGCTCCAGCCCCGGCTCCGGGAGTACTCGTGGCGGCGGACATCTCGAGACCGGTATGGGCCGATTCAATACTGCAAGTAGGCCCTGAATTATTCGTAAAATTCTTCACGACGTATTTGGTCCGTCAAAAGGGCGTTATTTGGGAAAACCTCGAAGGAGACTCAAGGGCGGAAGAGCGGCACAAAAGCCGCGGACCATTCGGTGCTCCGCTGCCGAGCTCTTCGGTGCAGTGCTCGGACAAGCATGTGTAGTGGATGATTACATAACGCGTCATACCACCAGAGTCCTAGAGGTTAGAGTCTGTCCGGTCGGTACACAGGGCGCGTCTCATAACATCACCTCTATCATTATTGCGTGCCCTTCCGTCCGGTAAAGGCTACAGCATTGCTTTCAGAAATCGGCATAATGCTCTTACGACCGCCCTTGTCAATTCCTTCTATCATACGCCAGCGGCAGACTTCACACGCCAGATCTCGAGGCTCTGCATTTCTACCCCAATACATCAGCTTTTCAAGTCCACGATTTCAATCCCATCAAGCGAAGCGACCTCCGTCATGCTGCAGCAAACCACCAAAAGCCCTTCCGCCCTCTGCTTCGTCTCGAGAGTTTTGGCTTTCCCGGCCGATCTGGCGTCGAGCTGGGATCAACACGTTTCGATGCCTTGTCGGATGCACGTTGGGCGACTTCTCAGCAATGTGGTACCTTCAAGCTTTTCACCCTGACATACAGATGCAGACTGTTATGGCCATCTCGAGTAATTACATCAAGCCCTCATATGATGCTTTCAATGCTTTCTCTGACTTTCTGACTAACGCTGATGTCTTTGTAGTGGCCTCCGGACTTTCGACATCCCTCTTGCTCGAGACGGTTCTTCTTAAATTCGGTCGCGACCGCCTTCCCTGGCTTACAGCAGCGAAGACTGCCTTTGGAATGAGCATGATATCGATGATCACGATGGAACTCGTTGAGAATCTCGTCGACTATCACCTAACAGGGGGCATTGTCCAGCTGAATGACCCCATGTTCTGGGTAGCCGCCGTTGTGTCAATGACGGCCGGGTTCTTGGCCCCGTTGCCTTATAACTACCACCGACTCATGAAGTTTGGAAAGGCTTGTCACTGAGTTACATGTATCCCTAATAGATCTCAGGAATTCAAAATGAGTTGCACTTCACACTATTTCGGTCTACTAGAACATCCTCTGCTTCGTAGACTTTAATGTGATCGATGATTTTGCACTTCATCGTATCTGGTGAAAAGATGACTCAGACTGTGCCCAATGCCGCAAGTTCTCATTCCCAGCGCATATCTGACTTACTGGTCTCCCTGAAAATTGGCACACTTTGTTGCAATGTGTTTGAATTTGTGTTTTCGAACCCATCCCTTCTCCCTCTTGGTTTCTAATATCCTCGGTTGCGTAAATGTCAGCACGGCCTGGTTGGGCGTTAAAGGCAATGTTACCATAGCACATGAGGATGGATTGCGGCTTTGGCACAACTCATTGCATTCTGCTACGAAAGCTGAAGAAATACTAGCGCGAAACCTGAAGAGAGAGTAGGTACATATGAAAATTGCAGAGCCAACCCCTTCTATGGATGTACATTAGAATCAATCGTCCGACAAAGTGAAGAATGTGTAATCAGCAAGCATCTCCGTCCGACACAACGATCAAGATCAATACAACTAGTTTAATCGCTCAAACCCAAATCCTTCATCGACTTGTTTCGGTACCCGACCACCGGCAGTCGCGCTCTAAGCAGGAGACTGCTCGTGATGACACTCAGGCTACTGAGCGCCATGGCCAGTGCTGCCCAGACGGGATCTAACCTGTTGTAGTTTCCATTCGTCCTAACCGGGTACAAGACACCGGCTGCAATAGGCAGAGCAACCATGTTATACACCAAAGCCCAGGCGAAGTTGAACTTGACCCGCCTGAAGACGGCCCGACTCAGGCTCGCCAGAGTCAGGAGCGTCGTCAGGTTGGAATTAATGAGGACGAACTCGGCCGCGGAGATTGCCACGTCTGATCCAGAACCAATGGCGATGCCCACATCCGCGACAGCCAGGGCCGGCGAATCATTAATGTCATCGCCAACCATGGCGACGTTCGGTCTGCGGTACGTAGATTTGCCAATGCCGAGGAAAGAATCAACTTTGATTTGGCTCTTCTGGAGGTACTGAACCCTGTCCGCCTTCTGTTCGGGCAGGACCCCAGCAATGATGCTGTCTTCCGGAATACCGACCATGGCACCGACAGCCTTGGCTGTTTTGGCGTTGTCACCGGAAATCATCCAGACGTCAATGCCCTGCTTCCGCAAGGCGTCCACAACAAGCCTGACTTCAGGACGGAGGGCGACTGAGACAGCGAAGATTGCAAGTGGGATCCATCCGTTATCCGCGTCTTGGTTGACATATTTGCCGGCTGCGAGAATAATGGACTTGGCCTGGTCTTTCCAAGAATCCAGCTCTTCGATCGTATGGCGTTCAAAGGCAACACCGTGGTCATCCATGAGGGCTTCGTTTCCGACGATAATCTCGACTGGGTAGGGCAGTGAAGGGACGGTAAAGGTACCTTTGATGCCCTTTCCTGGAATCTCCCTCACCTGCTCGGCTTCGAAACTTGAAGAAACACGGGAGTTGCAGAAATTGAAAATTGCAGTGGCGATGGGATGACTGCTATTGCCCTCAAGCTCCCCCAAGCAGACAAGGATAATATCCTCTGTCCAGTCCCCCCCCCTTCGGGGAAGTATCGACAAGAAATCGATGGTCTGTGAGCCGGGGCTCTCCTCCTTCTGTCAAAGTGCCGGTCTTGTCGAAGACAATGATGTCGAGATTGCTTGCTTCCTGGAATGCCTCTCCGCCACCCTTCGCAAGGATTCCGTGCTTAGCAGCCAAGCCACCTCCAACAAATAGAGCGGTAGGGGCAGCTAGACCGATTCCACAGGGGCATGCAATGACGAAGACGGCAATTGCAAACTGAAATGACCAGAAGGCCCACCCGCCAACGTCGACATCCTTGTAGTCATCTGGTAGCCTGCCAGAAACCCCCAAGCCAAGCCATGTCAACCATGTCACGATGGCAATGAGGGTGACTATGGGAACAAAGTAGCTTGTGATTTGAGTCGGCAACGCGCTCAATAGGAGCCCGGCGAGCTTGGCCCTCCCTGACAACTGTTGGAAGGTGCGAGGGTTGTATGCCCATACGCTAGCGCTAGCCTATAAATAGGCTCCTTCTAAGCGTTTAATAGCGGGGAGATTTCTCTCCTTAATAACTTTAATTAATTATTATTTGCTTAATTGCTTTATTAAGTTATAAGCTTGGCATTGCTTAAGATATCTTAAAATATTAAGAAATATTAATACCTTTATTTTTATAATTATTTTTATACTTAAATTATTAAGATTTTAATATTGCTAGCCTTTGCTTATATATTATTATTATACCTTATAATAGTTATTATAGTTAATAATAATTTATAATAATTTAGCACTTTTATCTTATTTAATATTTTAATTATTTATTTCTTTTTATTTATTTATTTATATTAATTAATGCTAATTATTATAAATAAATAAATATATAAATATTATTTAAAATATGTTTAAAGATATATAAATATTATTTAAAAGATATTAAATATACTTAACTTTAAGCTTAATTTATTATTTTTTTTAAAGTTAAACTTAAAAGGGGAAAACGTTTTAAATTAAAAAGTAGTATAAAATTATGGCTTTTAATTTATTAGCCTTAGTAAATATATTATAAGCATTAAAGAATAATTAAATAAGGATATAGCCTTTGTAAAATAAGAAAAGCTTAATAATTAAGCCTTTATTATGCTTTTAAGCTTAATATATTTATTATATTATATAGAAAATCTTTTAATGCTTAAAAAATATTAGCTAATTAATTTAATTATAATATTAATAACTTAATTATTTATTTCTTTTATTAATTAATAAATTTATAATATAAGGATAGCTTTAACTTATAAAGCTATTTAAATACCTTTTAAAACCTTTAAATAAAATTTTATATTAAAATCTTAATATTAAGATAATTAATTAAATGGTTAATAAAGTTACTTTTTAAAAGTAATAAGGTTAAAGGCTTTTTTTTAGTAATGTTATTAAATATTATAAATAATATTATTAATAACTTAAGTAGTTAAAACTTTATAATATTTTTTAAAATTAAACTTAAAATATTAAATATTATTTTTTATATAAAGGTTAAATAATTTAAAGCTTATTTTATCTTTATTTAAAAAAAGTTAGCATTAAAGGGTATAAAAAAGGCTATAAAGTTTATATTAATAAGTATTAACTTTATATTAAGTAATAAAGAATATATTTAATATTATATATAAAACTTTATATTTATTAGCTATTTATATATTAATTATATAAATCTTATTAAATATAAAAGAAGAATAAAAAATAAGTTATTGTAAATTAAGTTATAAATAAAGAAGTTATTAAAATTTTTAATAATAATGAGGTAGATATAATAACATTATATATTAATATTTTAATATATGTAATAAAGCTATTAATAATTATAAATATTTTAATATTATAAATTTTTAATTTTAATGTTTTAAAGCATATAATAAAATATATAAAAAACTTTAGCTTTTTATAATTATATTTAAGTATAATTATTATTATAAATAGTAATTAACTTATTATAAAAGGTATTAACTTTATAAAAATCTTTTTATAATTATTAAATAAATTAATTATTAAGAGCATCTTTATTAATAATTTATATAATTTTGCATTAAAGAATATTTATTTATTTAATTAAATTATAATTTAAAAAGAGGTTTTAATTAAATATATAAGGAAATAATATCTTTTTATTATTAAAAGATAATAAATTTTATAAGATATTATAAGTAAAGTTTTAATATAGAAATTTTAAAATTTAAATAATAAAAAATAATTTTGCAATATTTATAATATATAGTGAATTTTATAAAGCTTTTAGCTATAGTAATTTATTAAAATTAATTGCTTAATGCTTATATAAAAATAAAGATATTATGCTTAATAAATTAATAAACTTTTATTATAAATTATATTAACTTGCAAAATTTATTAAAAAATGCTTATATTTATTATTAAAGTAATAATTTATATAGCTATTTAAGTATATTTAATTTAATGTATTAAGTAAATTCTTAATAAAATTATTAAAAAACTCTTAATACTTTATTTTATTTATTAATAATTATACTTAATTTTATTAAGTTTATTTTATTACTTAAAAAGATAATATTTTAAATATTATTAAGGGATTTTTAAATATAATTAAAACTTAATTTAATATAAAAGTTAAGATATTTAATTTAAATAATAAGGGTAAATATATAAATAAAATAATTATTATAATATTTTAAAGATATGGAATTATTTATAAGAAATTACTTTCTTATTATTATAAGTTAAATGGCATACTTAAAAAGTTTATATATATTATTATTATTAATATTTATATAATAATTTATAATAAAGATTACTTTATTTTATGGCTTAAAGCGATTTCCTATATAATATATTTATAGAATTAAAAACTATACTTAGCCTTATTATGTTAAATAATGTTATTTAAGGTGCTTTATAAATAAAAGCTTAATATTAAATATTTTTAATTATATTTTCGCTTTATATATCTTTATATTTTTATTAAGGCTTATAAATTAAAAATGAAATTATTAAATAAAGCTAAAAAAGCATATTTTATAAAATTTAAGGTTAAAGGTAAGATTATTTTTTATTTATTTATATTATTTTAAAATATTATTATAATTATAATATTAAGCTATATTACTTAATTTAATTTAATAATGAAAATTATATAAATAATTAATTAGCTAAATAAAAATATATTACTTAAAATAAAGATATTATTAATATTTTAATTAATAAAACTTATTAATAATATAAGATTTATAAATAAACCTATAAATAAATTACTTAAACTTATAAAACTTATTAATAAATTACTTAAATCTATAAAACTTATATAATTATATAGTTTTTAAGGATAATAAATTTAACCTTTATAAAAAGTAAAAGAAAATATAAATATTGTTATAAAATATTTTAAAAATTTTAATTTCTTAATATTAATTAATATAAACTTTATGCTAAATTTTATTTAATTGATATTAATTAATGCTAATTACTTTAATTAAATCTTTGCTTAAGCATTGCTTATTAATATAATAAGTATTAATAATATCCTTAATATATATATATAGGCTATAAAGAGTAATAAAAGGGATGCTTAATAATAAGCTATTAAAAGGGAACTTAAATTACTCTTAAATATAAATAAATATATTAAAATGCTTATTATTATAAATTAATATATTATTAATCTTTATTAAGTATATATAAAGAAGTTTAATTTTTTTAATAAGCTTATTTATTATAAAGCTTAATTTATTATTTATAAATATATATAAATTTATAACGTAAATTATAATAATACTTATAGCTTTATAACGCATTATAATAATTTAAAATTAATTATTATTATTATCGCTATAATAAGCTAATAGCTTTAGTAATTTAATATTAAAATGGCATACTTATATAATTATTTAAAATATAATATTTATATGCAATTATTATAAGAGTATTAAATATTATTTAATAATTAATAAGTTATTTTAAAACTTTTTAATGCTTTATATAAACTTAAATAATTAAGTTATAAATAGTTTAATACTTTTAAAGAAGAATTAATTAAATATTTAATAAAGATAATATTTAACCCTTGCATTTTTATTAAAAATTAAATTATTATTATTATTTATATTAATAATATTCTTATTATTAAAAGTTTTTTTTAAGTTAATAAATTTTATATTAAGCTTATATAATATTTTAAGTAGAAGGATTTTAATCTTTATAAATATTTACTTAAATTAAACATTATATAAATTAATAATAAGATTTATATTTTTTAAAAGAAATATGCTTAATAAATTTTAAAATACTTTAATGTATTTAATTATAATTAAAGATAAACTTTTATAAATTTAAATTTATTTTTATAATAAAAGGAATTTAATAATATTATAATAAATGTAATAATATATTAATTATTTATTAAATTTATTAATCTTTTTATTATTAAAATAAGATTTAATTTTATATTTTTATATATAATATTATTAATATTTAATGCAAAGCCTATAACTTATTATTTAAATATTATAAAGAAAGTGCTTTAATATATTTAGTATATATTAAATTATACCTTATAAATTTTAAAATAAATATTATTATTTTAATTTATTATACTTAATATATATATTAATGCTTCTTATAATATTAATTTAAATAATTTAAGGGCATTTAATAAATATATATAATTCCTTAATAATAGCTTAATTACTTAATTATTAAAGCGTTAATTTATTATTATAAAATTTACTTATAAAATAAAATATATAGTATATTTATTAATATTATTATATTTTTGCTAAATAATTTAGGTATTAAAAGATTTAAATATTAAATATATTAAATATTTACTTATTTTATATGTTAATAATTAATTAATATTAAACCTTATTTAAAATTATAAAGTTAATGCTTAATTAAAATATATTGCTATTTATTATTACTTTATTTATAAAGAAATTAAAAAAATATATAATATTTATTATATTGCATTTAAAAATAATTTTATTAATATTTATATAAAAGCGTTACTTTACTTTACCTTTAAAAAAGCTTGTATAAAATTAAAACTAAAATAAGTATAAGGTTTATATTATTAAAAGGGCGTTTTAATAATTAATTAAAAATAATATAAGCAAAATATATAAATATTAAATAATGTTTATATAATAATCTTAATATAAATTATATTTTTAGCTATTAAAATAAAATATCTCTTATTATTATTAGGGCGATAATATTTACGATAAGGGGTATATTAAAAGGTATAAGGGTTATATGCCTATATGTTAGCGCTAGCCTATAAAAAGGCTCCTTCTAAACGTTTAATAACGGGGAGATTTCTCTTCTTAATAACCACAATTAACTATCGTTTGCTTAATTGCTTTATCAACAACCTTGATGATCTGGTCCAAGAGGGAATCTCCAGAAGCACCGGTGATCCGCAGAGTGATAGGACCACCTTGGTTGACAGTTCCCGAATAGATAGGGTCGCCAAGGTGTTTTGCCACTGGCTTCCACTCTCCCGTCAGACTGGACTTGACGAACTCTCCGTTTCCCTCCAGGAGTACGCCATCCCAGGGGGGAGAGCCTCCGTGAACGACCTTGACAACATCGCCACAGTCAATCAAGTCGATACTGGTAGTCTTCGTCTGCGTCTCCGCTTTCTCAGTCGACACAACTAGCAGGGCCTCGTTTGGCCGGAGGCTGCCCAGCTTCGAGACCGCCTCTCCTGTCTTGGCCGTGCTGTACGCCTCAATCATGCGCCCAGCGAGTGAGAAGACACTCAGGAATATAACCGAGTCCATGCACGAGGGCCGCATCTCCATCTCCATTCCTGGGTCCCTGCTCGCAGAGATGATGAGCTCAGCGATGGAGCTGAAATGGGCGATGGTGGTTGCGAAGCTGACAAGCATGTCCACGCTCCCAAAGCAGTAGAACCGACGGAGCAAGGGGACAGGGCTCCCCGGGCGCCAGAGGGAGTACAGCTCCTTGATTGTGCGGTGGTGGAAAACGTCTGCCGCGAAGAAGTAAACACAGTGAAGAAAGGTCTGGAGCCGCTCACCGGCATCCAGGCCATCGACACGTCCGTTGACGACCAGACTGTCACTGTCACTGCCAATGCCGAGGTCCTACTCGACGACGTGTTCAAAGTTATCCAGGCCACGGGAAAGGAGGACAAGAATGGCCGAGTCAAGACGACCGCCTGATCTTGGAGGAATAAGGCTCTTAGGGATGGGTGAACTGCTGAGTGGAGATTTTCCCGAGGTTTGGAAATCAGGTTTATGTAACTAGATTATTTCTTATTCTGGACAGGACTTTGGGTATAAATGGACGACTTTCGAACTCATGTGAGGCAAAACCAGTCAAAATTACATGCAAAGGAATTGAGGTCCCCCTTGCGTCAGTCCAGAATGATTTGAATATGCCAATTATCACCGAGATTGTTTCAATTTGAGTCATCGTTCAATAATGGTGTAATAATGCTACGTCGATCCTGCCCTATTGAAGGTAGCCTGCAGTCCCATGGGCTCGCCACGTCACCGTCAGCGATTCACCTGAGACTCTTCGAAGACGGAATAACATTGTGGCATTTCTTTTCCTCATGCACTAAGAGGCTCAACAAGGCTGCGAAACGTGTGCGGTATTTCCCGGGCCTGGATGACGAAGGCGTAGTTGCGTCCATGGACAACGTCGTATGCGGCTCGACCGAAGCTTGATAATCCGCGTAGCAGGCTTTCGGCGCCAATATTGAATGTCAATACCCTGTAGTCGTCGATCTGACTTCCTTAGTGGGAATATATTGACAAGTCCGACTCGACGGTACGTCTGTGGCTGATCTGTCCTTACCAGCATCAGGCCCCACCCGACGTAGTCTCCCTGTGGTTCTACGACGACAAGCACCCAAGTCTCCGTCGACGCTCCGGCCACAGCCCCTGAACATCCAAATAAATCATGCCAAAGTCTATGCCTCCTGGCGCTGTCAGGCAACGAGCGACCCATGGACTCTGGGACGAAATCCCAAGAAACATCAGACGCTCGCGTGCTGATCTCATACGAGCCGCATCCGACGCGTTCGATCTTGCGAGGGTTGCTCCAAAAGGATCCGGGTGGGCAAGTGAAAAGTTTTCCCTGCAGTGTGATGGTCATGGTGGATTCTTCAAAACACATGATCTCGATAGCTGCATTTTGCGACAGATAATGCATAAGTATTCTAGACATCTTGTGTCCGCGTAGCCAACTCCATGAGGGTGATAATATGGGTTCATAGGGCTCGGCACCATAGGCGCATCGTGGTGTTTGCAAAAAATCCCAAAGCAGACCGCGGGGAATATCAGCCCTCCACAAACCCGCAACCATCGTGTCAGCCGTGGCTTTCTTGAACAAATCAATCAACCCAAACAGCGCGGGGATCCGGTCTTTCTCAAATGATCGACACCTGCCCCCATAATTGCGCAGAATCGTGTACCAGAGCCTATACGGATTCCTTCCCATGCCAGGCAAGTCGTCGTCGTGAAACCCTTTTGGACCGAGGACTAATCGTTTATACGGGCCTAGGGCAGTCTCGGGTAGGAATCTGTCTGCGATGTGCTCATCACGCTTGGCCCCGGGACACTCCCAATGCAGTTGACGAGATCCAAGATGGACGATCCGTCGGGATAGACAACGCTCTTGGAGACACCAGCCGCGTTTCGCGAGCGCCGCCGTGTTCAACGACGTGCTCCAGACCATGGAGAGACAGATCATGGCGAGTGTCTATTGGATACTGCGGGTTTTGGAAGTCGTCGGGCGATGTCGCCTCCGAGGCAGACACTGTAAGGTGTGCATTCGAATAGACCGCGGCCATCTTTGACGCCTCGCTCTCCCAGTCGCTTTTGCTGTCCTGGACAATGCATAAAGCATCGATCCACAGGTACATAATCCCGAGAGACCGCAACAACTTCACCGTTGCGCGAAAGAGTAGGTTCAGATCCTGGGAATGAATCCGCACATGGTTTTGTACAAGATTGGTCGAGTCTGTTTTGAAAATGACGTCCGAGTTGGGACCCCAGCAATATGCCAGTGTTAGGGCGGCGTATTTCCCTTGGATGCCTTGCCCATCGAGAAGACGGACATCGTCGGAGCCATCGCCAAGACCGAGTTGCAGAACGCGGGTGGGCAGGGGAGGCGACAGTTCTTCCCATTTGCAAGCCTGGTGGTTTTCTAGGCGTTTGGTCAACCAGTCTTGACTCTGCTGGATTCGGGACTCGTAGGTCATGAAATTCTGGCCATTTTCATCGCAGTGTGGGCAAAGGACGACCATGCTTGGTGGCCGGGGGCTCTGATCAGGAATGGGGAAGCAGAGTTGTGCATCAAGAAGCAAATCTGAGCGAAAAATCCAGAGGAAGCGAAAGCGAGATGCAGACTAACACACCGTATGAATTGCCGCCCTAAGTGGGCCCATCGCTGCAAGGCAACGACATCGATGGCCGGATCCACTTATCTTTGAGCCATACTAGTAGAATTTAGCTGGCAAATAATGCGTGGCAGACCCACGCAGTCAACGTCGGTCATTTTCTCTCACTACACTGTTCAAACATCGTGTTTGATTGGTTAGAATCTATTTACATGCTCTGTACTCATCCGCTTCCGGTATCCCGATCTCCCTCGGGGTCTACACAGGTCACATCCAACAACTCAGCATCGACGTTTGAACATTCGTAAATGGGCGGCTCTCCGCTAGGCACGTTGACAGATATGTTCTGGGCCACGATGTTGCTGCAGCGCTGTGATAGTACGGAGTGTCAGTGAATACAGGGGTAGACATCCATGTTTGCATTCCAGCTATTTTACCAAGTGGCTAGGTTAAGGGGCTGGACTTACATCTGCTGCGCTGCAAACAAGCGTTCCGGCCTCTGGGTCGTATTTGTCTGATACAGTCCCCCAGAAGTTCCTCATGGTGATATCGGAGATGGTCAAGTTAGCCTGCGAATCAGAACTCAGTTAGGGACATAAATAAACGGATAGCCAAGACGGTTAAACAGACCGGAAACTCGTTGCAGATAGACTGGTTCTTCTGCCCATAGCACTGCGTGATAGTAATCGCCCTGTCGTTGTTATCGTGGTAGAAAGTGTCATACGTCACGTTCCTCACACGGCCCAGCCCGCCGCCGCCATTCAGAAGGTCCTGGAACGCCGTCTCAACGCCAGGCCAGACCTTAATGCGTGCTGCGTCGCTGGCGTCAGCCATGGAGATGTTGTAGATGTACAGGTTCTCGACAATGTCCGTCTCGCCCTTGTACTGGCCGAGCGACCCGACGCTGATGCCGTGCGAGCCCGTGCAGTCAAGGTTCTGCACGACGACGTTGGTGCTGTTTGGCTTGAACGAGACGCAGTCGTCCGTGTTGATGATGACCGAGTCCTGGATGACCACGCGGTCGGACCGGTACGTGTCCCAGCCGTCCGAGTTGGCGATCTTGACGCCGCCGGTGCTAGTGGCTATGAGGTCCATGTTGCTGATGATAACGTCCGTTGCATTGGCGATCATGTTGAACCACTGGTGATGGCCAATCGTTTAGCTACTTATCTGTGGATCCGTGGGGCCGTGAGCTGGTGCAGCTCATGTCATGCAACTTACATTGGGAGAATTGCGCATGCGCAGATTGGACATGACCACGCCCTTTGCTCCATCGATGACAAACAGCTGTGGTCTAAATAGCTGAGTACCCTTTGCATTAGCCCATTCCTCAAGACATGTCAATTATGTGTCTTTGAAAGACTCACTGAGCTGTTTCTGGCATTCTCCTCCCAATATGCCTGGCCACGGCCATTGATCACGGAGCGGTTGTTGCTGAGGTCGCCATAGATATTGATATCCTCTCCGCCCACCTTCCAGAAAGAAGACATGTTCTGGAAGGCATATTTGAAGCTGTTACGCGCCCAGTAATAAACATCACTGTCGTCGAAGGCCACTTCTCCAGTGATGACGACGTCCACGTGCTCAAGGAAAGTGAGGTCTAAAGGTGACCCGATAAGGTATGACTGATCAAGCACGATCGTGCCTCCATCGTTGCAGTCTTGGAATGCCTTCAAGATCACGGGTGCGTCGTCGCGGGTCGTGCCGTTTGCGGACCCCGGCTCGACGTAGCAGTAGCGGCCCTCGTCTCTCGGTGGCGAGTAAGGGAACTCCTTGCCGGTTCCGTACGGAGCTGGGGTGATATTTGGACGCTTTGGCAGGGCCGAATTCCCATGGCGAGTACGGAGCGCAGCAGACACCGGGGAGGTGGCGAATGCAGCCAAAGCCGCCAAGAGAGTGTTGAGGTGCATCGTTATCCTTAGCAGCGAACGGTACAGCTGTGACGGCGAGACTTGGGAAAGCTTCTCAGATAGACCTGGAAAGTTTCAAAGCTAATGTCGTAATTTCTCACCATATATGGTTTTATGTTTACCGGATGTTCCCTGTCCATGAAAGACTCACATGTGGCGCTCACGGATAAATTAATCGACGCCAAGAGTGCACTCGGTGTAAAGCATGCCGTGCGCAGGTGGGTAAACAGGTGCTGCATTCAATAGTCGCTACGCTTTCAGTGCATCGGACTCTCAACTTAAGACGACACGTAATTATAAGGAGTTGTTCATCAGTTGCCAAGTCTTAGCTCGCCTTGGGTGTGCATGTCATTGACGTGTACCTAGGTAGTCTGAATATGACCGCGACGTCTGTCAAGCCATCTGCTGAGGGCGTCTCCCACCTACTCGGATGTTGTGGCGCGCTCGCATGTATTCCATGATCCTCTGATGCTCAGCTACGGAGGCTAATAGCAGGCTTTGAATGGTTGCGAAAGTGCATCCATTCCTAAGTGGATCATTGTTGGTATTTATAGCATCACGTGACCAGATGGACTGAACGAATGGATCAGATTTGGTAGAGTTCATTTTGACAATCTGTGCTTCCACTCCAAAGGGGATAACAAGTTCTGCAAAATTAATCGACCTATATCTGCTCTACGTAGACCAGCTTCATGATACCACTCGCTTCCCACCTTCCAAAGCCCATCACCTCTTTGCCTACTCCTTCGGTTCCTTCTTGTCGCCCTTCCCCGCAGTCTTGGCTGCCGGCGCGGGTTTCTCACCCGCCTTGGTGAGGTGGTGGGGGTGAAGTTGTAATCACGTAACAATGCTTAGTGAAGGGTACATTGTGGATATACCATCTGTTTCTGTGGATGCGAATATCCGTTCTTTTCTAGAAAGGATGTGTATGGTACATGATTTTAGCTGTTGGTGCTGGCTAATTTTGGCAATTTTAGGTATGTTGGTTCGGACAAGCCCCAATAGGGTGGCGTTGTGGACCCGCAGGGCTGGGATAAGACGTTGCATTTCACCAAGGCCTGTCTGAGCTGAATGCTACGGCCCATTTCCCGGCCTTTCAAGTGCCCTGGTTCAAGGACAGGCCCTAGGTGCGCAGGCTCAGTTGACTCCCGGCCGCTGGCCGTATAGAGGCTCAGTCGGTCGTCCGAAATGTAACCCCGTGGCTCAGTCAAAGCAGGTCGTGACTGAGAAGCCTTCATTTGGGGGCTGGGTTGCCACTCAGGAAAGACGTGACCAAGTCCGGAACCCAACAGTTCTGTGGAAATTGGGGCCGGAGAAGTGAAGTGAGATCAAACATTTGAGGATTTGTTGCAATGGCCATACAAAAGTTCGAGTAGATTTCGTTGCATCTAAACAGAGCCTTTGACGATGTGACTGGTGACAGTGACACTAATTAATAGAACACATCTTCTATTGCCATCTATGCCTGAGAGATAGGAGTCTGGACCTGATAAAATAGTCATAAATGCTGCAACAAGAACTTATGACTTACTCATCCAACAAATGCGTCATTTGCCAGTCTTTCAGATCAAAGCTGCCGTCTTTCAAATCATCCATATCTCCAGCCCACTCAAAAGTTGTGCCAGATACCTGAGCCCCTCCCTCAAGACGTATGGTGCATCTGTGCTCTTGATAATTTTCCGTCTCATATTCAGCCAACTTGTTTTTGGCATTTTCACCCTCAACCTCATATGCCACGCCCTTAACCACATTTCCGGGGGGTCCATCGAGCAGCGCTGGGTACGGTCCCCACATCTGAATGTGATACCCAATAATCTCGGCCGGTACCAAATTCCTCGGCCGGTCCTTGAGGCCGAGAACACGTTGCAGCTGCGTTGGATCCATGAGAGAGCCATAGAAGAAGTATAACTCCTTGCGCTCGCGTTCCTCCATCATGCCCTCTTGAATAGCAGCTGCGCGCCGGTTCCAGTCTGCTTTTGATTCTTCTTCGGCTACGTCAGCAGCCATAAATTTCCGCTGCATCAGCGAAGGCGTCGAGTTTTGAGATGAGTGGCTGGCTGCTCTTGCCTGGCTGTTGTCCTGCGGCCCAGCATGCAGTTTCGGTGATTCTGGAGGTTCCATGTTTTGCTGGGAAAAGTCTTGCTGCTCGGATGAGCTCTGACACGATAAGCAGCTGAAATTTGGTAAATAATCAACTTTCAGTACTTGCGATATAGTTGAAAGACCCAGCAGCGATATTTGTGCGGGCAGTGAGTGTCGAGTGCTAGAAAAGGTGTTCAGGAAAGCTAGGTAGATGATGGATGCCTTGGAGTCGCAGCGGGGCTTATCCCGAATTTTCAGACCACTTTCAGTCTTTTTTTAGCCGAAGGGTGGGTGGATACCTGAAAACCTGGCCATTGCAGCAGGGCCAACGGTACCTAGGTACACGGCCGACTTCACACGATCATGTGTACTCCGTAAAATGAAAATTTTACACTATGCTTCAAGCCTTCATTCCGCCCAACCTGGCAATACCGTAGCACCCCTAATGTACACATCGATGGTGAAGTTGACAAGTGCAACTCTACTCTTCCCGTTACGAGGGTCGTCTTGCTCAGCTGAGATCAACCACGGGCAGCTGCTGAACATCGTGCTCCACAATGTTGCCAACAGCGGTGGATTTGTTTATGGATGCAACCAATTCCTATTTTGAGAAAGGGTCCCTCCTCGAGGCTGGGCTTGCTGAGACGGACCAGACCAAGCGGCAAACGAGGTCGCCTATTTGCACTTTCAGCTCCACATACAACGCCACTTGGCTCCTTGAATGCGGCAACGGCGTGAATAATGGAGATCTCGGGTTGGAGGAGCCTGCGCCGTTCAGTTACTCCACCGGTGTGCCTCAAAGGTCAGATACTTGGCCGGGTGTGTTTCGATATGCCAAATATGCTGCCAACCGACACTTCCTTATTATTGGCATCCTGCTGTAAACCATATGTTAGATGCAATCAACGGGTGGAGAATAGTCACATTTTGACCATCACATTACGCCAGAGATATTCTCGTTTCTGTTACCGCCACGCCTCCGAAAATAGCACAGAGCAGGACCAACTTCCGTCCCCGGCTGACCACAAGGCCGTCTCAGAGACAGCCCGTCGTAGAATGGGCCATCACGGCAATGCTCCGAGATTTTAATTCTTAATTTTACTGTTGTAAGAGTATATATTTCCCCAATTCGAGTCGCATTCTTACACCTCAACACCGTAATGCCAACATCATCTCAGCTTCATACACCATTCAGCATCGGTCTCATTTGATATCCTCCTATCAAGCATTGATCTCTTTGAATCATTGGTTCTCGTTCTACGATTCGTTTCACACTCAATATAGTGCCTCAGCGTACTTTTTCCCATCATATTAGACACGAAAACATTCGATTTTATTCTCATACGACAGTAGCAATTAGCCTACACTATCCACCGAAGGATTGATTCTGTATCTCTTTTGACTGCTCGACTGAAGAGGATTTGTCGAAGAAACTCCCGCAATTTCCGATATGTCGACTCACGAAATGAGAATTGGCCTTGAGATTGAAACTCTCCTCGGACAGAGAGATGCCAACGCCAAAGAGCTATCTCTCGAGAACTTTGCAAAGATGGCGGCCAAGTCTTACAACGCGAAGATCGACCGTAAGAAGTACTTGACAATGCATGCCGATATCGGTGGGACATGGGACGGAGACGAGTATAAAGACTGGTCCTTGACAGACGATGCTACTATTGTCGGAGCTACGAAGACTAAGTGTACGTCAGATAACTCTCATGCTGCCCTGTCCTATTGCACTGACACCTATTCAACTTCTCAGACCCTGTTGAATTTGTCTCTCCGATCTTGCATTATGACGCTACTGGAATCTGGCGTGCTCACGTTCAGAACTTGTTCAAAACCATGCGCGAATTATACCTTCTCGAGTCGAACAGGAGCTGTGGCTTCCACGTTCATCTTTCACCTGCGGCGGGCGCATGGTCTCTTCAGGAACTGAAAGCCATCTGCATGGCTGTGGTCTACTTCGAAGACGCTTTTGAGGCTATCGTTCCTGAACATCGCCGAGGTAATCAATGGATCAAAAGCAACAGAATCGACAACCCTGAGCTAGCGAGTCTCCCAACTGCTAAGATATTCGAACGAATCAAGGCTTGCAAGAATGCTGTCGAGATTTCCGATCTCATGCATTCCGATAGGTATTACGCCTGGAACTTCACTAACCTGTACTACGGTGGAAAGGCTACCATTGAGTGGCGCCGCCCTCCCGGAGTGACCACTGCTGAGGGCAGCCTTGTATGGGCTGAGCTCGCCATCGACTTTTTACAGTCTGCCCGACGGCCCAGTGTGCAGTTTGGACAGTATAGCCGAGATGTTGAAGGACTCAGGGCTTTTGTTGGAGATGGTGTTGTTGCTGGAATGAGTGATGAACGGTATTTGAAACCTATATTTGAGGGCAAATCGGGCAGTCTGAAACCTCTCAAGCTGAAGGAGATGGATAAGGATATGTTGCAGAAGAAGGCAAAGCAAGACAAGAAGAAGAACCTAATGATGAAAAAGCTCAGGGAGGCGCTGGCGAAGAACCCCTATCCAAATTAGATATAGCTAGCTAAGTGGAAAGACCCCGGTGGTGATTTAGCTTACATTTATTTCCGACCTGACCAGAATCCTGGATCTCAATTACCTCCGTTACGCATTATACAAGAAGGCATGACTGATTCTATGATGAGTTTCACTGGTGATATCAATCAGCTAGAGACATCGGCGAGTTCTGACGGTCGCGACACTCGCGGAAGCACCCTCATTCCCCAAACGCCTAAGCCTTTCGAGACTCACATCGCTGCCCGCCATATTTAGCAAATGATTAAATCAACCTCTCGAGAATACGCGCAGTGCTGTGAGTGTGGCTGAAGCTAAAGGATTTCGTGAGCCGCAATGCTAGCACTATTACAATTATATGATTTCAACTTTTTTATAGTAAGTTTAGAGAAGAATCGTTGAAAAGCTGAGTAGATGGCAAATAGACGAATAAATAGTTGATTTAAGAAAACATAGTGTGGCTGAAGCCTCATTGCTGTTAAACCCGAGAACTCACAAAAGAGTGCTTTGGTCTCATCATGTGGGCGCCTGGCAAAGGGGGGCGGGATGACCCGGTCCGCTGGCTGAGCATAACTGGATGAGTGGAGGTACTTAGATAGATGCAGGTCATATTGATTTCACATCCTGAATTTAACATAGTACAGACACATGAAAAGCTGATTTAACTTAGAAGAAGTGCAAGTATCCAGTTGACAAGGCTATATAATTAGATTAATCTATCATGAACCATAAAGAATGTAGACTATCTCTGGCAAATTGTTCGAGTCTACCTCACGTACTTAATCGTGACTCTCAACTTAGACCGCAGCATCTGTGGAGATTATATAAACGCCATGTCTCCTTCATATCTCCTTCCTTGATAAGAAATCACTGTCACGTAAGCCCATCAACAGTAGAGGGAGTAGACAAAGAACAAGACGAGCTATTTAAGAAGGCAATGGCGGTCCTCATGAGCCCAAAAAGCTCTTGGGTAAGTGATCTGCTGGCGGACGATGTCAGACTATTGTCGACCTAGAGAACATTCTTCATCGGTCAATATGCCTCTCCCCGCTGATGCGCCTGATCGGCAGGGGCAAAACATGGAAAGGTTGTAGACGTCGACTCTTCGATCGCCTCGATCGCCCATCGCGCGTTACGCGAGATCGAGACGCCAGTGACGGCGACACCTGCACCTAGAAGCACACATACCCTCCCTACTCGACCGGCCGCGCAGGTAGCAGTGTCCTCTGCGGATAGTAACAGGAACTAGAAGTTTTTGAAACGACTTGGTGGAGCGGTGGAGTGGGAAGCGATGGAATTATGACGCTGGGGTAAACGGTGCAGGTCGTAGTGGATCGCTTTAGCTGGAACCATCACTCGTTCTCACGCGAAGGCACAAATTGATGACGATGCCGAAGCCAAAAGTTCTCATAAGCTTGAAAATCCGTCTTTAATCATCCTAGTTTCATCCTGCCTTGCTATTACGAGGCATTGTCTGCGCCAGTCGTCTCGGTCGCATCAGGTTTTGCAGCCTCCTCCCTCACCACCCTCTCCATCTCTTCCAAGATCTGCATACCCTTGTCGACAGTCACCCGGAACGGCTTTCCAGCTCCCTGGCAAATCAAAACGCTCAACAGTCAGCGGACAGACCTGTTTATGTGCAGATGCAAATCGACCTTGTGTTGTCACTCACTCAGAAAAGGATGTCTCTCCCATCGCTCTTCGCAGGTCATCTTTTCTGCCTCCTCAAATGCCTCCCTAAAGAGGGTTTAGGTGTCCTTTGTTTCAGGCGTAGTCTGTGCATTTGATTGCTCTGACGCGATGGGAGTCTCGTGAGGGCGGTCGGATGCCACGTTGGCCTTTTCAGAGTGCGTGTCGGTAGACGTGGAGGTGAAATCGAGCTGATTCTGAGGGCAACCGTACTTGTAGTGGGAAAGAAGCGTTTAGCTGGGTAGGCGAGATGTCAAGTAATATTGAATGGGATGAGGGATTATCACCAGAGCCGGTGCTTTTGGCGCACAAGTACTTGGACACGATCTCACTTACGAAGGATTGTTTCCTAGGTTCAGTGGGGACGGACCCGGCTGCATAAAAGGCCACCCGAGGTCCGTTGCGGATAGTGAGCTACTCAGACTCCATATACTTTTTATGTAAGTTGGACTACCCACTCAGGCACCAAACCGCTCCTGCACCGACATTTCCCACCAAAAAGCCCAATTTCAGGCTTACTATAATACTTCATTACACGAAAATAAGGTGATAGACTCAAAGGCTAGGGCTGAGACCGCTTGACCATGACTGTCGATCTGCGTCGAGATATCTGTCAAGAGGAAGCTGTGTTTACGATCGAGATATAGATTAATTGGGTTTAAAATAGGAGGTTATATGTCTTCAAGTTCTGTTTTATCATTTCGTATTCAACACTAGGCGCATCTCACTGCGCACTCGCTGTGATAGAAATAAAGCAGGCATGCTTAATATTGAGGAGCAATAATCGGGATGTTCAGCCAATCCACTTCGACCATTGAATAACTTCCCCATCCATCCTCAGACACTCCATGTCCTCTTCCCTCAGACAAATGCCGACCACGATGCTCCCATCCCTTCCTTTCGGGAGAAAATAAACCAGTCCCTCTCTGGCACCATTCACAAATCTTGGCCTCCTCACAGCCTCCGGCTGCCCTAGGCAAGGACCGAAGTCCAAATCATACAACTTCTCCTTCGCCCAAGAGCTGAGCCTGACGTCAAAACTGGGGTTGCTCAACGCCGCAATGCGCCTTTGCGCCGCTGCGCCTTTGTTCCGAGAGATGGCTGTGGCTTGAACTACTGCACTGTTCCTGAGCGAGTCGGGACTCAACGCCGCGCGAAGACCAGAAGCGACAGCGCCAAGGGACTTCTGGTTGACTAGGTCATCGACAGGATACGTGTGTGATGTCGCGGTGGTCATCAGGCCAGGGTACGTGGGCGGAAGATCAAAGTGACGGCGGACGTCGACGTTGCGGGTCAGTGTTGTCGGTGTTGACCGTGGGCTATCCAGCCGGGAGTGTCGCGCTCGGGTGATGGACTGCCAGATGAAAGCGGTGAGTACATCGTCTGTCGATACGAAGCTGACGCCTGCCGTGAGAGTCTGGCTGGCGAGTTTCTTCAGGCTGGACAAAGAGGCAGCAGACAAATCAAGGTACGCCCACACAAGGTCGTCCGAAGGCGTACTTAGCTGTGGTTCGCGTGGCTTTGCATTAGCTTCAACGTCCTGGACCAACCCTTCCGATTTGGGCTTTGGCGAGTCAGAATAGCCTGATGTCTTGTCGACGGCTATAGGGATCCGGTCTGTCCGCCGCATATTGCTGGTTTCCACTTCGTCCTTCGTGAAGGCTTCACTGCGACATGCCTTGGCGAACAGTGTAATAACCTGTGCCTGGCCAGCCATGTCCATGCTCCCATGCTGAGCGTTGAATGTAAGCAAGAGACCGCCTTTTACAAAATTGGCCTGGACCAACAAGACCGGCCGCTCTGAATAAGGCTCGACCATAGTCTTGCACGGTGCGACGACATCTTCGTCGAGCATGCGAAACGGGAAACCTGCTTCTCGGAGCTCGTCCCAGGTCGGCACTGTGACATCATCTTGGAGCTCCTTCACCACCAGCTCCAGAGAAGTCTTGGCGGCGGTGATGCTGAATTCTTCGCCGATTTGGACGACCTTGCGGGTGACCCACGGAAACTCTTTGCTCAGTCGTGCAAGTCCTAATTCCAGGTTTTCGATTATTTCCGTCTGCGAGCGCGGGGATTCGTCTCTGGCTGGGAAACAGAGAGTGAGTTGGGTGTAAAGGCGGTTGATGCGCTCCGCCTGACCCAGAATGTCAAGGCGCAAATCTTTCAAGACTGATCCGACATCAAGACTCTCCATCGCAGACATCAGACAAGCATGCGCCAAGACTGCGCATGTTGAGGTGGAAACCGTTGAGGACCTTCATGTGGCAGTCGGAGGCACATTGCATCATTCGGTGCCGCATTCGGCAGACTACATCAGTAACGCCGCGCTCGGCCCGACCTTGGTGTAGACTAAGTTGGGAAGACATGACCTTCTTGACCTAAACGAGCACCTGGAACATGTCCTCCATCATGTTTGCCCATTCAAAGATTGGGCTCTCCTCATGACTTAGGATATCTTAATTGTCTCTTTCTTCATCAGCCGTTTTAGGCAGCATCGGGCGAATGAGCGTTCTTCGAAGACGCCTAACTGTTCGAAGGAAGGAGCGTTCCGATGCTCCTTGCTTGGGAAGCAGCACCAGACCGTACCCCCCCCCCCAAACACTATCGTTAGAACTTTCCTCGGCCCCCAGTAGCAGCAGCGTCACCCGCGAGATCAATTGTTCGTATGACTCCCCCGGCGTTCCGAAGGGGGAGCGATTTCCCGACATGGCTTGGAAATCCAGCTTAAATTCATACCCCCAAGGTTTCTTCCCCCTTCCTGGTGTGCATTGGGGATCGAAAACGAAGAATTTGTCGTACGGTGGGTGCTTGGATGGACTCTTTATGAACCAAATCTCGGCGTGAATGCCCACAGATCCCACCAACTTGTTTGGCGATTCGGACCAGGAGAGAGAATCCAGATCCAGAACAAACCCTTCCAAGGTTAGACAGGAGTCTTGTATCGCACCATATGGGTCCGTGCCGGCCAATGGCATATAAACTTCTCGAATCGTGATTTCTGACTGAAACATATGGGAATCGTCCAATTTTCCCCCGATTGTTTCGCCGCGTGTCAGGCAACCCCACGTGGGTACCAAGTACGGCTTTTCGCCGTGGCGCTCTATAATGTCATCCAGAGATCGGCGCGCCGTATGAGACCGGTACATCCAATGCAAGCTTAAATGCAGCCTGTCCACCCAGTGCCCGGCGATATAACTTACCTGTAGTCTGTTCCCAAAGAGCCTTGCCAGGCCGGACAATGCTGGAAGGACATCTGTTGGATTTGTGAAGGATGACGTCGTGAAAGCTTCGTAGCGTTTTATGACGTTTTGCCACGTTCGACGTAGATCATCTTTGCTTTGGAGGGACGTGACAGAAATCGAGTCGACGGAGCCCGCGGGCCCATTCTTGGACACATACTGACTGTCTCGACCAAAGTACACGCCAACGTTTCCATATACAATGCGCGCGCCCGCGAGGGCATCTTTTTGGAAAGTCCATCCCCTGTGAGCCCATTGGGTGAACCTGAAATCACTGTGAGGGTCATTGATAAGATTCTTTTTCACAAGAGAACCGACTTCACTGAAACATTGAGTGAAATACAACCTGAACGAGCCGCTGATGTCGGGGCGGCGCACAGATTGGTATGGAATTTGCAGCCCAGGTCTCTTTGGGTTGAGAAAACCTTCTCTGCAGGTTCTTCTAAAGTTGAAGACGCCGCAATGAGAGTGACGCGTGCTCTGCCACTTATTTCGTTCATTTGGCTGCATTATGTTTGCCAGTCTGACACATCGCCTTGAAGAATGCAGAGAGCGTCAACCCAAAGGTACGGTATGGAAAGGCGCCGCGTGGCTTTCACCGCATCTTTCAACACTGGTGACAGGGCGTCAAAGTCTAAACTTGAAGTCTCGAGACGATGCTGCAGGTTTTTGCACGTAGTTTTTGTCTGAGATCTTGCGTCTTCGCTAGGACCCCAGCAATAGCTTAGGGCGCAGTATTGTGGTCGTTTGGCCAGTTCGCTCATGATGGCTTTTCGCTCAACCAGGCGCAGGCTATTGACTCCCACATCTATGAGCCTCTCGGGCAGAAAGCTTGCATTGCCGTGGTGACTTTCAAGACTATCAGGGTCTTTCTGCACCTCTTCGGTCAGGAAGGAGGTGATCTCATCATCATCGTAATTTTGCACAGCGGGAGGCATAAGGGCAAGCCATTCAGCCACGGCTTTGTAGTCTGTGACGACAAACCAGAAATTATTAAATCTATGAATCACGAGATGTAGATCATGTTGCTTACTCGTATTGGCTTCCACTTGAAAGCGCAAGCTCACAACTTACTAATCTTCAAACGTGGCTCTGACGAACAAAACCCTTAGAGGGCGTAGGTCCGAAAATGATACCTCGGGCCTATAGAAGAAGCTAAGACCAACCCGCTTAGCACCAGAGTTTGCAACGTTCCCCAGATTCGAACGCTCCCAGGCATCGTTGAATTGATCAGACAGGATGCCCTCTCGTAGGACCGCGCAAAACTCGCAGCCGGCTTGGGCCGAATTGAGCAGACGGGGTAAGTAAGCAAAACATATAGAAACTCTTTCACGCCCAGAGTTGACGCCTCAAATGACCACCGCCAGTAGAGAAAATAATTCGGTCTCGGTTACAAGATGCGGATGTGGATGCACTTTTACATGATGCATAGGTAATTGGCAGAAACAATTCTGTCCAAATTGGCAAAGTGCTGTGGCGGAGCTGAAATGCCCGATTGGGCTTGAGCCGCATGCCGAGGTAAGATCTCTCTCCCATTGTCGCGTGACCTCAGCTCTGCCCATCGCGAATACCATCATTGTCCAGATTATGATACTCGGGCATGGGAATGACTGCTTTGATTGAATCCTGTGCCGTAGGGGCCGCTGAGATCCTGAAGGTGGAGCAGGTCTCGAAAGACCTGTTCGTGCTCACCCTGACCCGGCGTAACAAGTCCAACCTCTTAGCTGAGGGCATCGACAGGCTCGACTCCGGCCGCGAAGAAGCCGGTCTCATCTTGTACAATCTCCAGACATGGGCGCCAGACGTGGCAGAGCGGTTCCAACCCCGGACGTCGGACGTCATCCTCGACACGCCGTTCCGCCTGATCTGCTCGAGCCCTTCAGGCATCCCGTTCGACGGCGCCTTCGCCATCAGACAGTACCTGGCGATCAGCTACAGCTGGCACAGCACCGATTGGAACTGTCCCGGCACGCCGCACTCGGCCCCTGAGCCCGGTGGCCTGTGGCCCATCGGCAAGCGCTTCGCGGACGCGATCCTGGGGCTGCGCGGGCACCCTCGGGAGGGCATCTGGATGGACCAGATCTGCATAGACCAGGATAATGATGATGAGAAGCAGAGGGCCATTGCGTGCATGGACATCGTCTACAAGTCGTGCCGGCGACTGGTCGTGCTCCTTGAGGATGTTGAGCTCACGGATGACGAGGTTGCCCTGTGCAGGCGGTATGACGTCCCTGATTTGCGCTTTAATATCGGTGCACAACGGACAGACAGTGAGACCGCCGTACTCATCTCTCTGTTTGACAAGGTAGCCAGGGCACGGTGGTGGAAGCGGGCCTGGTGCTTCCACGAGTTCGTCGTCGGGGAGCCTTGGTCCAACAAGAGACACCAGGAGGTGCACAACACCGTCTTTGTCCTGGGACATGGGGTAGACAAAACCATCTCCATACAGTGGCTAACACTGCACTCGATCCTGGCGACGGTGGTGATCGAGGTTGACCACGATACGCCAGACAGCGTCTATGTCAGCCCGATTCTGTCGGGGCTCGACGACCGCACGTCTCCGCTCCGCGACAGCCCTGATCGCAAGGCCGGGGCGACCAGGGCCAGTTTCATGGGGAGGTTCAACAGCGTTGCTCAGACGAAATGCTTAAAGGCGGGTGATCGGCTCAGCGTGTGCATCAATCTACTTGGCCTTGGCCTAGCCTACGTCCGGGGTGAGGAGCCCACCGAGGACGAGGTATACTATCTGGCGGTCATGTTAGCGTTGGCGGCTGGGGAGAAGGCTCCGTTGTCTTTCGCCTACGTGGAGCCGCTGATGCTGGGCGGGACTCAGTCATGGCTGATGAGGCCCATAACGGCAACGGACACGACACTCCGCAAGTTCACTCTCGGAGATATGGAAGGCATCCACAGCATCTCACCGGACCGGCTGGAGCTAGATCTAGTCTTCTTCAGACACTCCTTCGAAAGCCCCACCGAAGAGGAACTAAGCAAAACCTTTACCGTCTTCCCAGATGCGATCAAGAGCACGCCTCCGCCCCTCAAGAGAATAGGGCCCAACCCCATGCAAGGCCACCGACCCGATGAGGAATTAGAAAAACCTCGTCGGCAATTCTTGGCGTCCGTCATTGCCGGAGGGCGCGGCCTGGCTAGCCGCCTGTGGGCGCAGCTAGAGCGCGACGTGGTGAAGTACAACTACAACACCGGCATTTTCGCAGATTTCCAGTCCAACCAAGATCTTCGATCGAGCGCGGAGAGCCTCATGAAGCTGCTGACCTGCGACGGGCTCAAAGAGGACAACTCCGAGGACAATTTCACTGTTGAAGCTGCTCTCGCCTTCCTGACATGGATCACGGACCCGCGGTCTATCTACTGGATCTCGTGGTCCACCTCGCGGGCCGCGTGCAGCCGAGATGGCGAGCAGGCACTCACGACCGGGTTCTCTGCGACCAAGAATTTCTGGTCCATGATTACGGACGAGACGACGCCGGTCGTGGTGGCGGTCCCTACGGATTTGCTAGAGGTGGATTGCTCGTTGACAAGGGCGTGGGTCTTGGTGCAAGTGGGTGGCGAGCAGGAAGAAGTGGCGTGGAAGGTCGTAGCAAAGTGTTTGTTGTTGGGGAACACCGATTTAGCCAAGGAAGTGAGGAAGACAGAAAACGGTGAACATTCTGAAGCGGCTGTAGAGTTGAAGAAGAGACAGGTTGTTTTGGGGTGACAATCGCAACCTGTATTCACATAAATATCAGACTAGAACATGATTCCTTGGCTAAAGAAAAGGAGAAGGCAACGATGGATGCACAGATCCATTTCTTTGCGTATGGAACAAGAAGATAGTCTTTTATTTAGTTAGTCCTACTAGGCGTTCTTCAGTAGACTCATCCTCAATGTCCGCAACATCGGTCTTCGTGATGCACGCTGTATCACATTATAGCCGCGCATAGGAGAATGGAAAGGAGTCTTTTTCCGACTTGAATAATTTACAAAATATGGCTGACTGATACTCTAGCTCACTTCCACCTTGGCCATGGTTTCCAACACCTTGCGGCAGATCTCCTCAGTCCGCTCATCAGCGCATTTATGCTTAGGCAGATCCTCCAGCCTCTGCCGCCAGAACTCCCAGCGCTCGACCGAGAACCCGCCTCCCGACCATTCTCCGTCCTCGTCCTCCTCGCCCAGCTTCCACAACGGCCCGTGAGCGCCGCTCCCGCGGCAGTGGCCCTCATGACAGGACTTCAGCAGCTTCGCGGCTGTGTCACGGCTCCGCAGCCACAAGGATGACGCCGGGAGCAGGCTCGCGATTACGTTCTCGGCGGGTACCTCGTGCTTCTTCTTCTGCTTGTTGACGTTGTCCTCGAGCGCGAGGACGATGGCGTTCAAGGCCTCTCTCCGGGAATGTCGTACGCCTGAAGCATCGAGCTTTACAAGGAGCCCGTTCATGTTGTACCACCGACGGGCATGCTCAGACCCTGGGCTCATCTTCTTAGGGTCGAATTCTAGCCGAACATCATTAGCCGGGCAGTCCGTATTCTTTTCTAGAAGGGCGGAGTTGCTATGGTTGGTGCCACCGGGCAGCCTAGATAAACTCACGATGCCATCGTTCTGAAAGCTCCGCGCCCATAATGGGCAAATTCTGCCAAGCGGACACCTTGTCCTTGCCGTCGCTCGAAGTCACCTTGGTGGGCAGCTCCTTGAGCGCGCACACCAGTGCTACGAGGCGGTCCACGGGCTCGGAAGCCTCGATCTGAACGCCCAAGCGGAAGTAAACGTCCCAGAATGTGTGCAGGAATCCCCAAGGGTCGGGTTGGGGCTCGCCCTCGCTGCCCGCCAGCAGCGAGTCGATCTGCGCGGCCGCTGCCGTGGCGGTTGTCTGCGACTCAGGGGGGACGTAGGAAACGAAGACGGAGAACAGCTTCTCTTCCAACCCACTTGCGGCATGTGGACTTGATTCAAGATCGAGATTGAGGGAGTTGGCAATGAGAGGATCGGTGGGCGCCATTTTTTGGTTGCTCTGATAGAACCAGTAATGCGTGCAGAAGGAAAAGAGCTCATGCGTACAGAAGGGAAACAGAAGTCAACGTTGGGCAGGGTGCATTGAGAGCTTCTTCAGATGGTTGAGGATGCGATGTAAGCATGTCTTACAGACGATCTTTATGCTTGGCGCGGCGTCGGTGTGCAAACGGTCGGGGCCTGCCTCAAAAGCCGCCCCCAGACTGCCAAGACATATTACCTCATGTGAGGCTGAAGTGCATTCCAGCTAGCCATGAGTTGTGGGCTTCGGGGTGAATCGTTGCCCTGTCTGTCTCAAGCTGAGTGAGCCCACCCCTATTGAGGAATCCCCGCACACACATATTAATCGACTCTTCCCTTACTTGGATTGAGACAGACCGCGAGGAGCCGATCAGTAACCGTCGATTACTGCATCGGTCAAAGTGATCTGCAGTTGCCTTGCGGTCTTGGGGAAGGATGATTGATGTCTTGCTAAAAAGGGTATTCCGCGGAATAAAGACCGCTGAATGCTATCCATTCTTGTCACGCTATCAGCCCGGTTAAGACTATAACTACTGTACACACACACTTGAGATTGGACAGCTTTAGAACCTTGGGGCCAAGGCTTCCAATGTGTAGAAAGTTTACAAAGTTCTACGCATCTGATCTGGAGACAACTGAACCATTTGAACACGGATTTAGAACTCTGATAAGACTATAATATTGCTAGATGTTGTCGAGACGGTCCGGAAACTGAACAAGTGGAACAGTTTGCTTACGGATCTTCATGCTGGAGCAAAGGAAAGTGAGGAAACTCTCAAAGGTCTGTCCGTCTGGTTCCGGATGCATGGTAGTGTCGCATTATTGACGGCAATAGATCCTTCTCTTATGTAAACACTGTCTCACGAACCCCTCTTTTGCAGAAGAAATGCGCGAATTCTCATGACCAAACCCCCCTTACATACGAGGAGGAAAGCGATGATGATGTGCTGTCCCACCCAAAGCTTGAGCTGAGTGGTCCGCTCGATCGCAGCTGATGCTCTCGACCATGGTTCGTGGTCACCGTCTACGCCGAGCTGCGTGGTTGATCTGTTCCTGACGGGAACTCGCGGCCGAGCTGTTCAAAGCCTCGTCGTATTCTTCTCACAACAGCTCGAAGGGGTGCCGACTTCCCGGATGGCTGAGTAAGTGTCAATGTCCTGACGTGAGACCTCAGGTCCACCTCGGTGTGTCCATACATGACCTGAGCATCCTGTCAGGAGTATCATTCCAACTTCTGAAGATCATCTACCTAAACAGAGTCTGTGTTTTAGAATGAGGATGTCCTCAGAGAGAGGCAGTGTAGAGTCGGAAAATGCATAAGAGCAGCTTGCTCGCAAGCATTTGAGGAGTCAAGGAACTGAATGTAATTCAACAAGCCTCCATCACAGCAACCTTTCCAAGAAATCACAAATTTGTTCCACTCATCACTGCTTGCTGGCCATACAATAGAGCCTACTCAATTCAAGATGGTCAACGTCAAGACTCTTTTCATGGCCTTCCTGGCCACCACAGCAATTGCCAACCCCGTGGGAGTCCTCGAAGAACGCGCCGGTGATGCCGTCAGTAACACAATCAGCTCTCCTCGCACCCAAGCCTCCCAGCCGCCATCTTCTGTTCCACACACACGGATACTGACAACTACTTCCCAGGTCACTTGTAAATACAAGGACGAGGCAGGCAAACAGCAATCCGTCACCTTCTCCACCTCGTCCGCCAAGACCCTCGCGAAGAAGGCCCCCGCCGGCACCGCCCAGACCGCCAGCGGGTACCCGCACGAGTACCAGAACTTCGACAACATGAAGTGGCCAAACTCACAGTGCAACTCCGCCAAGGTGAAGACGCTCGAGTTCCCCATCTTCACGGCCAAGAACAAGCAGAACACCTTGTACGACTACACGAAGAAGAAGGACAACAACAAGCCTGGGCCGTGCCGCATGGTCTACGCCCAGACTGGCGGTGCTTTCTGTGGTATCATGTGCCATGAGAGCATGGTTGAGAACGACGATAGCCGTGGTTTCAAGCTGTGCAAGTAGAGGTGAGTAGTGTTGGCCTGGGTGGGCTTTCTCCTTGGTCAGGGGCTCGGGGGAAGGGTTTGGGGGTGGTTGCAGAGTCTGTAGGCTGGTATCTTTGTCGCTACGCTGGAAATGTCAGGACGGTTTATCAAATACTGGCATAGGACGAATTCATTTGGCATGACAGACAAAGCGGTGAGAAACCAACCAGTTGACACAAGTGACTGTCTACAATGATATCAAGTGGTGGTGATATGGTCCTACTCAGATGTCAATCGTTGGTCCTTCTAATTGTACCTCACCCTGTGTCATCTCAATCTCTCAGGGTTTATAGAAGTCAAAGAGGGTTGTTCAGCTGTATTTTGTAGGCTATCCATATCACTTAGGAGACCGTTACTCCTTGATGAGTTATTTCCTTGAAATCTCTTATTCAAGACTGAGGGTTTTGACAGTCTAGTTCCTTATACAGGCTTACTCAAAAGTCTGGCAGGGCTATGTTCATCCGGATGGCCACTTCACTTTATACCTAAGTACCTAGGTACTTAACCTCAGCCGTTCTCTACCACGAAATGACAAACCAGTTAGTTATACACCACCGTGAACATTTCACCACTTATAGGCGAGGAATTCTGCTCTTGACTTGTGGAAGGAACATCATCAGGATGCTTGGGTGTTTACCAGCGAGCCCGTGTCTCTTCGATGCCGTCAAGCAGCTCAATTCCTAAGCGGAAAAACAGAAGGACCATGTCACCCGATCAAGCCAGTACCACAAATATAGAAGACCAAGCAGCACGGAGGAAAATATGATCAAATTCGTCCTTTAGAAAACCATCTCCCCACGCCGCGACATGCTTTCTCCAAGGACGATAATTATGTTATGCCAGACCGGGACAAATCTTTTCTCCCATCTTTCTTTCTTCTTTCCGTATACACGTTCTCGTACAGTCAAGTCTGTCGGTCTGTTTTGTCTTGGAGTCGGTCGGTTCCCCCTTCCATCCCATATACCATGCCACACGTCTCTTCCTCCGACCCCAGAACTCTGTTGTTCCAGGTCTTCATCCCCAATCAACCCAAGATACACAAGCTAGAAGACGCCACGGATGTAGGGCTCTTGGTTTCGCTAGCCAGATGCTCGACGTCGTCGAGTTACCTCTTCCCACTCAGAAGATCCCCAGCCCCTCACAACTAGCAACAAACGACCGCATCTCCCTACTCATACTCCCACTACTATTCCTCCTCCCGCCCCTGGGGCCGTGCTTCGGCGGCGTGGGCGGGGGCGGCGAGTGTTCTTCCTCATCATCATCATCAAAGACAGCGAAGCGGGGCGTGCCGGCCAGTCCCTACCTGGCAAACACCTTGACCACGCCGTCGCCCCCGCCGCTCACGACCCACCGGCCGTCCTGGCTCCACACCACCGCGCACGCGCCCTCGCCCCGCATGATGCGGTGGGACGTGATCTCCTGCGTGCAGCTGCGCTTCTCGAGGGACCAGAACCGCAGGGAGGCGTCGTGGCCGGCCGAGACGAGCTCGCGGCCGTCGGGTGACAGCGACAGGGCAGAAATAGATGCAGGGTGGGCGACCATGTTGTATGTACATTGGCCTGTGACACGGTTGTCATTAGTAACCTCTCGAAAAGAGGGCCATAGATGTGCTATGATGGTGTCCGACTTACCGCTGTTGGCATCGAAGAACCGAATATATTGGTCCTCGTGGCCAGAAATTATGACACCTTCGACACCGCTGCCCGCCATCTGCCTTCCACCGCCAGTCGGTCCCCCGCCGCCCGAGTTAGAGTCCTCCTCATTGCCGCCATGGCCTGATTGATGTTGACCCTGGTCAAGACCCGAGGTAGTAGCGACAACAGTGTTGACACTCGTGTTGATCGATCCATCATATGTCTCTAAGCTCGCCATGCTGCCGATCTCTTCGCCTGTTCGGGTATCATAAACAACAATGGCAGCATCCGAGTAGCTGACAACAAAGTTTTCACCAGAAGCACTCAGTGCTGTTATGCAGGTTGGCGACGCCGTAGAATTGGGCCGAGAAATGGTGTGCACAAGGGTGTGATGGAATGGGCTGTTGGTTGCCATTGTTGGTTGGGGACTGCTGGGGAATGCGGATCCGGAACTCATGCTATTGCCGCGGACTCGCCCACTTCCACCAGCTCTTCGGCCAGCTGAGGCCGGAGGTGGTTGTGGGCTGGTCAGTTGCGGTGGTTGGCTGACAGCCCAAAGGCGGACCGTACCATCGGCCGCACCAGATGCGACAAGTATACGGTCTGGGGTCCCGTAGGGGTTTTGTTGACCGAACACAGCGCCTAGCGTCGCAGGCAGAACACAGATTGTCCACACGGCATCTGTATGGCCGTCGAGGGTGGCCTTCGGGTCCACTCGTCCGCGTTCCCAGACCCTGATGGTAGAATCTTGGCCGCCCGAGAAAATCCATCCGTCTCCTTGTGCTCGACCGCCTGTGGAAAAGTTGGGCGACGGCGACCATGACGACAAGCAAAGAACAGCACCATTATGGCCACGGTGCGTGAAATCAGCTTGTACATCCAAGTCGGAGACTGCTGAAGCTGCATTGTATGAATGCGGACTGCCTCGGGGAATGTGGAACCGCTTGATCAGGCCATCGTCGCCCGCCGTGCAGATTTCGGGCTCGCCAGGGCTTCCGCCGCCCGAGAAAATGAGGGTCCGTACTGTGTTCAGGTGGCCGCGAAGTCCGAAGCGAAGCTTAAAGTTGCCGCTCTCCACTTTCTGAGCCAAAGCGTTCAGTGACATCTCTTGCTCCCCGCTCCTTCGTCTTGACAGTGAGCTCTTCCTTCGGTGCGCCAATGGTCCTCGGTTCGGCGATTTGGGTAGGTTGTCGGCGGTCGGGAAAACATCGGTATCGGGTCGATTTGAGGTAGACGGCTGGGCATGACCGGCAGGGTCTGGGAACGATGAGTCGTTGAAATCCCATCCATCAGGGTCTATCGCATCTGGTTTCGCCCCATCGAAGCCGACTCTCTCGGACTGAACAGGAGGCTTGGGACCTTGGTTCGATTCTGGGGGTACCTCGTCAATCATCCGGCTGGTGACTGACGCAGATCCGGGCCAGTCCGGAGTGCTATCGTAGCCCTGTTGGCCTTCCGCAGACCTCACCATTGGCTGTGCGACAGCTGCTGGCTGGGGCTGCTGGATATCGGGATTCTTTACCGACAGCTGGCCACCAGATTGTTGCTGCATTGGTTGCACATGGTTGCTCATAGCAGCCGGCTGCCTTCCCAGAACTTCGCGCAAGTTGTTTTGAGCCTGACGATACACGGGGTCCATCTGCTGCTGGTTGTTGGGCAGCCCGTAGCCCTCGCCTTCTCGCAGGTCCTCTAGGATTGGCAGCGGGGGCGATTCGCGTGGAGGCATGGGGTTTGCAGGTGTGATCATTAGGTAGGTGAACTCGGCTTGGCACTGATCGAGGAAGGTCTTGAGTTCGGATCGCTGCGATTCGTCGTCGTCTATGCGCTCGAGATCCACACCCAGATCCTGGGACGCGCCAGGAACCTTCTCGGACGCAGCTGTACATCGTGTCAGTTCGAACGTCGATAACTTGGGAAAGGAGGCGTCGCCAAACTTACACCGCAGTTTTGCCTGTATCAACTCTTCACGGTCCAACTTCTTCGGCTTGGCGCTCTGGTCTTCCACTTCCTTCCCACCGGCAGCGGCCTTGAGTTGTGCAGCCTGGTCCTTAACTTTAGACTCGAGTATGGCCACATACTTCTTCAAGGCCTTCTGTGTTGCATCAGCACGTCTCGCAGCGCCTTCAAGGTTCGCGATGCGACCCTTCATCTCCTGCTTCTCGATCTCCCAGGAGTTCCTGTCGCGCTCATGGCGGTGCCATTCGGTCTGGAGGAAGCGCATTACACCTTGCAGCGTATACTCGGTGGCCTGGGGCTGTGCGCCCGATGGGTTGCCATTGTTGAGCCCGCCGGGGCTGCCTCCCTGACCGCCAGGGTTCATTGCGCCGGCCATATCTCCCGTTGGGCGACTGGGTATGAAGTTTGGAGTGCGTGGGCTTCCCAGCACAACTCCGTTGACGTGGTTCCCGTTCGCGAGGAGGTAGGAAGGTAGGTTCATGCGAGGGGCGCGGTTGGTCCGACGACCAGCACGCTGGGAGAGCTACCCAGGGAGGTGTTTGTCGAAGGAGGCTATTCCGTCGCCCTCCTCGAGTCTCACAGCGATGGCTCCTGAGTTGTGACGGGTTTCTCCTCACGTCGAGTGGGAGATTGTCCTTGTTCGCAATCGCATTTGAGCCGTGGGACAGGGGTTCGGCTGATGTCGGACTGTCAAGCAGCATGCAAGATGCTGTGACAGCTTCGTGGCTTTTGGACGCAGTATGACGAGACGCAGGTACGTCAGTCGGGCCACGACACGCAACGACTCGTTGGCGGTCGCGGTGACTCGTCGCGTGGGGAATCGGGCGGATTGCCGTCTCGATGGGGTCGAAAGAGATGAGAACTGCGTGGTATCAAACACCTTGAGCCGTCGGCCGTCACACAGTCGTTGCGTCGCGGCAATGATGGGCTCTAGTCGTGGGAAAACTCGGCTGATTGTCCTCTTGATTCCCCCCAAAAAGCACGTCGGCCAGGGCGCCAGAGCTCCAAAAGGCTGGGTGCCATTGTTGCCGCCCACCAGCACGGCAAAAGCGGAGCTCGAGCACCTGCCCTGCGCCAATCATGATTTGCCAGGGTCGCCCCTGAGCCAGCACGGGCCACGTATCTCCCTCGAGCTGATCCCTGCTACTAAGTCTCCTAACCCTGACTTTGTTGACGACAAAGCTGAGGACGTCATTTGAGAATGACAACAGCAATCAAGACAACCCACACAAGAATCTCGTCTCTTGTTTGAGATCGAAACCAACATGCAGCACGTACTTGCTGAATGTCTGCCAACTTCTATTTTGCATAGTGAGAAAGTCTAGTACCATTCTCAAATAAAGTATTTATTGACCAGACGTCTAGAGCTCAGTCGCATGCTCAATGTTTTCAGAAAATCCCACGCGGATGAAGACTTGGCACTGATCAAGTCCTAAGAACTGACGACCACCTCGCGGCCGTGCGGGTCATACACTATTGCCCATAACGTTAAACGATGGCTGCCACTCACGGTGTCGTCGCAGGACGCTCAGGCCGCACGTGGGCACTCGGTGGCAGAGATATAGTGGTGCTATCCTGTCAGAGTACCATAAAAATGTCAGTAATTCCGATTTAGGTAGTACAATGTTATGGATCACCCACCAGCTCAATTGAATCAATATGTGGGTTGGAACGAGAAGAAGCCAGGGTTTGAGGCGCAAAATGTGGCTCCCCCCGTGCACAACAGGGGTGGCGTGGTGCAGTGGGCACGCGAAATTTTGTACTGTCGAGACATACAGCTGACCAGATACGCTGCTCAGAAATTGGTAGTAATTCCGATCTCCGCGTCTGTTTGGCCCGTCTGTTCCGCCATCTTCGGATAAGGAACGCAACCCCGGGAATGCACATGATCAACACGGTGACCAGTGAAAGGTATGCCTCCATGCTTTGATTCAAGGCCATTTTTGCGTTGTTGTAAGTGGAAACTCGATGTATCTCCTTATGGTTAAATGGTAGAGTTGTGTCTGGCTTAGTTGGAGTATGCTTATAAAAGAGACGAACGGTGAAGGCAGTAACAGAGGCGAGAATCGGATTGCAATGACCTTTTATGGGTTTATCCCAAACAGTCGAACCAAATTGAACAACAGAAAATAGCGAAGGGGAGCACCTAGATTTTGGATTTTGATATTATCAGCCACAATGGGCTGCGGCCGTGAAAGTTCGGCTGAGACAAGAGTCCCAATGACTCTGCAAGGAAGTGATGGCATGCAATGTTCATAAACGATGACCTTGAGGGCCAATCAGAAGCTCCAGATTCTGGGTATGCCTCTTATTGCAAGCCACTGAGACCCTGCAACACCACCTTGAAGAGGACCGAGGTTAAGGTGAAGGTCTCGAGGCGATGGGGCGGGATTGACGATGCGGCCATCGGAGGGCTACGGTGATTCGGCATGCAAGAGCCTCAGTTGTGGCTTGGTTCCCGCAGACCTCGCGACCTGACGCCCATCACGTTCATTTCCGAATATGGAAATTTTGAAAAGTGATCAGCCCCATCTCCGCAATGCCTTACAGCGTACACGGAATCACAGAGCCAGTGTCCACCTCCAGATTGTGGACAGAACCCGGAAGATGGCGAGCCTTGTAGACGGCGCACAGCCCCTGAGGCACCCGTGCATTAGTACACGATTTTGAGGCCAATGAAGGCCTCCAGAGAATGGTTAGCTGCAGTTGACCAGGGATCGACGTGGCAGCGTCAGCAGCATATGTCATAATACTCGGCTCGGGTGTGCGGGAAGAGGAGTCTTAGCGATCAACCTTGCGTTGCATAGCTCCCACAAATACCAGGGTTGGATTAGGTAGTCTACTCTTTTGCTGCCAGTGAGAGAAAAACCCGCTTTGGGAAGGTTGGTACCTAGCTGTAGCTTTGCCACTTCATGTCATGGACGGGTCAGCGTCACTTGAACAAGTTGCTTCCTCCGAACACGGTGGCACTACCTTCATACAAAAGCTTGTATCTGTTAACACGGACCAATAATCTTATAATGTGATCGTCCAAGCCTTTGGGCATTCTTTGCGCCGTTACACAATATGGTCTTCAGGCTGTGACTGGTCAGATTTTGGTCCGCTGCATATGTGTTGTCCTGGACTAGGCCAGCTTCGGATGCCGCCCAAGAACGTAGCCTGCATGGTTCGCATTCATTGTGTTGTTTGAATGTCTGCCAAGAATGCTTTCATGTATAAAATTGCAGTCCGCCCTCCCGTTGAGACAACTTCCAATGCCTGACTCTTGCGTTCTCACTGTACCTTACTCGAGTCCTACATGTTGAAAACTTACATATCCTATTCCATGATTTATAAATGCCAATTCTAACTCCAAGAGTGACCTTTCAAGATCGAGCCTCTACGTTGTTGAAGGCTGAGCCTTACTACATGGAATCATGAGTCCACCGTCATCTGCCGAGCCAAGCGTCACAACTCTTGAAAGCCTGTGGCTTCAGCACAAGGATATACTTCATCGCTTATACATAATTGAGAACAAAACCCTGAGCCAGGTGAAATATGCCATGGAGAGTGAACATAAATTCCCGGTACTAAGGTTGGTGTTTAACGATCTTTACCATTTATGTGAGGAGTCCAGTCATATCAGGCTCTGACCCTACTAGGTTACACGACTACGAAATTGCCCTTCGAGAGCTTTTGAAGCTTAGAAAGAATCTGAAGAAGGAAGATTGGTATTCCATAGGAATTCACGTCTCAAATCGGAAGAGACAAGGCAAAGGGAGTGAGGTGTTGTGGAACAATATTCCCATGACGGCAAGGAAAGTTCGGAAGGACGTCCTCAGGAACCGAAAGCTGGACCGACTCTGCTATCAAAGTAGTAAGCTTATACTCTTGATCTCCTCCATCTCAGAACTTCCAGAGTTGGCTGCTGAACTAGGATGACAGGAACAGCTGAGCTACCGGTCGGTGTGGTTATCAGGACCCCTCCTAGCTCACCGCCGGGGCAACTAGCTGTCATCGAACCTCCTACAGGACTTCGTTCGGATACAGAGCACGTCGTTTCGGCATCGCCTCAGAGTATTTCAAGCATCTGCCAAGTTGATTCATTCAGCTGGGACGTCGAGGCCGCGCATCTCGACCCGACTCACGATGGTACTTCACGATTCCGGCAACTGCGCAGCAACATCCCATTCAATCGATTCATGTCAGAATTGCTGGAACTTGGTAAGTTAAACTAGGAATGGTGAAGGTTAAGCACATAAATCAGAACTAACCAGTTTCATCAAAGCAGCAAAATCACACCCTCTGATCATCGATATGCCAGCTGAATGGACTTGGACGCCCGGACCCCGGATATTTGGCAGCAATCCGTCCCTGGACGTCCTTGCACGTGTCACTTTTCAGCTGTCGAACAAATTATGGATAGACTGGACAACCGACGATAACAGCTGGTTCCTACATTGGCTGGGAGTATCTGCCGACGTCACGATGCTGAGAATATTCTTCTCCATCAAGTCACCAACAGTCTGCGCAGCGTATGAAGATTTGTGCCAAGCAGCCACGTATCTCAGGCGATCGACCGCTGCACGCATGCTGTTCGAAATCCAGGACACAGTGAGAAAGAACAGCCCTATGACTGCTGACGGGGTACAATTTCTCGAGATTGCGGTGAGATTCGGATCCAGGGTGGATGGCATGCTGGACGTTGCCAAGCGTGCGTTGAAGTCTTCAGCGTCGTCATATGAACGATCGCACGGTGACCGACGCGACGCCCAATGCATTGAGCAACTATTTTTCACAGCGGCAGCTCGTCGGGATACAGCAATCATGGAGACTCTCGTCGACGCTCTCGGATATTGTCATCATGAGACCCATTTTGAGTCCGATAGCGCCATACGGAGGATATCTCTCGTCATGCGCCAAGTCTATGCCTGGGATCCCGAGGAAGTCAAAGACGGTTACAACATCGTCGACTACATTCAGCTCCTCGTAAAAGGCGGCATACTGTTACCAATCATCCCAGCACGGTGTTGCGATGATGGCCGCCCCAAGGTTGCGATTCGTAACCCTTCAGCAATTACAATGGATGAACTGGTCATGATTAGCCCGCCGAACAAGCGAAGAAAACTTTATTCTGTGGTCCTACGGTACAGCGACCAGCACAGAACGTTTGTAAACAACGCGGGCGTGTTCACGGCAGCGCTGGGAGGAGCCCGAGGTCTGCTGGATTATCTTCAGTCACGCAAACAGAACGATGCCTCCGAGATACGCGCAACTATGCAGGAATGCTTGTTGTTTGCCGCTAGCCTGAACGATACACAGACTGTATCGGCCCTGATAGAACTGGGAGTAGACCCTGGAACTGGACTCCTGTCGCACAACCAAGAACCCTATCGCAAGGGAGATTTATCATGGAATCCAATGATTGTTGCAGCGGCAGCTGGGAGTCTGGAGACCTTGAATTTGCTCAGGGAGACTAGCGATTTGGATCTATTCCTGGAGTCGGCTCCTCTCTACGAAATATGCCACGTGGAGGATCCCCAGACCAAATACTGGGATGTCGAGGGCAGAGAACTCCGTCGGCTCGAAAACTTGCGCCGACATCTCCTATTCAGTCACACGATTGACTCGGACGCCGTTGTTGCGAACGGTACGGTGAATATTCCCATGCTCTGTCGCAATGACTTACTCACGCCCGTCTCGAGCTGGCTTAGTCTGGACGAGCAGTCGAGGTTTTTTACCGTCGAAAAGCGGCGTATCAAGACAATCGCATTTGTTCGAACGGCTGCAATGGTGCACAGAGTTGGCGCCAGAATCGATAAAGAGATAATCGAGGCGGCTTTGTGCTATTGCCCGGAGACCTGGCCCTTGCAATGCACCAATGTGGCATATCACCCATGTGATGTCCTGCTGTTGGACGGATTAGTCGACGCAAATCTTGACTATCACGAGAACGATATGGATCTACTCCAACTTAGCATCCGTGCTCAATGCAGCTTGGCAGTCGTGGAATTCCTTCTTAGCAAGGGACTCCGTGTTCATTCTCGGGCGGCCGTGCAGTCTGGGAACACCATGTTGCATGACGCACTGCTCAGCGAGTCTCGCGATAGGTCCAAGATCGTGCACCTCTTACTTCGCGAAGGCGCAGACTACCAGCATATCTCAGAGGGACTTTCAGTTTTGGAGGCGTCGTTGCACCGAGGCTTCTCGCAGGCGGCCGGCCCTTATTCAGACTATTTGGACATCTTCACCCATCTTTTTGAGGCCGGTGCTCCGGTCCGACACAGAACACGGCCACAACCCGAGACATGGAACCCCCTGGTATGTCAATTGATACGTGCCGGAGCGGAAGACGACATTATTCTCCGGGTCGTAGATGCGGGGGCAAGTTTGAATGAGCAACGCCGTGTAGTCTACATATCGATGCCGCTCATAGAGGCCATCTTCGGCGGCCGTGAGAGACTAGCTGAAGAGCTCATTCGCCGTGGGGCAGATGTCCATGCACCAGCAGGTGACGATGGGGGTTTGACAGCCTTGCAGGCCGCTTGCCGACACGGTAGCTCGTTCCAATTCATCGAGTCTCTCATCAGAGTGCATGGAGCTAATGTCAATGAGCCACCCGGCGAAAATGGTGGCAAGACTGCCCTTCAGTTCGCCGCAATGAGTGGATCCTTGTCTTTGGTAGAGTTCCTGCTCGACCACGGCGCTGACGTAAACGCTTTAAGCGGCAAGTACGAAGGTCGGACGGATCGGACGCGGGTGCTTGATGTTGCCGCCTGGCTTGGATTCCTAGACATGGCTGAGTTTTTGCTGAAGGCTGGTGGTCGGAGTGGCACCCCTGGTCTTGGTGGAGCCATTCATTTGGCCAAAGTAAATGGCCATTTTGCGTTGCTCTCGGTCCTACTAGAGTGGGAGAAGCGAAACGGCATGAGGATGCTCGAGGAAGAAGCTGAGTGGCAGCAGCAACACCCTGATGCCGCCAGTGAGAGTGCAATGCAGCGTGCGTACATTGGCGCCTGACTAAGCCCCCCTACAGTTCCTCTGGGTGCCTTCCTTTTTGCTTAAAGAGATAGCGCCCAATTAACTTGAATTGACGTACTTGAGGCCAGCTGCTATGTCTCTGATCCCTTTCGTGACAGCCAGCTTGCTTTCAAACGGAGTCAGAATGACGAGGGTCTTTCTAGTAAATTTGGCATAGCTCACAGAGTGAGGATGATTTCCACAGTCACAAATCTTTGAAGCTATCAAGACTGATTATCGGTGGTGGTCATGCTGTCAACCGACCAACAGTGTGAATTCTCCTATCTCGACGTGTCCTTGCTAAAGCTACACAAGACGTCAAGCACATAAGGAATCAGCTCTTTAGTGTCAAAATGGATAAGTAAGGGCTGGAATCCATGAAGTCATATTCTATCCCAACTATGTGTGTTTTACATTTGCAGTGACATGCAACTTCAAACTGGATTATCTCCAATGTTTTTGATTAACATTATAACTATTCTAAGTCGAATAATTGCATAATCACATTAAATTAATTTTGCAGAGGTCGCACAAATGCTTGTAGCAGTGGCGTAGGCCGAAATAGGGGGCTCAACAGCCAGCTTGGGCGTGTAAAGGAGGAGGGAGAGAAGAGCGATCACGACAGCATTCTCAGTAGCGAGGAAGTTGCCGAGGTTAAGACCAGTGGCGAGGTATTGCTTGCACAGGGTGGTCAGGTCGACACGGCTGGTTTGCCCAGGGCCGGCGTGGGTCAGAGCATCCTGGATGAGGGCGAAAGTGATGGGATTGTAGAGCATGCCTTCGTGCGTGTAAAGGGAGCCGGCCACGCCGCCGGGGCATACCAGCTGAACCTCGTTGTTGGTGATGCCGACGCCACGAGCGTCGAGCAAGTACGCTGATGCACCTGTGCCTGACTGTGGCTGGACAACCTCGTCGAAGAAACCAGAGTACAGGACGGTAGTGGGGACGTAGCCGCTGTCACCGCCGTTGGCGCGCAGGGTGGTGATGAATTTGGAGAAATACTCTTGCTGGAGGACAGATGGGTCGTTGGTAAGGCCGGTCAAGTCGGCAAAGTCGGCGATAACCGTGCCCTTGTAATCGGGGGAGATGGCGACGTGGTCACTGGTCACATTACGGGTCGACGGCCAGTACTTGTATGCCCACTGAGAATCGATGTTCCCTTGGGACCAGGCGATCATGGAGACGTTGCGAGAAGTCAGTGAGGCAATGTAGTTGATAGCGTACGCGGCATACTCGGCGTTGCGCTGGGCGTCGTTGAGCAGCTGTCCGGGGACGTTGACCCAGACGGGGTCTGCGTAGCTGACACCGGTCAAGAGGGGAATTAGATTTCCGGAAAAGGTCTGGTAACCAGTGTTGCCAGTGCCGGGAAACAAAATGACTGGGGGCTTCTCTCCGTAGGTGAAAGTGGATGGAATATGGATGGCCTGGCGCAAGGCAGTCTCAGAGAGGGAGTAAGGTGCGTCGCACGCGCCCTTCTTAGGGTAGACGGGTGCCGGTGGGTTGGGGTTGCTGTTGGTGAGACTGTTGGCAGCAGTGAACTGGCCGAGAGTGCTGGTAAGGAGTGAGTTGATGTTGCCGACGACAAGACCGTTGGCAGCAAGTGCAGCGGCGTATTCAAAGAGACTGGAAGGAGAAGCTGATTGAATGGCTGCAAGGGTGGCGCTGGCCTGAGATACATCGGTAGGGGTGGCTGTAGCTGTGACTTTGTTCAAGGCAGAAGTGAGGGCGCCCAGGTTCCCGGCGCTGACAGCAGAATTAATATCAGAAAAGACAGGGCCCAGGACCCCACCAAGAAGGCCACCTATGAGACCCCTCTCTTCAAGACCCGAGAGCGAAGGTGCAGGTGTGACCTGAGGAGCAGGTGGAGCAGCAACGACTGAGCCAGCGAGGCCAGCGAGGGCAATGGCGATGGGTGCGGACCTCATCTTCTTGACGCGGTAAGAGGTCGACTTACGAAAAGGCTGGGAGCATCTGGGCCTGCGATGTCTACGAAGGAGAATACATAGTCTCTCTTACGACTATAGCAGGACGACTTGGAAATATATGCTCGGCGATTGACATTGTTTACGCTAATGCGGGGTGACTTGTAAGCATAGATCAATGATAGACTAATTACAATTCTAGTGCTAAATGATTTGGAAAGTGTAGATCTGATGCCGATCCCGTTGCGATGCCTCGGAAAAGAAGAACTCCACGCCCCAGACGTTAGACTCGTGCACGTGTCGTGGTAGAGGAATAACATGCCGATCCTACCTCAACCCCCCCCTTTCGGAGAGGCTCGGTCGCTAGCGCGACTCCGACCAGTTCTCCTTACAGAACGGGAACACGAAAATGAAAGAGGAGTTGAGTGTCTGCAACGCTTGTCTGTTGATCGCTTAGGTCCTACTTAGTTTCGCACCGGGCCCGTGGCGTCGGGGACGGCAACACCGAGATGCCAAATCGGAGCACAGACAGAAACTGGCTATTCTTTTTCAAGTGGACTACCTGCCACGTTCCTGCGTCAGAATGGATTCCAAGCCATGTCTTTGCCGAACGTCGTGAATGAGGCGTCTCGCTCAAGAGCGACGGATCCAAGAGACAAGTCATGCAGCGCGTTGGGGCTGGTGCCCTCTCTATGGGCTGGGCCGTGTGATGGAGCAAATCTTCTCGCAAACCCCTTCCGTCTTTGGTCTAGTGTCGGCTGTAACACCTTCCATAACATTGCCGCCGTTGTGGCCCAGCACGAACCCCCAGCTACATGAATACGAGCGGCCCATAAATCTAACTTGAACTCTCTTCGGCTATCGACTTGTACCATCGGAGGGGTCATCCGACGCTGAGTTCCGAGGGGGTTAGCACCACCGACACTATCCTTCTCATCCTAGGACCGGAAAATCGCGTCGTCTCTCGGCACCGGCGCGATCGACGGCGCAATTGCTGCCAGCTCCGGACATCAACCTTGTCCATCGGGCCGGGCCCGCAGAGCCTTCGCAAGGTTCACCCTCAAGTGTGCCGCCGTCCGTCAGGGAGTCCCTAAAGACCGCCCGCGCCGTCGCATCGTAGAGGACCGCGAGAAGGTCCATATTCCCGTCTCCAGCAGAAACGAAACGCCTTGACCTCACCCAAAACGTCCACGAAGTCGGGCCCGCCCAGCTGCTCCAGGCCCACGCCCACCACTGCATCATCGGGCAAGGTCGATGCATTGCCGCGCCGGGAGGGAGGCGTATCGCATGACGGGAACGCCCATACTCGAATCCACCGGGCAACGATGCAGTTACTACAGTGAAGACAAACCTTTACTGTCGGCATCTTTTCAATGCGATCTAGCGCGTGATCATGAGGCAAGGTGTACCACAGGACCTATCGCGCTATGTCTTGTATGTGTAATTCAATTCTCACCCCACCCCAATGGCTATCGAGTCGACTGGCAACTAAAGGCACCAAAAAAGGACACCGGGATAAACTCCTAGGCAAGTCTCGCCATAATACGATGAATCACCCATGGCAATGGGTCAAACCTGTTAACACAACGAGGTATGTCAACATCCGCCGCGACCGAGGTTGACGGTCACCTGGACCTGAACCTGCTCATTTTCAACAACATGGGAATTTAATACCACGTCTCCACCCCACTTGCATTCAGTTCTGATCTGAAAAAATAGTGTTTGTTAGTCGAAAATCCTCGTGTAGATCGAAACAGTCCTTACTTGGTTCATGAGCGAGAGGCAAGTTTGGAAGGTGGGACGTGGGCCTTTGAGGCTGGTGAGAACCAGGTCGATATGGTTACCCGCGAGGTATTCGCATTTTCGAACCTAAAGAGCATCAATATACACCAGTCTCCTTCGAAGCCCTGTTCCCTGTCTGAATCGTCTTACCGCGGAGCCTGAGCCTATATTCCAAGTTGTATCGTCGGAAACTTGTTGGCAGATGTGGCTGATCCCAGCGTCTCCCGCAATTTGATCGCCAATATCGGACCAACTGGGACGGGCTATGTGCCTGCTGGGGTCTGCCATCGGAAAGCAGCCTGTCTCTTTGACAGGCACTTTGGCAGTACACCCAACTATGAATGGTAGAACAAGACCTATGATGGGAATTCGTGAGTGCATGTCAGCCGATCTCTCTGCGTTCCAACGTTTTTCAGACGAATTTAGATTGTGCCAGTGGTTGTTGTGATTCATGCCAGATTGGAGGAATGGTGCTTGCAGACATCTAGAGCTGCTCTTTGTCCAATGCACTCAAAGCAATGACTTCTTGCAGGATAGAGCGGAAGCCGTATTCTTTGTAGGGGGTAACGACAGGACATGCAATGAAGGCAAGTACCGTGCCGAGGCGGAAAGGTTACGAAGCATCCTACGGGCCAGTGAGTGGAACTATGTCTTAAACGTCAACAGAATCAAGATGCATTATGTTTGTCCAGTCGAGTCTTTACCAAGCGTAACTCTGCTTCGTTCGTTGTCGGATGGCTTAAGTAAAAGACTTAAGACGACACCGATGTAGACCGCTCTCGACAGTTCGTTGCGACCAATGATAATTTAGACGCAGATCGCTAATATTATGAGCTGAACTCGACCCGAGCATATTTTCGCTTGCCCTCTCTCATTCAACATGAGCTCTTCGTCTCGGCTACATGCGCAACGTGCATCGGGTATTGCATTGCCCAATACAAGTGATAGTCTATACCAAGAACAACGTCATGCCGTACCACCAACTGAGAGCGAAAAGTTCCGCCTATGTCCAGGCCTTAAAATTTATCACCCCAAGGAGTCGAACAAACCATTGTAGTCCACACCCTGTTCTCAAATCGAGGCCCCGACTATTTGATGCGTCTTGTATGAAATGAGCCCCCTCTTTTGCCTGGAACAACACTCCGAGGTGCCCTCTAACTGGACACACGGCCAGAGGGCACATGCGCAGGACTAGCGCCCCAACGTCCTGCCTCGTACGAGAAAGAGCACAGATGGGATTCGATCGTTAGAATTTGAAACTTACCCGCGCGCAGCATCTATTTTGGATTCCGTTGTCTTGTCTCACGATCCGCGGTTCCTGTCCGCCCGAGTCCCTAGTCGGGGTGCGACGCCTGGGACACCAACCTTTTCTACCCACGATACCGACTGAGTTCTTTTCCTAGTCTCATTTCATATCTACTGAATCATGTAGTCTCACTTCCTCAGACAGGGGTAAATCCCCGTCGGATGGAAAGTATTTTGATCTGTTGGCTTCCATCGCTAGCTGTGCGATAATTAAGATCCATGCTAGTTCAATCATCCAAAGTCTCGTGCGCCCGTGGTTAGAGATCCAACCCCATCCCGACATGCCTACTCCCCTTCTAGCTAGCAGCATGCGGTAACCCGTGTTTTGATGGCTTTCAGCTTGCTTAAGCGCAAAAGCAATGATTGAGCCTCATAGTAGGCCGCCAAGAAAAAAAAAACATACTTCTGAGCAAATTTCAGGGTTGTCATGTCGTCGACATTGCAAGACGGTGGAAACTTAAACTGCCAAGGTAGGACTCTCCTTGTACATACGTTCCCGGAGCATGTGGGATCCGGGGCTAATGTCCAATGGTTCTATTTTGGTGAGTCCTCACTTCGAGCAGTGCACTTCGTTGGATTCGCAGGCTACGATGCTTACCGTGCAGATTCGTGCATGGACTCAGAAGCAATGATTTATATAGGTTTGGCATCCAGACCAAATTCGAGTTATCCCCAACTAACATCCTCGAGTGTCCAGCAAACATCACCTTGCCCGGTAAATTACCAGTTTTTGCAATTAATGAAACCTGTTGTGTCGAGACTACCTGGATTCACAATATCTTCAGACCTACAATTTAAGTATTCCCTCCGCCGAGCTTCGTTGGCTCTTCAACGCTATGGCTTCCAAGCTGTGCTCGCTCTTTCTCGTGTCAACACTCGTTTCACAGGCACTGTCTGCTCCGTCTGCCGGCGCACCTACTACTGGAATCGTCCAAATGCCCATTGCTCACTTCAGTAGCAACGAGACCGGTCCCCTTCCACTGGTCGATGTCGGCCTTGGAAGCCCTCCTCAGACGGTCAAAGTGATTATCGACACTGGCAGCAGCGACCTGATCTCACCAGAGACCGGAAGCTCCGTCTGCAAGAAGCCCCAGCAGCTCTGCACGCAGAACTCGTTCGGCCTGGTCCTGGGCTCCTTCAGTCCAAATGCCTCAGCTGGTGTCGAGGAGACTGATAACCGCCTCGATATCACCTTTGGGACAGGAGAGTCTTACCAAGGGCCTTATGTGAAGGCCGATATCGTACTTGGTGACAACAATCAAACCGTGCCGGCTGCCCAATTTGCGCTCCAAGAGGAAGGCTTCGTACCTGACGGTGTCCCTTCCTTCGCTGTCTTTGGAGTTGGCCCGGTTGGAAACGAGGCGTCTAACAACTCGTATTCGAACGTCCCAATTCGAATGAAGGAAGCCGGAGTCACCAAGACAAGCGCATATGGCGTTTACCTCAACGATTTCAGTAAGTCACCACCTCGGAAACGCATTTACGAGCACTTGCAGCCTGGTCTAACTCACCCTGCAGGGGGCCCGCCAGGATCCATCGCGTTTGGCGGCGTAGACAAGGCCAAATTCACTGGAGAGCTCCAAGCAGTTCCCCTGCTCGCCGATGACCAGGGACAATTCCCACAATTCGTCGTCAACTTCAGCTCCGTTGCGCTTGCCGAAGGGGCTGGGCAGAATGGAACGGCCAACAAACTATCATCCGCAAACCTTCTGAAAGAGACACTACCCGCCCTCCTCGACACTGGCAACCCCGAGCTCGACCTTCCTACGGACACAGTCCGAGCAATGGCTCAGGCACTGGGCGTCGAGACACGGACGAATAAGAATTCCGTCTTGCTTGGGGATATCCCTTGCAGCCTCGCCTCCATGTCCATGGTCTTTGGGTTCGATAATGACGCGACTAAGATCAACGTACCTCTCGACCTCTTGATGACCCCAGCCGCCACGGCTGGGCAATGTTCCATTCCATCGATCATAGGTGTTGAAAATGGTGTGCTCGGTGGGCTCACTAGTTTAGGAAACCCGTTGCTCCAGGCCAGCTACGCCGTTTTTGACAGCGAGGGGAAGAAAATCATGCTCGGACAGGCCATAATGAATGTAACAGAAAGTAACTTGGTCGAGTATACCGGTTGAGTTAAATTCCTTGCAGGATCGGCAAGTTGGGCCGCGCTGGCGTGTACTCTACTTTTCACCGAATGATTTCGATTTTGATGGTCTATCAAGCTTGATTGAGCTGAGCAGAGGATCTATTTCAAGCAGATTCCAGGCTACTTATGGGTTCCTGAATGTTTTGAATAATGTTATGTTTCTTAATACTGTTACAGAAGCATAGGACCAGTGTTTCAGGCCTTGATCACTATCATCGATGTTTGATTAATATCTGCTTCAACCACGAGTAATTACATCGATTACCAAGTTTGAAGAAAGAACGGACTCTAGCGGCTGCATGATTTGCCCAAGTGGCGAAAGAATATTCCCGTTAAGAACCTTTCCCACCGTACAGACTTGATTTTCATTTATTTGAGCCTTCTCAATCCACGTTTTTTCCACTTGTGAACACGAGTTTTCGCAAAAAAGTATGTTGAGCTGCAGATCATCTTCAATGAAAACCACCATTGGACTCTTCATGGACGTTCCTTCGCAAATGAAGAGCCGCAAAAGCGGGATATACATATTGGTGCGTTGGCTCAGCCTCATTCTCACCCCCCATGATGACAAAAAGACGCCGTAAAGAGTGGCTGTCGTGGTTTCGCCTCCGTGCCGTCATATCCGCAATCCCCGGCCGACCACTGACCGGCGAACCAACAGGTGTCGATCGCTGCATCAAAATCAGGTATGCGAAGGCGCATCGCATGTTTCCGCAAATAGACCGGCTGTACTAATGCCCAGCACCTCTTGTTCAAATAAGCTCGCTCTCCATTTTCGGATCCTGCAATTTGCTTCATCAACTTCACATTCATCTTCACGAAAAGGATTGCCAAACTTCACAAGCATAAGACTTCACGATGAAGATCGACGTCGCCTTCAGTTACCTCTCTCTAGCGATCCTCGTGGCGGCTGAGGACATCGACGAGCACGACGTTCCCCAGGCGTGTGTTTCCGACTGTCGCAGCTTGATTGACCTCTCTGCCCGATGCGAAAACAGCACGGATGGTGACTCTGCGTTCAATGCTTGCGTGTGTGGTGACACAAGTGCTGAACCCGCGTTCAACTCTTGCGCCGCTTGTGCCAAACAGAATGGCTTCACGTCAAACGATGACAACGGTACACACTCGACCGTCATTACGAGCTTGACTCTCGCAGAGACAAGGTTCTTTTCGCCCTTCGACGCTAGACAACGGCTGACAGCGCACTTCTACAGATGTCGCGTCTCTGATGACAGACTGCGGCCTGGACTTCAATGCAGCAAGCACCTCCGGCGGAAATAACGCGGACACCGTCGCGACCAGCACTGTCACTTCCGTATCGGGCTCGGGCACCGTCATTTTGAGCACGACTTCTACGCGATCAGCGGCGTCGCAGGCTTCCGGAAGCGGAGCCACATCGACACATGGATCGGCGGCGGCAGGAGCACATGCAACTGCTGGCATTGGAGCCGTGGTCGCTGGGTTGGCTTTGGGAATTCCTGCACTGATCTAATTTCCGAATAAGTAGTTGATCGAATATATTTGTGACAATCAGCCCTTCGAGCCTTGCTAGTCCACATACAAGGACGACAACGGAACCACCCACACTGACTATCACATTACTGTCGACATGATTTGGACAGATACTCGAAAGTCTCGGCTGAGGCGGAATTTTCATATACTCGTAAACCCGAGGACAGGTGCTCTGGGCGACAGTCAGTGGTTCCGAGTTAGGAGAATTCAGTACACATGCAATTGCACTGCAATCACATGTGTACAAATCTCGAAGCGGATAAGGCACCCTGTGGTCTCTGTTTAACAAAACAGCAAAGGATATTCGGACGCATACTATTAGGGTAAATAGCAAGGAAAGGAGTTTTGCGCTTGCTTCACCCTAGCCCTGTGATTCACTCAGCTTTACTGGTGTTCCATGCAGATGCAGATCAGTTCTCCGTATGTCCTTTGTTTGTGAGAACACAATAACGTTTCTGCAGGGGTGAATATCGAGTGACTGCATTTCAATTCTTGTGAAATTTGTATCAGTTCGTCAACTGTAGCCAAGCTTCCTCATACATAGAAGCTTTCGCCCAGAATTGCCAACTGCCGAATGGCGATTGCAGTCTTGGCTTGTGAGCAATCTCGGGTTGACAGACCTGATCCATGGATGCTGCCAAGGGCGGGACCTGCATCCGGGACTGGTCTAGTCCATATTGATGATTATACGTCGTGATAAACATTCAGAGCGTCTCCACCGCGCCCGAGGTTCCTCTGTGGGGAAGCGGGGGAGGGCTCAGGACCGTTGTAGAAAGCTGGCAACGTTGCGTTGCAGGCCGGGGCTAAATCGCGTCGAACCCCTCAGATCCACAATATTTCGGGGGAGACTTGTCGCGAGCGGCTATTATGAGTACCAACACGCAGACTATGGCGCGACTCGCGAGCCATTGATGGTCGGTTATAAGATACAGGAGGCCCGCTGGGTCCGGCAGAAGTGTAGCAGATGGATGACCACGCGAGCCAGTGCCTGAAGTGGTGGATATCTCTCGTTCACATCGCCAGCCATGCACTCTGTTCTCCGAGCCGCGGGCAACGCCGGCGGGCTTCTCGTGGCGTCGATCATCCTGCCGCTGTGCTCCCACCCTGCCAGTGCTCACCCTGCGGTACCGAGGGCCGAGTCGACAGCCGTTCGTGAGCGCACAAGCATCAACAGCGCGTGGAGGTTCCAGCGGTTCGAGGAAAACCCCGACGGGCTATCCTACAATGACACCCTCAAGCCATGGATCCTCCCACAAGCCAACGACTTCATTGTGGACGGCACCCCGTACCCCTACCCAACAAACAGCACGGCCCCAGGCGCGGATGTGATCTACGTCCAGGCGTCCTTCGACGACTCGGCATGGGAGCAGCTCAACCTGCCCCATGACTGGGCCGTAAAGGGCCCGTTCCTCGCAGAGGGCATCAGCGGCGGCATGGGTCGTCTGCCGTCCAACGGGGTTGGCTGGTACCGGCGCAATCTCACATTCGACGAGGCTGATGTGGACGGCACCAAGTCCATCTACTTGGACATTGACGGCGCGCAGTCGCACGCCGCTGTCTGGCTTAATGGGAATCTGGTTGGTGGTTGGCCATATGGGTACGCCTCGTTCCGGGTCGACCTGACGGATCACGTCAAGGCTGGGGAAGACAACATCCTTGCCGTGCGACTGGACAACGCGAAGGAGTCGTCTCGCTGGTATCCTGGTGCAGGTATCTACCGCAATGTGTGGATCGTGAAAGCCTCCAAGGTGCACGTTGCGCAATCCGGCACCAAGATCCGAACACCGACTGTTTCTGCGGACTCGGCGACAGTCGACCTGGTTGTTGAAGTCGAGAATAAGCTGGATGAAGCCCAGACCGTTGACGTCGCGACTGAAGTCCATCTTCTTGGATCGGATGAAGTTGTGGCCACCTTCACCAAGGCATCGGTGGACGTGGATGCTCAGGGCAAGGCATCTGTCAACGGTTCGGTGACCATCACGAACCCCCAGCTCTGGGGTGTGCTGCCCTCCGGCACACCAAACCAGTATGTTGCTGTCACGACTGTCTCGTCCGGAGACTCGGTCCTCGACACATACGAGTCCAAGTTCGGCATTCGCACCCTCGAGTACACCTCAGAAGGTCTCTATGTCAACGGCGAACGCGTCTATGTCCAGGGAACGAACAACCACCACGACCTCGGCAGTCTCGGCGCCGCATTCAACTACCGCGCTGCCGAGCGTCAGCTCGAGTACCTTCGCGAACTGGGCTCCAACGCCCTCCGCATGTCGCACAACCCTCCCGCGCCCGAGCTCCTCGACCTGGCCGACGAGTTTGGGTTCCTCGTCATCAACGAGGCCTTTGACGTCTGGAACCGCGCCAAGGTCGACAACGACTACCACCTCCTTTTCCCCGAGTGGCACGAGGCAGACCTTCGCTCCTTCGTCCGCCGTGACTTCAACCACCCCTCGGTTATGGTCTGGAGCATCGGAAACGAGATCCCAGAGCAGTCCACCGCCGAGGGCGGCGCCACAGGCCAGATCCTAAAGGACATCGTCGACTCGGAAGACGGCACGCGGCCCATCACCTCAGCCCTGAACAACGCCCAGCCCGGCTCGGCCCTCGCCAACGTCCTCGACGTCGAGTCCCTCAACTACCAGGGCGAGGGCCGCGGCGCCAGCTACAACGGCAGCTTCCCGCGCTTCCACGCCACCTACCCGGACAAGCTCCTCTGGACGAGCGAGAGCGCGTCCTCGCTCAGCTCGCGCGAGACGTACATCTTCCCCGTGGTGGGCAACCAGTCGGCCGAGGTGTTCGACGGGTCGGGAGGTAACAGCACGGCGCAGTACGTCAGCGCGTACGAGCTGTACGGGCCCTACTGGGGGTCCTCGGCCGACAAGGTCTTTGCGCAGCAGGACCGGTACCAGCCGTTCGCGGGCGGCGAGTTCGTCTGGACCGGCTGGGACTACATCGGCGAGCCGACGCCGTACGACGGGGATGAGTACACTGCTCGTAGCTCGTACTTTGGCATCATCGACCTGGCCGGCTTCAAGAAGGATCGCTGGTGGCTGTACCAGGCTCGTTGGGCCCCCGAGGTCCGCAGCGCCCACATCCTCCCGCACTGGAGCTGGGATGGTCAGCGCGAGGGCAAGGTCACACCTGTGCACGTCTTCTCGTCTGCTGATGAGGCGGAGCTCTTCGTGAACGGCAAGTCTGCTGGCAGGGTTACTAAGGCTGAGAGCGAGTACCGTTTCCGATGGGACAACGTTACTTACTCCCCTGGTAGCCTGAGGGCTGTGACTTACAAGGACGGAGAGGTCTGGGCTGAGGAGGAAGTGAAGACTGTCGGCGCCGCGGCGTCTCTTAACATCACCGCTGATCGCACTGCCATCGCGGGTGACGGTTACGACTTGTCGTATGTCTCCACTGCAGTGGTCGACGAGAACGGCGACAGGGTACCGTACGCCTCCAACGAGATCACGTTCTCAGTCGAAGGACCGGGTGAGATCGTGGCCACGGATAATGGTGACCCTATAGATTTGACTGTCTTTCCAAGCCCGGTGCGCAAGGCTTTCAATGGGTATGCCTTGGCTATTGTGAAGGGGACTGGGAGTGGAGAGATCACGGTCAAGGCGACTGCGGATGGACTTACTGGCGCCGAGGTCACTGTGACGGCCTCTTGAACTGCATGTCACAATTCGGGTAAACCTTATAGCAGACGAATGACGTATTTATTGTGATTTCTTTTGTAGCTATTTAGGCCTCCTCGCTAGCGTAGCCTCTCCGGCGGGTGGTGCTGTGGTAGAGGGGCAGGCCCCCACCGTGGGCACTGCCGACCACCGCGGCAGGCGCCACCGGTCCCTCTCTCTCTCTCTCTCTCTCTCCCTCTCCCTGTCCCTGTCCCTGTCGCTGCCGGCGCGCCCAGGCGGCGCGGCCAAACCAACCCAAAAGGCCAAACAGGGCGGCGCCGAGGACGTTGACCCCGGAGGGCACCAACGCACGGGCCCACGCCACCGGGGCCGGCGTGGCGAGCACCCGGACGGACGTCACCAGGGGCGCCACGCCCGACGACACACCCGACGCGACGCCGCGCGCCACGGCGTCGGCCAGCGCGTCGGCCAGCGCGGCGGCGACGGCCGGGCCCCGGTTTTCGAGGGCGACCGCGACGGCAGGGTCGGCAGGCGGGCAGGCAGGCGGGCAGGCAGGAGGGGCGGCCGCCAGGAGGGTGGAGGTGATGGTGGCGGTGGTGATGATGGTGATGGTGGTGATGGTCGAGGCCACCACCTCGACGTACTCGTCCTCACAGCAGGTGTCCATGCCTACATCGGAGGTTAGCCCACAGTGGTCATCAGGATGGAGTTTATCCCATGGAAGGTTATCCCGAGGTAGGTTGCCCCAAAGGAGGGTCTCACAGAGGAGACTGTCCTAGAGGAGGTTATCCAACAGGAGGCCAACCCATGGAAGGTTATCCCAAGGGAGGGTGTCCCAGAGGAGAGTACCCCACAGGAGAGTGTCCCAGAGGAGGGTGTCCAAAGGAGGCTATCCCAGAAGAGACTGCCCCATGGGAGACTGTCCCATGGGAGACTGTCCCAGAGGAGGTTGCGACAGGGAGAGAGGAGGCAACACACTTACTGTGGGTTGGTTGGTTGGTTGGTTGGTTGGTTGGTTGGTAGGCTGGCTGGCTGGCTGGCTGACTGACTGACTGACTGACTGACTGACTGACTGACTGACTGACTGACTGACTGACTGACTGACTGACTGACTGACTGACTGACTGACTGACTGACTGGCTGGCTGGCTGACTGACTGACTGACTGACTGGCTGGCTGGCTGGCTGACTGACTGACTGACTGGCTGGCTGGCTGGCTGGCAGGTTCTTCTTATTCTCCCGCGGCCTACCGAAGGAAAGGTTTCACGAGAGGGCGACGAGAGGGTGCCTTGCGAATTTATGGGGAGCTGGCCGTCCGACTTCCCAAGGTGGCTCCTTCCTGCAAGTGCTCCTGCCGTTTTGGAATTTTGTGCCCTTCTCGGACCGTTCCTTCCCTCTGAGTGCCAAAGTAGGCAGTCACGCATGCCTTGGTACTCAGCTACGACACAAACACAATGGGGTGCTTGGGCAATACCCTGCGGCTTCCATGATCGACGGTGGTTTCCTTGTACGCAGCACAATGGCTAGAGCCGGTCGCCCATAGGTGTCTGGCATTCTCCAGTCATCCAACAGCATGCTGAACTCCTGGCTGTAGTGCAAATGTCTCCGTCCACTTTCCAGTGGCTTGGCCCAAAATTATCATCGGAACAGTTGGACTCCCAATTGGATGTGGTCCTGAGCTTCGATGCAGTTGTTATTTCGTCAGCCAAGTCCCTGTAAATTCTACAACCTACTTACATCCATTAGAATCAAATTTTACTTTCGACAATCTCTGCCTACCTTTGATGACCATCATTTCTGCGGCGACCGTTCTCGACCCAAAGAACACCGCCAAAACTCTCCAGGGGTTGGAAAGCAAAAACGTCAGACAATGTCCATCCCTATCTAGGGAATCCAGGCAGTGCTATTTCTCTAACAGGTGGTCCGATAAACTGTGGGGAGAGCCCTTGCAACACGTACGACGAGCTTCTTAATAAAAGCTACATCACTTCGTGTGACCTTGTACATAGCCGCCTGCGATCATAAGGATTATTGGAGCATATGTTGGTCCTCATCACAACTCACTCGGTTCCTCTCTTGAAATGTGGCCCGGCATCCTCTGCGAAGGCATGTATCGACATATTCGAATGATGCCTACACGGACTAGGAAAGCTTGTCAAGCAGCTATCACCCAATTCTGACCAAATTGTTTCAGGCATACGGTCACCCGGGACAGTGAGAACGACGGAACTTGAGGGCAAGCCCTCTGCTTGTGTCGGCGACTCCAACTGCCGTGCATTCGAGAAGTAAGGTGCTGAACTCCCTCAATTATGCTGTCAGAGGTCTCTCACTGTCCTTCCATGGCTGATGTCGACCCGCGAAGCCATTTTACCTCCCACTTCGGACGAAACAAGGACCCCATGATGTATTCAAGCAAGTATCGTGCAACTTGAGAAGTCAAATTTCAAAAGAAAAGCCCCTGACAATTGCTTGCAGTATCTAAAGCTCGCTAAAAGGCCGGCGGAACCAATATTTAAGCCCCGGACGTGGGTGGTCCTCTTAGTGTCAGCACACTAGCCACGACTGAGTAGAAATTGGTCGTTATCCCAAATCCAAATAAATATCCCAAGAATTTCGTCCTTTCATCTTCTGATTTACTTTCCAGTAGTTATATTCTTTTGCCCAGGTGACAAACCCATCGAAGCTTTCTGCTATTCCACAACAACACATAACAACAAACTTGTGTTCTTTGCACCGTCCATCAAAAATGGGCACGGGCACACGTTCTACGCGCGCATTGAACCGCCGCCCCCATGACCACGCGCGACTCATTAACAATTCGACTCAGAATGGCGATGCTGCACACACCGCCTTGCCTTCTGAGATGCGGGATGACTCGAATACGACAACCACGACATCATCCGTTGCGTTACCAGGGCCACCAGGACGCCATTTGCAGCCGCACTCGGAGATATCGCCACCAAAATATGACGACTTATTCCCTCCTGCACGTGCTGCTGTATCACGATGCCCAGCGAAGCCGAGCCCGTCGCCCCCAAAGGGCATGGATCCCCTTGTTGCAGCCATGTGGCACAACGAAAATCTGAGCTTCCTCCACTCCCTGCCAGATCATCTGCTCGTCAAAATAATCGGCATGTTGAGCAAAACCAGTATCGAGTGCATGAGACGAGTGGCACGCAGACTTCCGCCCCTATGTGTCCGAGAAGTCTTGAGTCCACTACGAGGGAGTAACCCAAAGCTATCGGAGTCGGGGCCCCTCAACTGGCCCCGTTTCGGGACTACCTCACACCTCCGACCGCAATTTTTAGGACTTGTCGACCGGGACGAATATTGCGGTGGCTGCCAGGCGGCCCGAAAGTCGTCCCAATGGGAACAGAGGCTCCGTGAGCTCACCAAATATATACACTGCTCCGCTTGCAGCGCAGATCACCCCGCGTGCCTATTTTCAGCAACCCAGCGCCTCAAACCAGCACGGCTGCGGTACTGCATTGCGCATGAGGGTTATATGCGGATCTGTGACCACGATGCTGGTACTATTCGCCTGCCCTATCTGTTGAACCTGGTCCACGAGTACAAGCAGCCGTGGTCCCAAAGAAAAGAAACAGAATATGGGTTCTCCCTGCCTACTTGTAGGCACCCGAGCCACAATAAACCATGCACAAAAGTACCTGGAGGGTCTTTCCCTAAGCCTAAAGGCGACTGTGGGTCCCGGAAAGGTGTTTGCAATGGACACCGCTTCCCAAGGATTGTTGCGTCCCACAGTAACCGCGACATGTTCGATATATGTTGGACGGCTCATATACAATTCAATGGTCAAATGGACGATCTGCGTCTGCAACTGGCAGAGATCCAGGATAACGCTGGGAAGTATATCGTTCCACGCCCAGCGAGTGCCAAAGAAAGACCCGAACTTCGCTGTTTTGACCCAAACGACTGCCACTGCATCTATTACCCGGGTACTGAGAATGTGCGCTGGGAGTGGGAATGCGGCCCCTGGCTACCTGGAACGACGGAATGCATCAGTGATCCTTTCAAAGGGTTAAATGCATTGTTGCCACCACGGCCGTCAGGCTCAATCATATCCAACATCATCCGAAGCCTCAAGTCAAAAAATGGGCCAAAATGCAGGGCAGATCTCAAAAGGCACCAGAGCCGGCTCGAGCCTAGGCCTCCTACATACGGTCCGGGTCGGTGTGCCGTGGATGTCAGACCGTGTCACACTGGCAGGGACTGCCTCGTGGTTGACTACATACGGGCTGTTTGGGTTCAGCACAATGGCAAGATTACTCCACAATGGTATAATACCATCGACCCGGGCTCATATAACATCACGGACGACCAAGATGGGATGGGGGTGTACTGGTGCTCGCAACCTCGATGTCGCAATTACCACAAGAGACTCCCGAATTACGCAGGTATACTTCGTCATTGTGAGTACCGCAAGGAATGTCGACACTAAGACTGGCAGTACCTGCGAATGACATCGACAGCGAACAGAATTGCGGAAAAGCAGAAATCAGCTGAAGAACGGCACGTGCAAAGAGGGTCATTGCGGCAAGTGGGGACATGATATCGTTTGATTATTCTATAACTGGCGCGGGCGAGGGAGGAACACCAAGTTTGATGAGAAGTGGGTTTCATACTTGACACTGAAAGAATATACATTTTACGAAACACATGTCGTGTTTTAGGTCAGGCACTTTAAACAACTATCATCAGCGGTACCCTATCTTTCCATTTCTTTTGTTATACGTTGATGTAATCTAGTTGTCCGGATCTGGTTATACATATACATTCAATAACTAACAAAGCAGGCAAACCCATCCTTTGTTGTCATGTACAGCGACCTGTGTGCCTCATGTGGAAAGCCCATATAATTCTATATCTGTCTCTTAACGCATTGCCTTGCGAGAACAGCATAGTGAGACTCTTCTATTTCGATGCTGCAAAATTTATCCGCCACGGCTTTGACCCTACAGCATGGCCGACCCACTCAACGAAGACTACTACAATGTCAGCGATACATCAGACAGTGATGACGGCCGATCGGATAACAATCAGGAAATCACCAATATCACCGCTGGTATCGACCTCGCTGCCATCAGGACACGACTGCAGAACCAGGCGCAAGGGCCGAATTTTCCCAACTTTTTCCAAACCGGGCTGCGAGGCACGTTCAACAAGTATGTTCCACAATGGATGACCACAAAGCAATCGCCGTATCCCATCAGACACCCTGCTCTCCGCCCAGACGACGTGTTTCAAGACCAAGAGACAGAGGAATGGGTCTTTCCGAGCGAGTATGCAACGTAAGTCCTCCAGTTCATCGAGTGTGTTTTCTTTCAGCTCACAGGCGGGGCGGGTCGCGCAATTGGCATATTGAGATCTCTACTGACCTCATGCGCAGGCGGTTCGGAACGGACAAAAGAGCACCAGGCGACGACCTCGGCCGGTCCATGTTGTCGCCAAATTCTTCAAGCCTGGGGGGTCTAACCTTAAGTGATCAACCAAGGGCGGGAAACATCCTAGGGTGGACAGAAGACTTTCAGAGCATGGTTTTTCACGGATACACTGCTGACGAGGTGAGCGGAGAGGCTTTGAATCCTATCCAGCCTGAAACGACCTGGGAGCTGACATCTTCCGTCCGCAGCTCAAGATACAAAGAGCCTTTGATCCCAGTATGAGTAGCGGAGATACGCCGCTAGATGGTCTTGCATCTCCTATCCACCCGTAGGAACACTCCTTTATAGCGCTTATCCTTCTGTGATTATTTATCGACCGACATTGACAGATGAAATCCAGGATCATCCGCCGTGGTAATTGGGTACAGGATGCACGAGAAGGCGAAGAGCGGGAAAGACCGATTATGTGGTACCATTTGGCTGGATCAGATCACCGGTGGGATATGGTACGTTGTTCTTTTCCAAAGGGGCACCTCATTCTTCTTGATCACTGGTTCTGACTTCCGATGTATACAGGCCCAGAATGATAATAAGCTATGGGATATGCTACAGCCAACATTTCAACTTATGTCTAAAGTGCTGTACTCGAATCATCCCTACTGGCGTGCCATGCTCGACATATACAAGCTTTCGCCTATAGATACGGCCCGGATACCAGTGAGACCAGCACGAGATGATGATGGTAAGCATTCATTGACATTTTAAACCCTGCCGATTTTATCATCTCCACATGTATGAGGTTAGAAGCTATTGCGTTGTCAAACATCGTTCAGGCTACGTCTTTGGCAGCAAACCCTTAGCATGATGCGGCCACCCCGGCAGTGGTCACTTTCACTTACATAAAAAATCCAACAACTTCTTGAGTAAGAACTAATTATGTCCTTGACAAGATGAATCCGATGGCAGCGTCCCTCCAGAGTTGTTTGGTAATATGTCCGGTAAGTTATTGACACTTGTCGAGCGACGTACTTCGGCCCATGTCACAGTATAGCGTGTTGACTCGTTGCAGCCATCCACTACGAACTCGACGACCATGAGATGTACCCAGAAGCATTAGCCCTGCGCGACAGTGGTTTCCAATCGGCAGAAATCGCAGAGCACATACTAAAAACATACATCAAGTTCCAATTCGCAGACACCCTGGACGATGAAGCCGCCGCCCACACCATCTTTATGAGACGTCCAAACAACCCGGCCAACCGATTCGACATCATAGTCAGCCTCACTCCAGAGCTCGTGTGGCCCCTCCTCTTTCCCAATTATTCCAAGTCGGAGAAGTTCGTCACCTGCACGGCCGCCGCCTCGGTCCTGCTTCACGAGCTAGCAGTGAGGCCCCGCACCTGGTCAGCCATTGTCTCTGCTTTGGAACTCGTACGCTGACCACAATGTAGCATGCTGCGCGAATGGCCGTTTCTATCATGACGGAATACGACAATTGGAACACAGATCCTGCCTTGGGCCAACAGAGACCAGACGATGACGGCCCTTTTCGTCTCGACCTCGGCCAATTGCCACAGGAACAGCTGGATTTATTGCGACGTCTTGGCACAAAGATAGGGGGAAGAGGACGCCAATTTCCCCAATTCTTGTAAGCCCGCTGCACGAAGTGCTTCAATCCCAACTTAAAGTCCGGAACGGCCCTATGCTGTACTGACGGTGCATAGTTTCCAAGGAGAGATGCGGTCTGAAGAGGGCTGGGCGTTTGAGAACCAGGTATGCCCTCGTACAATCACCTTCCGATGCATTCATTTGCTGACATGCAGGCTTCATGAAGTTATGGGGAGGCGTGCCGGTCACCACCCCAGAACTAGACCCTAAGAACGGCTTCCCTCCCGTAATCAACTGGCTTCAGCAATGGCCCTTTCCAGCCGCCACGCCCAGGCCATACTACCGAAGCAACGAGCCCATCCACGGCGAGAACGACGACTGCGGCTGGCCGAACTGGCTCCTCGACCCCCCACCAACCATGGTCCGCCGCGTCACAGCCGTGCCGGTCGCCATGATGAGCAGGCTGTACAACGAGGGGTTCTGGTCGGTCGACGTTGCAAAGTACAGCCACCAGGCGCTCAAGTTCCCCGTGCACGAGTGGGCCGGCAGACCCCTCAGGTCCTCGTTCTACCTCTCCTTCACCCCGAGGAGGGACCTGCTGAGGGCCTTCCGGAGCCGGGCCGCGTGGCCCTGGCTCTCCCGGTCGGTCTCGATGCTCGGGCAGGTCGGCGAGGACGTCCTGTCCGAGTACATCTACCACCGCGCGATGAGCACCGCGGGGCCGGCCGTCACCCGCAGGAGGCTCCACTACGAGCGGAGGAGGTGGCGGCACAGCGACGCCGGCATCGCGGCCAGGTCGCAGGAGGTGACCCGCCTGCGCGCCGCGTCCCGCACGCTGCTCGCAGAGTACCACACGGCCAACAGCCAGGCCGCTGGCGCTGCCGCTCTCGACGCATACCTCGACCACGCCAGGCTCCTCGTCGTGGAGGCCCTGGAGCTCGCCCGGCTCGCGGGCTGGGAGGTCTCGGCGCTGCAGCTCCTGGTGCGCGAGTGCGCGCGGCTCGACGACGTGGGTAGGCGGGCGGTGCAGCGCCACATTGACGCCGCCGGCTCGCGGGTCGAGCGCAAGCTCAAGCCGGCCGTGGAGGGCGCGGCTGCAGAGGTGCAGGGGCTGCAGCGCGAGCTGGCCGATGTCATGCCTGGCTTGCCGCCGGTGAGCGCCGCCGACTCGCTGCGGCTGACGATCGCGGAGAGGACCTCGGCGGCCGCGTCTATTCTGACTGCGGTTAGGGAGCTGGTGCATGAGCTGGGAAGGAGCGTGGATACCGTCAGGGGGTTCTCCTCAGTTCAAGGTGCAAGTGACGAATCTATGCGGAGTGCCTTCAACTTGCTCGTTGACACGGCCAGTGGAAGGCGACAATGGCAGACGCTCGAGCGGCTCGCTGAGCACCGTTGGAGAGAGCTCCCGGCCAACAGTCCTATACGCAGGGTTGTAACAGCGTGCTTGAGAATCTTGGAGATAGCTTAGGGGAAGGCCCAAGATTTCGTCAGAGTTTTGAGCAAATATCAAGTGAGACTATCTGGCAAATTTGTATTAACGGGAATAGGACATGAAGAATAGAACGGATCATGATAATACAAAATAAAGTATAGCCGAGTGTTTGAAATTGTCTGTTTCCTAAAGGAGATCTATGTGCAAATTGCAGGTGCGACAACCCCATCTGGATACTGTGCTCATACACTGGGTGCATCGTCGGTCATTACCAGTAGAGTATCGAAGGAAGAGAAGCTACTTGATAGAGATTGCAAGTCGCGCCACGGCCGTGAGGACCTCAAAGGTCAGGTCCGTGATTGTCAGAACGTTCAACTCGACGGATGGGTTTGCTCTCTCATGGAGTTGATCTCAATGCTTACGTTTCATGCGTAATAACTGTGCTTCTCGGATTCCTCAGTCTTTCAGCATGCTAGGATAATGACTATCGGCAATGCCACCCTTGAGATGCCGAATCGCCGACGAAGTCGAAGACGTGCCATCAGTGGCTCCGGTATGGAAGACTATAGGGCGAGTGGGTGACAACCTCTCACAGAGACGCCAGTACGACCAGTCGCGTCTCTATACAAGCTCTCCATTTGAAGAGTTTCGACCTCGAGATTTTTCCCGCAGAAATTTCATATGGCTGGATACAAGACATCTCACATATGTGGATGTGGCTCACTCGTGGCATTTGATCGGAAAGTAAAGCAGGGAATTATTGCATTCCGCAGGACGCACACGTAGGAGATCTTCGTAGATTACTCATGCCCTAGCACAGTTCAGCTAAATGTAACTTGAGTTGTACCATATAGTTGAGAGCAATATCTTTCTTTCTAGAAACAATTGATTCAAACAAACTTTAAGAACACAATCCTTTTATTAGAACATTATTATAATGCGAAGTCAAACAAACAAAGCCCTCAATCTTACCAAGTTCAGACTACCATCGATGGTCTCTAGAACAACCCAGAATAAAAATTTAATTCCTGACAAACAAACTATACTGCATCTTGCAGCCTCGGAGGCGATGAGGCTCGTCTGACTACCAGAAAGCCACCCAGCGGGTATCGCCCATTGCTCGTGCTCGAAGTTCCATCTCACGAGCCTCTTCTGGACCATTCTCGTCCATTGAAAGGTGAATCTGATCATGGACGAAGAGGACAGGCCTACCCTCGGCCTTGACATCTGACACATTCAACGATGCGAGCAACTCAGGATCAAATGGAGGCCGCTTGACGAACTCCCTCAAAGCAGGAATCACTGGGCGGTACATCTTGCGACAAGCGCAAGGCTCGCAGCCCCTGAGCTCGTCGATATAGTCCAGTGCTGTCTTGCCAAAATTGTTCTTCATCGTTAAGTTGGCGTCCTGACACAGCAAAAAGAAGAAAATTGCCATCCATGCGTCGCACCTATCCGATGCCATACCGGGATCGTGGTTGACCAACTCACCCAGTTCATTTCGAGGGAAAGCCTGCTCGCTGTTTGTGTCGTCGCTGCTGTCGCTGTCCTCCTCAAATATGTCGTAGTCCGGTTGGTCATACTTGTCGGGATGGAAGTCATAGTCGCTGTCGCTCTCGTATGTAAGATTGCGGCCATTCAAATGCATGTCCTGCTCTACTGATAACTCAAACAACCATTCCGCGTGTGTGCCTGCCGGATCCTTGACGCTCAAAGAACTTCTCACTGCACAGTCCGGTGATTGAGAAGGGCAGACGTCTTGTAGATTCCCTGAGTTATAGCCCTCATCCGACGGGTAAAGCTGTTGAATGAGGTGATGCAGAGCGGTATTTCCATGCTCGTCAGACTCGTTCACGCTCACTCCTATGCCAAACAGCGCTTCCATTAGTTCAGTCGTCCTTGGTGAGATGCGACTCGACTTATCGAAGGGATTGCCTCCAAAGTGTAAGATCAAGTCTTTCAACAAGCCCGAATTTCCGCAGAGGGGATCTGTCGATCCATGTATGTAACTAGAAGCCTCAAGTATGTTGGTAGCCATCTTAAACTGCCTGGCTTTTGAATAGTTTCTGATGGCTGCTCTCAGAGGAGAAATCGTTGTCGAACCATCAGGCATCCTATGTTCGAAGTGGAGTGATGCACCCAGCCCGATGAGTTGCCTTGCGACGGCGATATTTCCACGGTCGACAGCGAGGCGAAGTGGTGACCGACCACTGTCGTCGGGCTGGTCAATTTGGCGGCCGGCGCCGCAACGGAACAGGTCGACCATCATCTCAGTTATTCGTTGTTCCAAAAGGTCCGGCCTTTCGTTTTTCTTGCGCTCCCACTGCGCCATAAGATGTAGCACTGTTTTGCCCCCGGGTCCGCACATGTTAGCCAAGCAAATGTGCGGAGCGAGGGCTTGTACGAGTCTCGGTCGTGACCCTACTGCGAGGTAAAGCAGTTCTGTCCAGGCATCCATGATACTTTTTCTATCCTCCGGCCGTTCGCATCTCATTGAGGGGGAGTTTAGTACCCGAAACAGAGCTTGTACTGCAGCAGACCTGCTTCCAGATGATCGAATATTCGGATCGAGAAAAGAACGCATCATGAGATGATAGTCCTGATGAGTGATGACGGTTCCAGATGCAACCAGTGAGTCCAAGGAGTCGAACTCTCTCAAGTAAAAAGCTGAGACAGCGAGGGACCTTCCTCCGAAGTTGTCAAGTTGTTTTTCGAGGATCCCTTCTCCAAAGTCTCTAGGGTCCTCGAGGTACATATTTGGGTTCGCCCCGTTGGTGATCAGAAGCGGAGCAATGGACACCATGCTGTTTTGACCGATATCGAAAGGAGTAGGGATCCCATCGGAGCCTTCGGGATTGACTGCGGGGCTTCCAACAAGATCATACTGGCATGTGAACAGAGGTGGGCCTCTGGTTTGAGAACGTTGGTTTGGGTCAGCGCCGTAGTCCAACAAGAGTTGCATGATTACCAGTGCTGCGCTCAGATCTGGCCCAGGCTTCAAGTGCAGACCACGCGCGACGGCATATCGGAGTGCATAGTCGCCGCGGTCGTCCACGGCTCCAACATCGGCCTTGGCCTCCAGCAGCTCGCGGACGGCAGCAGGAAAGCCAAGATGCACGGCTGACATGAGGGCAGTGGTGCCGCCTTCTGCTCTGGCATCGACGTCCGCTCCCGCATGCATCAGTCTTTTGATGAGCACGATCGCTCCCCGTTGGTTGAGGTCCTTCTCTGTCGCGGGCCGACCGGTTTTGAGCACATCATACCCACAACATAGATGCAACGCCGGTACGTGGCGGTCTCCCGAATGCAACTCCGTATCCCTATGGATATCGACACCCAAGTCCATCAAGGAAAGAGCGTCGCTGTATCGACCAGATTTACACATGGCATTCAAGACCGAACGGCGCTGGCCATCTAAGTCATGGACCGCAAAGTTGATGTCCGCGCCGTGGTCGCAGAACCAACAGCCTAAAATATGAATCCGGCCAGAGAAGGCTGCCACGGCAAAAGGCGTGTCGCCAAAGGCATCCAGGACGTCGACGTCTGACTGTGAACCCTCGAGGCAGCCAGCCTGTTTGAGCATGGCGTACACCCTTTCAAGAGCATCCACGTCTGCGTACTTGTCTGCAGCGACATGAAGCGGTGGTAACGGATCGAACCTCGGGGTCATTCTGTCAAAGATATGAGGGAAGAAAATCTCCAGGGTGTTGTTCAGTGTTGGCTCGTCACTGGAAAACCGCCGCGCCTCGGCAAGCACAGCATCATCTGACTCCATGGCATGTGCCACACCGAAGCGACGGACCAGCTCCTCGGCGCAGTCAAGTCTCCCTTTGCAAACTGACACGTGCAGAGGAGACCATCGTGTCACTAACCTCCTTTCCAGCAAGTCTGAGTCGTTCTGTTCACGGGCAGGGAGGGAGCGACCGAATGTGCGGCGCAGGGGAGCACGATGACAGGGGCAAACACCTCTGCCAGCTGAGTTTGGATTGGCGCCATGGTCCAGTAGTAAAGACAGAAGTTCGACGTCGTCTCGTGAAGCAGCGACATGCAAAGGGGTCCAGTAGTATGCCTTATGAGACCGAAATGGTATGTCCCTAATCACCAATGAGTCATAAAAGAAGCCAAACACCTCAGCATTGGAATCTTCAGAAAGTGAGGGGCTTTGAACAATCCTTCGGTTCTCAAAATGAGAATCTGACGCAGGGAAATTCATGATAGCGCCATGCGACTCCTCAGGCCGGTGTGAGGCCGTCCGAGAAATTGGACGGAGACAAGTGTCCAGGTCTTCGCGTGACTCGAAGCGAAGGTTATGGTCGACTCCGGCAGACAGGCACAATTTGACAACATTTTTCAGTCCTGTCCTAAGACCATAAGACATGGATCTCCGGCCACGAGACGCCCGGGCATCTGTCGAGTAAAGAATGGGGTTAGAGACGGCGTGCAATCCACGGCTGGCCTTGGTGAGACCGACAAGGCGATGTATTCCAAACGCAGCGACTTCCTGGGATACGGCGTAAAGTATTTCCGTTGGTAGTTCGTCGAGATACATCGTCTGTATGGGTATCGGAGCTAGTTGTCGCGTTGGGTCAGGGCCAGTGGACTCGTCGAGTTTGACATTTGGCTGTCAGTGTTTCGAAGCTGTAGACGGTACACGAAGACCGATTAATCAAGGAATTTAAGAGACTGCGCAATGCCGTTTCGCCACGGGAGCAACGCACACGTCGGGTTTGTTTGCCGACAGCAAGGTGCAGGCGATCTTGGTCATAGAGCACTATCAAATCATTGTCATATCAAGCGGACAGATTGATAGCACACTAGTAGACCTGAGAGTGATCCCTGCAGAGCTTCCAGACGCGTTGCGATGCCTGTGGGTTGTAGTCTACAAAACTACGCGAATCAGCCTTACTGATTAGGGATGCAATGACGCGCTGAACCCTGACCCTCGGGTGGGGAGGGGTGTTCTCGATGCACGCAAGGGAAAAAAGGAACATGCCTTAATAACAGGAGGTTGTAGGCTCGAAGACAGAAAGAAAGACATAAGACTAACTGTTACATTAGATGTCCGGTCAGACTATACATATTTCTTGATCTCTATTCATTTAGTATACCAGCAATGTAAGTCTTGTGAGCCTTACATACAGGCCATCCTGCTTAACTATGTTATACAGAAATCAGCAGATGAGGCAAAACATGTGAATTGCTTGCTGGAAGGAGTATTTCTCGATGTTTGAGTTCACGTTTTGAGCATTGTCTTCCTCCCAGACCGACCACTACAGCGAAAATGATTGCGGAGGCAACTGTTTAAGGTGCGAGACTGCACATCATATCCATATGGGCAGTGTGGGCGATGTAAGCGTGGCGAGCAGGTTTCCGGCCTATGGCATGCCAGGCTGCTAGATCAACAAAAGATCTAAGCTAATCTTTATAATCTCTGGAGTAACAGTTGGGTTGGTGACGACCAGTGAATACCCGGTGTTATATATTCTGCATATTTCACTCGATCAGGATTAGAATTTCGAACACTCTGATACCAAACTGACAAGGTTGCCTCTTCTGATAAATTTTGGCCTTACATCTCATCAGGTTACAGCGAGTTGCAGAGAGCACTGGCTGGAAATTGGAGGGCGCTGTGTTTTGTGAAACAACGGCCACATTGCGCCTCAAATGTGTCCTAGTGACTGCTCTGACTCGCCGTTGGATTCCCTGAATTGGAAAAGTCTTAACAGGACTTTTATCAAAACCAGGTAATGAATTGATGCCCACAATCAACTACAGCAAGTGCTGATCACATTCGTGAAACGACAATGCCGACCGCTTGAAATGCTAGTTGACTAATTTCATAGCATGGAGCGAAATGGAAACTGGACGGTGACCTCCTGTGTGCTGAGTACCTACAGAAGCCTGATCAAGGGCCTGGGCCAAGTTCCTGGGATGGTCGGGTGTCTTCATTGTGGTCTTCACATTTCGCATTCACCGTTCGGCACCATAGAATCGCAAACGCTTCATTCTGAAGTGACTGGGCACCTCAGAATCGCAACGATTCATTTTGAAGTGACTGGGACCCATAAATAGCCGGCTTCGATTTGCAGTCGATCGCAGCAGGCAACCCGCTTCCCTTCCCTCCAAACGAAATCAGTAGACAAACGATTCTTCCTCAATCCTCAAGGAGCTGAAGCAATCGGCGGAGCCATCCACTCTTCCCCAACCACACGTTCCAGCCTTCTTCACCACGATGAGGTCTCTTGCCGTATCCGTTATCGCAATTTGCTCTGCTTTCATGCTGGCAGCAGCTTCTTACGTGGGTTTACACCAAACACTAACAAGTAGCTGACTCTCCAAAGTTGACGTTTTACCCCCGATTAGGTCCCAGCCACTCATCTGTCAGCCCCCGACCCAAAGTACAGCGTGGTCGACCTCTCCTGGGCTGTCGAGACGATCCCCGGCAACACATCGTCCACCATGACCCTCAACGGCACGGTGCAGGAGGTTGATCAGCAACTCAACGACATGCACCCCGACTACATGAATCTACTCAACAAATACCGGGAGTCGCATCCCTCGATGCCTTTTCAGGATGTCGTAGGCTCCACGGGATCCATGGATGACCGCCCTGACTGCGGTTATTGCAAAGTCTGCACCAAGAGGTGGGCTCGTACGTACAACATCCACTCTTTCTACCCTTAAGTAGCATGCGACTGACACGCACCAGCCGCCGGTCTTGGGAGCACACTCGACGTCATCAAGAGCCTCGACGGCGCCAGCGGTCGTGTAGGCATGCCACCTAGATCTTGCGGCAGAGTCGGCTGCGCCGGTGGTAGCCGAGTCTGGTTGTGCAATGACAAAAACGAGCCGTTGGATTTTGACTCATGGTCTCACATTGCAAGAGCTGTGGAGGACATTGCGCGCCAGTGTTTCTGGTACGAGAAGGAAGTCTCGCACCTGTACCCCGTGACCGGCGGCCAGATTTTTGAGCCGAATGGATGGAACGTCATCGTCCGAAGCGACAGCGACAGCTGTTGATAGTCTTGTTTAATGACACAATCAAGTGTGCTCATGAGCGGGAGCCCTTTTTGAAACTCAATTTTGGTGGTTAGCGGGATTGAAATTAGTCAGAATAAGTCTAGCCAGTGGCGTAATTAATGACTATCAAAAAAGAGTTATCTAGGAGACGTATTCCTCAGTAAGAGGTTCTAAATGACGGAGCTTGACTCAGACGAAGACAAGATTATCATACCTGTCTATGTTAACAAGTGGACAGAGGGAGCCCCATGGGAACGTTGAAGACAAACTCATATCAAATCGAGTGGAGAATCCAGACACAGACCCATTTCGCTGCCTCCATTACAAAGCCCACGATCAGGGACATCAAGAAATAGTTCTCCGATTTCCCAGTGGAAATTGGGAATGCAGTGTTCACGAGACATTTGAATTCCCAAAATAAAGCTAAGAACGATGATCCTTGTGACAACAGATGGAGACTTGCTTCATCAAGCAAGGAGCTACGGCTGCAAGCACTGTCTAATTATATGTAACTCCATCAGGCCACGGACGGAGGATGGACAATATCGTCATAGGTCGTCATCCTGGAGTAGGCCCAATCTTCAACGGAGCTCCATCTGGCACACACAGACCTGCCGTTGCTTTTCGCTGCTGGCTTATAGCTCTTTGGGTCGTCCCATTCGAAGGAGTAGACCTCTGTATTCCCATGGCACATGATAGTAACTCGAAGTGCCTCAATGCAATGGTCTTTGTTCGATCAGCACTAGTTGCTTTTGGTCTCGAAGGGGATTAATACTGACCAAGATGAGCATGCACATTATCAGCTTCCATCTGCGTTAAATTGCGGAAGTAATACTCTCGATAAAGATAATGGCGCAGTCTCCGCTACATTTTGTGTGTCAGTATACTCAGTGCTGCCAGACAAGGCCAATGAGACGTCGACAAACCAAGCAGTGAAGCTCATGGTAAGCACCAAGAGATGCTAGATATCCACCACCGTCAAGTTCTACAAGATCTCCATCGATAGACTCATTTGCCATGCGTAGTTCGTCCAAGGTAGCATTGAAGGCCACAGCTGAAGAGGTGTCATTAGCAACTGTGACTTCAGGGGAGCGGTGATGGCTCTTTACGTTTGAGTAGATGTTCCCATGCAATATCTGTTTCTGTCGTTGGAGGCCCAGAAAAGCTGTTGTACTTATTATGGTCCGCATGCTCGCTTCTTACTTCATACTCAACGAATGGCTGCACGGGGGCTAAGATTATTAGGACCAGGTAGATATAGGCAGACGTCGGGAATTATACTTACACCATGATCTTCCATCGACAGGTTCTCCAACCGCTATGGAGGTGGAGATCGGACCACGAATGGAGAGAAAGGCCAAGCAGACGACGGCCAGGTGCAAGGCGGCAATATATGCGCGGGACAGGGTCAAAGCTTCTGTTTGATCTCTAGCTTGTTCGATCGGAGACTCGTTTAGAGCGTCTTTGGCGAACTTTCCGGTGAGAGGCTGGCTTTCTTCGTCATCTGGAAAGTCGAGGTGTGGTGATTCTGCTCGAGGAAAGACTTGAGAAGCCATCGTGAATACTTCTATCCAAGCATCGAACACACTCATCAGGTTGGAACTTCGAAGAGGCCAAGGACGTTGGGAAATTTCTCAACTTGTTTGTCCGGGGCACGAGCCAGACCCCGTTGCTATACTTTCACGCCTCTGCTGTAGTCATGTGGATCATCGAGGTTCCACTGCTGATACTGCGCAAATTGCCCCCCCGAAGTGGCTCCTAGCGTCCTGAGCAGGCTACGCACCAACGGGCACATTATGCTCCTGCTCGAGCCAACCATCTCCCGCCATCTTTTATTGGAAACTGGCTTCGACGGATGCGGTGTGGTGCGAATCAAGGCAGTCGCATGTTCCATTTTTGGATGTGCTCCGAGAACACTGTCGCTTGTTCAACTGAGATTTCAAGGACTTACATTCAATTAGCATGTTGGGTATGGAGGGCAGGAAAATAAATACGGCCGATCATTCACCTTTGGAAATTTTGAAAACTTGGACACGCTGCCTAAGTTCAAAATTTCTCATACGGTCTCCTTCATTTGAACATTGCCTCTACTTCACCCTGCAAAGACTCCGTCAAAATATCAGCAAACAAATCTCAAGATGCAATTCCTCGGTCGAACCCTTGCAGTTGTGGTCCTGCTTGTTGCAAACACATTGGCTGCTGCCATCCCTGCTGTTGGTACGTTGACCCAAACCTTTTACATGATTTGAGGCTGCCCCTTGTGTTAACGATCTTTGAAGATAACCACCCGAGGGCATGCGTTGATTCAGTGTCAGACGGCGCCGACGCCTGTATCTTTTAAGAAGTTTCGCACGGTATTCCGAAGTTGTCTTAATATGGAGTGGACTTCTCGGGGACCTCGGGACTGGCAAATAATGAGATCGGAATTAGTATGGTTGGACAGCAGTGTGGGCAAGCATGGTTCATGAAGAGCTGTGCTCTGAGGTTACTGGATAGTCAGATGTAGATGATAGACATTTCAATGGTCGAACCTCGGTCCCTCATGCGCAAATATGGCCCCAAAGGCCAGGGAGGCTCAGACGCAGCTCACAAGCGAGAGACGTCCGATATACTTCACAGTAGAGCTCTCGCAGCACATATTAGTCATCGAGTCCAGTGCTAGTGGCCCATGTATGGGGGTTGACGCTTTGGTTCTGTCGTAAATATGCCAAATTCGTGCCTAGATACGAAATGATCAGAGGCAACGATCTGCAAATCAACGGACCAGGCTCAAGGAGCGATTTAGTGCGTCGTGCGTGTGTACCGCGGTAGAGTTCTGAACTAGTCGCCCTCATCCTCGTCAGTTGGTCTGGTCGAGTGCTACTGGGCACGACAGCCGCGTGTGCGAAAGACGGTCTTTCCGTGTCTGGCCCGGACGCTTGATTCAAATCAGGTGAGATCGGTTCGCACAAGCTTTTGCAATCTGTCTGATCGATCCGGGGGAACACCCACCGAGTGCTCGATTACCACCCTGATTGCGACAACTTGCAGGTCGCACCAACTCCGGGGCAACCCAAATTAGCCGCCCAATACAACCTTGACCCCAGTCTACAGTGCGTTGGTGTGCCAATGATACCCAAACCCACTGAAGTCCGGGATGTTCCAGCAGTTCTGACCACATCAATCCCGGCAATGTCCTTCCAAGTCTGTCTTGAGGCTTCAGTAGCACGCTGGTCAGAATACCGCACAGCTTCTACTGTTTTATCAGGTATCAGGCTCGGCACGATGGTGGTGATGCCCTCATCTAGGTATGTTGAACTCTGGTTATCGACCTAGATTCTCTGTTGTTTGGTTTCTCGCGATGTCCCTTTGCTATATACCATTGCCAGTTGGTCTGAAAGGGCCGAGAAATCTCCAGCTCGCGCGGCGGCGGCGGTAGAAGATGAATGGCATCATTTTGAATGTGGGGTTTCATAGTACCGGGGTAGCTCGATGGCCAAGGCCACGACAATGCTTATCCTGCGGACATCTGTCTGTTGGGGCTAGAAAAGCAGGCCAGAAATAATTAGCGCCAACAGCGACCTACGTACGAAAAGGTCTGGAAGACGTGGCTCCGACTGATCGATGCCACGTTCGACGGGCTCATTACTAAAAAGGTCTGGACTCTGATAAAGACATCACTGGCGATTGGATGATGGAAATGTTGTTGGTGAGGAGAGTGGACGTGAAAAGCTTATCAATCCGCGAGTGCCTGGGTCATGTTGCTGTGCCGCACGATCGGTATCTAAATTATATCACTGAGTCGCAGGCTGCGGCGCAGCGGCTCTGCTGTAATGCGACGCTGAATGCAGGTGCAGCGCTAGTTAAGCTTTTTTCTCTTGTTACAATCAAATGTGGCCCTGGCCCGCGGCTCCGCTCTGGTTGGCCATTTCCGGCAGACCAGCTTCCAACACTCTGCGAAGTCGGCGCTTGTGTTTGTTGGTAGGCAGTGAGCACCTGCCTGGTTTATGTCGATCAGTGTATGCTGTGACCGTTGTGGCCTGCAATGTGGTATTTCTGTGGATTCGAAGGAATACTGCTACCTCATCAAAGTGGGCAGACCGAGAGTCCAGCATCAATTCGACTCGGCTGGAATCCTTGAAAGGAGATTGATCGGCATCGTCATGTTCCTCTTGGAATTGCATAGTAAAGCACGGATAGGTACATGTCATTGCCATTTCGGCACGATTCCCACGGGCCGCACCGACTGCCTGGTAACAAACTTTCGCCCAGCCTTCCAGTTCGCACGTCTTAGCACGAGTATGAGGCAACTCTCGCTTGGGCAGCGTGGGAAGTGAGGCTGTGGACCGGTAAGTACTTCGGCCAGCCCCCACACAAATGAACCGTTTTATTCTCGAGGATGTCCTCGCTTACGACGCCTTCAATAGTGGTACCAGCCCTTCTCTCGAAAAAGAACTGGTGGGTCCGACTGGGATACTGAAGTAATTATGGCATTAGGGTGGGCACCAACTGCTCTGATCATAGTGTCACGGCACACGGTCAAGCATGAGCGGGTATGCTTACTGACTCAGGAAAAAACTTGGTTGTGAATGGCTGGACGCCCTTTCGGTTCAGCTGAAGCTGGTGCGGTCTTCAGCTACTGCAAGGCTAATAAAGCATTTCAGTGGCGCAGACCAACAGACGCACCCATGACCCTCTCCGTCCATGTTCAGACTCCATACATAGTATACTTGATTAAGCCATATTCGCATAGCGGTTTGGGTGGCGTTGGGTCTGCTCGCAACGCTCGCTTAGAGACATAACCGCCTCGTTGAGTCCTAGGTATTTGGTCCCGACCGGCGCCATCTGCGTCCAAGACTGACGTTGAGCACGTTCGTCGAAAGGTTTTACGGAATACTCCACCGAGAGGGAAGGGACCTGTCACTCTTGATTCCCGGAAAAACACTGAAAAAAGCTCTCGTCTCAAGCCAAGACAATCATGGCCCCCACACGGTACTACTATGAGGAGCCTGCATATGTGATAGCAGGCGGGTCCGTCCTGCCCTTCTTTGCCATCGTCATCACTGCGTTGAGGCTGCATTTTCGAATCAAGTTGCGACAGCCCTTGAAGGCGGACGATTGGCTCGTTATGCCAGCTATGGTACGTGCTGGGCGATCTTCCACCAAAATAACTTAAGCTGACTCAGGAGACTGCAGGTTTTTGCTGTGGCCATTGGTGTCCTGATGATCTATGCTGTCTCACAACATGCCATGGCCTATCCTCTCGAAATCCCAGCCGACTTTGATGGGAACCCTCTACAGTTGGTCACACCTCAGATAGTCTTGGCAGCAAAGGTATGTGCACGCAGTCCCTAGCCATTCTCCGTGTCTAACATGAAAGAATAGACGCAAGTTGCAGTGCTGCTGATGCTGCCCCTGGGACTGGGATGCACAAAAGCCAGCATACTGTTTTTCTATTTGCGCATCTTCGCTACTACCAAGCGCTCGAGAACCTACGTACTGTTCTCTGCAAGTATCTTGCTCATAATCATGATGATGATCGGGTTTTTCTTCGCCACGCTTTTCGAGTGCGGGAGCCACATTTCAGCCATGTGGCAGTCGGTCGAGGCATTACAGACATACTGTCCAAACACGGACAGCTATGATTACGGATTCGCCATTTTGGACTTCATTACGGATGTTATGATCCTTCTTATGCCTATTCCGCTGGTAAGTAAATTGCCCGATTTTGTTGCCACTCAGCTGATAGGCATATCTATTTAGGTTTGGCGTTTGAATATGGCAACCAGGAACAGAATAGCCCTAACTTCAACGTTCATAGTTGGCGCCGGGTAATATTGGCCTCCCAGTCGTTTCAGAGAAAAGAGGCTAATGACAGAACAGATCCGTAGTGGCTTCTCTCATCAGGATGGTGATATACACTCGCTTATGGCTTAATGGAATCAGCGAGGACGCAGACGAGATTCGTAAGTGCACTGTTCCCTGGTTCCCATGTGGAAAATATCGACAGACAGATCTGACCGTGTCAAGTCACCATCACCGATAGCTTGTACTGGGGTATGATCTCGGTCAACATCGCCACCATCGCTGCATCACTCCCTTTATTGCACCCCCTCGTCAAGGACTTGAACATTTCAACCCTCTTTGAAAGTGCTCGGAGCTTTTTGAGTCTCCGGTCGCTTAGATCACGAGGCAGTGATTCACTCCAGGCTTCTGGACGCGACGGTCTGCCTGCCAGCGGAGTATACTCCTATTACTACCGGGGAGACAGCTCATCTGCCATAGGTGGACGTCCGGAAAGCATCAAGAGCCACCAATACCCCGTTGTAGCCAACACCTACCCAATGAATGATATCCGTGTCCAGGGAGAAACGTATGCCAGTTGAGCTTCTTATTTCAATATGAAATGGATCGGCTGGGCTCGCAAACCCTGGTTATGTTGGATAGCATCCACTCGAACGGCGGCGATTCACAGATATGGTACTAGTTGAATGGCGTGTTGAGGGAAAAGATGACTTCGCATGAATACTGGACAAAGATGAAGTTGAAGGTATCGGAATTAACTATTCTTGGCCTACACATTTTTGGTAGCTGAGGGTGAATACTGGAATAACGGATAAACCATGAAACTTGAGCGCAAACCCTGCAAAGCCCGGCTAAACCTGCATTTACTCAACGTATGAAACAGCTTTCTGTGTTAGAATGAGACCGGACCCCAAATCAGCTGCGCAGGTGCTGTCGTCGACTCCAAAGTACTGTACGCGACGAAGTTATGTTGCATTTGCTGAAAGATGCGTCTGCCCCTCAACCCCCCCCCCGGGGTCGATGATTGACCTCGAGAAAAGGATATCTGGACAACACCCTGTCTCTTTTTGGCAGGAAAACGAAGTAACTACAGAGCTGATTGCATGCATCGGATTCAGAATATCTACCATAACGTCGGTTGGTGGTGTGGTTCTCACTCGGGGGTGTAGTCACTGGTGATAGTGACTGAGGTCCCGTACGTTCAAAAATGGGTGCCCTCTGGACCCCTTTTCCAGACAAAATTATGGCCATACGCCTACTTTGAATACAAACATCGCACAATTTGATCAGGACCTCCCTCGCTCTTCCATAGGTGGCGTCGCCCATTGGTTGCACGATATGCAATATTCACGGAATCTTAATTCGGCTTAGGGAGCAGGCTAAAGTCTGCAAACTCCACTTGTGTTGCTACGGGCACTTGCTAGGCCGGGGCTAATCAATGTGCAAGGTACTTCGGGAGATGTATGCAATACGCACTAGACTAATAATAACAACACACATGCTGTGTGCGCGACATTCCCACCTCCCGTTGGCTGCCAAGTGCCCGTCTGCCCATACCTTTCAAGTTATAAATGTGATGAATTACTCGGCTAAGAATCCAGCTTTCTCTTTCTTCCTTGTCATTCCCACTGCATCGACTGGCACAACATGACGGAAACATCCTCGATCAAGATTGCCGTGATTGGCGGGGGCCTGGCTGGTGCAACCATTGCACATGCCCTCCTTCGACATGCTCACCTCGACGTCCACATCTACGAATCAGCGCCCGAGTTCTCCGAGCGCGGCGCAGCTGTCGGACTGGCCAGCGATGCACAGCGGGCTCTGAAACAAGTCGTCGGGGAGGCCGAGGCCAGCAGCCTGCTTGAGAAAGCAGGCGCGGTACCTCAGGCGTCTACGCGACTGTGCATTGTGAGGCGCAACCTCGACACTTGACCTGAGTTCACTGATTCTGACGACGGCCTTTTAGGGATCGGGACCGCAGGCAGGAACCGTCATGATGGATCTCGGTGGTGGTGACCCGAAGGACGCTGGGAGGGTTGTGCACCGTGCTTCGCTCCTCCGCGAGCTCCTCGCGCCGCTTCCCACCGGCCGACTTCACGCGAGCAAGGCACTCTCCGAGATCACCCCTGCTGCTGATGGTGAGGGTGGCGTCAAAGTCACTTTCCGTGACGGACAAGAAGTGACCTTCGACGCGGTCATCGGCGCAGACGGCATCTTCGGCGCTGTGAGACGGCATGTGTTGCAGGGGGCTGCCGATGCCGAGGGAGCTTCAGCCGCCGGGTTCTGGGACTGCAGAAATCTCGTTCCGTTTGAAAAGGCGCGGGACACCCTCGGCGCGAAGTTCTTCGAGCAGGATCGGCAGTACGGATGGGCTGGGAACGGAGCATTCATCATGCATGATGTCTTGGAGAACAGAACCAAGGTGCAGTGTGTCGTATCGGCTGTCGAGAAAGATCACCCCAAGGATCGCAAGAGGGCCTTGACGCGGGAGTTCCTAGAGGAGACCTTGCGTGACTGGCTTGACGGGCCAGTTGGCAAGGGTATGATAGAGGTGAGATGGCCCCCTCGCGTATTACAGTCTCGTTATTCTTGGAATGCTGACGGTAACGTGCTGGACAGCTTATGCTCGACCAAGACGATCCTCAAGCATATTCTCAGTGGGAACACAAATCCACCAGCACCTTCGCCAATGGCCGGGTTTGTATCGCCGGTGATGCTGCTCACGCCACGACTCCGTGGCAGGGCGCCGGTGCCGGCCAGGCTTTCGAGGACGCCTTGATTCTAGGCATTTTACTCGGCCAGGTCAAGCGGCCGTCTGAGATTTCTCATGCTTTCCAGGCCTACAGTGCTGTTAGGAAGGAGAGGTGTCAGAGGGTCATTGACTCTAGCAGGGGAACGGGGCAGATCTTCTGTGGTCAGAACCCGGAGGCTGGCTTGGAGCCTGACAAGATCATGGGCCTCTTGGCACCTAGATGGGGGTTCATCGGCGGTATCGATTTTGATGCTTATAAGGAAGAAGCGTTGGCCAAGATGAAGGAGCTTCAGGGAATTTGAGTCACTGCAAAGAATGAACACCCAGCTTTACTCCACATAAGCACTCACCCATTTGACGCAACATTTGTTCCGTTGAGCAACGCAGCCGTACTTGACCCTATGATTTCATACCTTCATCGATGGGCCTGCATCCCAAACCCACATGACGGCCAGGGCGCAGTACAACCATTGGACTTCTTTGTTCTTAACCGCCACCACGCACATTCAAGCATTCCTGACAATATTAGTACTATTGACAATCTAGCAGATCCAGATGGCACACCTGACCGTAAGATACGCAAATCAGCCGGGCTGCCCAAATCTGCGGGACGAGCCGACCGACCTTAAAGTCCAGTCCCGAGGATCGTCCCGCCTCATTTTCACCTCGACCCTCTGGGCGCCCCCCGAGCCCTTTGTGAGTCCCGGGCGGGCCGCGAGCTGCAAAGGGCGCCCGCCCGGAGCCCACGAGATAAAGGACACCGCACGGCTTGCCGAGGGGGGTTGGTCCAGTGGGAGTCCCGGGCGGCTCCCCCCCTCCATTGAGATCTTCATTCCGGCTCCGCTATGCACCACCCGCCCCAAATACGTGGCTGTTTGACGAGGCGGGCATCGTCAAAAAAAGAATTGGGAGGCCCCCCTGAGACTCCTGGATAAAATGGTTCACGGACTAGTCGCACGTCAACCTGCTTTTGTCCTACACTGGTCCGAGTAAACGATGCTCTAGAAAGACGAGTTCTCAAGGTTCGCGCGAGCTACTACTACCAAACGTGGGTCGACCCAGCCTGCACACGCACATGCATCTGCACAAGTGGAGAAGATCCCAGCACACAAGCCAGCGATGCTGACCCGCCGCGGCGCGTTCCGCCAGCGAGGCTTGGACCTCCTGCCCAAGATCCAGACAAGTAAGCAGATGATCTGATCCCAGTGAGCGCACAAAACAACCGCTGACCCAGCCTGATCAGACATCAGCCAGGTCGAGGCGGCCACACCAACAACAGCAAGTCCCGCCCACGACGTCGACGCTGAGCTGGCAGAGTTCATCCGGATCGACGACAGCTGCCTGGACTTCCTGACGCCGACGAGCGGTGTGTCGAGCTCCACTGCCGCCACAGTCACCGCCACACCCGGGGGCGACGACGACGTCCCCTGGCCGCGCCCGATGGACCGCGACATCCACGGGCGCAGCGATTTAAAACGCACGGCGCCGCAATGGGCCATCCAAGTGAGATTGGCGCTCAGCAGAGACTTTGAGCAGGACTCGACGACAGATCACCAATTCGGGCGGGAGGACGAGGGCCCGTGGGGCCAGCGGCGGCCGTCGGTCGTGGACCGGAGGTTCTCGTACGGGCGGAAGATCCAGGCTGGGGGTGGCCGGCGCCCGTCGGACTTCAGCCTGAGGTCGCTGCCGCCGGGCCTGCAGGTCCCCTACGAGGATATACCGTTCGAGCTTGTTTTGTGTTCTGAGGAAGACAGCTTGTACAGTAATTGACTACATGACCTGAATGAAATACCCATGCAATTTCAAGCACCCAGTCAGCTTTTGCACGCCCGATTCATCCATGCCCAGCCCGTGTCAGAGATACAATGCTTTTACGATGGGGAAACCACTACAGACAAATTACCACAGTTCACAAGTAGGCTCCTTGACGGGACACTTAAATGCCTCTCGGAACTCCCGAGAGTTGGCGGTAGTACCCTTGAGAAGGCGTTAGCGAACGTGACTCATGCGAATAATGAGGGGAGTTGACATACCTGAATTCTGTAAGAAGCAGGGCTGTGAGGGTCCGTGTAGATCCTCCTGATAGCCTCCTCCTCCCTCGTCTTCCCACACCAGGTCAGCCCATAGGCGAGGAAGAAGATCTGCTCCTTCGAGAAGTAATCCAGGCCAGGAAGAATAAGATCCTCCTTCTCATCGTCTCGGCGACGCCAAGACTGGAATGCAGCAGTGAGACCACCAGCATCGGCGATGTTCTCACCGAGGGTGAGCTTCCCGTTGATGGGCAGGTCGCCGTCCTTCGTCGGGATGGTATAGTTGTGATACTGCTCCACGAAGCAGTCCGTCTTGTGCTTGAAGGCTTTGATGGTGGACTCATCCCACCAGTCGCTATAGTTGCCATTCTGGTCGTAGTTCCTGCCGGACGAATCAAAAGCGTGCGACAACTCGTGACCTGCCACGGCGCCGAAGGCGCCATATGAGAGGTACTTAGGAAGGGACGGATCGTAGAAGACCGGAGCCTGCATGATACCAGCAGGGAAAACGATCTCGTTGCCGGGTGGGTTGTAGTATGCGTTGACAGTCGACGCGGACATGCCCCACTCAGCCTTGTCTACAGGCTTGCCGGCCTGCGCCCACTCTCGCCTCACATCGTCTCTGGTGGAAGAGAGCCGGTTGGCAAAGAACGAATCGGCAGATACGTTGACGCTGCTGTAGTACTTTTGAAGTTCTTTCGCGTTGGTGACATCCGGGCTCTGGGTGGGATATCCAATCTTTTGCCGGATGAGATGCACTTTATCAATAGCAAACTCGCGCACCTTCTCAGTCATCCATTCCGAATGGTTGAGCTTGAAGATGAAGGAGTCCTTGATGTCGTGGATGATCTGGTCACCCAGGTCTTTCGCCTCTTTGGAGAAAGCGCGTTCGATGAAGAAGCGGCTGAGAATCCAGGCTAGGGTGACGAGTGTTAGTGAGGTTGTCATCTTTCATGGTTGCGATGACTTACGAAGATCGCTATCGACGACGCTAATGCAGGTCCTCCATCGTTCCGCCTTGACATCCGGTTCCTTGCCCTGAAGCTTGTTGTTGAACCTGCGTAGGGGCTCGACGCTGTCATCCTCGACAGACCCACCCCATGTTTGCACCACTTTCCAGGCAAGGTATGCTTGGATGACCTCACGGCTCTCTGATTCGAGAATCTTTGCCAGAGACTTCAAATAATGCGGGGATGCCACGATGATCTTGGAAGGTTTATAGTCGCCAGCAAAGAGACGGATGATGTCCTTGACCGAAATTTCAGGGTTATATGCTTCTGCCTCATCTAAGGTTCGAGGGTTGTAAACCTTAGTGATGTCGGAGAGATCCTCGGGATCAGGCGATGCTGCTGCCAAGCTGTACTCGAAATCAACCAAGCTGTCGACGAGCTTCTTATTCAGCGTAGCAGGCGCGTCTGGGCTGTCAAATGTGGACAGCACGCTGTGCTTGGGTGAAGCTTCCTTGCGCAAAGCCTCCAGGACGGTACCGATCGTCTCCTTGTAGGCAGTGGCGATTTCAGTCCGGTTGTAATACTGCTTCGATGGTAGACCGAAAGACCAAGGGGGACTGAGGGAGATGATGTTGGAATCAGGATCCTTGTCGTCAGCACCGACACCAATGGAGAGTGGGCCTCTAATTCCATTGCCAATGAGATACTCCACAGCATCAGTGAGCGAGTGATCCTTATTTCCCTTTGGCTTCTTCACGGGGTACAGGTCCCCGAGTCCGGTGAGAAGGTCCAGCAAAGGCTTAGAACCGATCGACTTCAGCTGAGTCTCGTTCAAGCAGGCGTTGTAGCCATCGTGCAATTTGCGGTAGATCTCCTTGTCCGGTGAGGATGCAGTCCAGAACAGGGAGGTCTGTGCAGGCTCTGGGGATTCCAGGATACGCTTGAGAAGGAGCTGGCCTTCCTCGCTCATGATCTGGAGACTGCCAACGCCGGTTTGGTCTTCCCGGATCTCGTGGACGGCATCGAAACCCTCACAAACGTACGTGCGGAAGTCATCACAGGGGTCAAGGTCCTTGTATCTGGTGTCGTTGTTAGTGCACACGGCGTGAGATGAACATTGCGTTGGGGAAGCGCCCACCTCGATGAGAGACTGCGGAGAAGTGTTGAGGCGGCAAGGACACAGCCGGCCGAGGTGCATATTTCAGCTCCCTCACCCGGGGTCGGTTCGGAGGGTGGCTTCTCTTCATCACCGCCGCCTGATGTCTGGATGAAAGCGGTGACGAGGAACAAGACGACGAACACGGCAAGAAGTGCGGTCAGGACGAGGTTGACGGCGTGGGAAGAGATCCAGCTCTTCGCGCGCTGCCAAGTCGAGGGAGGAGTGTGGGCGTCCCCGCTCTCTTCCGCGCCGTCATTGCCCCGTAAAAGAGGCGTGCTCTCGTGAGCGTTGTTGTTCGACATCTTGATATAATTACAAGATGCCCAGAGTGTGTCTTGGAGATGGAGAAGAGGGTGCAGGCCGGGAGGTTGCTGACCTGACGGGATGAACGCGGTAGACCGCATGTCGTAAAGTGGAGCTGCCTGAAACGAGTCGGGGTGAGTTGGCCACCATCATGATTACGTAACACCGTTGTTGAGGTGGCATGGTGGCTGGGAAGTATCTCTCTCATAGCGACCAAGGCTCATGACCACGCCCGCAATGGCCGTCGACAATCAATTTGTCGCTTTTCTGAAGCTGAGTGCGCTACTAGGAAAGACGCAATTCTTCGCGGAGTTGTTCAACCCCCTTTCCCTACAAAAGCCGTACCTACCGAAAGGCCCAGGAGACCAATGTCGTCTCTCAGTCTTCCGATCAAGGAACTGCCCCCTAGTCCAAGGAATTGAATAGCATGCCGTGCGAATGGACGTTCCCTTCCTAGCCAAGGTGCGTCGTATCTCACACTCCATAGAGAGGATTGCCTCTCGAGACGTCGCTTGTCTGCACTCGCTCACATCCCATTCAAAACGCGAGTGCGCCGGCCCAGTCTGTCGTGTTGAGGCAATCGTCCTGGCTTCTCGCGCGAATGGAGATCAAGAACCCAATGTATTTAGTCGCTAATTGCAATCTGTCTGCCCCCTTTACCCTATCTACCTACTGATCATCCTGCAGCCCCACCATCTTCAACGAGTCCCTCCAGAGCCGCGCCTCTCCCTCGGGATTATGAGCATGTGCTGCATACCCCTTTGAATCGATGCCGTCATCGCCGCTCGCGAGGCTTGTCCTCCCGCAGTCAGCAAGAAATTCCCCCCCTTTATGTTCCCACTCCTGGCCGATGGCAGCCCACACGGTCGTTGCCGCGCCCTGCTCTGGCGACTTCATCGATTTTGCTAGCTCCTCGTTCTTCAACTCTTTAAGCGTGGCAGGATCCACATGCTGCATAAGCCCTGTGAAGATTACGCCAGGGTGAACGCTCGTGGCGTGGAGCCCCCGCGATCCGTAACGCCGCTCAATCTCGTTGGCCATGTAGATGTTGGCCGTCTTTGACTGTCCGTACGAGACCCATCCGTCGTATCCGCCCTTTTCAAAATTGTAGTTGCCCGACTCGTTGATCGGGGCAATGTGGTGGGCAGAGGAAGAGAGGTTCACGACTCGGGATGAGAGCTCAGGGCTGGCGCTGGCGAGCAGGGCTGGCTTCAAGAGTTGAAAAAATAGGAAGTGGGAGAGGTGGTTCGTCCCAAACTGCATTTCAACGCCGTCCTTGGTGTACTCCAACTTCGGGATAGCCATGACGCCGGCGTTGTTGATGAGGATATTGACCTGGCCGTTGGACTTCTGGAGGATGGTCTCCGCGGCGGCACGCACACTGCTCAGGGAAGTATTGTCCATCTTGATTAGTTCAGCAAGCTCAGATTCAAGGAGTGAACCCAGAGCGGTCTTGGCTTTCTCCAGGTTTCGCGCCGTCAGGAACAGCTTTGCTCCAGTCAGAGACAGGGCGCGAGCTGTCTCGATGCCTAAACCGGACGAGGTACCGGTGATGACGATAACTTTCCCGGCTAGCTTGCCCTCTGCCCCTTCGTCCTTGATGATCTGAAGGGCCGTTGGACGAGCGTCGCCCGGGCCAGCAAGGTTCGCATGGGCTTCTGCGTAGCGGGACATCGTGACTGATTGAAGAAAGTTGGGAATTTACAATCAAGCGATGATGGTGTACAGTATTTTGAATATGGATTTGAGAGCCTCGGCGGATCATTTATTCTTCTCATAGCTGAGCCCATCTCGGCTTTAATACGCGTAATTAACTCCGCCCCGATTAGAAAAGCCAGCAGAGTTTCCTAGATCCCTGCCGGTGAAGCTCAGACCGCGGCACACCGGGAGTCAATATGCGACAAGCTTTGCCTTACAAAGCAACTGACTCAGGAAATACTCTGCAGGCCAAACCAACTGGCCTCCACCGTTGCATGGTTTAGAGCCGCACGTTATTGTGAGGATGACGTTTTTGCCATTTCTGGATTAACCCCACGCCCCCTCCCGGCTTTCGAGCTCGCGTTGTCAGCCTCGGGGAATTTGTTTAACCTGCGACCTGGTCCCTGGCGAATATGACATTTTTTCCTGTTTCATCTAGCTCGCGGGCTCAATTTTGGGCTCGTCCTGTCGCTCAGCGAAACTGAAGCGGCTGCCGGTGACAGATTTCCAGCCCGGAACTGGGATAAACACCAGCTGTCTGCTGCCTTCACTGGAATAAACCCACCACATGGCGGAACCCAGGACAAAAATAGGACAAAGATTAATCCAGGTGCCTCGGCTCCTGGGTGAGGCAGAGGAACAGATCGGCGATCGTTCCGAGGATGCCGAGGCAAAGGCCGACAAGCAGCGCCGGAGGATACAGAACCGGAAGAACCAAAGAGCACACCGTAAATCCGTCCTCGCTGCTGTAGACCCCTGGCCGTCACTGTGCTCACTAACCTTGGCAGGACTGCGGCTCAAGGGCAAGGACGCGGGAGCCGGCCAGAGGCTGCGTCCATTCGAGATCGGACGTTGGCGCCTTGATGAGCACGACGTTGTTCTCCCCGAGGAGGCCTCGCCAGCATCAGGGGCCGCGCCAGCATCAGGGGCCGCATCAACCACGCCCACATCCCCTCGGTCACTTCACACACACATAGAGTCAACTTCCCATAGAACCGAGCATACCACGTTCCCCCGAGAATCTCGACTCACGGCCCAACATCGGCCATCTTCAACCCTTAACCCCCAGCCCTTTACTTTCCCCCTGTCCGCGGATCACCTCCTCCACCTCATCCAGTACAACGTCTTCCGCGCCTTCATCACTAACAAGCGCGCCCTCAACTTCCCGGCCGGAGGTCCGACCAACTGTCCCATCAGCGGGCTATACTGTCACGACACGAGCCTCCGCACCAGCATCCCTCCCTCCCTTGCCCCGACCACCCTCCAGCAGAACCGCTACCACTGTCTCTGGATCAGCGCCATCCCCTTCCCCCGCATCCGCGACAACCTCATCAGGCACGAGGGCCTCTTCGACCACTGGGACCTGATGTACGACCTCATCGGCGATCTCATGCTCTCCACGCCAGCCGCATGCGTGGGAGGCACCACCCCAGCTGCGACCCGGCGGCCCCCACCCTTACTGACGTCCCCATCGGGGAGTATTGATGGTGCGGACGATGATGAAGTCACCGCCGGGCGCAGGGGGCTCATCGTCTGGGGCGAGCCGCACGAGACGCAGAGCTGGGAGGCCACGCCTGGCTTCCTCGCGAAGTGGGCGTGGGCCGTGGAGGGCTGCGAGGAGCTGGTCGAGACGAGCAACCGCTGGAGGATGCAGAGGGGCGAGGAGCCCATGCGGCTCTCATTGTTGAGGAGCTGGTCGCCGCTCCGCTACCACTGATGCTTGCAGCGTTAAGTGGATATAGTTCTAAAGTTCAGAGTGGACATGACCGATTCAGTCTCTTCCAATAGCAACACTCACTGCAGTGCTGTCGAGTTTTGACTCTCATACCACAATATCTCAGACTAGCCAACGATGTTGTCTCTCAGGCAGCATGCAATTCCAGAACAAGCCGTGGCACATATTATGTGCAGTTGGGGGCGGTCAATAAATGGCCAAAAGCGAACCATCATCCTGCGGCGCAGTCTGACTAGGATGCGACCAAAGTGCTGAATACAAGTCTCATGCGCGGTGGGTTGTTCCAATCATGGTTTCGCTTTGGCGATGAGCCCCGCGGTAGTAAGCTGCTGCAGTGAGACCCGAACACCAGGCACGGCTGGAATTACGGCCCCATTGACCTTCCCTAGCCCGATCAGTCGTCAGTCTGTGTAGCAGTTTGCCAGGGCATACTGTAATTTGGGGTCCACACCTTTTCAGCTTGTCTTGCCTGTTTCGTGGAACCCCTAGCACGACGTCACAAGCCTTCTCTTCCAAAGCTGTCTTCTTTCCAAAGCTGTCTTCTTTCCAAAACTTCCGAGTTGGCGCGCTTCGCGACATGAAACCATCATTATAAAGTCTTGCCATTTCTGGAAGTCTGCCCGCCTTGGGCCCGTTATCTGCCCAGTATGCCACAATCGACATCGGAGGTGACGCCATGTTTATCTGCAGCAGAACTGGAGAGAAGTCAGACCATGCGAGATGATTCAGAGTTGTTGCCACCAGGCGGAAGTGGACTACAATCTTCCCTGCCCCTTGAAAGTCACGACAACCAACATTTTCAAAATTCTGTTTCTCACAGGACATCACTGGACACTGTGACTGGGAATAATCGAAGCAAGCATCCCATAGATGGCTTGGAGGGTATCCCACGATATTTGTCCTTTTCCTGGGCCTCTTTTGCCGCCGACGCTATTTCTACATTCGTTACTATCCCGTTCATCGTCTTGGGGTTCCTGCTGGCGCAAGCCAAGGGGCAAATCGTCAAAAGAAACGCACTCCACGGTCTTGAGAACGGCATAAGAGTCGTCAGTGGATCAAAATTCCCAATCTTTCTTCACCTATGAGAACATTGTTGATCCAACATTTCAGGCAGCTACGGCTCTCCCATCCGCGTTTGCCGCCATGTTCGGTCACCTAACTACTCAGCTCGCACGCTGGAAATTGGAAAGGGGAGGCAGCCTGCGCGGTGACAGCCCGACGGCAAGTAGTCTCAGGTACTCATCTGGGCTTTCCGATCCGTCGTTGACTTGCCTTGTGAACACCTCATCGTCCTACACGTGCATGTTGAGTCAAAGGTGCAGTGCGGCTTCTTTAAAATTTCTCACAGATAGCGATATCAGTCGTCGCCTGGGTCAGATTATCAACACTTACTTCATGATCTCCCAAGCCTACAATTCCGTATCGAGAGGCAGTCTGAGCGGGGGTGAAATTATCAATCTGGTCACTATAAACAACGTCATTACGACTATGTCGATCGTCAAGACCGAGGAAATCTACACCATCAACGCCGCCTGACTGACCGCGTTCTTCCTAAAGGCCATCGCCATGCTCGCAGCCAGCATCGTCGGCGCTGCCTTCTGCCACAGCTCAATCACCCCCAGGATCTCGGGGTTCGCGCCAGCAGCGATTCGCGACTCCAAGTACGTGGACCTCGCGCCGGGATTTGGGGCGTTGAGAGGCCTGGAGATGACAAAGGCATTCGAGAAGATTGAGTTCCGCTACGGGGTGGTGAAAAAATTCTGATAGAGGACAGAAGGTGTTGGGGGTTTCGTGGAAAGTCAGTGCCGAGCAGGTGAAGAAGAGGGTGCCTTATGTGTAGTGTAAAGTCACTGTTAACGGAGCTGAGGAGAGGTCACGGAAATTGCGCTCAAGCGCGTCGTATGGATCGCAACTTTACTCTATGGGGATTTGTGGTACGCTGCTCTTTTACAGGAGAAGGCGCTGTCTATTAGTAGGTCCTAACGAGACCCCAAGATGCTCTATATCACAGCTAATTGGTCTGTCTCTTTTAAAGTCTAAGTCTTCATAAGATGGCAGTCCACTGCCAGTCACCAACCACTTATTTACCAGTCTCTTGCCATCAAAGAATTTAGAATTCATATCACCAGCGGTTAATGTAGAAATGTGTCGAACTTGTTAATTAACTCTAGCACACAACTCTAGCCTCAGATAGTCCCTCGTAGACCAGACTGTGCCTAGTGATTCGACGGTTTTTAACGAATGACAGGGTGCAACAACTAATACTGTCTATACATAGTCTCACAGCTCCAGATCCGAGAGATCAATGCAGTGCAGCAGAACTGCTTACATGCCATCCCAGACGTGGCCCATCAGACGGTTGGCCGCATCGCGGACATAGGAGGCCGTCGCCCCGACGGGGTCGTTGAGGTCCGCCTTGTTAACCGAGCCGGAGTTGTAGGCACGGAAGGCCTCGTAGTAGTTGCCGTACTTGGCCTTGAGCTGCTTCAGGCCGTCACCGTCCTTGGTGCCCGAGGTGCCGTCGCGGATCATCTGGAGGATGCTACCGGCGGGGTCGTTGGGGTTGAACTCGACGCCGTTGTGGGACTGCATCAGGCCCGGGTTGCGGACGCCGTTGTTGGTCTGATAGGGTAAGGGTGGTCAGCTGTCTGGTTTTATGGGAATTCAGGGCTGATATTTGTCCTCGCTCTGGTGTACTTACGGTCTTGACACGGACGTTGCCACCAGACTCCTGCACGATGATGCACAGGATAACACGGTGGTCGACGCCCGACTCCTTGGCGACGGTCTCGATGGAGCTCTTGATGAGCGCGACCTCGGAGTCCGAGTCGTGCAGCTTCATCAGGCGCTCGTTGTCCTTCCAGAGCGCGTCGTAGCTGGCCCACTGGGACGGGTTCGGGAAGTTGGACGCGGGCCCGCTGTAGTTCACGTAGCCCTTGCCGGTGCTGGGCGGCGCGCCGCCGCCGGACCCTCCGGGGAGCTTGAGGACCTGGCCGACCTGGAGCTTCTTGGGGTCCACGCCCGGGTTGGCGGCCTGGAGCGCCTCGAGGGTGATTCCATGGCTCTGGGCGATGGAGAAGAGGGTGTCGCCGGCCTTGACTGTGTAGCTCATTTTGACTGGAAGATGGTTGAAAGTTGGTAGTTATTGAATTGTAAGTCTGTAAATATCAGAGTGTCTTGTATTGGATTGAATGATGAGGTGTCTACTATTCCATTGTTCTGCATTGGAAAGGCAAAGGCAAGCCTTTTATACAATCTGGTGTTCCACGAGAATTGGCCAGAGAGTCAGAGATTCAGGTCAACTCGGTCTCGTGCGTAACTCATGACGCTTCTCGCTGACCTCAGGCCTGGAGTCCTCAGCTACAAAGGATGCAATTTCCAAGTGAGGCAAAGATAACTCATCATGCGAGGGCCTCGTGAGGCGCAGGACCAGGCAGAGAACATTTCCGCTACCGAGGGAAGCCGGGTAGGATTCGCAGTGTCGCACATGCAAGGCTGGGTAAAGGCGAATGTATATCAATGACCTAATCCTTCCTGACCGGGTCGACTTGTGACAGATTCCGTACAGTAAGCTACAGCCGAGCCGCAGAAAAGCCACTTGAGAAAGGCCATAAAGAGGAAATGCCGTAAGCCCGCCCCCGCCGCTAGGTCTCACGCCCCAATGGTTCTCACGCCCCAATGGTCAGCTGAGCAATCAAAAGACACAATACAGTTTGTCCACAAACGACCTAACAATAAACGTTGCTTGTACGACGCCATCTCATGCTGTGTTCGCAGCTGGAACTAACGTGAGCAACCTGTGACCGTGGCTTCATATCTAGGCGGCCACAACCTGCGCCGTCCGAGCTGGTATTTATTAAGCTCGGCGTCAACGGTTGAGGCGACTTCGCTGCACGTCCAAGTCGCGAGTTGAGTGCCAGGTCAATGATTTTGTCGACCAGCCAAGAGATGAGGCGACAGAGAAAACAATATTGTGCCAGGTGACAAAACCAGGCAGCAGCTCGGCAGGCATGGGGGCCGTAATCGTGTTGAACATAGTACTATATCACTACTGACACGAAGACTGCAATCGGAGGACCATGACACTTCCTTGGTAGGAGAACACGTCGCCCGGTTGGATTTATAGGCCCATCTCGGAATCCAGTTCCACGTTGAGGAGATGGTTCTTTGCATAGCACCACGAGTCTTTGCTGACAATACCAGGGCCCCTCGATTGGTCACAGCTTGGGGGCCTTCCCATCGTCGCACTAGAGTCCGAGTCGTAAGCAAATTGCGACGATAAGATGAATGACGGCATGCCAAATGAGGAGGGCGTTGCAACCATACAGCCATGTGGAGAGCTCCCCGAATCAGAGTTCGAGACCACCCAGCTGGGACGGGAAGCGTGTTGTTGCTGGGTTCCCCGCCTTGACTAGACACCACGATTCGCGAGATTTTGGGACGGACCGTCTAATAACGGCTATAGATCTAGTAAGGTATATCAGAAGGCTCTAGACCATTTCTAAACCAAGGTCTCACCACCCACTCCAGTAACCCTCAATGCAGAGCTGACATTCTCCTCCCGTTGTACGTCGTCGGGGCGTCTGACCTCAGCCAAGAACTCTTCTTCTTTCACCTCACGAATTGAGACAACAACGCGTATTAGAAGAGATAAAAGACCGCCCAATATGAGGAATCATATGGCAGCAGGGTGGTTCTACTCACCCAAACAGATCGGACGATACCTGCTCAGCCGGCCATCAAGCCTCAAGCCTCCCCGTGCCAAACTCCGCAACCCGATCCATATCCTCGCTGAGCTCGACCGCCACCAATGGCTGATGTTTTCTGCCGGATTCCTAGGCTGGGCCTGGGACGCCTTCGACTTCTTCACCGTGTCCCTCACTGTGACTGAGATCGCGAAGGAATTTGGGGTCTCAAATGCTGATGTATCATGGGGTATCACAGTCACCCTCATGCTCCGCTCGGTTGGCGCTTTGATCTTTGGGATCGTGTCTGATCGGTACGGCCGCAAATGGCCCATGGTCATCTGCCTAGTCCTATTCATCATCCTAGAGCTTGCTTCAGGTTTCGCCCAGAATCTCAAGCAGTTCCTGGCCGTACGGTCCCTCTATGGCATAGCCATGGGTGGGCTCTTCGGCCCTGCTGCTGCGACGGCCCTGGAGGATCTTCCTTATGATGCGCGTGGACTACTGTCCGGTCTTTTCGAGCAAGGTTATGCTACGGGATACCTACTCGCGGCCATCTTCTACCGTGCAGTGAGTGCAGTGACCTGCGGACTTCTGCATTGCAAAACAGATACTAACGACGTCTGACCGGGTAGCTCGTCCCTACGACAACTCACGGCTGGAGGTCGCTCTTCTGGTTCGGCGCTGGCCCTCCTGTCTTCATCATCACCTTTCGACTGTGCCTCCCAGAGACTAATGCCTTCCTCATCATGAAGGCTGAAAGAGAAGCTGCCATTGCCGCCGGAGAGGAGGAACATCACACAGCCGCGCAGGGCCTACGGGCTTGGCTTAAAGACGCTCGCGATGCCATGAAGGCAAATTGGTTCCTATTCGCCTACATGGTTGTACTCATGACCGGCTTCAACTCCACCAGCCACGGCTCCCAGGACTTCTACCCAACGTTCTTGAAGAACCGTAAGTGATCTGCTTTTTAGCCATTCTCCCAGAGACCGCATTAGCACAGACGGTCCAAACTAACTCGCCATGTGTACAGAGGTGGAACTCGACGCAACAGACGTGACAGTCATCAGCGTCGTCGGCCAGATCGGTGCCCTCATAGGCGGCACCACGCTAGGCTACATCAGCACCTTCTTCGGCCGCCGACTGACAATGTGCGCCGCCTGCATCTTCGGCGGCGCCATCCTCCCCGCGTACGTGATCCCGCACTCGATGAAACTGGTCGCCAGCGCCTTCTTCCTGCAGTTCTTCGTCGGTGGCGTCTGGGGCCCGATACCAATCCACCTGAGCGAGCTGTCCCCAGAGGCCCTCCGCGCGACCGCCGTCGGCCTCACGTACCAGCTGGGCAACCTGGCGTCGTCGGCGGCCGCCACGATCCAGGCCATCATCGGCGAGCGGTTCCCGCTCGAGCCCAAGGACGGGGTCGCCAGGTTCGACTACGGGAGGGTCATTGGCATCTTCATGGGGGCCGTGTGGGCGTATGACCTGCTGTTCCTGTTCCTTGGGCCCGAGATGAGCGAGGAGGAGAGGGCCGAGTTCGCTGCGTCTGCGAATGAGTTTGAGAGGCTGAGGAAGTCGGGTGTTAGCCTGGCTGATATCGGCGCCGAGAGGGCCAAGGCTGCGATGTTGGAGAAGCAGGCATCGCGGGGCGAAGAGTATAATAACAACGAGAAACCTGTGGATGTTGAACATGTGGAAATTCAACGTGAGGTGGTGTAAGACTCAGCTTCCTTGGGAAACTTCGGGTCGTGTGGAGGTTTTATCTATTCCATCTCAAGTGAGAGCACAATGATTGCTCATCAGAAACCTCAGAAGTGACTTTGCACATCTCGTGGTTCTACAGAGGAAATCTTGAACTAAAGAGCACTCCGATGCTTTCCATAGCCAGTATTATATCATTCAGAGTTATAAGCAAGTTTTAGGTATATTATATATCTATTCCCACCCTTAACAGTGGATAGTATCAGGCTCTTATTGTGCTCCACCACACATTGATTTAAGAAACGAATGCATATGCATGTATACAGCGCAGTGATCTAAAGTCAGTCACTAACAAAGTACCGTGAGCCGATGCACACCCAACTGTTAGAGAACGACTTGGCCGTGAGAACGGCTGCACGAGACCCAGGTTCAGTCGTGGTCATCCAGAGTTTTCTCACCAGGTACTCAGCGTGCCCTGTCCTGTCTTCATTCTTGAATCCTGCCCATTACATCCCGCAAATTCAATATGGTCCGGCTCAAAAGTTTTCAAGCATCTGGTCTCTATAGACACTCCCCCCTCCCCCTTTGAGAATTGTCCTGTTCACTCGAGTCTGGATTTAGCATGACAGCCAATGCGGCTCCTCCAGGAATGGATCAGTGAGCAGATGACATTGCCTCAGTTAGTAGGTTCTCATTGCATCAGAAATTGTTGCGAGGCCCTCGCTCAGGATAGAACCCAGGCCTTTTCCTATGTGCACTTGTTTTGCATAGAAATAGTGCGCAGTGTTGCGGCAAAAGAGAGATTGCAGCGACATAAATAACAAGTTATATTTGAATGCCTGCTAAGCTTATAGGCATGGTAAGTTCAGACAACTAGCAGTAGCAAAGATTCTAGCATAATGGATAAGACGGATTTTTCTTTTCTTGGCTGGTTTAAGATCACTATAGCGTCGGCCACACTATGTTTTAAAATTAACTGTTTATTAGTTTATCTACTATCTACTTATTTTTTAACTGCTTTTCTTTAGGCTTCTATAATATACTTTTATATATTTTATTATAATTATTAAAGTTTTTTATTTTTAAAAACGTTTTATAAGGAGATTATGTAACGGGACTGGATGTTTATTATTTAAAAAGTACATGTATATAAATTAAAAATAATACTATTTAAGATTACTATTACCTTGTCCAAAAACAACTGTCCTGGAAGGAAGTTTCTGGGCTCATTAGCCCGCAAATCGTTGCGTTCCGTCGGTCCCTTGCGACCAGCCAATTCGTTTTGGTCGATGCACACAATATATATGGTCCTCTGATTTGCCTGCACTTGAGGATATGTGGACAAGATTACTTCAACGTGGGGGTGGGATGAACAGGCTCCGTCACTACTGTCATTTGTGCCCTGTTCTAGACACCTGAGTATGGTTGAAATCCATCCAGGCTGCCATCAACATACCGAGGCTCAGGTTAAGCGTCACAGAGTCTAGCGCCATCGTGTTCTCGTGTGCAACAAGCGCTGCAGGTTACATCGGGGCTTTCTGGTCCAACCCTTGCATAAAACATCAATTTCTTCACATTGACTTGGCAAGCTTTTCCCCATTTACAGTGGGTCTTGTGGATTAGCCGCGAGCCTTCTGGAAGGTGTGTTCTCCATGCGCCAAGCAAGGCAGGCGAGTCGAGGGGGTAGTAACTCTGCCAAGTCCTCGGCTCGGCGGAGGAAGACTGGTCGTGAAGTAATTGTCAGTACGAGTAGCCAAGGGTAGCTGCACAAATTTCGACGGGAAGCTAGGTCGTAGGTTTTTTTGTGACTGAGATTATTCGCGAACCCGTGGGCATAAATCTGATTTATGAAGAGATGTCATCCTTATGTTGTCTACTTAGTCCAAGTGACTGCGGACAGTATGAACACAAGCTATGGCCTCGCCCATTGACTACTAAGTGCCACACCCTGGCCCCATTGTGTGAGATGACCCTGGTCTAAAGACTGTCGGGCGGACCACTTTATCTCTAGGGTCTATCTAGCTCTTGTCGTGTTCTATAGGGCCCTCATGGCTGTGTGATGAAAATTCAGTACGGTGGCCGAGCAAAAAGGGGCGAATTCGTATTGAGGAGGGGGAGGAACTGCACAGGGATCTGCCACCTTATGCTAGCCTATTTATAGATATGCTTATTATTAACCGAGACTACTGGCACAGATCAGTCTTGTTGGTCTCTTTTAACACAGGACGTTCGAAATAGTTGGACCGGCTTAAGACTCGTGCACAGAGATGCAGGTTCCGGCGCTGCGCCTAGGACTGCAGGGAATTCTCTAGCTGGAGCAGGTCAGCACAGTCGTTAGGCAGTCTCCATACGGGTCGCTTCGTTGGAGTTCCGTACAGCCTTGCCATTCCGGTTCGTGATTGATACGGGTTTGTCACAATTCCGTCGATTTACAGCACCTCGCACCGTAGGTTTCCGCGAGTGCGGCGCCTGGCTACATGTCTGACGAGTTGGTGAGCCGATGCTCAAGTTGCCGCACAATCGAGTTAAAGAGCTTTTCAAAGTTACTAATGGAAAGCAGTTAATCCCAGTCGATTAGGTAGGTACCCACTTCATTCTACGCAATCCCAGCATTGTCCCTCTCATGTCCCGCCCATAGTGGACCCCTTGATCGCTTCGATCCGAGGGAAAGAGGATGGGGAGGAACCCCCTGAAAGCGAACACGGGAAGAGAGCCGGATGTGCCCCCATCAGACGTCAAGAGCCCCCTATTTCCATCGACAACTACCAAGGACAGCCACAGTGGATGCCGGAGAATAGAGAGCCGCGGCTCCAAGGTGGGCCGGCTCGAAGCAGGGCACCTTGCCGGACGACGTTCATAAGAAAAGACCATCATGATGATGCACAGGTTGTCTTCCCTTCTCGCCACTCTCACTAACTGCCTAGGAAGCTCTCACACAGCTGCTTCATCAGTCACTCGTTCATATTAGCTCACCATTTGGCTTAACTTGTCTGTCATTCGCTAGAACTCGACCCATCCATCCCCCCATCTCGGTAACATGCTTCCTCGCTCCGTTTTCAACATCGTCTCCCTCGCAGCGGCTGCAGCCGCGAGCGCTATTCCCCGTGCCGATGGCGCCTGCGCAAACCCGGCCATTCGCAAGGAGTGGCGCGAGCTCACCGACGCCGAAAAGGCCGAGTACATCCGTGCCGCAGTATGTCTGCGCGGGCTCCCCAAGGCCAAGTATGCCGACATCGACGCCGTCACCACGCGCATGGACGACCTGGTCTACACTCACTTCTCCCTGAACACGGAAATTCACTTTGTGGCCAACTTCCTCCCGTGGCACCGCTGGTATGTGAAGCTGCACGAGGATCTTCTGCGCGATGAGTGCGGCTTCACCGGGACCCAGCCGTACTGGGACTGGAGCATCGACGCCGACGCCCTGAACACGCCCAACTCGCCCGTCTTCGACCCGGCCACCGGCTTCGGCGGCGACGGCAAGCGCACCGGCAGTGACGTGCCGGGCTTCCAGCGCTGCGTGGTCGACGGACCCTTTGCCAACACGAACCTGACCCTGGCTATGGGCTGGCCCGACATGAACGAGCCCGGAAATCGCCTCCATTGCTTCACCCGCGAGTTCAACGGTGGTATGGGCAACGACGCAAACGGCGAGCCAATCATTGGCGATATGCAGGCGGGGGCGTACAACTCCAAAACCATGAACACCATCTACGCCTTCGACAGGTTTGCCGACATGGTTGAAATGCTCGAGGGCTTGCCGCACGCACAGAGTATGTCCTGCGTTTCCATGCTCGTCTCTCCTGGGTGAAGACTAACGCTCTGCAGTCCACAGCATCATCTTTGGCGACATGGGTCCCGCCACCTCGCCCAATGAGCCTCTATTTTTCCTGCACCACGCCAACGTTGACCGTGCTTGGGCCAAGGTAAGCATCCCCTTGACTTCTTCCTTCGGCTTGCGGAGCGTGCAGTTGCTAAACTTCACCACAGTGGCAGGGCCGCAACGACACCCGACTGGCTGACTACAATGGCTTTCAAGACTCCGACAAGACCATTCCGGCCTCGATCAACGACGCCATGCCCATTATGGACCTTGCTGACACTCAACCTATTGTTAAGGACTACATGGACATCCAGGCTGGCCCCTTGTGTTATACTTACTCATCTATGTAAATACTGTGCTAGCACTTGGTTCCAACATAGCAATATAACTAATATGACTTGAAACCTTTTCCGGATAAGTATATGCAGCAAATGCGAATCCTTTTAACACAAAGGCCGTGATCGATCATCTAATGAGACCAGAGACCGTAACATTCTGGAGCGATTTCCTCTTGTCTGCTGCGACAAGAAGCCTGATCCACGTGGTGAGCAGTGCAACTTACTCTAGAGCAACGCATGCCTGCAAAAGATGCATGGCAGCAATGGCGAAGATACCATCGGGGCAGAGCTAATGAATGTTTACGCCTGACTGCCTCATGATCGACATGTCACTTCCATTCCGCTGCTGGAGACAGCCCCGAGTCACTGGTGCAACTGTGGCAATGGCACGTATCGAACACTGCTGTGGGTGCCTGATTGGGACTATGTAAGCAGCTGCCGGGCCAACACCTTCTGTCTCGGCGGGGGCCGTAGCAATCAGGTAGCCAGCAACCAACCCACTACCTACCACGATCAACACTACAGTACTTCGTCTTACTGTAGCAGTTGACCAGTAGGTGGGGTCAAGAACCACACTGCCACGGCCACAGCGGGTTTTGCCCTCCTTGATGCACACTCCACTTTGGACTTGTCGAGTGCACCTCGGAAGCTTCAAGTTTCACCTGTCCCTTGCCAGTGTCCAGCTTCGTCACGTACCCGCAACACACCATGTCTTTATTCTCACTCTGGCAGCAGTTCTTTCCACCTGCGCCTTCGTTCACCGAGAAAGATGTCGTTCCAGGCAGTCAGGTTGGAAAGGTCTTCATTGTCACTGGTGCCAACGCAGGTATTACATCTGCGCCTCAAAACACGTTATTACGCATCCTTAGCTGACTACATGACACTCAGGCATCGGCTTTTCACTGGTGAAGCTCTTGTATCCCACCGGTGCTACAATCTAGCTTGCTGGACGTTCACTGGATAAGATCCGAAACGCCATTGCAGAAATAGCCTCGTCATCATCGCCGGCCACTCCAGCACAGCTCAAGGTTTTACATCTAGACCTTCTGGGCCTTGCGACAGTGAAGGCATCCGCAGCATCACTTGTTTCCCAAGAGACCCGGCTCGATATTCTATGAAATAATGCAGGCACCAATCTGCCCAACCAAAACCTCACGAAACAGGGCTTGGAAGTTCACATAGGTGCCAATTGTGTTGCTCCTCTCCTCTTCATCCAAGAACTGCTCCCACTACTTCAGGCGGCAGCAAGGTCCGCGCCAAAGGACAGCCTTCGTATCATCTGGACAGGATCATTGCATATCGACGTGACAGCACCAAAGGGTGGTATCGACTTTCCTTGCATCGACCTTCCTACTAACTTGACCGTAACCCGGGAAAACTATGCAGCTTCCAAGGCTGGAAATTGGTTTCTGGCTACTGAGGGGGGGAGAAGATGGGGTGCTAGTGGTGTTATCAGCGTTTGTCAAAACCCTGGAAACCTACACACCGGGATGTACGACAATGAACCCCAGTTGCTTATGTTCTTTCTGAAACGATTCGTACTCTACGAAACAAGATACGGTGCGTATACTATGGCATTTGCAGGTTTTTCATCTGCAATCAATGAGGGCTCTAACGGTGCTTTTATCTGGCCCGGGGAAGAATTCGACCGCTGGCACGGGCGGACATATTGGAGGCTGTTTCCGACGGCACAGCTGCAAAGTTCTGGGAGTGGTGTGAAAGGGCATGCACAGAGCATTCTTAGCGGACTTTTCGTTTTGTGATAGTTCAGGATCTGTTCTTCCCCTTTCTCCATTTGTTTTTCCGTATCTTTCGTCTCCATGAATAACGTACATGATCCGTTAGATTGGCGATCTACGTTCCTCGCACAAGATACTGCATAGATCTCCATATACACACAGAAGGCGTGACATGCTTCATCAATCTTGCCATTTATGTGCTTAGATGAAGCCCCTGATACTATGCATCTGGCGATTCACTTCTGCCCTGAATAACAGAATGAGCAACGATAGAGTGTAATAGGTATCTTGACCTCTGATCATATCTTTGGAGAAAGTGTTGAAGAGTCAATGAATGCAGATATCAAAACAAGACAGTTGTCTGCTACGGATGCTTTCACTACGACAGCCCTGTTTTAGCTGTTCTGGACGTACCAAGTAGATGTAACACGGATGGCAGTCGCAGCAGTGGTGCCCCTCTCAATCCTATACCCCCGAGTTTCACTCCCCTGTACCAGCCCGTCTGTTTCTGGGTCGAAGGAATGCAGTCTCTGTAGCCTATAACTGCTGTCTTTGGACGTATTCGGTGAGTGTGTATCCCTGGAGACTCCGCGTGTAGACTTTCTATCAGAGAAGAAGCTGCGGGTGGCGCTCATTATTCGACTACCGAGAGCCATTTCTCGAAGGATGGGCTGCATCGACAGGAGACAGGCTAGCAATATACCGAGCTGGGCTTCAAGAATACCGAAGAAGAACAGCAAAGCATACATGTTAAAACCAATCTTGTTTACCGCATCAGTAGGCTTGTGGGCTTTGCCAAGTATTTGTATTAAGATTATGTTGCTGGTATCTAAGCGTAGTGGTGATTCGAGCTCAAACCAGGTTCACTTCCGACGCTGCTCCACCCCCCACGTGTTCCACGTAGTCTCAGTCCGGGCCTGGCTCATCGCCGTTGGACTGCTGTTCCCCCAGCGATCGGCCATGGGCGGAGGCGGCCGCAGCACACCCCCTTGGACGTCCCCGCCCGCGGGGCCGCGCGTCCGCTCCTGCTTTCGCACCTGGTCCTCCTCCTGCATTTGTTTGACCCTCTCCACCATCTTCAGATCGAGCGGCGGCGGCACCGCGGCCCGTCTGATCTGGCCCATCTCGCTGAGGATGCTCTCCCGCTGGCCGCCCACCACGGAGGCGGGCGACACCGAGGGCACCGGGCCCAGGCCCCGCAGGCTGGCGGCGCCGCTCGACGCGACGCTGGCCCGCGCCGCCATCGGGTCGAGCATGCGGCTCGCGTGCCGGTCCATCCACCTGGAGACGGCGGCGTCCTTGGGCGATGAGTCGTCTTGTGCTGCTGCTGCGCCGGCGGCGGCGTCGGGGCTGGTTCTGGATTTCACCTTTTGCACCTGTCGCCTGAGCCAGCCCGGCGTGGAATCGTTCCACCGCGACACGCCCTGGTCGGCGGTCCCGTCTCGACTGGGGTCTTCGCGGGGTGGGATGAATCCGATGGTACTCGTGTTGCCGCCCTCGGCCTTGTAGGCGGCGGCCATCGCCTCATCCATGATGCGGATGTCGGACTTGGGACCGCCAACAAAAATTTCCTTCCCGGAACTCTGATCAGGCTCGTCCCGGCCGCGTCGCCCGCGGTACAGTTTCCAGAAGAGGAAGGCCAGGAGGCTGACGCCGGCTAGTGATCCTGTTCCAGACAGGTTAGCATGATGCTTGTTCACGCACCAGGAACAAGCAGCCCCATTTTGGAAGGACGATAACGAGGGAAATCAACGTACCGAAGACCGCGATTACTATCGTGGCCGCCGGGGGTGCAGCGGTGGACTGGCGGCTGGGGCCGGCTCCATTCTGGGCTCGTGGGGGATCTGTGGTCTCAGCTGCAGCTACCGGTGTGTTGGTGGCAGACTGGCTGAATGTTTGAGTTCCCAGTGTGGTTGATGCCGGAGGCAGAGTTTGACTGTCCAACGTGGCTGAAGGGGGCGTAGCGACTGGCGGCGGCGGTGGTGGAGGCGAAAGTGTCGTCGTGCCTGGAGGTGGCGCCGTTGAAGAAGCTATCGTGCTCGAGCTCCCGGGTGTGGATATGGCTTCGTCTTCGTCGTCACTCTCCCCGTCCGAATCCTCGACGGCCGCGTTGTTCACTATTCCCTCGTCGTCACTCTCATCCGAATCCTCGACGGCCCTGTTTTTCGCTCTTCTCTTGTCGTCACCACGACGAATCCTGCGCCGGCGAGCAGCGCTTCTGTCGGTTTCACTCCTGGTGGAATCGCGTTCACGAGTCTCGTTTCTTCGCTTCGTGCGGCGTCTCCTGGGCGTCTCATCTGTGCGCTCCATGACGACGGAAGCCAAGGGCGCCAGCACCATTCCAGACCTGTCAAATTTAGTCGTATGAGAATTGGCTTGGCCTCGAATACATCAGCCGGAAGTAAAAAGTGGATGGAGACATTCTGCGGTGTTATAATTCAGTATCATAAATATCTACCATCCAACCAGAGATGCCAAGGCTTGCGTGCAGTGTTGTGATACTCTCCAGGTTTTGGAACAAGCCCTAGTAGCGCTTCGATGGGAGCGTCAACATGTAAGCGATGTTGGCACCGGGCAATCAAACAGCAGTGCTACGTCCATGCCATTCCCGGAGGCCGTCAATTTTGCCGCCGCCAAGACGTGCCCATATTTCTTGACACAAGCCTTCGCTAATGGTGCACAGCCGGACACGGTAGCGGTCGTTTCGAGAGACCGCTTGAGACATCGATCGACTGTATAAGCCCCTATGAAATCAACTGGTAGAGTGGAGCACGAGCAACAGGCTCCACCATTCTGCCCCTGTCTCCCTCCCCTCAGCACGACACCTCTAGCCGCATCGAGCCTTCTGCGACCTGTCAGCGACTAACGATGCTTCTTGGCGACATACGCGGGATATGCCCTCTGACAATCTTAAAAGAGGCATCGGGCGAATTAATTGAAATCCTACCTTTGGTGGGCGATGGAGAGTCCAAATACCGCCGCGCTCTGCATAGGCCGCCGATGGCCGGTGAGAGCACGTCGCGGTCAGCTGGCAGGCACGCGGCCCCCGTTCACTGGTTACACTCACTGGGGCTCTGGCACCCACACCCTCCAGGCTTAAAACCCCTCCACGACAATTTCTAGCAAATGAAGCCTTTACATAGAAGGTAGAGCCGTCTTATTTCGAATTGAAGTATTGAGGATAGCCGCCTTGTCTCTGTATCCCCTCCCGTGACAACCGGCTAAACTGCCTTTATTGCTTAAGAATTTCACTTATTTGCGGCCTATAGTAGGAAACTTTATATAGGGCTTATTTTTAAAAGTTTTGTTGTTAGGAAACGGCTGTGCGTGAGTGGGTACATGAAGTTGAGCCTACTTGTGAAATATCACGAGGACTGCAGGCTTGGATATGAGTTGGCAGAATCTCATATGTGTCTATATAATGGCCTCATTCACTATAGCCGCTCGTCTCGATGCTTATATATGACGTCTTCACGATTCGTGGAGTTTCAAGTCGATGATGCCTGCATATCCAGTCCTGCAGGGTAAAGAGTCTCTATAAGCACGAGGCCTCTTGCAATCCAGGCCCACTGGGAAAACTTTTGTAAAGTTCAAAGCCGGATCTTGGACTCGATAAGACTCCTAATAGGCTGCCGAGACCCTCCCAAACTACCTAGTCAGGTAGCTACTGCACCGCTAGATGCCTCCGGCAAGTGCTCGTCCACACCCGTGGCATTGGAGCCTGTGGCAAGGAGAGGGCGCCTCTCCTCCTCCGTCCACGACTGCACAGTGGTCCAGATTCCATTGTGCTTTCGGACAGCGATGGTGACAATGATAGCTACAATCGTGGCGTATATCCATGCGGTGAGGATCGGACCGACGATCGACAGGGCAGTCCAGGTCTTAGACGGAATATAGATCTTGACGTGCGCGAGGAGGAAGAGGGACACGTAGATGAGGGAATACAAGCGGGTCAACAAGTTCAGAATAGCGGCGTAGAGGAACAGCACCGAGGACTGCAATTGTGGGTGAGTTAGCAAGATCATACATGCAAGTCATATCTTACATTGGCTTCAGGCGATGCAGCAGCAGCCACAGACAACTCACATTTCCTAAGACACGACTGCGCCTGGCCTTGTTGTAGACGTGCGTGGAGAAACCCATCAGAACCCCAGCCCAAACAAATAGAAGGATGTTGAAGGCAGCATACAGCTTCTCGCCCGCCTTCCATAGTTTTTCGAAGTCGGTCCAGTCTGAGCCGGGGCTGGAAAAGAGTGCCACTGAGGCGCTTATGATGCCAAAGGCAACAATTGCGATCACGGCAAGAATGGCGCATGACATAATGGCAGCATACCGCATCACCCTCTGCAACACTGTTCTCGATTCCGCGAGACAAAACAGAAAGCCGTTGCCTACCTCCACCAGTGTCATGACCAGAAGTAAGTCAACAAGGTGGAAGAAGAGGCCTCCTAGCAGGTTCATGTGTATAGAAACCCGGAACAAGATGTACCAGTCCACGCCGGTAGCTATCAACGCGAGAGCACCTGATATCGTGTACACGAGGAGGGCACTACGCAAACCAAAAGTCAGCTAGAGTAGTCAGGCACTTCCTTCACGGGCATCAACGGACAGCGCAGTCAGGCGATCCCAAAGGTCCCGCCTCGAAACCAAATGAGATCGAACGTACAGGAGTGCCAACGGCAACATGACCTTCAGATATTTGAAGGCTGTCCGTGCCGGATCTTTATCGCTGCGTACGCGATAGAAGCTGACGAATGTCACATAGGCGATAGGCAGCATCGTGATGGCAAAGCATGCAAGATTGATGCCTCGTAAGACATTGTCCCCAGGTTGCCCTGACATTGTTCGATCAGAGGGCTCCTTAGTTGAAGGAAGTACTGACGGTGCTGATGATGCAGCGAGCAAATTCAGGGCCAGATGTGCCATGATTAGTAGATGCACTGAAAATAGTAGGGTGAGAGGGAGAAAGAAAACCCTCGTGAAGTTTCAATGGTCTGACAACTAGACTGGCGGCGTGCAGGATTCGCCAAGAACTGAGTGTGAGGAAGTGCGCCCCCGCCCCGCTGCTTACTCTTGCGTGTGACATTTGCCAGAGGAGTAAGGCACGCATCCTGCGGGCCAATGGGACCCGAGTTTGGGGTTTATAGCCGTTCTGCAGAGCGGGAAATCCACATGCTCTGTTCAAATGTCTGCCCGGTGCTCTTAAATTGAGAGGCTCAGCCCTCGTCGCGATGACTATATCGACTGGCCTCAAAGGCCTGACACTTGACAACTCGATGATTTAGACATGTACTATGGTCTTGACTTTCAACGTATTGATCTCTTTATATCCTCTGGCAAGAGTGAAATACCTCAGCAAGCCATGGCGTGGTCCCTGCAGTTGGTCAGTTGAACAATTGCGATCTTTAATCACGAATACTAGGGTAACAAGAATGCAACAGGTATTCAGCCGAGTAGTAGGGGCATAGGAAAGTGCGCGACATTTTAGTAATCTCAGTTTAGCTGGTTACAATAATATGTCTGCCTTGACTGGAAACAATAATCACCATCTATACGTAGAAGCACTTTCACCGATGTTAGTTAGATGTGGAAACAAACAATTGTTATTATGGATCAATTAATCGCTCGAATCTATTTTGAACTCAAACAATGTTATTATTACTGCTGGTAATGCAATGTCTGACGGTAGTTGCTGCTTGCTTGGCCTTCTTATTTGAAAGCTTGAACAGCAGTGACTGGAATGGAATAGGGGGTATATTTAACTGCTTCAGTAGAGGTCTGTCGATTGTAGTCTAATATGTACCGCAGTGCCACAGGCACCTCGGACTCATTCTTCGTGCTTGACGTGTGCAGGACAGCCCCACTGCACATCACCACCCACTGTGGTCGGACGAACCACAACGTGGGACTTGCAGCTCAGGATTTGGTTCGCTCTTGGACTTGCATCGTCCCACCGAATCTCAAAGGGTGAGAGTTTGAGGATTTGAGCTCCGCATTTATTCGTTCCTTTCAACTGCGCCCCGGTCGTGGACTGAAAATGTTCCAATCCCCAATTATTCAGGCAGAAACGTAGTCTAGTATTTAGTGCAATGTCTCCTAACAACATCCTCTGTCTTCACTTATATTGTACCATTCTCCCGTTCCTCAACGATTATTTGCGCTTTGGTCACAGTTCACCATGCTCCCCAGCAACCACATACGCATCCTGGATCTCCTGCCCGCCGGCAGCGACGGTTTGAAAGCTCCTATTAAATGCGTCACCCGCATCGTGGCTCTCTCTGACGAACCTGTCTATGAGGCTCTCTCGTATTGGTGGGGCACCGACAGAGGCAGGAGATTTATCACCGTCGGAAACGAACTTACCTCGGTGACCGCGAGTCTTCATGCTGCTTTATTCCGACTTCGGCACCACAGTGAGACAAGGGCACTTTGGATTGACCAGCTTTGCATCAACCAAGAGGACACAGACGAAAAATCATCTCAAGTCCGTCTCATGGGTCATATCTACTCGCACTGCACACGATGTCTCGTCTGGCTCGATGAATTGGAAAGTGGTATCAAGTCAGACGACGCGAAAGGGGCTCTCGAAATTTGTGCATATTTGGCAAACAGAAGCCTTCCGATACCAGCCTGCTTCCAATCTCCGGACGCAATACTGGGAGCTTTGAAGGCTTTGAGCTCAATTGGTCCCCAGAAGCACCCGTGGTGGCATCGCCTCTGGACGGTCCAAGAAACAATTCTTCCGTCCTCCAAAAAGCTCCTCTGGGGTCCGCTGGAGCTTGATTGGGAAGTGCTCGATCGATTGGCCAACACCAAGACGGCTCTAGGGGAACGATGGGCATCCAGTGGTGGGGAGCTTACAGGGGCCGGAAACACGGAGATCGAAATCAACGGGGTAATCGACGAGTACCTGAACGTTCTGGCCACCAACGTTCTATCGGTCAACGGTGCAAACAAGGGCGACGGGCCGGTTTCAACAATCCTCAAATGGCGCCGGCTTCAGTCTACCGACCCGCGGGACAAAGTCTTTGGGCTGCTGGGTCTGCTGCCACCGGACATGCCGATGCCATACACAAAGAAGTGCAATCACAAGACGCCCACTTCTTGGTTATATCGTGCTTTCACCCTTGACGTGATGCTATACACGAAAAGCTTGGAACCCCTCCTCATTGAGCCACGAACTGTTGCTGGGCAGGGTACTGGCAGCTTGCCAGGGTGGGCCATTGACATGCGTTGCCTGCCAATGTTTTCCGTCGATCCCTACTACCGGATTCGAGGCTGTGGCAAAGGCAAATATGATGCCTGTGCTGGGAGAAAGCTGGATACGGCGGCCCTGTTAGAGACAGCCGCAGTGTCGGAATACCACAAGCGAGTCCTAGGCCTCTCTGGTGTGATGGTCGACACAGTTGAGGTAATTGGTGCTGGAATCCTCCTCGGTTCACAAACGCCAGCCCTTGAGAAAATCGCAGCAGTGTTGAGGGGATGGATGGAAATGGCGAGGCGGTTTCAAGAGGGCCTTGATGGTGCTTTGGATGGTGACAAGTTTGAAGAAGCATTTTGCAGGGTCTTGGTAGGCGACTCCATTCGGGATAGCAATCAAGATGTAGAAAGACGACCAACTCAGGAGGATCTGGTGGCGGTGTCTGAGTTTGTCAAAACGGGAGATGGGCTCATTAATGGTCTGCCATTCCGGCCTGAGTATGTGGGCAACCAAACCTTTCTCATCACAAAGGGTGGGATGATGGGTATGGGTCATCGGGAAACAGAGCCTGGTGATGAGATATGGATCTTTGATGGCGGAGCAATGCCGTTCGCGATCAGGCCGAAGAATGGCGCGACGACCACCGATTTTGATTTTGTAGGATGTTGTTATGCCCACAATATCATGAACGGAGAAGGATATACAGATGAGATCATTTCAGCGTCTCGGCGGACAGTCCGTTTGCATTGATATCAGCGGAAAACTGGGGAGATCATTGAGTTTGAAGCATTCTTTCTCTAATTTTGAAGCAACTTTTTTCTAATCCCGAAACGCCGGCTTTACTCATCAAATTGTCTTGCATGATGGATTCTTTCTGGCTGTCCATCTTGTCTTAACTGCACTTCTGACAATGGTGAAGAATACTTTTCGTAATAGTTCTTGCTGAATCTTGCAACCAGCGATGCAGGAATTCAATTTACGGCAGCGACTACATTCGTGAGAATGATTCAAGAGGGGCGGTCCCGGAAAGCTTTGGCGTGAGGAATCAAATTCTCTATCACAATCAGTACATCAACAACAAAGGGGACAATCCAAGTCTTACCGTCGCGATAGGTTTTGCAACCATGCATGCACCAGCGCCGACGAAAAGTCCCCGGAGAAACGGCGGTCTATAGATTGTGCCCAACGCGCCACAAGTCCCGATGGGACTCGCCCGGACAGAATGTTTTACTTTCATATCAGGTTAACTTGATTCTTATCAGAGATGAACTCATGAACATTTATGGGAGTGAAGTCCGTACCATCCATCGCAGCGTGGGAACATGATCATGTCTGAGAATAGATCGAGACTGGCTATCGCATGGCCTTGAGTAACGACCGCGAAAAGACGAGAAGATGATAAATATACATTGTAACAATAAATGCTGTGATGGATAGGTAGGCGCTCCTGGTAACGAAAGCCCAGGCACACGAAGCATCCAGCCGTATCATATCGTGTTGGGAGTCACCCAAAGTTGACAACAAAGAGCCCATGGTTGGCAGTGATGTAGATCAGTTGCTTCTAAGACCTAGATTAATGCTTGAATCATGCGGTGCAGAGATGTTATATAAATCAACACTGGAATTAAGGTTCACTGCTCCATGTTGAGATCCGGAGCGGCTGCCGAGCGGACCCTCATTTGTGGGGTGTCTAGGTATGCATCACGGACGCTCGGCCGCAATGCCCACCAGCAATGCGAGACAAGCCTCAGGGAAGCCATAGACACCATTCGGACCCTATGCTCACTAAGATCAAGAAATGACAGCTAAACCATTCCGTTGGTGGGTGAATTAGCGCCCGAACTCGTGTCAAGGCCCGGGTGCCCTGCGGATCGTGCCCTACGGATCTCGCTTGACTGTCCATTTTGATCCCGGGGGCGAGTCCCGTTACGGGCCTCTAGGCCGGAATGCGGACTCCAGGACCTCCTCCAAGAAGTTCATACAGGAAATCAATGTTAAACGGCGTGATAATTAGTACCATTTTGCTAGTTTGCCTCTTCTTCCGACATCAGTCTACAGCCACAGAATACCCAGAAATGGTTGTGAGTTCACTATGCAGAGCACACTCCTCGCTTCGTGGTACCGCGAGCCTGGCTTCTACCAGTTGGAGAGGCGGGCCATCTTCAGCAAATCATGGATCATGATCTCGCACTCCTGCCAGTTCGATGAGCGAGGAAAGTACGCCCGCTATGAGATGGCCGGCTACCGTTTCTTCGTCATCAGAGACCGTGCCGGGAGCATCAACGCGTTCCTCAATGTGTGTCGGCACAGGGCATTTCCAATAGTCCATCAAGATGCTGGAAAGGCTATGGTCTTGTCGTGTAAATACCACTGTATGACAGTAAAATGCCTTGAAATTTGAAAACCCAGGCTGACCTGATAGGATAGTCGTACAGTATGAACGGAAACTTGGCCAAGGCCCCTCGTTTTGACCAGGTGGAGGGCTTCAAGAAGGAAGACTATAAACTTTACAAGGTTCACACTCACATCGATGACCTCGGATTTCTCTGGGTCAATCTCGACGCTGCTGAGACACCCACTTTCAGTTGGGAGGAGCAGTTCGGTGGTGTGGACAAGCAGCCATGATTGAAGAATTTTGACATGAGCAACTACGAGTACGACCACACTGCACTTGGTCGATGGAAGGAAAATTCAACTGGAAGACCTTGATTGAAAATTACAACGAGGTTTGTGGCTCCGGTCTGATCCTGTGGCTCTGGACCTACTAACCCTCCTTTGCAGTGCCACCATTGCCCTACCGCACATCCCGGCTTGGCGCCTTTCTTTCAGGGAAACAGACAGATGGTATACGGATGCCATAAGCATTTGGGTTGAGCATCTCGGTGGGAAGGGTGAAGAGCGGCCGAGCTCAGTCAGCCCAACCTACATGTTTCCCAATGCATCAGTCACTTTGACGCAAGTCGCGAGATTCTCCAGATTTTCCTGGCTCATGGCCAAGCTAACAAGTGTCCACAGCCCCATCTTCTTCTACACGATGTCCATCGTCCCAACATCTGCAACCACCAGCCTGATGCGATACGAAGTCTATCGATCCAAGACGGCGACCCCAGAGCAGCTGAAGGAAAAGCTCGACTTCATCGCCCAGGTCGAGGGCGAGGATAAGTGTCTCGCCAACGGAGCCCAGGGCAACCTGAACAGCGACACGTACACCACGGGGCCGTTCCACCCGGATGTCGAGGGAAGGAGTCACCTACGTAGTGAATCTTCTGAAGAAGGTTCTGCGTGACCACGTGGATGAGGAAAAGAAGCGTGGTGCGGAATGTTCAGTCGGCTTCTGAGGAGGATGAAGTATTCTGTCGTGGCGTCTGCGGGAACACTGTTCTGAACGGGAACAACGCTCCAGAGGGATTATCGTGGTGATTAATAAATTCTTTTTTGTGTCAATTCAAAATGCCGATTATACTTTGCTGTCGTAGATGTATCATCTTGGAATCTGTTATAAACAACCTTCCCATTGTCGTTGCCTTCCAGCCTGCATGATTAAGTCAGGCGGTCACTGAAAACTGTTGCCTACAAATCGTCTGTGCCATTAACAGTGTGACTGCAACTGAAGTTGCTTGGGTCACTTCGAAAATCTTTAAGATTGACTCGTTTAGTATTTTTTTCCCACGCTTCTGACGATACTATGAGCACTGTTGTTGAGAATCTACCCGCAAGCCATGTGCGATGCACAAAGGGATGATCATCTCCAATGGCAATTAGCATACTGTTCACTTGTATTGCTCCGCAACTGTCAAGGTTTTCCTGCACTATTTATCAGGACCTTGGTCCACAACATCGTCTGCTTTGAGTGTCTTTCAGGTCAGACTGATAATTGACGCCATGCTTCGCCCTCTCTTATGACCCTTAGATCCCCTTTTCACATGCATTAAGCCGCAACAGTGTCTCACCCATGCTGCTCTGCCTACTCTGCGATCTCCTCATCTCCACCATGCCACATGTATTCTCTTGCCTCACAGCTAGCTTTTCTCTGAATGCGCAATTGGCATGTCAAGTGATACTGACTGCGCGCTCTCGAATGTGACTTTGGTCTCTGCTTGGTAAGCTTGCAGTTCTGAGAGCGCATCCTCGCCCGCTTGTTTGACAAGGTTGGCAATCTTCTCCGACCTCGGTAACAGTCGCACTTTGAACGGCAGCGGCCTATTGACTTGAGACACAGTGTACGCATTCGGGCCGAGAGAGGCCTCGTTTCCCTATTGAATGTTTGTCAGCAATGATTTGTGCCGAAAATCCCATCAAAAATGCTCACCTAATCATCCAGCCCCGGCCGGATATGCAAGGCCCATAGCAGAGACACTACAGTATAGCACAAGCTCTGCTGCGCCAGTGCTTCACCGCTGCATACACGCCTCCCCCAACCGGACGTGTTGTGCCCCCTCGTGTTCGGATAAGCTGGGCGCTTGAAGTCATCAAGGAAACGTTCTGGCCGGAACCTTTCGGGTTCAGGATACTCCCACGGGCTCCGTGACATTGCATACAGATTACCGATGATGGCTGTTCCTTTAGGGAAGAGGAAGCCGTTGAAGACGTCATCCTCGATCGGGGCATGGGGAGGGCCGCCGAGGGCAAAGGCGGGTCGCCATCTCAGTGTCTCGTTGACAATTGCCGCCAGGTACGGGAGGCTCCCTTCATCAGGCCAGTCCGGGTAGCGGTCGTGCCCAACGACACGGTCGATCTCCTCCTGGGCCTTGCGCTGGACGTCTGGATTGAGGCACATGGCAAGGACAAATGTCAGCATGGTGCTCATCGTGGTGTCGACTCCAGCGCCGATGAAGTTGCCGGTCAAGACTCGATTTATTTGTCAAGCCTGCCCAGTGGAAGTCTTTTAACAGCCACAACAAGCAGGGATCCCGATAGGAGTCTTTTAACAACCACAACAAGCAGGGAGTAGGAGGATTTTCATACTAGGATAGCGGCTAGGAGTTATATAAATTGGTAGAACGGAGTTTTGATTTACTGCTACTTTTTCTTCACAGCTGGGGACGGATATGCATAGGGGAAGTTGACCATTACATAACATAACCTGTCCCAATTTTTCATTTTCTCAGGTAGATTAATGCAAGCTGGACCGATCTAATGTAGCTGACTAAGTACTCACACTTTCATACGCCACAGCGCCTTGTGTGCCCTCCCTCCTTCCTTATGTTCCCTGTAACATAGCTCAATGCGACGTAAAGTAATCCTGTTTCGAAATGTACGAGATCATGGTCACAACTTGTTGGTACGAAATTGAAGGAATAGCAGACAGTTTAATGCTATGGACCATGACATTGGATGCTATGGACCATGACATTGGATGCTATGATACTAAGTCAGTGCAGGAAATGACCACTCAGGCCTCCCATTCCTCCATTCATCAAACTCTTTCTCCCCGGGCATCTCAGTCCCATCCGCGAGCCTCAGTCTCGGAAACCTCATCCGTCCCCAGTGACGCGCGGGCTCCTTGTCCACCAGCTCCTCATTCACCAAGACCAGGGCGCCAGAGTGCCACCCCGCAGCACTAACCCCCAGCGCGAAATACGCCCCCAGCCCGTCCTTTTCCTCTTCCTGGTCCCACGCCCTGCTCTCCTGCTCGATCCACTCGCTCACCTCGCCCTGGACGTTGCGGTTGCTCTTGAACAGGGCCCTGCGCTCCTCGCTCTCGTCGGGGTCTGTGCGGCCGTGCACCAAGTTGTCGAGCCAGTCCCTCTTCCTGTCATCGAACCACACCTGGCGGCCATAATTGTAGGCATGTGGCAGGACGTGGCCCTGGCGTGCGAAGTTGAACCTGTCATAGCTGACACCCCGGGAGTTTCCTCCCTCGCTGGTACCATCCCCTAGGCCCAGGGCGCCGCAGGCGTTCATCTCGCTGCCGTAGGATGTGATTTTGCCGCTCGAGTGCAGGGCCAGGTAGTGGTAATCGCCGAAGGCAACTTGGATGATGTCTTTGTGCTGCAGGGCTGGTATCCTTTCGAGTCCCTGAACTTCAGCCTGTTCGAGATCGGTGTGCCGGGCTTCCCAGCATGCCTCTAGGTAGCCCTGGTCGGCGGTGATGACTTCGTCGTTGCCGAAGACGGCGAAGCGGCGGAACGAGCCTTGCACGTCAAACGACGACACCTTCTCGGTGCGGAGTTGCCGGAGCTCGAGGACGGCCTCCACGCTGTTGTCGTCGCCAAACCGTCCACAAAAGACTTTGCCGATATCGGTATTGAAAACAATGAAGTGCTCAAGAATAATATAGTTCAGCACGCTCCCAACCTCAGACCCTAGCGCCTTTTCGTATTCCGACTCCCCCGATGCGTCCTTCACGCGCCTGTAGCCGGTCTTGGGTATCTCGCCATGCTCCAAGGCGGGCCCAGTATTCGTCTCGGTGTCTCCACGCAGAGGCTCCCGCTCGGCTGTGTCCCACACCACGATGCCAACACCTTGCAGGTATGCGGAGCTCCTGCTCCAGCCAGCTACAACTTGTTTCACCACGCCGTAGCCGGAGGGCGGCTGGTCCTCACGGGTGGGGGAAACCTCCTTGATGTCCAGGCTTGTGAAAGTGATGTGCACAGCGGGCTGGTTCGCGTCGTTCCACGACCATATCCTGCCGCTGTCCGAGAGGGCTAAGATGTGCGACCGTCCGGCTGAGAAGTGTCGGATGGCGGTGGCGGCCTCGTCATTCTCTGTCTCGGCTGGGAATGTGAGCTTCTGCAGTCGATGTGGCGAACGAAGGACCCTCTGCCCGTCCATGACACCGGCAGTGTGGAGGGTGCCTTTCGAGGTGAGAAGGGTGGTCGACCAGCCCCCACACTGCATGTCGGCAATAACGCCCAGATCTCGCGTATCTTCCATCTCAGTGGGGACTCCAGCGGGAGCCCGGTCCTGGCGCCGTGGCCCACCCGGCAGGCCCGGTAGGCCCGGCCGGACGACGCGGGGAGCCATCAGGCTGTGGGCATCCGCCGCGTAGCTGTGGCCCAGTCTCGTGTGGCCGTTGCTGCCCCAGGTGTACACCCGGGTCTGGGTGAGCAGGCGGCGGTACATCTGCTGCCATCGCGCGCCGTCGTTCTCGACGACGGGCTGGTTGGGCACGCGGAAGGTGCTGCGGGTGGCGGTCCTCCAGTACGAGGGCTCGAGCCGTATTGACGGTTGGTGCAGTGCCTTGCAGGTGCTGCATAGCGCCAAGAAGCTCTTCACATCCAGGTAGGGGAAGATGAGCAGGAGGACGTCGAGAGGGAGGTTGGTGATGGGGGTGGGCTCGTTCTCCATTGCGGGTGTGAGATGTGCTTAGGTTCGTTGTCGTAAGGTGGTGTGTTGATGTCTGTCCTTTGCTGTTCAGCTATTTACCCCTCCAGGCTCTCTTGGTGGTACGTCAGGCTGCTGACGTCATGCTCTGGCATGTGCGTTTCGCTTACAGAGCTGTGTGCCACGGTCAGCGTAAACAAAGGCGGTAGGCCTTGGCGCTAGCTAATGCACAAAAAAGGACCGTTATGTGCAACTTCCAGGCCAAGTTTTACATCTTTTGTGATTCACGAAAACCCGGTCCGTTCAACTGTGCAAGCCCCTGCAGCGGTGATGCGATCCAATGTTTGCTCCGTCTGACCTCGCTTCTGCAAAATCTCGCACCCATAATCATACATTGAGACCAACAAACTGATCGCATCTTCCCGCTTGGTAACTATTCCTCAGTTTTGCTTCCTGTGCAAACCGCCTTGGTCTCCGGTGTCGTGGAGGGCATTGGGCACGGTGCGCTCAACACCCTCGGGCAGCTTCTCCTGGAGCTTCTGGGGGACGGCGGAATCTGCGCCTCCTCCCTTCGCGTGGCTCTGGTCAGTAGAGTGGCCAGTCGCGGTTTTGGTATCACTCTGCGTGATGTTTGTTAGCAATTTGTGCCACATGTCTGCGTCGCAAGGGGATACAGGTACTAGTGACTCATGTGACGAGAAACATGCCATACAGAGTTTGTTCCAGAGACACTGTGGGTGGTGTCCGTGACAGGACTGCTTGTTGTACCCGACATGTTTCCTGTCGGTGCGCTGATCTGAGAAACGCTGTGCATTTTGGGCTATTGTTGTGGAATTGGCGGCTCATGGGATTAGCTGGTGCGACACAAACACTCGTTTGGAAGCCTCCTGTGAAGAACACGGGCCTTCTATAACTTTTTTTGCCTCTTCTATCGTACTGTCTTTGCCCCAAAACCTCCATCAGCCAATTGTAAGCCAATCGGCCCTGTTGTCGAATAATACCACGTTAGCGTCATAGACGAATCCCGCCAACTGCCCGGTGTACCGTCATCTTCCCCTCAGTGACTTTTGGGTGATGTCAGATGTGCACCAAGGATCGACAGCCCAGAAGCTTTTGAGTCCAGTTAGACATTTACTTGATGGCCAACTAAAAACTAGTCACCTCCTTCGAAGCACCGAAGGACAAGGGCGGCGAATTCACGCATGTCCTGTTCTACCTAGGGATGGCCATACATCTCACTTACGCAACCACCAAATAATGGTAATATCTGTGCCAGGCCTGATGCGTTGGACACACAAATTTGTGTTCCGTAAAAGAGGCTGCTGGCAGGGCGGTTTGCGCCTGTAGTGTTGTGTCACATTATCTCTGGCGCTCAATCTTGATAATCAAGGTGGCATTTCTGATTCCCATCCTTGACATCATCTCTCCTCCTTGCTGTCGTTTGCCGTAGCTTGTCTATCAGGGAAAGAAGTTAGTTTTGATCTTTCCTCTTGGTTTGGGGTGAGAATTGTGCTATGTTGTTACATTTGGCTGGCTGCAGTGTGCACCAACTGCTTGCAGGGGGAGCCTTCCTCCTGGACCGTTGGGACGGTGAGCAGCACCTGAGTGGCTGAGATGGACCAACATTCACCTACTCAATATACAGCGGCGGCCTTATTCCCGGCATTAAGCGCCGAAGCTAGCATTTCTATATGTATTACCCGTAACCATTGCCCGTGCGGGGGATTCATTTGCAACCGGCAAAGAAAACGACAGCTAGGACTTCGTGAGCCGCTCGCACCGACCATTCAGATTCTGCGAACTCTGTTACCCGTCGCTCATCGGCGTGGCCTTCTTGATCCCCAGAACAATGAACAACACCAAAGAAACACTGAGCAGCGTGAGGGATGTGATCCCGGATATTGGAGGGAATTTTCAGTTGGACCCTGCAGTCATCGAAAGTACGAAATACCAGCCGAATGAATCCAATTGACGAGACTAATTTACATCAGAACTACCAGAAGGAACTCAGGTCCTCCAGTCTAGCAGCTATGGTACCTCGCTCTGGACACGAACTGCTCGAGTGGCGACTACATTCAACGGGGAGAAGAAGGACTACTTCCTCAAGGTCGGGGAACAATTCATGGTGGGTATATTGCATAGCTAACTGATTCTGGTAGTGCTCTACAGAAGCAGGTCCTTCGATGACGGAGGGTGAATTTCACTCTATCTCTGAAATCTACAAGCTGGTCCCGACACTCACACCGAGGCCTGTGGCTTGGGGTAAATTCAGAAACGTAGCCATTGACACTTACTTCTTCCTCTGCGATTTTGTCGACATGTCCACGAGCTTACTGTAAAATAATAGCGTTGGATGCTTAGTCTATTAGGCTAGCTAACGTCTATTCTACGGGAGGGAAGGCCCCTATTTATAGTTATTATCCTCCATACAATGGCAAACATATGGGGAAAAGGATATCCCGTATTAATAATAGCCTAGATATTTAAAATATTCCAATAGCCCCCCTTAAACTAATTCCCTTTTATTTATTTTATTTTATATATAAGGGATTTAGTTTATAAAAGAGGAATATTTAGTTATATAATAAGAAAACCTTATAAAAGGGGAAAAACTTACTTATTAAATGTTTATATATTTAAGCAAAAAACCTAAAAATTTGCTATTACTTAAACTTAAACTTATAGCTAATAAGATATTATATATTAAATTATGATTTTATATGGGATTTATTAATTATTTTATAATAGCTATAATATATTACAATAGTTTTATATATTAAAGTTATATATTATTTTATTTATATTATATATATTATAAAAATACGTTTTTTATATAAAATTAAACATATATAAATGCAATATAAGTATATTATAATTATGTATATATATAGTATATATATAGGCTATATAAGTAACGCTTATTTTTTTAGGAAAAACCTTTATTATTTTAATTATTTCTTTTAAGGGAAAACCTAAAATTCTGAACTCTAGTTATTAAAGAATAAATACCTTAATTTATTTTATGCATATTATAATATAAATAAATATTTTCTTTATTCTTTAGCTTAATACTTTTATATTATTTTTATATTAAACTATACTTTTCTTTAATTTCTTTATAATATAATTTATTTATTAATTTTATAAGCTAGTCTGCTAAATTTTGCTTAAAATTTATATATTTTAATATTACTTTATTATTTTTTATTACTTCTTTTATATAATAATATGCAATATTTATATATTTAATTTTTTTATAAAATAAGATATTTTTAGCTAATTTCTTAGCTTTATTATTATTTATATATATAATAAGAAGCTTAAGATTAAAGCTAATATTTAAATTATTATTAAAATATTTAAGTAAATTATATAAATATTTAGCTTTTTTTATAGCTTTTCTTAAAGCTATATATTTTACTTTTATAAAGGAAAGTGCTGATATTTTTTATAGTTAAAAGTTTCAACTTATAGGATTTATTTTATTATTATTATTATTATTATTAATATTATATAAGCTAAATATATAATTAAAAATACTTTTTTTTAGTAAATATATCATTACCTTAGTTTAAATTTATATAGCTTATTAATTATAAATCATTTTTAAAGCAATTATATACTTTAAATATATATAAGAATTTATATATATATCCCTATATTTTATTTAATTCTTTTATATGCTTTAATCCTAGGTTTGCTATATATTTAGCTAGCTTATTTATAAAATAAATTAAATCTAGCCTTATTTTTAAGCTAGCATATAATATAAACCCTATTTATTATTAACATAATTCTATAATATTTTTATTAGCTTAGTTAATATATTTTTTTAATTTTTTATTAAGGGTATATAGTATAAATTAAGGGATTATTTCCTTTTTCTTAACCTTTTCTTTTATATTAAATCTTTTTAATATTTTATCCATATATTTATTTTAATTTATAGTTATTTATTTATCTTCTTTATTTATATATATATTGCTTTTAAGGAAATTTATTAAATTTCCTTGAAAATCTAATTTTATATTCTTATATAGTTTATTAATTATTAAATTTATATTATTATTATTAGGTTTTATAATGATAATATTGTTTATATAATATATAAATATAATTTATTTATTAGGGTATATAAATATTTCTTTATTATATAAGTAAATAATAAATCCTAGCTTAGTTAATATATTTTTTAAGTATTTATATTAAAGCATAAGTAATTATTTTAACCTATATAAAGCTTTATTTAATTTTATAACTTTATTTTTATATTTTAGTTTATTATATATATATAGGTAATTTTATATATATTTTAAAATCAATATTAAAGTATAGAAATGCATTTTTAATATTATAACTATATATATAATATCCTTTATTTATTGCTATTATTAATAGCATAATATAAGTTTTAGGGCGGTAAATTATAAAAAAATTCTTTAAATAATCTATATTTAATTTTTAATTATATCTTTAAATAACCTATTTAGATTTAAATTTAGTATTATTCTCATTATTTACTATTTAATTAAGCTTTATAATAATTAAGTTATTTATAAATTTCTTTTTATATATTTATTTCCCTCTTAAAGCCGTATGGCTAAGTAGTAAATTCATTATTATATAGGTATTTTGTTTTTATAAATTATATATTTTATTTAGCATAAATTTAATTCATAAGGGTTTTTCTAGGCTATTTAATATCTTTTTTAAAGAAAAGGGTTTATTAATATTAGCTGCAGTTAAGCAGTATTTTAATATATTTTCTTGGGAATTTAATATAAATATTTAGTTATTTAATAATATATCTTATATAGTATATATATAGTTTTCTGGATTTCCTTAAACTATTATCTTATTTAAAATAAGAGGAGAATTTACTTCCTTATTTTCTTCCCTTTATTCTTATAATTTTAGGAATATATATATTATTATTATTATTATTATTATTATTATTAATATTATTATTAATATTAATATTATTATTATTTATATATTGCCCTTTTAATATTTAAATATTTTAAATTAATATAAGCTTTTTATTATTTATATCTTATACTTAATATATATTTAATTCTGGGATTATATTTAATAATATACCCTTTTTATTTTTAGGTTTTAATTTAGTTTTATAATTATTATTCTGGAAATATATAATAAATTCCCATAATTTTAAGTTATTTATATAGGGCTTCTTTTTATTTATTACCTTATAAGGGTACTTATACCTTAGGCTTTTATAAGGTGTAATATTATATAAATATATAGTATATTTTATTGCTTTTCTTTATAAATATATAGGCAAATTTGCTATATATAAAAGGCTTTTAACTTTATTTATTATAGTTAAATTTAATGTTTTTATTAAGCTATTTAGTTCTTTTATATATAAGGGCGTTATATAATAAATTATTAAATATTTATTTAATAAGATTTTAAATCTTTTATTTATATATTTGCCTTTATTATTAATAAAGAATACTTTTATTTTTTTATTATATTTATTTTTTATTTTAGCTTTATAATTATTAAAAGCTTTTAATGCTTTATCTTTATTTTTAAGCAAAGAAACCTTTAAATATTAAGTTTTTTTATTAAGAAATAATATATAATATTGTTATGGGCTAGCCTTGGGTTGTCTATCGTAAGGTGTCCGAATGGGGTTTATATTTAAAGTGCAAAGGAGAAGGTTTACTTTCTATTTACATTTGCGCTAAAGCTTATTTTTATAGGGCCAAAGCCCATTAATTAATCATAATGAGCAAAGCCTAAACTATAATATATCCTTCTTCTTTAAGTTTTTATAATGGGCCTTAAAGAGTAGCTATATAATAAAAAATAAAAGATATTATAGTTTAATCATAAATTAAATATTGCTCTTTGCCTAGCCATTTAATTATACCTTAGCACCTTTTAATTGCATTAAAGGCTTAGCTTATTATTTATAATTAACACGCCTTAACCCTTATAATTTAATATGCTAGCTAAAGTAAGCTAATAAAAAATAATTATTTAAATATAAGCTAATAGCTAAATTAATAACATTTTTATAATCCTTTAATGCAAGCCTTTTATATAAGCTTTTTTACTTAAAACCTTAAAATTACAGATTTATTATATAATTTATAATTAATTAGCGCTTAATTATAAGCAATTTGCTTTATTAATAAGAATTTTTTAAATTTTAAGTATTTTTATAGGGCTAAATTAGCTAATATATAGCTAGTTTACTTTAAGTTTAGGTTAGCATTAAGTTAGCATTGCTTTTAAGCCCTACCCTATAAAAAAAATTTTACGCCCCCTTAAATAAACTCCTCCCTCTTATTAGCCTTAATTAATAAAAATTATATTCTTATTTTCTTATAATAATTAAGGTAATTGTACTTATAATAGCTAAGTTAGCTATATATAAAATACTTAACTTTATTTATTAAGATTATTATAATATTAATATTTATTACTTTGCCATTTTAAAGTTAAGTATTATCCTTCTTTATTATAGCGCTAAAAACGCTTTTATATTGCTATAAGGCAAAGCAAAAAGCTTTAAATATATTTAGCTATTCCTTATAATTAAGCCAAGCTTTTATTATAAAGATTAAGCTATTAGCTATTAATAATATTTTATATTTATTTAATTAACTTTAAGTCTTTGCTATATAAGCTAATTAATTAAATTAAGTAAAAAATTCTATTATTTCCTCCTTATAACGTTGCTATAACGTAATTAAGCTAAGCTTAGCATATCTTTGCTTAAAAGGATCCCTAAGCATAAAGCAAACCTTCTTTAAGAAGCTTTTTAGCTATCCTTTAAATATTTTTATAAAATTAATATAAAATAAAAATTAATTATAGAAAGTTTTTAGCTAATTAAATATATAAAAGAATTAAGCTCCTTTGGCATTAATTGCCTCCTTATTTACTATAAACTTAGCCCTTATTTTTATTAACTAAATTGCTAAGTATTCTTAAGATAAGAGTTTCTTTAAATAGGGAAGGGCTTAATAAGCTGCTATTATTCTTTTTAAGTTTTACTATATTAAGTTTTATATAGTTATATTATGGGTTTATAATGTAAGAAGACTTTAAATATATATTATAAGTTAGCCTTGGGTTATTTGCTATAAGGTGTTTAAATGGGGTTTATATTTAAAGTATAAAGGAAAAGGTTTACTTTCCATTTGCATTTGCATTAAAGCCTATTCTTATAAGGCTAAAGCCTATTAATTAATTACAATGGGCAAAGCCTAAATCGTAATAAATATTTATATTTATTATATATATGTTTTAAGGAATCGCTTATATCATTATATACTTTTTTAAGTATATTATATACTTAGTTATTTAGGTTAGTTTTATTTATTTTAATTATATGCTTAGCTTTTAAATATACTTTATAATTACTTATATATTTTTAAATAAGTTTATTTATTAATATATTTATTTTATATTTTTAAAGAAATATTTTTAAAGCTTAAATATTTATATAGCTTAATTTATAATGCTATTTATATATTTTTTCTTTATTTTTATTATTTATATTTAAATTTTATTAAGTTATATATATTTTTTAAGAAGTATATTTAGGCTTATTTATTTATTTTATTATATTAATTCTCATAAAGTATAAGCCGTTTTTTTAATATTTTTAAGTTATTAGCTTATTTATTTCTTAAAAGTATAATTTAATAATATTTCCTTTTAATTTTAATTTAATTTTATTACTTATATATTTATAACTAAGTATATTTAAACTTAAAGAAGATATATAATATATATTAAAGAATTTCTTTATAATATTTATTTTTAAAAACTTAATTATTAAGCCCCCTCTTTTATTTATAAATATAATATTTATATTACTTTATTTCATGGTTTTATTAATTATATATATAGTATTAAAGAAATAAATATCTTAAAAATTTATTATATTTATAGTAATATTTATAGCTATTTTTATAAAATCTATATATTATTAATTTCTTATAAATTTATTATTAATTATTATAATTATTATATATATATATAAGGTATATAAGGGGTTATTTACCTTAATTTCCATTAAGCTATTAAAAGAAAGTTATAAGAAATTTAATAAATTCTTATTATATTTAATATTTTTTATTAAATTATTTATAGCCATATAAGTTATAAGTTTTTTTTAAGCGCCTTTTAAAGCCATGGGAGATTTTATATTAGCTAATAAAGTTAAGAGTTGCTTTTGCATTTTCTCTTGTTTCTTTTAGCTTATATTCTTTCTTAAAAGAGTAGTTTTTTCCTTTTCTTTTCTTTATTTATTTATTTTCTAGTTAATAGGTACCTTATTTAAATAAAGGAAATAGCAATTCTTTTAAGTATTGCCCTTTATATATAAAGCTTTTATAAATAATTTAAAGGATTTATCTTTATTTTTATTTAATAAGCTAAAGAAGAAAGATTTAATTATATAAGCGTTTAAATCTTTTTTAAGATTTTAAGTTATATTTTAAATAAAGCTAATATATTTATTATTTAAGCTATGGAGAATTTAGTTAATTATAACGTATTTAAAAATAATTATATTATTAGCCTTTAAATTTTTTAAAAAAAGCTTTAGCTTATTAATATATTCTTTTATAGTTTTAAAATTATTAAGATTAGTATTAAAGAATTCTTTATAAAGTAAATATTAATTTATAAATTTAAAAGGTTTATAATAAGATTTAAGTATATTTTATGCTTTTTAAGTATTATTTATATCTTTTATAAATATAATAAGCCCTTGCTTATATATAAATTTATTATTAATAAGGGCTTTTTTATTTTAAGCTAAAAATAAGCCTTAAAAAAGATTCTTAAGATTATTCTTAATAGCGTTTTCTTTTTTAAGCTAAGCTTAAATTTTAATGCTTTAATATATATAGTTTTATTTTATTAAGGAGTAAAATATTATACTTATTAAGGAATATTATTTTAAGATAAATAAATAAAGTATTTATTAAGATAATTAAAATAACAAAAAAAAATATAATGAATTTTAAATAAGTTTAATAAGTTAAGAAATAAAAATATAAGTATTAAAATAATATAGTTATAAAGAAAACAAAAAGGGCTTTTAAATAATATATTTTTAAGATATTATAAATTAAAAATAGCTAAAATATAGTTAAGTATTTTTAAGAGAGTTTAAGAATTATTATAAATTTATTAAAATTTATATTTTTAGTATTAATTTAATATAGTTTTTAAAATTTAAAGAAATGCTTTTATTATTCTTAATAAGAGCTTTTAAATAGTATATAAATTATATAAGTAGGTTAAATATTAATAAAGAAATAGTTAAGTATTTAGGTAAAGGAGGTATAGTTTTTATATATAAGCTTTAAGTTAAAAGATAAGGTTAATTTATAATATTAAATAAGGTAATTTAATTAATTAAGGGCTTATTAATTAGCTTAATTAAGTAATTAATTAAAAGGTATGTCTTTAAGTATAAAGCTTATTTTATTTAAAAGGTTTAAAAAGTAATAATGATTAAGAGTGTTATATAATGTATATTTTTTATATTAAGTTCGCATTGCTATTTTAAGTTAGCTTTAAAGCTTATAACTTATAAAATAATAGCATTAAATGCTTAATTTATTAAGTTAGCTAATATTTATTTTATGAGAAGGAAGGCCCATATTTATAATTATTATCCTTTATACAGTGGCAAATATATAGGGAAAAGGATATCCCGTATTAATAATAGCCTAGATATCTAGAATATTCCAACACTTACCAGACCCGGCGAAGTTCTGCGCTCGCATTGCGCAACTTCATCGCGAAAGTGTCTCCCCGACTGGAAAGTTTGGGTTTCACATCAAGAACTGCAAGGGAAAGACGCCGCAGCCGATAGAATGGGAGCAGAACTGGACGCAGTATTTCACAAGGCTCATCAGCTACGTCAGTACCACTTTTCCAACTAACACAGCGCTTCCCTTGGGTTTCTTTCGTAAATATCTCTAAAAGCTGTTGAATCTGATCAATAAATAGGGGTTCGAAAGAGACCTCATATCCAATGGCCGATGGCCCGAATACGAAGAGGCTTTTGCCCGACTCGTCAAAGACGTCATTCCACAAATCCTAGATCCACTCACTGAAGAAGGCAGAACCATCAAGCCGTGCCTTGTGCATGGTGATCTATGGGAAGGAAACACTACCACCAATCTCAAGACCGACGATCCCATGGTGTTCGATGCGGCTGCGTTCTACGCACACAACGAATACGAACTCGGCATCTGGAGGCGAGAAATGGTCAAATTCGGGAAGCCATACTTCGAGCAGTACCTCCAAAACTTCCCTCCTAGCGAGCCTGTGGAACAATTTGATGACAGGAACGCACTCTACGTGTTGAAGTTTGATCTAGACTACTGCCTACACAGACCGGGCCTGCCACTGGTCCGGCAACAGTGCGTACTTGAACGCGACCTATGAAACGAGGACAACTGGGCATGCTAATTGATCTTAGAATCCTCACGGATATCCTCAGACTTGTGAAAAAATACCCACCAAAAAGCAACGAATAACCCAGCACCAGTCAATATGAAAGTTACTAGAACGTCTGAGGTGCAGCAAAGGAAAATCCAGACTCGTACAAGTAGGGCCGTGTGGATCTATAGAGTGCGACACACTCACTCGAGGCTTGTGGCGTCCTAGACGGAAGCTTTGACTGGTCGATGTCCTCAGAAGCCCATGAAAGGAAGTGGGTGATGGCAATAATACTCCTGTTCTAGACCTGCTATGGAACACATTCCTAGATTTGATCTTTAGATAGCTCTCCACACCCACGAAGCTGTTGAAGCATATGACTGCTGTCACGGAATGTAACGCGACGACCTTGGCCTGCCTGCAACATACCCGTGGATCTCAGTATCGCAACGGTGCATAGTTATAAGAGAGAAGCTCATACTTTTAATTGGTCAGTCAGAATTTTCCAGATGGTATCATTTTCAGTAAATACGAATGATATATTTCTGCCCATCACCCGGTACAGCGAAGCAACTCCGTCTGACATTAGATTCTGGGGCCGTTGGGGCCGTTGGGGCCGTTGGGGCCGTGAAGTCTTGGCCCAGTGTTCGCCCCCAACCTTTAGATTTGATAATTTAGAAGCTTCTTTTCGTGTGACCCATGTCCTACGCAATGATGGGCTGGTAGAAGAGCTCGGAAATAAGGCGTGAACACTGCATGATGAGCCTCCTCAAAATGTCCCCTCCCAAGAACAAGACCTTGTCTCGAAATGGTGCCGTTAGATTCACCTCTAGTGCATTCCAAGGTAGAATCTTGGTTGACAAGAGCTCAAATTTGCGTCGTAAACTGCCTGAGTCTTCAGTGATGCCAACGTTCGTGTCTGGACACGCACATTTGTGCCCGAGGCTACACAGTCCTTTGGATGGGGAAACATCGCGTTATGACGCCCTAATACTCGAATGCGCCTAGCCAGAATAGGAAGGTCTTCGGAACCAACAAGCCAAGCTGAACATTTTGATAAGTACCTGCGTCGGGGCTGACAATGCGCCACTGTTCTTGGGGGCCGACTGGCACTCTCTTCAGGCCCCAGTGCCCAACTGAGCAGGAGTGCTGGTGCAACAGTCCCTTGCAGCCCCTGGAACCGTCCGTGGATTGCCCAGATGACTTACAGGGGAAGTCGTACACCTGAACCAACCAAACCAGTTAGCGCCAAGACTCTGTGTGGCTTAAGGAGCTGGACCTACATGCCTCATTTAGCCACTTGGGTAGCCACCGTGTTTGCCACTGCTCAAAGCTCAGTTGATGTAACGACGACCGGCAGGCTGTCAGGGGCCCAAATTTTCATCCTGTCAACCCAATTGGAGCCTTGGGATATTGTTGTAATTAGGAGCAGTTGTTATAGGCAACACGAAAGGCAATACAATTTCGCCATATCTGGGGGGTAAGTGGAGGGTAGAAAGGAGACAAGAACAACAGAGTAGGAAAGGAAAGCCTCAGCGCAATGGCTCCAGTGGGGCGCATTGCACCCTTTAAAAATCGATGTTGACCCCTATAACTCAACAGTCACAAGGCAATCGTCTGCTGTCCAGCAAGTGTCGAACAAGCGCTCTACTCCACCTCTTTTCTTTCTACACTCCAAAATGGCGGACGACTTAGCAACGACGGGAGCATTAGCAGAACAATACCCCGTGTACTGCGGTGTCTGGACAAACTGGGACCGCGGATCAATTATGGGATCTACATTGACACTCCCTCGAAGAGATGCAAATAAGATAATTGCGTTTACGGCCTTTTTTGTTGCACTCGTCTCGTCACGCTTCTGGCGTCTGGCCGCGCAGATCTACCACAGGTGCTACTCCACTCAGGACCCACGAGATGCCCTCCATCACCAACGGCAGGCGATTCTTCGAAATTCTGTATCGGCCTTATCGGACTCCTGGCAATTGGTTCTGCTGTCCCGGGCGTGGCGGGGACCGGTTTCCCGAGGAGCCCGGCGGACATTGCCGGTGATGATATCTGCCGTTCTCTGTGCGGCAGGCTTTGCGACTGCCAGCGTTTTATCCTCGTGGATAACAACAGCCTTGAATGATGAAGTGCTGATATCCGGAGAAAATTGCGGCATAGTGATGGGTTTTGGAGACGACATGGCGTCCACAAGTCTCGTTGAGCCGTATTGGGCACGGCTAACATCAAACGCGGAGAACTACGCTCAGCAATGTTACTCTTCGAAGAGTAAACGCATGCTCGACTGCACTTTGTTCGTGAAAGATCACCTCCCAGGATCTACAAATCAGAAAGCTCGGTGTCCATTCAATCCCGAAATCTGCCGAACTGATACGACCAACTTGTATCTGGATAGCGGGCTTCTCGATTCGGGTAAACATTTTGGCTTGAACACGGCCCCAAGCGAGAGAACACTGTTCCGGAGTGTACTTCACTGCGCACCCCTGGTGACTGAAGGTTACACCAGCACAAGAAATACAGCGGACGCGAACTATACCAGGTATCATTACGGCTCTATAGTTGCCGACGAAACAAGTGAAGACATCACATACGAATACCTAAGCCGTGACTCTCAATACGAGAGTGGGGAAGGTTTCGGACTTTACGGTGCTCTCAGAGGTTATGGAAGCAACTTTGTTCTCGCGTAAGCCCCTTACTTCATCCTATAATCACTATGAAGTAAGAACTTGTACTAACTTCATCACTGGCGTCGGACCATATAGAAATATCGGGTCCGTAGTGGATAAGCACACAACGGACGTCAACAGGTCTGCATTTGTCCCAATACCGGAGTTGTTCCGATCGGATGGCGACCTCGAGATCATATTTCTTGTTGGAAACGGCATTCAGTTCTACGAGCAAACCGAAGATGCATGGTACCGCGTAACAGACCTCGGCAACGAGATATTCGACAATACGTGGGAGGGGACCCGCACGTTATATTTGCCTGAGGAAGCTGCATCGCCTCTTGCATGTGTGCAGCAGTTCCAGTTCTGCAACACCGCACTCGCGCCGGAGAAACAATGCGGACCGCTGGCCTCTTGGAACGATGCCGTCGACGAATCTGCGTCACTTTTCAACATCACTGGTTCGAATGAGGACGAATACCTTACAACCGATTCAGCAGCCAGTCAATTCTTCTGGATTGTCCTGCAGATGAATTATGCGGCAAGCAAACTGCAGACGCTCCTGCAGACACTTGGACCAGAGTCGCTGGCGTCGAAAGCCAACTTGATACAAGGGATCATGGGCCGTCTACCATCCAATCAATGGCAGCTTGACGTGACGCATTGGTGGTCTACATACCTGGCGTCAGTACAAGCTGCTTTCGTTGAGACAGCCATCGGGCCGTCTGATCCGACGGGAGAGCTGGATCAATACAAAGAAGCCCCGTGGAACGACCACGTGCGGAAATTATGCAACAGCCAAGTAAGTCAATTTGTTCAGAGTTCCTTTCCGCTTTTAACGTACCTCGCATGTACGATTTCATTCATATCTGTCATTTTCACTCGACCTTATTGTGCTGTTGGCTTCGTCCCGCATGGCGATGTAATCCGAAAGAGCTAACCCATTCGCCTCTTCCTAGAAAATACTGAGCAGTAGCTATACCTCGTTCAGCATGTTTGGGCTCTGCTTCACGTACGCCATGGGCATCTTGTTAATCGTCGCCTCGTACGCGGCTGAGCCCATCTGTGCCTGCCTGTATCGGCGCTTCAAATTCAGGGAATACGCACATCTCGAGTGGACAACCAACGCGACCCTTCATTTTCAGCGAATGGCTTATCAAGGAATCGACTCTGGCGAATGGACTGGGGAAATGGACAGCATACCCATGACCAAAGCTGGTGAAATGTTGGCGGAGTTGCCAATGCGTGCCGCAGCCACCGTCCCCCACGACGTGTCCGAAAAAGGCACGACTGACCAGACTGGACGGAGTCGCGAGGATATTGAGCTTGATAGCTTGATTGGTGGTGATGATGGAGTAGTTGTTGTTTCGTCACCTAATGATTCGACGGGCAGGAACTGAGTTGGTCTCCCTGTAAGATAGAAAGTGGTCTAGAATGTGGTATCTTCCTTTTCCAAAACAGTACGCTAGAGTAATTCAGCATCGATGAAGGCTTTTCACATGTATATCGATATCCAAGCGAGCAGCGACTGCCCCCCATATTCTTGCTCCCAGTGTCGGGCATCACATTCGCCAGAACTGGAATGCTCCAGATTGACGAACACCTTTCATTCACACCCATATTAGTACTGGGAAAGACAACCCATAGTCAGAGGCACAAAATGGCAGAAAGCTTGCTGAGTAGAATTTGACACGAGTCCCGGGTCAAAGCTAGACGGCTAGTACAGCCGACTGGGAAAAGGGACATCTGATCTATTGACCACAGATTGCCCACTATAACTTGACGATTTCAGGCATCAAGGCAGGAACTTTGTAAGGGTGCCAAGAAAGAACACTTGATTAGACACGCTATTTGGCGGCCCGCAGTCTGTTGCTAGGGGAGTGTGTAACCCCCGTCTATCACAATATTCGCGCCAGTCATAAAGCTGCAGGCGTCGGAAGCGAGGAAAACATATGCCTGTTGTCCAGCACAACGTCAGTTTGCAAATCCAAGGTTAAAAAGCCAAGTTAACCAAAGGTTGGACTGAATAGATGAAATAAGGGGGTACTCACACTCTTCAGCTCTGCAGGATCACATATCCTCTTACCAGGAGTCATATTGACCCACGTACTAAGCAACTCCTTGGGGCACACGGCCAGTACGTCCGTCATAACAAAACCAGGTGAGATAGCGTTCACACGTGCGAAATCCGCCCACTCCACCGCCAGGGACTTGGCCAGGTGCACCACGGCGGCCTTGCTGGCACAGTACGTGGATATCGTCTGAGGAATATTCACAATGCTTCCGCTGATGCTCGCCGTAAAGATCAGGTTGCCTTTGCCCTGTTCCTTGAAGATCTTGCCCGCCGCCTGCGCCGTCCACATGACCCCGTCGAGGTTCGTACCGTTGTTAGCCGACCACGTCTCCTCGGTCACCTCGAGCGCCGGGGTGATGGCGACCACGCCAGCGTTAGCCACGACGATATCCAGCCGGCCGCGGCCAAACTCCTTGGCGACCCGCTGCATGGTGTCATCGGTGGCATCCCGTTTCGAGATGTCGCACTGGTATGTCTGCACCCGCCTCCCCGTGTCGCGAGAGATGGTGGCCGCCGCGTCCTCGGCGGCTTGGCGGGAACTTTTCCAGATGAGCGCGACGTCGGCGCCCGCCTCGGAGAGTCCACGGACTACTTCGAGGCCGATACCCTTGGCGCCTCCAGTGACGGCAGCAATTTTGCCGCTGAGGGAGAATTGATCGAGAACGGGGGTGTTGGGGTTCTCGGGCTTGAAGAGAGGCATAGTGGAGAAGGCGTGATCCTAAAGAGGTGTCCAAGAGATGCCAGTAGTTGAATTGATCATGGGTGAAATAACTTCAGATAGGTATAGTAGCAATATAGTGCGGTTTCGTTCGTGAAGACCTGTTTGTATATGTATTTACGAAGTGGCACGGCCTTGATTTATTGGTGCTTCAACGGCGCAGTACTTTTCTTTTGTCATCCCTAACTTCCACTCCTGAAAGTCTACTCCAATTGACTACTACATCAAAACCCCTTTAAGTGCCTAGGTAGTGGTAGTTGTCTAACCTCCTTTGGTGCAAAGTTACTCATCTAGGTGACAGGCTAGGTGCCGGCCCAGCCCTATAATAAACCCTACGCATATTAATGCTAGCCAGACCACATCAACGGAGGTGTGTAGCACGAACCCTGCTGGTAATTTAGGTTTCTGAAAACCGGCTGAAGCAGAGTAATGCATTCCCGGAATCAAGGAAGAAGGATCATGAACTCTGGAATGTGGGGATATGTGCGTGCTCGGTCGGTAGATCTGAGTCTAAATTTCGGGGGAAGTCGGAATCATTCGATTCACATGTGCGTAAACTGCGTTTACGCTGCATGCAAGCACAAGACGCGAGCAGTTGCATCCAAACGCCCAGGAGCTATCTGTAATCAAGGTAAATGCACGGGTGCTTTGAAAGGAATTCATTCTACACACATCACGCTCTTTGTAGATCCTAGTAAAGCCGGACTTTGTTACTGTCGCCTCAGATTGATTTAGCAAAACTGAGCGGCTATGAACGTGAAATCCATCATCGAGAACCCGCCTTTCAAACTCAGCGAGGATGATGTGAACGCCTTGCTGGGACATTTCGACGAGTTCAGACCTTATGACTGGGCGCAGTTAAAGAACGTCATTGGTATTTCCCTCCCTTGCCACAGGTTCTAGGTGAATTCATTCCATCGTGCTAAGCCGCACAAGATGCAGGCGACATGGGCCTACTTCGGCGAAGTCCACATGACCTTCGAAACTACATCCTTTGGTACTCCGGAGTTGAGAAGCAGTATGGGTCTATTGCTGAATTCGTTCGACGAGAGAGGCTAAAATGGGAACACCCAATTGTCGCTCGGGATGCTGCCCTGTTCAATCACCCTGATGACTTCAAAATAATCCGGAACGATTGGCCTTACGGCCTGGGTGAGGGAATCACGCACCTTGTGATCTGGTCCAAAGTCAGCATCCCCATTGATCCTGATACAAGCCTCCCCACAGCAGAGGCCACTGCGACTATAGAGACGTTTCTGCGGCAGATTTTCGACAAGCGACTTGGTGCTGACTGGGGCAAGGACGTCCTGTGGTTTAAGCAAAAGGCGGAATGGCAAAGTGTGAAGAGTCTGGATCATATTCATGTAATGGTGCGGGGCTTGGCAGAGAGTGAGATTGATGCGCTGACAGGCACGACGCGACAGCAGATTCTGTCAGAGCAGGTTGCGAAGGGTGGCATGCGTAGCATCTTTTCAGTACCAAGCATTTGAAGTTCATGTGAAGCGGCGCATCCGACTACTTACTTAATAGACACATTCGTTTATTCTTTGACTATAGTCTAGAGTCAAGACGAGATACAAAGAATGATTGCAAGCTCCGGACAACCTCATCCTGCTCCACCTCCCCTAACTCATGAAATATTGGCAGCCGTACCAGTGACTCGCTCCCTCGGCTCGTATTGCAATCTTGGCCAACGAACCTCCCTATCCGCTGTCCAATAGACGACAAGTGCAGCGGGGTATAATGAGGAGTCACTGCAACTCCGTTCTGCTTCATGTGGGCAATGAAATTTCCCCGTCGCTGAGGGTCTCTCAGTTTGATATCTGCTCAACGTACGTGTCAGCTTCCCGCGTGTAATATAGGTTCTGAAGAACAGGGAGATGAAAGAACAAACAGTATATGTGCCCGTTGATCTCGCAGCCAGGCGGTACGATAGGGACGTCAAAGGCACCAGTCGCAACTGCCGTTTCTTGGAGTTGGGCATGGTATTTGTACCAAATCTCACGGCGCCGCTGCTGAATGACATCAGACAGTTCCAGATGTGACCACAGCAGAGCCGCAAGACATTCAGACAAGACATAGTTTGAGCCTACGTCTTGCCATTCGTACTGCTGGATCTCTCCGCGGAGAAATTGCACCCTGTTTGTGCCATTGTCGTAGATAACCTCTGCACGATCAACCAGTTCTCGTTGGTTGATGAGCACGGCTCCTCCTTGGCCACCGGATGTGAAATTCTTGGTCTCGTGGAAGCTGAAACACCCAATGTGGCCGATTGTCCCGGAGAATTTGCCACGATACTTGGAGGTGAGACTCTGAGCCGCATCCTCGATAACCACCAAGTTGTGAATGGTGGCAAGGTCCATGATCTCGTCCATCATACATGAGATACCGGCGTAATGGACAGGCACTATCGCGCGGGTCCTTGGGGTGATGGCGGCCTCGATTTTGGACACGTCGATGTTCATCGTCTTCTCCGCAATGTCGACGAAGACGGGCACGGCACCTCTGGCAATGAACGCGTTCACGGTAGACACGAACGTGAAGCTCGGGAAGATGACTTCGTCGCCGGGAGAGATATCGATCACCATGGCTGCCATTTCCAGAGCTGTCGTGCCAGAAGTCACCAGAAAGGCCTTGCCCTCCAGCATCATGTCTTCCAGCCATCTTGTGCAGAGCTGTGTCCATGGACCCTGGCCCACCAATCTCCCAGACTGCAGGACCTCTTGAAGGTATGGCACCGAGGTCGGTGGTAAGAATGGCTTTGATAAGGGGATCATGGTGCTTGGAAGTGAGTGGACTTGATTTACCGCAGTTGAAGAGGATCTGAGATTGAGCCACCATGGGTGTCCTGGACCAGGCCAGAAAACTGCCAACGTTTGTGCAAAAAGTCAAGTGGATCTTTTCTAATTTGATCACCGTTAATTATGTAAGAGGAACCGGAACACTCCCCATCTCAAACCATGTACATCACCGCCAGAAAGAACCCGGGACTTCTTGAACAGAAACAAAAGTACGGTGCTGGGAACTGAGCCATTCAACGTTTCCTTTTCAGCAGGACGTGCTTGCTATAGGGTTTACTTGAATGTCCGGGTGTACGTAAAGTTACACCCATGAATCACATGCTCACACCCCCCGCCCCACATAAATAAAACCACAATAGCCTGAGTCCCTGTTCTGCAGCAAGGTTGAAGGACGAGGCAAGTACGCGAACCGATTTCAGACAGATCGGGTGAAATTTACGGCAGTTGCTATTTGATAGTGAAATCACCACAGTAATAGTATCAGAATTAACTGTAATGGGTGTAAGTAAAGCTGAGGTTTCCACGTGATGAGAGTGACCAGGAAGTAGGGGTGCTAAAGTACTGGAAGTGTGACGTAGGCGGCCGACATATTGTGAAAGCTTTAATAATGAACATGTGCCTCGATATAGGATTAAGCATTTCATTCCTTACTTAACAGAGTAGTGGACGGCGAGTGCTGTAATAAATAAAACGGAGGGGCCTCTCGGAGGGGGGTGGACTTTCTCCATCTCGATCGCATAAACTTGACTCATTGCTGGATCGCCAGGGCACAAAACTTTGAAAACAGCATGGACGCTATTCTGGTTGAGGTAATATATTGATTACAGTAATCGATATCGGAGCTGTTCGCTTCGACGGACCCGAGGGCTCGTAGTCTGAAGCAGCCGAGGTGCGTGGAAAGGACTAAAAGAAGCCCCTGCCCGCTTGATAGAGACGTAGAAGTGAGCCGTGTTTGTGGAGTGGTCTCACCTCTTACGCACATCATAGTTGAATGCGATTCAAGACATCTCAGAAGACATGGCGCAATCAGCAGAGCAAACTATCAAGATATGCTGTGTTGGCGCGGGCTACGTGGTATGTTGCTTGTATCATGACACGAGGCGGAGCCTGAATACTAAAGAACTGCCATCAAGGGTGGACCGACCTCCTCAGTGATCGCCTTGAAAGTTCCCGAGGTCGACGTTTGTATCGTGGACAAAAACGCCAACAGGATTGCGTCGTGGAACTCAGCCTGTCCTCCTATCAACGAGCCGGGCCTCATTGAGGCTGTGCAGATGGCACGAGGGTTGGGACCTGCTTGTCAATCTCGCAGGCGCAACCTGAGCTTCTCAACTGATATTGACAAGGAAGTCCGTGAGGCGGATATAATCTTCATCTCTGTCGAGACTCCATCCACCACTGGTGAAGCATCCCATCCAGCAACAGGACTGGCTCCTGATATGACAAGCTTCTACGCGGCAATCAAGCATGTCGCGCAGACGGCCGTCAAGGATTTCATACTCGTCAACAAGAGCACTCTGCCATGTGAACAGCTGAGGAGACCATGCGGGTGTTACGGGGTCTGCTTCGCCCTGGCGTGCACTGTGAGGTCCTGTCGAACCCCGAGTTCTTGGCCGAGGGCTCAGCAATTCAGGATCTGCTTAACCCTGACCGTGTCCTGATCGGCTCGTCCGATGCGAACAGCGGCAGAGAAGCGGCGCAGTATCTGGCCGAGCTGTACGCCCGTTGGGTTCCGAAGGACAGGATTATGACAATGAGAAGCCACTCTTGCGAATTGTCCAAGCTGGCAGCAAACGCCCTCCTGTCACAGCGCATCAGCAGCATCAACGCCTTGAGTGCGGTCTGCGAGGAGCTTGGTGCCGACATCAGAGAGGTTTCCTCCGCCTGTGGACTTGACCACCGGATTGGTTCAAGCATGCTGAACGCCACAATCGGGTTCGGCGGCAGCTGCTTCAAGAAAGATGTAATGCATCTCACATGGACTGCGTCTCAGCTCGGGCTTCAGGCCGTGGCATCCTACTTCGGAAACATCGTGACAATCAACAACTACCAGACCGAGCGCTGCATCAGGCGCATCGTCAGACATGTTCCGCAACACGCCACGGTGGCCATTCTCGGGTTCGCTTTCAAGCCCAAGACAGGTGACACGCGTGAGTCGCCAGCTATCAAGGTGGTCCGTTCCTTGGCGCTGGCGGGCTATTCCATCCGCGTTTTCGACCCCCTTGTCAATGAGGCCAAGGTCATGAGCGACGTGCGCGCAAGCTTGAACGGGCTCGCGCACATCGCGGACGAGCGAGTGTCTGTGGGGAAAGACATCCAAAGTACTTGTCGCGGGGCGAGTGCGATTGCTGTTCTCAACACCTGGGAGGGCTTACGCCTCTTCCCGACAGGTAAGCACCTAATTACTTCACATTCACTGCCTTGTCACACCAGTTCATCCGGTGCTAAATACTGCCGCGTTGTAGAAGGCCACGGGACCCCAACAGCCGAGTGGGAGCAAATTCGTCGGTTGATGAAGAGGCCTAGATACATTTTCGATGGACACAATTACTTGGAGCCTGAGATTGCATCTCTTGGCTTCCATCTAGAAGGAGTTGGACGTCGCGTACGTCGCGCTCGAAACGCGCCACAGATTCATAGCAGTCAGGCTCGCATCTAGACATTCATAGAGACGTAGGGAATACAAACAGACGTTCACTTTGTAAGCTCTGATTCGAGTACTCCAAAATGAACCAGTCATGGCCAGCAGAGACGAAAAGCGATGAGTAGATCGGTAGCTTCTGCTAGGGCAATCCCGTCAGCTCGAGTATGCTCCCCTAGAAGGTAGTGTGGACAGCATGATCCGCGCTTGGTCAGTGACCAAGTGATACTACACTACGACCAAAGCTCATAATCAGCAGTAGTGCATACAAAGGGAACTATTTTCACGAACCTTATTTTAAGCTCTGAACTTTGTCAACGGGATCAGGGTCTTGTTACACCCTGACCGGTCAGCTGGGATCCCAAACTTTAGGGTACTTTGGACCCCACGCAGTTAAGGTTTGTGGAAGTCCATCACATCAGTCAGGCCGGCACGAACTGTAATTGCCAGCCGTGTACAATATTTCGGGCTAATGAAGGCCCAAGCTTCCATTTTCTCAAGCTTCTGGGCCGGGGCGGGCCGGGAGTGTCACATCTCGTGGGACAAGGTGCCAACTTGTTATGCACCACATGCAACAGTCGGATCATCTGGATATCATCTCGCATGGCGATGACGGCACCGCTCCTGCCATAGCGACTCAGTCATCGCGGGCATGTGAATCGAAAGAGAATCCTGCCCGAGACCCCGATATTTCAATCATACCTAATGCACTTAACCGACATGGTCAGTATGCCAAAGTTTTCCAGTATTAATGTCATCAGACTTGGTTTTTCTATCTACAAAGGTTACTTTACCCACTTGAAGTGATGTTACGGTAATGTAGTTGGTTGAGATTCTAAATTTCAAGAGGCCTAGTAATTACTGAGCTGTAGTATTTACTGAGCTATTTCATTCAAATGTTTCTGAATGGCTGCAAGGGCGCGTGTGGGCCAGCCGTTGGATTTCAATCGCATGTGAAGAAGGGCAAGGTCTCAGACGCTTCTAGTGTGACATAATGCATTCTAAGTTTCCTCAGATGCTACCCAGACTTGTATCGTCGAAGCCGATCTCATCCCAAAGTGAACAAAGATAGTCGCTCTATGTGGGCGCCTCGAAGCTCCTGCAGCTAACATGCATGTTGTTCAAGCTTACGAGACCCTGGATACCCCGAAGTGAACCAATACAGTCGATGAAAGCCTTCATCTGCCGAACCTCCTGACTCGTCTCCATGCTAGGCCATCCGACAAGCACCACGAACACAGTCCCAAGTTTTCCCTTCCCGTCGATGATGGGGATATCATGTTCCACACTCCAGCCAGAGCTGATGCCCTTGATGCCGGGGCAGACGTCGAGTGCCGTCGCTCGGAACTTCTGGGCCTGCACTTCCACCGCTGCCTTCATCTCGGCAGTGACATCGGTTGGGAACCACAGCATCAGAACTTCTGTGGCCAGCGGGCCATTGTTCTGGGCATCCAAGATGGCCGTGGGTGGCCACGGCTCCAGGGCCAGGTGCTTAACAAACTGTGTTCCGTCGAACTCCAGCATAGTAGGCATGTCCTTGACAACCTCTGCGTTCCAGCTAGGTTGAGGTTTCCATTTGTCAACACCAGGCCTCACACGTTCTTTGGAAGTTACTCACTCGGTCTTCAACCAATCATGGTGGTCTTCGACCTTATCCCAGTCCAGGAAGCCGACTAGCTTCGTGGGATCTTCGATCTGCATACACCAGTATGCACGGTGGGCGCCCGGCTGCAGACAGGCCGTTTCCCATTCCTTTGTCATGATCACACCTTCTGGTGTGGAGTCGTCCAGGACCCTCTTGCCGGGCTTGACAGCAAAGTAGGCGAACTCTGTGACTGGCATTGCGTTTGGGGGGGCTGCTGTAACAACTCAAATTTGCGTAATAAGCTGGTTTCAGTCCAAATAGAGGCGAAGTGATCTCGCATTACAGCATGAGGATGAGAATGAGATGTAATATATAGGCACGGACGCGCACAGATAATTAACACCTCCGCATGTATTTCGAATATCCACTTTTGATGTATCTTTTAGTTCCATGCCTTGGGACCACTTGGTTGCTCTTTACCCAGTTTGTCTGTAACATCAGACCCTTGTGGGAAAATTAAGACATAACCTTTCGGATGTCTGCGGAGGTATAGGATCCGGTAGTATTATTTTGTATGACTTGTAACAAAGCGCTCGCGGCTCCTGAAGCAGGAAACCATTGAAACCTTGAAGTTGTGGCAAAGTAAACTATTTGTCACCCGGGGGAAAGCCGGGTATTCAAGACGCATCCTGCACCAGGAGCATAAGCTTTACATCCCAGGAAAAGATCAGCAGGCTCGAAGTACTCTGAAGACTGACGTGTCGAGTTAGGAATTGAATCATGTGTTGATGACCACTGGGAGCGATTGAGCGAATAGTGAAGTGATTCGCAATGTGTGTAACTATCACATCGAGATCTCAACAAATCCCAGCCCCTGGCGATGGATCATCATCATGGACCTGCAACACGTTCCAAAACCGAAAGTGCTCGTGCGCTGGGAGGATCCAGGTGAGGAGTACAATGATTGTTGCCCTTGCGTTTAAGATATTCATGAATTTATCGTCTAGTTGCATATACGAGCTATTCTAATACAAAATTGTTGTGCTGGATACTATTGATTTTGCTTTGGTGAGATCATGATCACATGTGTCGGCTTTCACATCAGGGGACATGTGTCGTGCTGGTACGCTGCTCATCAGCTCCATACCAAACACGTCTCCATGACTATTGTCTTCAAGTTGTGATATTCACCTGCGGCCGGGGAAACATAAAACCATCCTTTTTATGGGGAAAAGAAAGTAGTTGGAGGTGGGAGTCACCTCAGAGTGGCCCGGGTCACTGGAACGTCAACTTCTTTCAGAAAGAAAATTACTGGCAGAATACTTTCAACTCCATACTTGTTTCAATTCATGGTCTCTAGTCTACCAAATCTTTTGGAGCTACTGTTCTGTTCAAATACTTGACTGTCTTGTTTTTAGCCTACAACTTCGCAGTCCCTGGTAGAGTCATGAACCAGTCAACTGTGCGGTCGAGTCCCTCCCGGAGGCCCGTTTCGGCCTCATGATGAAGCATCGACCGCGCCTTGGAGGCATCAGGGACGCGACGGTAGGGGTCATCATCCGGCCTGGGCAAGAAACGGATTGGGACACGAGGCTTTCCAGTCTTGCGCGCCACAATCTCATTGATGATGTTGGCGATCTCCCCGATGGTTGTCTCCTCTTCACGGCCAATATTGACCGGCGAAAGGACCGAGCTCTCCATGAGCTTGTGCAGGCCTGCCACACAATCTGCTCCGTACTGAAAACACCGGCTGGCTGTGCCGTCGCCCGTGATGCTGATGGGCTTCCCTGCTAGCGCAGCGGCGATGAAGTTGGGAACGACTCGGCCATCCGCAGGGTGGATTCCGGGCCCGTAGGCGTTGAAGATCCTTGCGATGCGCAAATCAACCCCTCGCTGGAGGCGGTAGCCATAGGCGAGCGCCTCGGCTACACGCTTACCCTCATCATAGCAAGATCTAGGTCCGAATGAGTTGACGTTGCCCCAGTAAGTTTCAGGCTGAGGGCAAACGAGGGGGTCGCCATAGACCTCTACACAGAGATTGATCTCAGTACAACTGCCAGTCTCAGAGGTGTAGGAGTGGGAGAAAACTTACCCGAAGTGCTGGCCAACAAGACCCTTGCACCTGTCTTCGCACCAAGGTCCAACACATTCTTAGTACCACTGCCGAGGCGTAATTAGCAAAGCATAAGTCATCTTACGAGCCGGAAAATCCGCGTTTGACCTCGAGATAGAAGCTTTAAGCGAGTATTTCCTCGAGCCTCAAAGTTGATACAGAATTTCGGAGCATCTTGATGATAAGATTAGAGCCACGGAATCAACATACAGGAAACAGGTATCGAGAATGCCCAGAGGTGCCTCGGCAAATCTCTTTGGGCTTGCTGGGCAGGCAAGGTGGTATATTCGGTCTACCTGGAGAACCTCTTTTGGGAACGGTCTTGTCACATCGTGTCTATGTTGAGATAAATTCAAATTGATTAGAGTTGCTTCACCAAGACAAGACCAGTGACCATAGCGAATCCGACTAAAAAGATTTGGTTGGATTTGATACCACACTTACTGTATAAATTTGAAACTTAGGTGATTCTCAAGTCTGACTATATTCTCAGAATAGCCAGTCCACAGTGAGTCAATGGCGGTGACCGTATGTCCTTTCTCGAGCAATAGGCTGACAAGATGAGATCCAAGGAACCCAGCGCCCTATGTCCGAGTGCGATCGTCAGCATAGCAGACGTCTCAGAAGTGGAAACGAGCTAAGTGAAGCTTACACCAGTTACCAGTACTGTCGACATCATGGGATTGTGCACCCTTCTTCCCGATCTGATCTTGCGAGCACAATTTGGCGTATGTCGGGACTTGGGCTTGAAATGTTGCACATTAAAGCCTTGAAAGGAGTGAGCAGTATCGGTCCTTTGGTTTCAGTAATAGCTTCTTGGGTTACCGCTGGATTCAGACTTTGAGGGCTTAATGCATATTCTCGTAAGGCGCATATTGGTGCAAACACTCTCAAAATCTCCATCATACTTCATTTCCAAACACCGGTACATCCATGCCGATCTCGAGAAGAAACTTCGTGATGCCGTACACCGTCCAAGGTCCCACGTATCAATGCGTCAAAGAACGTATGCAGCCATGCAGAATTTTTGGGGGCCATCACAAGACTTGAACATCACATGTAATGGTGTAAACAAATCAAGCTTTCACAAAGTTCTCGGGGATTTGGTTTCTGAAGAAGTATATTTGGGTAAGATTTCGCGCGGGATGTGATGCAAAGCTTTGCGGATGTAACGCGGACTGTGTTCAGGGTCCGCGAACTACTACACCTCCGCCAGGATCCCAAACTTTATTATTTAACTCCCCGCCTCATAGTTGCCTTTTAGTAACACACTGGGCAAAGCCTATTCTGACAGATCAAGTTTACCAATCGGAAAGGTACACCATGCATGATGGTTAGGATTTCCGCAGGGGTCTTTGACGATCCAACTAAATAGACATCCCGCCTCGGGTCACGACTCATTGCAAGACTTGAGTGACTTCTCGGGGAACAAACTAAGTTTGCTCATGCAGCCTAGCCAGGTTTGCAGCCACCAAGATCAGAACTTGCCTGGAAGGATTCAAGTCAAAGCTGACCATCTGCAAATACACGTCACAAGGGGCTTGTCGTTCCAAAACTTGTTCATCATCGAGATCAAAATTGTCGACCTGCTTTCAACGCTGATCTATATTGACTGATACATTCGATTTACTTTCTCAAGAGGACTTCGGAGACGCACGGCGCTCCCATTCTTTTCGAAACGTCACGGTCATACGACTCAGCATCACAATGGCATCCCAACCGGTCATGCTATGGTGCACTCTACACCCGGCGCCTGGGAAAGAAGCGGAGGCAAGTTTTGTCATGCTCCACTTAGAGCCCAGCCGGAGGATCTAATGGTGTTAGGTTCGGGAGGTCCTCCTTGGCCTGGCCGCAAAGGTCCGTGAGGTGGAGAAGACGTGCCTACGGTACGAAGTCTTTGAGAAGAACGACACTCAAGGCGCAGGCATTGTCTTTCACCTCCTCGAGAAGTTAGTACCCTACATGATGTTTTGAGAAAGCTAGTAAAAGGTCCCCGGGACCAACAAGCTTCTGACCCAAGCGTGGCTAACTAGCTTCCCTCCATAGATGGCCGTCCGAGGCAGATCTGGAAAGACACACTCGTCGGGAGTGGCTGATTGCTATTAGAAAACAGTTCGACAGTGGCTTGTTGGCTAAGGACGAGTTGATTGAGAAAGTCTCCAGTATTGGCGGTTTCCAAACTTGATTCTGTGTGGTTGTCGAATAGATGTACTCATATGCCAAATAATCAAATCGGTCGAAAGGCTTTCCTACTATCTGAGCAGAACATCGTGTAAGACCTATTAATTCATGAGTCCTCCAAGGTAATTTGCCAACTCGGCAATACCTGAGTATCGTCAGCTCGCCAAGTCGAGGAGCTAATTAAACCATTTATGCCCTGTGTACCGAGGGACCGGTGCACAGGGCGCAGAGGGTATGAAAGGTGAGGAAGGTAAATAGATGCTCTTGGCGTATAGCGGGGTAGCTGAAGCCCCGCTGAGTCAGATTTTGAAGTGTGCATTTTTCTGGTGGCGTATGCAGCTATTTCTTTGTACTGGGTGGGCAGACAGAAAGAAGGAGCTGCTTGGGCAGGCAGACGCAAAAAGCTGGGCAGGGCCGACGTTGGCTGACCGAGATACTCAATTTCCAACTTTTCAAATACTACATGAAGACTCCATCTGCCGTTCAGTCTTTAATGATTACAGACATTGAGACAGAACAATCTTAATGGAATGGACAGCTGTCAGATGGAACGGCAACATGGCCCGCCTCCTCCAGGGCTTCGACTGGAGCTCGTACAAGTGGTGAGTTTCATGACAACCTGACAACGAATTCAAATATGATTCGGTGCCATTCTACGACTAGACACAACTAACCATCAACAAATTGTCACCGAAATAGTTCTTTCGACATGGTACGCTATTTCACCAGCTCAGTTAACTTTCAAGGGTTAATAAAACTTTGGTAGGAGAGAGAATTCATAATGAACCGCGCTTTCAGAAGGTGAGATTCTGTGCCCACTGTGAGCAGAAGGGGGATTTTAGGTGCCCAATCTGACGCTATTTCCTGTACTGTTTAAATCAGGCTGGACTTCCGGAAGTCTGGCCATTGAAAAAGCCCGGGACATGCCCTGAGACCCTTTTCCGCGAACGGACGACTCGAGCCATTCTCCTGGGCCATGATAATGAGACAGGAATCTCGCACACGGACTCTAAGTCCGTGCCAGTATATTGGTTTGTGCCATCAACGGTGACTCTTATTGATACATGGATATAACTCGGCATGGCGATGGCTAACCTTCTGACAGCAATCTTGGCGAGTTGACCACCAAGGGCCAAGAAACCACTCACCAGCTTGGACGCGAGCTCCGTTCGAGATATATCGACCACTTGAATTTTCTACCACAAAAGCTTCATGACCCAAAGACGGTATATTTACGGAGTACACAGTATCAACGGACCTTTCTGTCCCTGCAGCAGGTTTTCAGGGGCCTTTATCCTCTTGACAAGCGAAGAATCGACCCTACACAGCTGTCAGCCACTGTTCTCAGTCCGCGAGAGGAAACCCTAATGCCTCCAGAGGACTACTGCCCGAGATTCCAGACGCTTCTCGATGTGTTCACAAAACGCGCCGCAATTAAATGTCTGTTGTTCAGCAAACAGTCCCGCAACCTCGTCGTGCTAACCACCTTCCAGGGAATAACTCTACTGAAATGTCTATGATACAAAAAAGTCTGGGTAAATGGATGCCTGATGGCAGCACTATTGCCGTAGACTCAAAACCCTGGAAGCTGCATGGAATCCTCGACACCATTTCATCGGCCACAGCGCATACCGAAATGCACAAGTACTTACCCATACAGTTCTTTGACCCAGAGATGCGGGCGGCAATGGAGCGAATCTGTGCCGAAGAGGAATTTGCCGGTTATGTCTACAGCTCTGAATTCCGGGAACTAGGGGTTGGAAAGGCTCTTGCTGAGACAGTCCAACGCATGTTGGACATGAGGTCACGAACAACAGAATCAGCTCGACTCTGCCTCCTAAGTTGTCACGACTCAACGATTGCTGGGATTCTGGCATCACTTGGAGCCATGGTCGAACCTGGTTGGCACTGGCCTCCGTTTGCTGCCTTCCTGGCCCTCGAGCTATACCGAGGACAACCTGACGAGACGACGCAAGGCCAGTCCTGGTATGTGCGAGTATGCTACATGGGCGAGCCAATTAAGCTTCCAATTGCCCTTCCAAAAGGCAATCATCTTCCAGGAGATGAGACTCTCTGTAAACTTGTGAGTATTTCAGGGTCAAGCAATATGAAAACAGAGGCATGACCTAGGACTATGAGCCCACCATCTGCGAGTCTCTGCATCAGAATACAGAAAATACTAACTATTCTTGTAGGAAGTCTTTAAAGCGACGGTCGACCAACTGACCCCCCAAGACTGGACGCCCGGTCTTCCCTATCATGGACACCTTTGAGGCCTCAAATATAGCGCGTTGTGACTCAATGCAGCAAATGTAGAGATTGAAAGTATAGGTATAGAGGATGGAAAATGAGATCTTCGATAAAATTCTTTGTCTGCTTCGTATTTCTCAATAGCCATCTATTGTGTGTGCGCGAAAATACTCGAACACTGGCCAATTTGCGGGCTCTATGTACTGCTTAGTCTATGAGATCACAGAGAGGATCTCAAGAAATCCTATATTCTCCCGACGTCGGCACCTCCTTTATGACGCGCGCGGGATTACCAGCAACCGCGACGAATTCAGGCACGTCCTTGGTCACGACGCTCCCCGCGCCGACAGTCACGCCTCTTCCAATGGTGACACCCGGCAAAACAATACAGTTGCCGCCGAACCAGCAGTCCGGGCCTATTTTGACGGGCTTCCCATACTCTGGTCCCTGGGTCCCTTTCCGCAAGTTGGGATCAAGCGGGTGCGTGGCGCTGTAAAATGAGCAACTTGGGCCGATCAAAGTGCGATCCCCAACCTCGATGGTGCATGTGTCCAACCATACGCTATTGAAATTGATGTACACGTTCTTCCCTAGTCTGCTTAGTCTGCGTGGTTAGCAATATCGCGGTACTGAATGGAGACGGTGCGCCAAGGTGAACCTTTGAGCATGTTTGGGAACATATGAAATTCTCACTTGACATTATATCCATAGTCCATCTTGACTGGCCCGTCGATCCAGGGCTCATTGACTAGGAGTTGCTCGTCCTCCTCAAGAGACGAAGCAGGAGGCGGGAGGGGGGCCTTGTCGTTCAGAACACTGCCATTGGAGAAGACGAATTTAGTTCCACTACCTCAAAATCGGTACATGCGGTGTGGCTCTGGCGGAACCGTTTCCACTCACTCCTTCACCATCAAGGCGAGCTCTCTGCGAGAACACTCCCCGGCCCGATTGAAGCGCTCGCACGCGGCTTGGGCACGGCGCCGGTCGGCCAAGAGATCAGGTGTAAAGGCATAGTACAGCTCGCCGGCTTCCATGCGCCGTCGATTGGCTTGCAAATCCGGAGATTCAGACGTCATGACTCCCACGAGTTACTAGGCCAAACAGAGTGCGTAGGTATGTGGCTCGAGACTGGGGCACTGCCGCGGACGCAAGATTTCAGAGCTCGATCGAAGGAGGGAGTAAGTATTGGCTGACAAAGCATCGAGTTTTCAAGATTCGCGCATGCAAAAGGCTAAAGCTTGACTTGAGAACATTAGAGCGGATGCGCACGGCCTAGACACGTCGATCCAAGATGACACATGCCAAAGCTAGCCAGACTTCTCGCGTCCGTGAACATCCGCAACTTTATCTGTTACTTCTCCACAAAAAGTCGTTTTTTTCTATCATTTGCCCATGTAGATAGTGGGTCCAAAGCTGCCAGTAGAAAACACACAACCAAAATTAACGTTTGCAATGCTTGTAAGTGGAGTGCTCCCAATATCTTGCAAATAATATAATATGAGCGGGATGATGTAACACTGCATACCAGCTACATTGGTAAGATACACGCGGTTACAAACGTCGTCTTTGACATGTGCCGTGGCCAGGGCCTCCGTTGATGGTCCGCTCAGACTTTGGCATCGAAAATGCCGCAAAACGACTCGAACCACCTTGACATAGTAAATACCATTTCCGTATTCCGGTGCATGCGCGGAAGTTAGAAAAGAGGGCCAGTTGGCATTCTGCTGGCCAGGTGTGTAAATATCAGGAATATTCTAATATCAGACGTCAGACCCACCGCTTGATGCACTGCCCCTTTAAGGAATCTACCCAGGTATTTCAATATAGTCATGAGCGCTGTGGTGACGGGGGAAACCAGTGAGCTTGTGTACTTAATGCCTCCGCGCAAGTTCCGTAAGATAGACAGCTTTAACACCTGGACAATAAGATCTATGATGTACCCTGCGCCGCACGGGGAGAGTCCAACCATGACAACGAAGAGAAGCGCAGAGAAGACTTCTCAGCACATTTCCGGCGACCGCGCGCTCACGATTGAAGATAATGCTGCAGACGCAGCTCGCACTGTCCAGGACGAGGAGAACGCAGAGTCGAACTTGCCTTCACCTCAAACTGCGGAACAAAATCGGGGTGAAGCATGGAACGTTCCGCGATCCAATATCGGTCGTGTGGCCGCATGTTTTTGGAGTCTCCTAATGCTGGGCTTTTTCGACGCTGCTTACGGGGTATGTGATCAGGCCAGTGTGTGCATAGAGAATGATCCGAACATTGCTAATGATGAGGTTCTCAGGCCTTCCTTCCCTATGTGTGTGACAGTCCTCCCCCAGTATATTCCATTGTTGGGTGTGAAACCCGGTCTACAATGCCGAAGAAAGACTTAGCTGACTATTGCTTGCTGCTTTCATAGCTTCAGGAGTTCTACCAGGTCAGCTATACGGTTGTCTCCATAGTCTTTTTCGCACCTCTCGTCGGCTACGTGTTGTCGGGGACCCTTAACACCAGGCTTCACAACGCCGTCGGCCAGCGGGGCATCGCTCTCCTGTGTGGCGGGAGCCACCTGGTTTCCGCCCTCATAAACTGCCTGCATCCCCCGTACCCATTACTTGTCGTCTCTTTTATGATCGCAGGCCTGGGCAATGGCCTCTCCGACTCGGCCTGGAACGCATGGATAGGCAACCTGCCGCGCGTGACCGAGTTGCTGGGTTTCTTGCATGCCTGCTATGGCGTGGGAGCAGTCATCAGCCCCCTCATCGCCACTGCCATGATCACGCGTTATCATCTGCCTTGGTATACTTATTACTACGTCATGGTAAGCAGTCCCAGATTCCAAGGCACAGAAGCACGACGGGGAGTCTTCGAAACGCCACAAAGGCACTCATTGAGAATTGAAATTCCTCAAAGACAATGGCTGTTACAGGTGTTAACGATGTGAAATATTCAGATCGGGCTTAGTTCCTTGGAAATGCTCGCTCTCACGACCTCATTTTGGGCTTACACGGGAGCCTCTCATCGGGCGAGAGCGGCCAAATTAGGGGAAGGGCAACCCAAAGCCAGCATGCGCCAAGTTCTGACCACATTTCCCGAGGCCCGTTCGGCGTGGCTGTCGGCCTTGTTCGTGCTCGTCTATGTTGGTGTCGAGTACGTCCTCATCAGCCTGCTTCCAAATCTGCTTCCCCACTCCCTGCTGCCAGAGCCTACACGATATTTGCTGAATTTTATTATCAACAGAGTTTCTCTTGGCGGATGGGTCGTCGAGTTCTTGCTGAGAGAACGCAATGGTGCGCCTTTTGCCAGTGGCATGGTGGCCACTGGCTACTGGCTTGGCATCACAGCGGGCCGGGGCATGCTCCCGTTTGTTACGAACTTGCTTGGTATAAAACTTGCTATCACGGTGCGTCCTCGATGAACGAGCTCTAATCGCCCCCACTGGAAGAGGGATGAGAAGGGCATGACGGATAATACTGACTCTAGTATCAACTTTTAGTGCTACCTCATCCTGACCATAGGCCTCGAACTAGTTTTCTGGCTGGTGCCGAGGTTCATTGTCTCTGCTGTCGCTGTTGCGTTCCAGGGATTTTTCATCGGCCCCCTATTTCCAACAGCAATAACGGCTGTGACCAAGTTACTGCCAGAGCATTTGCACGTGGTTGTGATTGGCTTTGTGGCTGCGCTGGGCGGCTGCGGAGCTTCTGTACTGCCTTTTGCTATAGGGGTTCTGGCGCAGCGGTTCGGAGTGACGGTTCTACAACCCGTAATACTAGGTCTCCTCGGGCTGTCGTTGATCATCTGGTTAAGCCTGCCAAAGCTACCCGTACAGAACGCAGCACATGGTAAAGGAGGAAATCTTGTCTCCCCTTAGTTTAGCCCATTACACCGTCAAGCTCCTAGTGTGCCAATCTCACCGGCCTTCGGGATCGTCTTGAGAGATGTTGGTTATGCGAGATCATACTAAAGTGGAAATTTATAAACGAGTTTCGAGGTGTGCATATCGAGCCGGAAACACTTTGTGGCTTTGATGCTGAAGGAAATAATCTCTACCAAGCACGTACTTTCCCTCTAAACCTCGCCTCTAGCACACGGCATACAGGAATTACATTCCATGAAATACTCAGATATCATCCCCTTCCTCCGCTACAAACGGCATGCATCCTATTCTACCATATCATGTGCGCTCGACACAACACTGGTTTGCAGAAGATTGAATAGTCACTGTCTAAAGCCTTGCATAGCGAATTTGACTGCAATTGCCTACAACCCACATTGTCTCTTGTCCCACTAGGACAATCATTGTCGTTCCAGCTTAGTAGAGGAACTAAAAGAATACAAATATTCTATGTCATGTGCGCTCGCGTACCAACAAAGGCATTCTCAACCAGCATGGTATCTATCAAGCCACGTGAATTCTGACCAGCTGACTCCGCCATGTTTTGATGGATCCGCGCCGTCCATGGATCATGCATCCTTCGCTCCAATAGTGTCGATGTGGCTATCTACCTGCGATGCAGCCCTAAGATTGAATTCGCTCGATCGACGTTGCACAGGTCAGCTTACGAGGGCGCCTCCTCATCGAAAGCGTGCAAGGGATGGACCACACCAACATGTCGGCAGCCAATGGTATGCGCCACAGCCCCCGACTGTGGCACGTATATGGTAGAAGCGGCTGTATCTTGTTGGTCAACCGTTCAAGGGATGGTAAACACCCTTGTCGTCTCCCACCGACATAGAATCAGGTGATTGACACCCGCACTTACTCATCCTCTCGACACATGGGCTATAACACCGGCTGTGGCGTTCCCTGTCACTTCTTATACGAAATGAGTGTATAGCACCCACACAGCCAGAAAAAGAGCGTTACTATAAGACAGGAGGTACGCTGTCCATCTTCATCGCTGTCGATAGTCAGCACACTGCCAACTTGAAGCAAATCGGCATGATGCAAAGGCTCCTTATCGCTCTCCTCTTTTGCTTTGCAGCAGCGCATAAGTCTGAAAAGGCTGAAGAGCCCGAATTCTCGCCAAAATCTTACAAACCGCACCAGGTAATCTACCGCGATGTCGCCATAATCGGAGGCGGATCTGCTGGAGCGTACAGCGCCGTGCGGCTGGTGGACCACAACCTCTCCGTCGCCGTCATTGAGCCAAAGGCCCAGCTCGGAGGCCATGCGGAGACTTATGTCGATCCCAGCGGGGTGACTGTCGACATCGGCGTGGTGGTGTTCGAGCCATTCAACCTCACGACTGATTACTTTGCCCGCTTTGGCGTCCCTCTCATTCCTTACTCGGGCTTCTCGTCCAGCTCTTCCCAATTTGTCAACTTCGAGACGGGAGAGGTCGTGGACTGGGAGCCTCCCAGTCAAGAGGAAGCTGCGTCTGGATTTGCTGCCTACGGTGAACAGTTGAGCAAGCACCCGGACATCGCGACGGGATACGACCTGAATTATCCTGTCGACGAGGATCTTCTGCTTCCGTTCCATGAATTCGTGGACAAGTACCAGATTGACGGAGCAGTGACAACCCTCTACAACTTCGAACAAGGGTACTCCCCAATTCTCGAACTTCCCACAATTTACGTCCTGAAACAATTCGGGCAAGGACTATTCCAGGCGGTTACGACAAACTCATTGCTGACGACTGAGCATCACAATACTCACGAGCTGTACGAACGCGTGACGGAATTCTTAGGAGACCAGGTCTTGCTCAACACCTCGGTCATTGCAATGTCACGCAAGGCATCTCGACAACCACGCATACTGGTCGATAGTCCCGACGGCAAGAAACTGATCATTGCCCGAAATGTGCTGATCACCGCGCCCCTCATCAACGTCTACGAAGCTCGAGACAGCTTCGACCTAAACAGTGAAGAGGAAGCGTTGTTCCAGCAGTTCTTCGCCAACGGCTACTACACCGGGATAATCAAGAACACGGGCTTCCCACCCAACTTCACAGCAGTGGGAGCCGACCCGGACCAACCCTACGGCATCCCCGCGCTCCCTGGCCCGTACGCCATCTCGTCCATCCCCGAGCTGCCCGGCCTCTTTCACGTATACTACGGAATCCCGCACCCAAAACCCGGCGAGGCCGTGCAGCGTGACGTCGAGGCCGTCGTGCGCCGCGTCCAAGAAGCTCGGGGCCTGCCGCCGTCCACCCCGGAGTGGGTCATCTTCAGCGACCACTCTCCGTACAACACCATGGTGGAGCCCGGGGCTATCAGGGACGGCTTTTACAAAAAGCTGCTGGGGCTTCAGGGGAAGAGGAACACGTTCTATACTGGTGCCACGTGGGAGACGCAGGACTCGGGAATGATTTGGACTTATACCGAAGAGCGTGTGCTGCCTCGGCTTCTTGAATGCTTTTAAGCGCGGTCAATCTTCGTCTGTTTCAAGGCAAGCTATATAACATTCTATACGCTGCCTGGCCAGCAATTTTGTGAGCGGAGGGAAACTGGGGGCATACGGCTGAAAGACCGTGTTGGGCAAGAACTGGACGCGCTACTCAGCAACACTCGAGGCAAGAAGAAAGCTTTCACAAGCAATATTTTTGGATCTCCTACAGTACACACAAGTCTCTCTTCATTTTTTTGGTGCATCAATAAACGGCAGCAATACTGAGTGATACCGCAACTAAGTCACAAAATGACAGCTGTACTATATCAACCGATTCTGGGTGTCATGCGAGCACGACTTCTGCAGGGCCACGCGCTCCTCGGCCCTCGCCCACTTCTGGAAGCTCTCGGTGATCTTCATCCTGCCCCTAAGGTTGGAAGAAGTGGTGTTCCTGCTCGGGACCCCGTCCAGAGATAGCGCCAGCTGAGCAGCCAGTCTGCCCGCGGCCTTTGTGTTGACGGTGATGGCATCGAAGTCGATGTTGGTGATGGTATCGCAGGCGAGATGGTAGCAGGGGTCTGTGGGAGCACCGGCGCCGGTGAAGATGCCGCTCGACGGGATGCCGAGGTTGAGAAAGCCAACGTAGTCGGAGCCAGTTCCGAAGGATCTAGGTAGAGTCAGTTTTCCGGTCTTCCACTTTTTATGAGGGCTGAATGAGGACTTACCCAAAGTATGCGTCTTTGCCTTGAGCCGTGAGATACTCCAGCAGATCCTCCGCGGGACCACCACTGTTCTCACTTTGGTAGATGGCAAACACCGGGAACGGCGAGCCTATCATGTCGTAGTTGAAGTAGTACTTGATCTTGTTGACCTCCTCAACGGGCAGGTTCCGCGTGTAGTACAGACTGCCGACCAGGCCGCTCTCCTCGGCCCCCCACCAGGCGAAGCGGATCTTGTTCTTCAGACCGGTGTACTTCCTCACGCTGTTGATAATAGCCAACAGGCCAGAAGTCCCACTGCCGTCGTCATTGACGCCCGGCCCAGCCTGCACGCTGTCAAGATGCGCGCCGAGAACAACCACACTGTCAGGGTCGCCCCCCGTGGTCTCGCTGAAGACATTCCACGTCTCCCGTGTCTCGAAGATAGAATCCACAAGCAGCGTGCCGCTGACCTCCTCCCCAGCAGCCAGGCGCGCCTGCCAGGCCTGCGCGACCTCGAGCGGGATCAGCCCCGCGGGGACGAGCAGCCCGATGTTGTCGGCCGACAGCGTGGCCGAGGAGAAGTTGGTGCCCGGCTGCGGCTGGTAGACGAGGGCGCCAACGGCGCCTACGTTCTTGGCGAGCTTGAGCTTGTCGGCGATGGCGCACACGCCGCGCTTCACGAGGGCGATCTTGCCCGCCGCGTCGACGCCCTCCCACTGGTCCGCGAAGCAGCCGGAGCCCCGCTCGTCGTCGACGGGGGTGTCGACGAGGGCGCCCGTGACGCCCTCGGGCACGGGCGTGGCGGCGTTGTACAGGAGGGTGAGCACGTAGACGTCTTCCCCGTCCGGGCCGGTGACGCTGATCTCGCGCGTCTGCTCGAAGGTGTGGTTGAAGGGCTGCACCCACGTCTTTAGCGCCGAGGTCTCGTTGGTGAGGCCGGCGGCGGCGTCTGTCGCGCCTATCCTCTCCAGGACGTAGTCGACGCTGGCCTTGAAGCCTGGCAGGCCGAAGGCTCGGTTGCCGCCGTTCGCGTCGCCGATGTCGTTGAGGTCTGAGAGTATCTCCTCAAGCCTGGAGAATCTGTCAGTTTCATTGCCCGTCACGTCTATCGTTCAATGTTCTTACTCGGCGGTGGTGATGTCGGCCTCGATCAGGTCAGGGCTGATCGTGTCTGTCGCCAGGCATCTTGAGGCAGCCAGGCAGGCACCGATGATGAATGTCACGGCCTTCATCGTGCTAGTATATCCACTGAGACTAGGTCTGGAGTCTGAGGGGATGAGGTGAGGATATGCCAGTGAGGAGCACCTGGCAGTGTCGTGGTCGAAGGCATCACGCTAGGTTGCGCCGAGTGCTTTGGCCTCCTTATATAGTATGCCAATTTCTAGTAGCGCTAATGTCATGTTCTAGAAGGTTACGGTATCATTCCGCAATTCTCCTCGCGCATGAGCCAATGTTTGTGGGCAGATAACCGGCTGAAGGAACCGCTGCAGAGGCGATAGATATGTTCGTCCGGCTTGGCTACTTGGCTCCCAACTTCAAGTGGCAGGTGCCAAGAGCTGACCCCATGCAAACCCCTCCACTCTGCTTCCTCCGACATATAGTATCGCACACGCGCCGGTTGCCACCGGATAGCAATTGATGAGCAGTCAATTCGTGCCTGGTCCCAGCTCGCCGGGTCGGCTCACCGAGTCTGCAAACATTTTGGCAGGCCGCCATCCGAACCATGTATTTCGCCACCAGCTCGCTCCAGCTCGTTGGCGCAAACGGAACGGACCGCGGGCCCAGTGCTCATCATAACCATGGGCATGGATGGTTCCTGCAGCTGTCAGGCGCGTTGCAACCTGTGTCCCCTTTTCCCAAGCAACATTCTCCAATGCCAGTGTGACATTGAGCTAACGAATCAGCAAACTCTTTACAAAGTATAAAATAATCCAGGCTTCACTTTCCCCACCCGCCCCCTGGTGCATCGCATAATGCTAGGATCTAATGGTGGATACAGATCTCCTGTCATGGTGAATCTGTTGTATTGATGTTTGATGTAATACGTGGAGCCTTGAGCGAGTTCTTTGCCTTATACTAAGCTTTGCTGACCACCTGCTTCTAGTAGTGAATCCGGCAGCTCGATATTCCCTCTAGACCGTGCGACCCGAACAAATTCAATCCATGATCCATTGGACCCGTTGCTAAATATTAGTGTAATTAATGTTCATTTTCAGGGTACAAAGCGGTGTAAAACGAATGAAGGGTTAATGTGGGCTTAAACTTGCAACCTTCTTATTGCAATGTCCACTTAACTGTGAGCCTACTTGGTAAGGGGCTTAGAATTACAATAATAGTCCATAAGTTTCCTTGAGTTGATAATAGGACTAAAGCTGGAAACTCCTGGGCGTATGAGACAATTCTCGGCGACCACGAGGAGAGCTCTAAGCACAGAAGGTAATAGTACGAGCACCAACCTTCTCAGTCTGAACCTTGAATGTCTGCGAAATTCATCGTCTCAGAATTCCTCTCGAGCTCCTTGGCCGCTATTTCCTCATCAAGCTGGGCGTCAAACCTGGCATTGAGTTCGCAGCGGCGAGCCCAACACCTTTCTCTTGATTCCTTATAGTCCTCAAGGCTAGGTTTCCTTGATTCTCACGCCTGTAGTAAAGAGTTTCAAGGCTACACTTTACACAAATGAGAATTTCGTCATTATGGATGTGCTGAAAATGCCCATTCTCTGGGCGGCTGAGACATCTTGGCAGCTTAGAATATGAGAAGACTAATTGTGCCACAGCCAAGTAATCCGCTCTTACTTGCCTACCACGGTTTTGTTACTTGTCAATCTCCAAAACAGAGCCGATTTTCCGTTTTCTCAGCGCTAATGTGGCCAAGAGCCCCCGTATCACTCAGCAGTGTCGATCGCGGCTCAGCTGCCAGTGCCTCGAGGCTCAAGAAAAGGGCGACCGTCCCCTGATGTCCAATGTTGGCCGATACCACCCTTTCCCTCGCCTTTTCGACCTCGCTTTGGTTCCTTGCGGAAAAAGCTGTTGTATAGCGGTTTTATTCCCTAATTTCTCGGAGATGAAGGTGTTGAATATTTGTTACGGGACGCCGCTGCTTTGGCAGCTTGCAGCCTGCCAAAACGTTCCCTCTGCGCCGTCGGCTGAAGACTTTGTGGCTAGGAGAGAGCCTGCAAGTACGATGGCCCACCCCCGCGCGCCGAGCCCTCACCTCTAACATCGAATCCAAAGTTACTATTCTTAACGACCATCTCTATATCACCGGTGGATCGTTTTCGCAGCTCGTCAATGGGACGATCGCGATGAACGGCCCCAGCGCCGCATGGCCATGTATTTGATACCCTCAAACACTAGAAGATAGGGCTGTAGTACTGACCAGTCTCGCGGCAGTGAAGGATACCTTGTCGGTAAGCCTTAAGGAGTCATGGGTTAACTCAACGGTACAGTTCAAAGTGACGAACCAGACGGCCCCGTCATTCAATAAAGCGGCGTTCTGGAGCGACCCCAACCAACCGACTGCATACCTGTGGGGTGGATGGTCCCGCGAAGGCAAATTGCCTACGACGACGGAGCTATGGCAGTTTACGGCCAACGACGACGGCGGCGGCGAGTGGAGCAGGCCGGACCCGGCGAACCCGGACGTGCTGATACCGCTCTTGCGCACGAACGGAGCCTCGACGGCAACGTGTAAGGGCAAAGCTCTGTACCTCGGTGGCTACCAGAGCAATGTTACCGACTCGCGGTGCCGGACGGCCAGCAAATTGCCGACCCCGGGTCTGTTGACGTACGACATGGAGACGAGGATTTGGGCCAACGTCTCGGCTGCCCCGGGCTTGAACAGGTACGGCACGTCGATCTACGGGGCCGCCGCCTGCGCAGAGAACCTTGGCCGCAACGGTCTTTTCTTCCCCATTAGCGGTCAGCTCGCGGATGTCCTGCCGGACTTCAACCAGATCAACAATGCCCAGTTCATGATGGACACGGCAAACCTGACGTTTTACGACGTCGGAAACGACAGGTGGTATTGGCAACAGACGTCGGGGGATAACCCGGACACGCGTGGCCGCCACTGCGTCGCGGGCGTGCAAAGCTCCAATGGCACCTACGAAATGTCCGTGATCTCATTCAATTGTTCCCTCCCTGACGCTCACTCCCTGAGCCGTCTCTCGGCCGGGTGACCAGACCAGACAAGCCGGGCTGACTCCTTTCCCCCCGGCAGATACGTGTACGGCGGCAACGACTTCCGCGACGGCAGCGACGACATGGTCAAGTCGGACCTGTACGTGCTGTCGCTCCCGGGCTTCGTCTGGTTCCGGGCCAACACGACGTCGGAGCCGCGCAGCTCCCACGCGTGCATCGTGAACAACCGGCAGATGATCGTCGTGGGCGGCACCGGCGCCGGCGGCCACGGCAACTACACGGAGCCCGATGTCTGGTCCCAGGGGCTCGGAGTCCTCGACTTGCCCTCGCTGTCCTGGAAGCACCAGTACGATGCTGATGCCGGGGAATATGAGCCGCCGCAGGCCGTTGCCGATTGGTATAAAAATGGGTAGGTGGCCCGCGCCTGTCCTTATGGAGGGGGTGGAACTAATGATTCTTTCTGCCAACTAGCGGTCTTGACTCGGTGGAATGGCACGATGACGAAGTGAAGGCTCTCTTCGTCACCAGCGGTATGTAAATTGTTGGGCTCTCGGCCCTCTCTGCCTTGCGTATGTAGAACTAACGACCGCCTCAATTTAGACAACGTGACCAACGACGATGCATCTTCCTCGAACGGGCCCATCATCGGTGGTGTCGTGGGCGGGGTCCTAGGCGTGGGCCTCGCCTTGGGCGCCATCCGGTTCTTCATCCGGCGCCGGCGGCGACGACGGGCCGCGGCGACCTTGGCCATGGCGCCTCTCCCGTCCAGCGACCGTGCCGATGGCGGCTACGATCCCCCCGTCTCGCAGAACTACCAGCACTACGCCATTGAGCTCAACAATAGCTCGGTGCCGCACCACAAGCAGCGGCTGGGAATAGGTCACGGCCCGTACGAGATGGGCGTCGAGCACAAGCCCCACGAGACGCTCTTGGAAGATCGCCCGTTGGAGTTGGGGACTGAGAATAGGCCGCAAGAGTTGCCTGCGCGGTAGTACCCTAGGGTAGCCTCTGGAGGGTGGGCTAGAGGAGGGATATCATATTTAATCGAATGTGTTGTTGTCAGTGTCGGGAGTATCCAAGAAGTGAAGTTTCTACGACAGACGATCAGCGGCCAACAGCAATCGTAGGGCCAAAAATTGCTGTCGCGTCCAAAGATGCTTCACTACTAACGAAAGGCCGAAAGCGGTTGCTCGAACTCACATGAATTGCCCAAATACGTGCTAGCTTATTTGGTGCAAAACTCTGGTATGTGGCATGCTCCTGGCTACAAGCAGACTATCTACACATTCAAGGCTCCTTCTCTGGCTTTAATTGACCACGATGTTGTTGGGCAAGGTCTCCAACCACCCATCGAGCTGCTCCGCCGGCGCAGGGGAAAGCGTATTGGCACAGGCCTTGCCATCCGCGATGCTCTGGGTCTTCAGCGCGTCACACTTCATGTTTTCACACTTGTTGTCCATGGCCTGCTGCAACTTGTCCCCCTCCCAGCCGAAGATGTAATCAGCGTGGGCCCCGAACCCGGTGAGGTCGCCCTGGCTCCAGACGAACGGCTGAGATCCATCTTCCGGCCAGATAGAAGGGTCATTGAACGGCGTAGTATCCCAGACGACCTCCATGTAGATCTCCGGGAGCAGCACCGGGAAGTCGGAAGGGCACACGCCGCCGCTCTCGACCTTGGCGTCGGCAGATGCCACGTGGCTCCTGTGGTCGTCCGAGTCGAGGTCCTTGCCGTTCCAGCACTGCGGGAACCGGATGTTGGCCATGATGCCGCCGGCGCATGGCTCAGTCGGCATCGAGCTCTTGCCGATCGGCCTGCTGGTGAGCGACGTCAGGCAGGAGTAGGTCAACGTGCCAGACTTTGCCCGATCCTTCGACGAGCGGGCGTTAGGGTTTCCGACCAGCATGCGGAACCCGGGCGGGAAGCTCGTGACCTTGCGCCCGTCGTCCGGGTAGGCGTAGTAGACCGTCACACCGCCGGTGCCCTGTTCGAACCCGCTGTTGGGGATCTGCTCGACCCGGTGGAACGTGCCGTTGCGGGCCTTGAAGAACAGCGTCGCGGTCCAGTAGTTGGAGAAGTTCTCGGCGAACGTGCATGTCGTGCAGGTAGACTCGGGAGCGACGTCCGCCTTGTCAAGGGTGTAGTTCAGGCCGTTGCCTCCGTTGAACTGATGCAGATGCCCGGCCGTGGTCTGCCCAGGGAAGATGAGACTGGTGCCCGCAGGTCAGCAATGCGTCACTATGTTCCTCTTCTGCAGTCGCTCCCTGAATACTCACGGGTCAAATGCGCCATAGGCGAGCTGAGAACACCCAAAGCGAATTTTACCAGCGCTCGTAAAGTCAAGAAATAGAGACAGTGTCGCGAGACCTGATGAGAGCTTCATCCTGCAAATGGTATTGGCCCTCAATAGAAGCCAAAAGAAGAATCAGAAAAGAACGAATGACGACGGTTAGAGGCTTGCAAAGATTGCTGGACAATTTTGCCTGAAATCACAACTGCAAATGTATTTATTTCAGTCATGATGAGCCCCCTACAGTGAGCTGTGGGCCAAATGAGGAGAGCTTGTAGGCCAGTGTCGGGTAGATTGGCTGCGGAAATTAAGGCTTCGACAGTAATATATGAATCTCTTGGTAGAGTTCATTCATCGACTAGTCACGAACTGGACTGGTCTACTGGGGCCGTCTTCGACCAATCAACGGGTGCAGCTACCTGGGCGCGTTTCCAAATGATCAGATCTCCCAACTGCTTGTTTCAATCAGAGGTACAATCAGTATCTCCCTGGCATTGTCGGCCTCGGGTCGCATTCAAGCTGGGCACATTCAAGACCCAAACAAGACGAGCTTTAGAAAGTTGCGCCTTCTGTGCCGGATGTCCCATAGTTAATGTACCCAGGCCGTCAAACCAAACCTTATTGTTTGTGTTTTTGAGAATCCTTAAATACAAGGATGGGGGCACTGTGCCTAACAAGGGTATCAACGCGTCCCAAACAGCACTGCTTGGCAAAGCACTAATAACGTTATTAGGCCAGATGAGTAACCCCATCTTGCTAGGATGCTCCTGTGCCCCTTAACTTTAACAACCGGAAAGCCGGGAAGGAAATGGTACTCCAAACCTAACTCACCGCATTGATGTTTGGACTGTGCCTTCTCCCAAAGCCCCCGTCCGCGTATACTGGCCAGCAGAAATTTCGAAAGTTGCCGTACCAAATTTCAAGGATCTGTTGCAAGGCTTGATTGTAGTGCACAGCAACTACAGGTGATTCCCAGCTTTTGTGAGCAGAATTTGGAAACTGCTGGAGCAAAGTTACGCTTGCACGGCGTCGTATTGAAAATTACCACAATCTGTATGAGCTTTTCTCTCAACTCAACCCGATTTTCCAAACAATGCCGTCCCCCGTTGCCAATTTCTTAGCCGTGGCCACAGAGCCCGGGGTAGTGAGAGTGATTTGACGTATGCCAGCCAGAGCCCTATTGCAAGGAACGGCGTCTACAACCGTGGCTGAAGTGGCCAGTGCTGATTCAACCATCGAGAAAAAAACATGTCAAACACCCGGCAAACAATCTGTGGTCACAGTTTTGATTTTTTGTATGGCAGTACGCAGATAATTGGCCTACCAGGGTCAGGTCACCACGGGAAGGTGGACACTGGTTTGCTTGCGTCTCGCAGGTACGCGTTCTGTGTCTCGGCAGGAAGCCTATGAGTCTCAACATCCAGGCGAGAGCGGTGCATCTATTCCTCGGCAACGCGACGGCTTTCGATGTTTGCCCGTCTTCCTTCTTGGATACATTATCGTCCTAGTGTTTCACAGCGAGCACGACACTTTGCCAGTCGGGGCAGTTCGTGTTACTGAGCCTGCTCAGGTGTCACTCGTCCGCGTTGCCTTGTCCGTTCGAAATCAGACGGGTGACTCAACAGGTGTCGATGGGCTAGGATCCAATATATTGGAACATCGCCGAGCCTGCGTGGGTCTGTCTTCAACCTGCGAATGTTTCCCTCTAGGTCGACCGCCACTGTGCTTCCCTCGATTTCTGTTCTCCCTGCAACCAAGACCTGGCACCTCGATTGATCGGAAAAATGCTCAAGTTTGTCGTTGCGTACCTGTGGGCTTTTGCTCTCGGCAAGGTAAGCCTGCACCAGCCAGCACGGGGAAATAACCGCCTCGAGGATTCAAGACTAAGCAAGGACTTTTCCCAGGTAATCAGTGTAGAACCACCACTGCCAGGGTACACGGTTGAGGTCCTACAGTGGGAGGTTCCGGTCAGCCATGATGGCCGCACGGCTGTCCTAAACGGCACCGTCCAGCAGGTTTACCAACAGCTGCTGGAAATCAACCCCAATTATGAAGACGAGTCTGGTACCTTCGAGGAGATACATGTCCCTACACTTGCACAGACCCACGGCTCTTCCAAGGTCTTGGAGAGGGAGGATACCTGGTCGGACTGCGGCCGCTTCGATGCCGCCAAAGCGGTCCCGATATGGGAAGGCATCGACCACCTCAACCACGTCTCCGGCACGCCCGTGTCGAGGCCGGGGCCGGGTATCTGCGGCCAGGTGAGCTGTTCTTATAACAGCGCGATCTGGTGGTGCAACGATGTGAGTTGCGGCGCGCCCCCCCGGTGTTTATAATTTGACCCGCTCAGCTCCTATTTCACATAACCTTTCTGACCTGGCTGTTGACATCCTATTTCAACAGGCAGACACCGAAAAGTCACTTTCCTCGTACCACGAGATCGCTTCCTCGGTCCAAACTCTTACGATGAACTGCACTTACTGGTCGGAGTCGCATCTAGAGCCGCAGGTTTCTGGGCAGCAGTTCCATGCTGACAAGTGGAGCACAGTCGTAAAGGGCGCTATTTGCTGATCTTGGAGGTCGATAGCTTGAAGAGGGGTTCATTACTGGCATTGCCATGTGGTAGATGGGATATCAAAGTGGCAGATAGGAGCAGGCAGACTGTTATGCTATTCCTGATTAGCAGGACCAATACATTTCCCACGATTTGGCAACGTCAGGATGAACATCTTCTTCGTTATAGCGTTTTTCTTTTGTACGATCATTAGGCAGCATCCTCGGATCTCCCTTAGTCTGAAGCTCAAAGTATATGCATCATATCCTCCCGTGATATGCTGCCACCCTGTTGTCGATGCTTCAGAGTAAGAAATGGAATCCCACTACGATTTCACAACGTCCTCGCCGTAGTGCAGATTTGTCTGCCCCATTCCCGCACCTTTGGTTCGCCAGAGAGACACCCGTTATTTCCATTGCCGTCGCCAAGCCCGCCCGATCAAAATGTCAAAGGCCTGGCGCGTTCCTGAAGAACCACTGTCGACCATCTCACCGACAACAATCATGTACCACGATTTGATGGAAAGTCCCGTTGATGTATACTTCAGACTATATAGAATGTGTGCTCCCCTGTTGTCTCGTCGTAACTCCAGGCAGGCAAGTCTCGCTCGTTGCCGAGCGGTTCGAGTATATCGGCAGCGCCTCGAGCACGAAAATACTCCACGCGACCAACCCGCTCAAACCGGCCCATGCTCGCATCCACCGATCTCAAGAAGAGGCCTGTGGCATGGTTGTAGGGGTACTGAGCGCTTACCGGATCCATTATGGGGTGGACAATCGAGTGCTCAATGATCGCGTAGTAATAGATGGTGGAGTCCGCCCTCGCGTCGCCCTCGCGGGCGGCACGGTCATTATGAACCTCGAGGACTGTGCCGTTCTCCCGACAGAGTTGAATGCCGGGGTCCTCGAGGTGGGTTGATGGGCAGGCGGAGGTATTGGACAGCTGCGAATGCGGATCTGGCAGTGGCGGAACTCGACTGCACGATCTCAATATTCCTCGGATCCGGACTTCTGCCTCCGGTTTCGTGAGAGGGCCGAAGACGTGGTCTGTTATGGTTTCATCGCCAGCTGGGGACCTTGGTCGCACCTCCTTGGTAGGGGAACGAGGAGGGGATTTCATCCGGTGCCTTATGAAAACAGCTGACGCAATGATTTGAGACTCTGAGAAATTTTTCTCATGTTCCAAAGTTACTTCCCCATCAGAGGCTGCCCAGGAGAAAGTCGGTGCAAAATATTCTGCCGGAGGAGGGCGGCTTTCCTTGGGTGCAGAGCGCTTCCATAACAATGCTGTGGGCAGAGACTTTGCCCACAGGCCCGTGACATAGAGGTCCTTGACGACAGGACAGAGTCTCCTCGCTATTCCAGCAATGGCGACCAGTACATCCTGTTGTTTGGTCAGGCCACACGCGGAATAATGCGCCACGATGCGCGGCCAGTCGACGGCTTTCTGTGGGTTATGGAGCTGGAGGCGTTTCATGCGTTTCCGCTGAACGCTATTGGGGTCCAGCTCATGAACTAGTCGGGAACGCGTACGTCGCGAGCCCATAAAGTTCAATGGTACTTTCTCGAACGTCACTTTCTCGCAGCATTCCCATGAGACCTGCTGGGGTGAGAAATGCAACACACGTGGCGCAAGCTGCCGTTCCTGGACTACCCATCCGCGGCGGTTTATAGGCGACTCCATTATGTCTTCCGTCCAACGGTAAGGAAGTATGATGCAAGCTGGAACAGCATCTGGCGTCGTTGTGGACTTGGACAAGGTGTCATCGCCACTCTCAGGCGACTTGAGCCGCAATTGTAGACTGCAGGGCCTGTCATAGGGAGGGTCCCTCTCGAAGAACAAGCCGTGATCGTCGTCACCCCAGTCAGCGGATATATTGCAACGCGAGTTGGAGTACACTTCGGCCATCGTTGTAGACTCCCTCCGCCAGTCTGCAAAGTCGTCGCCGGCCTGGATAATGCACAGCGAGTCGATCCAGATGTACGGAATATTCATCCGCTGGGCAACCACCAGGGCTTCTCGGAAAATCAACCGCAGCATCGCAACAGGCTGGCCCTTTTCGAGGGCGGAAAGATTTTCGGTCGTGAGTCTGGCGAAGTCACCGTTGCCCCACCGATGGCTCAGGGTGACATAACCTCGCCCACGCTCGAAAGAGCTGGAGTCTGAGCGGACTATCCTGAACATGTCATCCGAGAGTACCTCGACCAAACGAGTCGGGTACCAGTTCTGATTGGTATTGGCCAAGCAATGGTGCTTCTCAGAGCATTCCCGGAGCCATCCCTCAACGGTCGTCCAGGTCTCCTTTGAGTGCGTGTTGGAGGGGAGATCTTCCACCAGCCCGACTTCCCTAAACTCTGTGTCTGGTCAGAAAGTTCCTGCGTCGTCGCGTCAGGGCACCTATTCACGTACCTTGCTGGGTGAGGACCAGGGGCGCTTGCGCCATGCTGCTCAGGTCAAACCCCACAGTTTTCCACAGCTTTTTCAGGGAACTGCGATGGGCCTTCAAGTGTGTTGGGATGTATGCCTCGTACATCGGGTTCAGCCGGACTTGGATCTGCCAATAAGCTGCATCACGCGGATTATTAGCATCCAGCGGTCCCCACGCCTCCCACTGTATTAACTTCATCATCGTGAATGAAACCCAGGACGTGGTTTGGCCGAAAGATTCCCGAAAACGGGCGTCCCTTTCCACAGGGTCTGGGTGAGTTTCATAGAAATCCGAGAAATCACTCCCCACAATTACTTTTTTGTTGATGGCCTTTCGATCCGGCACCTTTCCCCCGACCAGTAGCTTTAGATTTTCCCGGTCGTCGATGTCTAGTGATGAGAACAGATAGGAGCAAATATAACACCTCGTATGAGATGCTTCAGTGAAGGCATCTAGGCTGCTGTGGTGAGGGTACCATTTTTTGAGCTCTAGGCTGTCCCTCGCGAGAACGGACAGGCATGCCTGACAAAGCCGAGATGGTTGACTGGATGGCCGGCTGCTGTCGTGCGCAGGCGAGGTTTCGTCTGTCGCCTTATTCATCATGCGCGACGCCAATCCAGTTCTCTAGGTCTGTGTTCGAAGAGCAATGTCCTGTGTGGTCAATAATGCATGGAAGTCTAGGTGTTGAGAAAACGGAACTCGTGGTCAGCGCAGCTCAAGATGGGCCCAGGCTCAGATTTTGGCGGGGAGAAGCAGTGTTTTCGACCCCGGGCTGTTGGTGCCTGGTGTCAAAGTGGAAACATCAGTTACGCGAAAGAGGGCACCATTCAGGTCGCGGGCATCGGACGGGGGTATGAATGTGGAATCAGTCGCTTTGGCGGCTTTGCTGGACAGCAATCTGCGCCGCACTGGCGCATGTATTTATCCCTCTCATGTCATGACTGGTATGTTGTTGACAGCAATTTCAGGTTAGCCCAGATTTGAGTAATGGACGCGTGGGGTCTGGACTAATGAGCTGTGCCAGTAGACCCTTGATTCATGCAGCCTCGAGTCGCACAGGAGAGCCAGGAACGCGGCGAAGCATGTAGCTTAAGCGGAAGGGGTGACACAGATTCCTACCAGCCTTCAAATATTGACAATCACAATAAACAACATCGTCTCCTGCCTGACCGGATCTGATCTCGCTGGCTGGCACCAATATTTGAAGCTTCTCTGGTCAGATCTGCACGCTTCAGGCTACGTCGCTCGCTCGGAAGGACAAATGAGCGCGAAGGTGATATTATAGATTTGACTGAGAATTGTGGCTGACAAGGACCCCATTATCCTCGCCTGCCAGAACCTTACACCTCTGGACTTCTTCGTCTTTAATGGCAAGATGGATATTCACGCACACGACTCATCACTTGCAGCGAGAGAAGGAGCACGTTGAATTTTAGACGGGCAACTCTCACCTGGGACCCCTTTTATGACGTAAACCCTGCCCCACGTAGATGCGACGCAGTCAGTCAGTCAAGATGAGGGGAGAAGAACAACATTTCACTTTCTTAACTATTCCATCTCATTGCTCAATATCAACCTCCACAGACGCTGGCAGAATACCGTCGGGAAACCCAACACCAAAAGACAAGACTCTGGAAGTCCTCTAGTGTTGCCGGCAACGCCTCCAGGCTCGAACATCCCCCTCCACCATGGCCTCCCCATCATACCCCCGCCCGGATTTCCAGCGCCCCAACCTGAGCTGGACATCCCTCAACGGCGCCTGGGACTTCTACTTTGACGATGAGGACGCCGGCCTGGGCGAGAACTGGCATCTCACCTCGCCGCCCTCCTCGCTGAAGCGCACCATCCAGGTCCCCTACGCCTTCCAGACGCCCGCCTCGGGTATCAACGAGCGCGCAGCGCACGAGGTGCTCTGGTACTCGCGCACCATCAGGGACATCCGCACCGACGAGGCCAGGAAGAGAGGCGACCGCCTGCTCCTCCGCTTCGGCGCCGTCGACTACGAGTGCCAGGCCTGGGTGGGCGGGACCCCCGTGGGCGGCCACAGGGGCGGCCACGTCCCCTTCGACCTGGACGTCTCGGGCGCCGTCCCCGAGGGCGGCGGCGAGGCCACGCTGACGCTGCGCGTGAGGGACTCGCCCTACGACCTGACGCAGCCGCGCGGGAAGCAGTACTGGGGCCCGGAGCCCGAGAGCATCTTCTACACGCCCAGCAGCGGCGTCTGGCAGAACGTGTGGCTCGAGGCCGTGCCTGCCACGCGCATCGCGAACAGCAGCGAGGGCACTGTGTTGCGGTCGAATGATATCAGGAGCGGTGTGTTGCATGCGCGGGTGGCGGTTGTGGGACGGAAGGTCCAGGCGCCGACTTCGGTCGAGATCACTGCTTCGTTCCTGGGGCTTGAGGTCGGCAAGGTGAAGGGGGACCTCCCCAAGGACAGGGAGTACGCCAACCTGGACCTGTCCCTGCGCCTGCCGGCGGGTGAGTTCAACCGGGTCGCCGGGACGCTGGCCGAGGACCAGAGCGTGTGGCGGGACAAGCTGGCGCTGTGGTCGCCCGAGCACCCGCTTCTCTACGACCTGACCATCAAGCTGTATGACGGCTCGGGCAAGGCCGTGGACGAGGTGCAGACCACGACGGGGATGCGCAACATCGACTGGCAGCGCGGCGACAGCACCTTCCGGCTTAACGACAGGCCCATCTTCCAGTCGCTCTGCCTGGACCAGGGGTACTGGCCTGACACGTTCATGACCCCGCCGTCGGCGGACGCGCTGAAGGAGGACATCGAGCTGTCCAAGAAGATGGGTTTCAACGGCTGCCGTAAGCACCAGAAGGTGGAAGACCCGGTCTTCTTCTACTGGGCCGACCGTCTGGGCTACCTGGTCTGGGGCGAGATCGCCAACGCGTACGAGTTCAGCGACGAGTACGTGTCGCGCTTCAACCAAGAGTGGACCGAGTCGGTAAAGCGCGACATCAACCACCCGTCCATCATCGCCTGGACGCCGGTCAACGAGAGCTGGGCCTACCCCAAGCTGACGGCCAACTCGCAGGAGGGCATCGACCAGCGCAACCACATCCGCCAGCTGTACTACCTGACCAAGACGCTGGACCCGACCCGGCCCATAAACGACAACTGCGGCTGGGAGCACGTGGTGACCGACATGAGCACGTTCCACGAGTACGCCGATGGGCCTGAGGTCGAGCGGATTTGTTCTACGCTGCCGAGTATCTTGCACAGGCTGACGGGCGAGCCCGAGGGCAGGCCGATGTTCGTACCGGCCGTGTATGGTCCGAATGCGGCGGTGCTCGACCCGGCGACGCTGCACAAGTCTGGCGCGCCGGTGCTCAATACCGAGTTTGGCGGTGTCAACATCGCGCCGGCGGACAACAAGGGCACGGGGAAGAAGTTCAGCACTGAGGACTGGGGGTACACCACCGCCAGCGACCCTGAGGACCTGTTGAAGAGGATCGAGAAGCTGGCGATTGGGGTTGTCCATGCTGGGCACTGCAGTGGGTTTGTGTACACTCAGCTGTAAGTTCTCCAACGTCCATTGCCCGATTTTCGATGATCTTTCACTAACATGGACTGTTTCTACAGGACGGACATCGAGCAAGAAGTCAACGGAGTTTACTCGTTCCACCGCAAGGCCAAGATCGACCCGACGAGGATGAAAGCCATCTTCGACAAGGCGGCAAAGCTCTACTTGGATGGGGTGCAGGACGACAAGAAGTGGGAGGTCTCTGCAAGCGGTGCAGAACTGCCAATCTCGTCATAAAATTAGAACTTGGATATCGAGAGGCAAATATGGTGTTGCAATGCGCTTAAACGCTGATCCCTGCTGCCGCATGTGCCGTACGTAGACGTTGGAACTTGGTTTGCAAATGATACGCCCTTCCGCCGTGACCTCATCCGCCCCGGAATGTCAACTTCACCACGTCAAAGCAGCCAGGCTTGTGAGGATACTGGTGGCCACGACACTCCTGCGCCCCTTTATTGAACCCTAATCACCTGATAGATACCTCCTGGTCATCCAACGACAGCGAGGATGCCCCGCTCGGACGAGGCAGCGGCATTCTTCCACGCCGTCTACTGCGCGGTGCAGGAGATCCCGCACGGCAAGGTCACGAGCTACGGACACATCGCGAAACTGGTCGGCACGCGTGAGCCCCGTCCCACCCCAGCTTCTCTTCTCCCTGTCTCTTTCCAAACTTCCGTCAATTTCATGAGCTCGCAGCTGACGAGTGGAAATCGCAGCCCAGCGCCCCCGCCAGGTCGGCGTCTGCCTGAAGCACCTCCCCCAGGATGCCGGCGCGAGATTCAACCACAACAATGTCCCCTGGCAGAGGGTGATCAACTCCAAGGGGATGATATCTCCCAGGTGAGTCCCCAACAATCCATCTTGTCTGTTCCCCGGGACTAAGCAGATGCTGACTGTGGGACGGAAGGTCACGGCCCTCGGGGACGCAGAACCAGGCTGCTGCTCTACGGGCCGAGGGCGTGACGGTCACGGCTACGGCGTTGGGGGAGCTTACGGTGGACTTTGATGAGTTTGGGTGGTTTCCTGGTGAATTGCCTTCTGAGGCTGGGGGTGATGATGGTTTGGATGAGGATGAGGAGTGAGGAGTGAGAGAGATGGTGTTTATACCTTGGGGGTGTTCTCCTTTGACAGCAGTAGCTGGCCTGTAAACATTGACCGTAATTAAGCCATGTGAAGAGGTTTTCAATACACTTTTCATGCTTTAAAGCACCTCCAGGGCTAAGACACTCTCTACAGCCCTAATTTCATCACTCTATATGCTCTTCAACAGACTGAGGGCTTGAAGAATACTTGCTTTGCATACCCAATGAACACATTTGATAGACGAAGATAGATCCTGCCAATCTTGAAGACAAAGTTGGCACACCTCAAACCGAATGCTGAACAGGGTATCATGTATCTGCCTTGCCGACTTGCGTATTAATTCTTGCTTTTCTGATGAACTTGGACTCCCTACATCGCTGTCCTCCTTCCTCAACCCACAAACAATTCACTTACTATTACCCACGTCCTGGCTACCCAGCTGCCTGTTCATAATTCTCAGTGGCACTTGCACTGCTTCAAACCACCGAGTGAGGGCAAAAAGAAAGCCACCACGCAAGTCACTGATTTTCATCCGATATTCAAGTGGGCCAACCCATTCACTGAACCCATTCACTGGACTTCAGTCCTCTTGCACAAATATTTAAACCCAAGGTCTTCGCTTCGATTCCTTTCTTCCATCTTCCAACCACCCTTCACCTTCAACCCTTCAACCCTTCTTCAGTCAAGACAGACTGTCAATACCCTCAAGGTAACTCATCACAGAGAGACCTTATCATCAACAAGTCTTTCTTGATTGAACCAACACCCCCAACACCCCCAACACCCACGATGAGATTCGTCAAGAACCTCGTCGCCGCCGCAGGCCTGGCGACCACCGTCCTCGACGGCGTCGTCGGCGCTCCTGCTGGCAACACCCACCCCACCCCACCCCACCCATCCGAGCCTTTCCCCCCTCCAATCAACACCGTGAGCAGCACGTCGGCGACCGTGACCACCAGCGTCACCGTCACCTTCACTCACTTCCCTCCTCCCCCCGAGCGCTCTGTCATTGTCCCAGGCAGCAGCCTTTCGGGCATTGGTGATGGTGAGTCCACTCGCACTGTTGGCGCTCCTGGCAAGTCGCTCTCCATCGAGCCCACCGTCACCCTCAGCGATGAGGGCATCCCCGTCACCACTGTCTCGCCTACCACCTCTTCCGTCACTGTGACTGGCACTCCCAGCCACGGCGTCAGCGAGCCTCGCATCTCCAGCAACCCCATCTCCGTCACCAGGGCCGATGGCGCTCTCTACGAGCGGCAGCGGACGGACAGGATGCCAGGCGCTGTCACCACGCGCGATGCCATCCTCGAAGAGCGGCAGCGGACGGACAAGATGCCAGGCTTTGTCACCGCACGGGATGGCGACCGGATCCCAGACCCCATCATCACGCGGGATGGCAGCCTCGAGGAGCGACAGCGAACGGACAGGATGCCAGGCGCTGTCACCACGCTCGAGGCGCGGCAGCGGACGGACAAGATGCCAGGCCTCGACGCGCGTCAGATGACAGAGAAGATGCCAGGCCTCGAGGACCGCCAGCTTCTGCCAACCTCGATCACCGCGCGCCAGCTCCTGCCCACTTCGATCACCGCGCGCGGCGCACAGAAGGCTAACTGGGTCGACCCACCTGTCAGCGAGCCTCCGACCGAAGATGTCGAAGCACGCCAACTCCTGCCTACCTCCATCACCGCGCGTGACGTCTATACTCGGCCGGCTGCACCTATCGGCCCTCATCCAAACCCAGACGTCGATGCTCGCCAGCTTCTGCCTACCTCGATCACCGCGCGCGGCGTCGAAACACGGCCGGCTGAGCCACCCATCGGTTCTCATCCAAACCCTAATCCATACCCCATTGTCGAGGCTCGCCAGCTTCTGCCCACCTCAATCACCGCGCGCGGCGCTGCTCATACTGAGCCGGGCACACCTTTCGGCCCTCATCCAAACCCAGGCGTCGAGGAGCGCCAGCTTCTGCCCACCTCAATCACCGCGCGCGGCGCCGCTCATACTCAGCCAGGCACACCTTTTGGCCCTCAGCCAAACCCAAACTTCGACGCACGCCAGGTCCTGCCCACCTCGGTCGTAGGGTCTGATGAGCCTCCAGTCGCTACGGAGTCGGCGATAACCACCACAACTACGACCACCACAATCACACTCAACGCCACTGCCAAGGCCACCAGTTCATGTGTCGGCGGATGCGCTATCACCTCCATCACGACTCTTGGCCTCCGGGCGGACGCCGAGGCGACGGGCTATGCCGAGTTTGACCAGGCAAGCCAGGCTGCGATGAGCACGGTGACCGCCACCGACATGCACACCGTCACCCTGCAGCCGCCGTCCACAGAGACCACGACTGTGTTGAGCACCCAATTCGTCACCGTCACCGTCCCCAGCTCCAGCGATAACTGCACCAGCCCGACTATCACGATGACCGACATCGATCAAGGTACTATCACCATCTCGAGCATCAGCGAGACAAGCAGCGGTACTTCCGCTCCCTTCCCTCCGACGAACGGCACCTTGACCATTACCGTAACTCCCATCTCGTCAAGCGAGTCAGGGGACGTCGCCGAGACCAGCACCTCGTCGACCGAGACTTCGTCGTCCACCACCGAGACAACCACCAGCTCTTCTAGCTCGGCAACAGCCAGCGTCACGACCATCACCACCACGCTCGATTACACCTGCGACCACGAGACGTGCCACCCGGCCACGCAGACCCTGACGTCGACCTTGGAGCCGACCTTGGGCTCGCTGCCAGCCTCGACCAGCGCGACGACCGCCACCACGGCCGAGGCGGTAAGCGGCTCCGCGACCACCGAAACCTCCAGCATCGACACCTGCACCGAGTCGCAGACGTCCACCTCGGCCGAGGAGACGACCCTGGTCACAGTCACGACGCACTCCACGACGACCCTCACCGGCACCCTCGAGCAGGGCCCGCCCCGCCTGACGCCGCCAGCCATCACCCCGCGCGACGACGAGGACCGCGCCGGCACAACGATCGTCACCGTCATCACCCCGACCCTCGGCCAGGGCCCGCCCCGCCTCACGCCGCCCCCAATCACCCGGCGCGACGACGGGCCCCCGGAGGCGGGACCCATCGACGCGCCGCCGCACGTGACAGACAACACCCTCACCGTGACACCCCCGCCGCACCTCAGCCGCACCTCGATCATCGTCGGTCCCCCCATGCCCCCGCAGCCGAGATTCAGCCTTCCCTGGGCCAGCGTGGGGCCCGATCTCCCCCGCACCTCCCTCCCCACCCGCAAGAACACGCACACCGCAGCGCTCTCCACCGGCGGCCAGGACCGGCACTACCACCCTCGGCCCGGCTCCACCAAGACCACGCTGGAGACGTCTGTCGTTCCCACGGAGACTTATGCCGCTCCCACTGCTGCCTGAGTTGACCGCTTGGGCATGGAGGGATGATTCAAGGGGAAGGATGAGATGAGCAAGGCTCCTGTGAGAGCAATGAATTCGGGGACGGATTTGATTTGCTAGGCTCAGGCGTTTGATGAAGGAGTTCACAAGAGAGGAGATTCTTTTGGTCTTGGTACATAGATGCATACCTCGCTAGAGGTCATAGGCACCAAAAGACATGATACCCTCCTGAAATTTTAACTCTTGACACTGTGCCATTGCCTCTGGCTGAATGTGACCGTGTGATGATATTATGGGATGGCAGGGCATGACATGTCCACGGAATGCGTGGTTGGGGCTTCAGAGGCCGCTTGAGTCTTGACATGAAAGCCAAGCTCCCACGGAATCGCAATGCGAAACTGTCAGCAGGGGGCCAGTGATAGAAACGGCTGCTGGAAGAGGATGGTGGGCCTGGGGAGGGGGGGGGCCTGCCCGCCGGCAGCGTTGTTCCCACGGAGGGCTCGATGGCAGCCCTCAGTGGCCGTGCTGGCAACGGGTGCGACGCGCCTCCTCGCTGCCGGCTTGCCGACCGCTCAACACAGCCTCATCGTGACCGAGCGCACACAGGGGAAGTGTCTCAGAGCTCAGGTGTAGCCTCAACAGTGCCACTTGACTGCCCCCTAGGAATTATAGCACCCCTTCTGATCCAGCCGCGATCCTTACTCACTTGAATACCGGCGAGCACCCCTCAACGTTTCATTTGTTTGTGCCTATTGAACAGACCACGGAACCCAGGAATGAACTGGGTCCCCAAATTGTCCCTGATGAGGAGAGCTGTCACTGGTGCTACTACCCCATGACCAGCGAGCACTCTCTATTTTCGGGTGCCTTGGGGCGCATCTAACGCGTGCTCAAGAGAACACAGTGTAGACATGTTCACAAGGAGACAGACACGCATGACGGAGGGATCAGACTTTAGAGATGTCATAATAAGGGAATTCTTTCTTGTACATTTGATTCCATATTGTGCTATGCTTATAACCGCTGATGATGGGCCACGGCAGTTCGCCGCAGCCAGGAGTACAGTAACCTGCGCAAGGAAATGATGCCCACTCAAGGAGCTGGGAAGCCTTTGCCTGGATCAAGGGGGTTGATGAAAGCACCCCCCCCCCCCGGCCTGGCCATCCCTTCAGACCCACGACATTCTTTACAGAACACACAAACTCCAGATCTCGAAATGCAGTAGGAACGATTTGAGGCATAGGATTTGAAAGCGGAAGTGGTGCGGAACACGCTTGTACAAATTGAACCATAGAAACATGCCTGGACCAACACCTGCCTATCTATTTACCGGCCTTCAACACAAAGTGGGAGGGTTTTCCGTGGCGATTGGCCGGTGGCCACGCATACACCAGCGAGACGTTGTCGCCACGTTTGATACCTTCGGTAACGTTATCGAAATTCGTGAGGGATAATATTGATAGCTATTTTCTTGTCAGCGAAAAGCTCCGAGGCGAGTGATGCGGCAAGAACATGAGATGGTGTGTTGCAGATCAGATAGCGGTTGAACAAGTGAATCAACATTGGAATTTTCAGAACAGGTCTGTGAACTTTGATTTTCTCATCATAGCAACGGGGACAAGGTAGTAGTGGAAAGGACAAGGCAGGAGCCAACGTACCATTTTGATTGGGGACGCCCAGGCACTGAAGTATCGCTCAGGCCTGGGCGGAGACCATGTACATTGGCCCAGAAGTGGATTGTTTTGGAAGTAAGGACAGCCAGTGGCTCAGTCCTTGACAGGCAAGACAAACCTGACCTTCTTGAAAGGCTTGGCCTTCTTGATTGGACGTTTCACCTTGTTTGGTCGCAAGACTTTGGCCGGCTGAGTAACCTTCGCAGGCTCTTCTGCAACCTTGGCTGTCACCGAGATTTCGGTCGGGGGACGTGTGACCTTGACAGGTTGAGGTGCCTTGACTGGGCGAGTGGCCTCGGTCGGCTGGGGCGCCTTCACGGGTTGAAGGGCCTCGGCTGGCGGAGGGGAGTTCACTTGCTCAGGTGGTTCTGTTGGCTCGGCCGCTTTGATGGGGCGGGTGACCTGGGCTCGCCGAGAGGACGCAGCTGGCTTCGGTGACCGAATAGGGCGAGGAGCCTGGACGGCCTGAACAACTGGAGAGGGCTGGACAGGCTGGACAGGCTGAGCTGCCTTGGTAGGCTGAGGGGGCTGGGCTGGCTGGGGTGCCTTTCCCGGTTGAGGTTGAGGTTGAGATTGGGTCTGAACCCGAGCTTGGGGTTGAATGCGAGCTGGGGGCTGAGGACGAGGTCCCTTGGGTTGCTGAGCAACTTCGACCGGAGGTGAAGGCTCGACCGGTTGGGGAGACTCCACTGGCGCGTTATCCTTGGCTGGCAACGGAGCCTTGACCGGCGAAGGTGCCTTGGCTGGTGGCGATGCCTTCGCCGGCCGTGTGAAGAACGAGTCCATCGTCTTTTGCTTCTGATCAAAGGCGGCGCTGCCAATACCACCTCGTGTCTTCTTCAGGCCTTGAAGATGCTCGGTGCAGTTGACAGTCGTGACCGTCATCAATATCTCGAGGGTAGGAGCCTCGGGTTGGCGAGCATCCGCTGCAGCAACAGCATTGTCTCTCGAACCCTGACGAGGCACCACGGAGCCCAGCATGGGGCGACTGTTGGCAGGCGCGGCGGCAGGCCTTGGTTCAGCAGCGGCTGAAGGTGCATTTATCCTCAAACGCAGATCTGCTTCGAGGTACCCAGTGTTTGACCAGGAAGCCAGCCACTCCATCTTTCCAGGAGTGTCGGTAGGCCTTGTGAGCCTGGTCAGCTCTTCCGGGCCAAACCGTGCAAGCATGCACCTCAAGAGGACGTTGAGGATGATGCCGTGGGCGACGATGGCAAGGGAGTGGTTGACATCGCTGTGGAAGCCCCGAAGAACCGTAGGAATGAGGTGGTTGTCAATGAAGCGCTCGACTCTCGCCTTCATGGATTCCTTGCTCTCGGCCTCGATCCAGCCAGCTGGTCTCGGCGTCTGCTCTGCCCCCCGCGAACCGAAGCGCCTTCCTTCGTCCGAGCCGAAGTTCTTCTCCCTCAGCTCAGGCAGTTGTACCACACCGATTACCTCGCCCGAGGGATCGAGCTCGGTCTGTATCTCAGCGACGGCTTCCGCAGTCTTGACGGCACGTTGGAGGTTCGAGACGAAGATGCGCTGGACGCGTCCGACGACCGACGACCGAGCGGCCAGATGTGCACCGAGGCGGCGGGCCTGGAGGATGCCATGGTTCGTCAGGGCGGAGTCGCGAGAGCCTGCACTGGAGGAAGGCCGTTAGCAAGCTTGGACTTGGAGAACTGGTGATTGATCCGGGCAGAGCATACTAGAGGCCGGCAACGTTGTCGACGGACTCGCCGTGGCGGATCAGAAAGAGACGCATTTTCAGCGTCGTGGATGCAGAAACATGGTCGACGCGGGCAGGTGGCGTTACATGGCGGGCAGCGCCGACCCAGAGGATAAGCTGTCGCGGGGTGGCGAAGTCTGCTGCAGCTGCCCGCTGTGAATGATGTGTGTTTTGGAGTTGGTGTCGGAGCTATGCTGATCAAAGGATTTTTACAGCGAATCGATGGGTTTTTATTTTGCGCCTAGGCGGGGGCCCACCCGCTAGCGTGTGCCCGCAGCATGAACTGCAGAATACGCTCACCGCCTTCCCGTTCGCCAAAGAGCCTCCACTTGGCAGTCAACGTCGTCTCAACTTTTACGAGTCCAGACTGCTGGACCAGCATCAACATCAACCTGATCAAAATGACGGACGGCCATGTTGTCTCTGAAGCTGCCACATGAAACGCCCTCCATAGGCCATGCTTCAATGTCGACTGAAACGAGGCGACAGTCTCAAGGCTCTATGACACACGGAGGCTAAAAGAAGCAAATACACATGTACCTATAGCAAGAACATTGTAGCCCACGGCGCTGACACTTCTGGATGTCTATGTGGCAGAGACCACGATAGGTTTTTGAAAAGGCAGGCTGTTCCTCACGGGTACAACCAGAGACCGCAGGCGGCGAGAAGGCAGAAGAACATACATCTTTTATCAATGACGAATCTCTCATCAAGGATCGGATCCAAGTGTCGGGACCACCTTCAGTGGTAAACCCAAAGCTCACAACAGGAATGAAAAGCCTCCTCCTTCTCTCTCTGAAGCCGCCTCCCTCAACCTCCCCTCCGTCCTCAACCTGACAGCCTGCAGTCCAACCTCATCAAGCCGACCCAGGTACTTCTCCCTCAGACCAGGCAAGTACCGCACCTGCTCCACACAGTACAGCGCCACCTCGAAGGGCAGGGGCCTCTCCCTCGCCCTGGTGCCCCAGGCCGCCGCACCGCCAGAGGTAACCCCATCCTGGCCCTTTGCGTTGTTGTTGACCACCCACTGGCGCTTCTGGGCCAGCGTCAGGCTGGAGTCCTACTCCAAACAGCTGCGCAGGTCCCTCGGCGTGTAGCCTCGTGGCCCCTCTCTGATCAAGCGGCCCTCGAACCCCAGGCACTGGATATCCTCCACGGATCTCATATTGACCCCAAACCGGCCAGCCAGGAACGCACACCCCGGACGGCAATCAAAGAGGACCTTGGGCATAGAATCATCCTCCAGGATGGCCCTCAGGCTCGGCAAAGGGCCACCCCGCTGCTCTGTTTGCTCCCGCCCAGCCTCGGACGCAGCCTTTTTCGCAGCGCTGAAAGCCTCGCGAGCCTCGAAGGCTGAGGCGCCCAGCAAGTCGAGGTCGACGATGTAACTGCAGCCCGGCTCTAGGTGAATGTGCAGCGCGAGCAGGGACGCCTCCACGGCCACAGACAGTGTGATCTGCTCCTGGGAGATGATGGCCTGGATCATCTCGGTGAGGCTGTTCCGCGTGTTGACGACGCAGAACTTGGTACTCCTCATGCCACCTATGTGGGTGGCGTGGTCGCGGGAGGCCGTGCGGAAGACAAGGGACTGGGAGGGCCTGTCCTCTTGGGTCTGGTGGTGTGGGCTGTCAGCGGGGAGCCGGATATTTACTCACAAGGAGCAAACAGAAATTCAAGCTTGTGGGTCAAGGTGGTTGACGAAATAAATCTTGCTCCAAGAAGGTAGGCTTACCATGGATGACGTTGTTGCTTTGGCCCTGGGGCGAGCCTTTGTGTGGAGGGCTGTCTTTTCGTTGGTATAACCATCCATCGTGCGAAGCCGTAGAGAAAGGACGCAGTCAGCAACAGGGCTTGTTGGCTGCCGGTTGCGAGGACGAAGGCATGAAACCTTGCACGACTGTGTCGAGCAGGCTTTGATGCGATGGTTTGTTCATGCTAAACATGGCCAGGTCATGCAACGTACAAATGACATGCTAATAATAACCCAGGACAACCGTCAAGAAGTGCTTAGAGGGTCTTGCTGAGTTGCAGCTTTGGGGATGACTGGTGAATGATATGCTTTTGACAGCTGTGGCCTGACATACATGGAGCTGGACGAGTTCATGTCACCTTGGTCCGGCATTCCGGGGTGAAGGGAGGATGAAAAGAGCATTGTAAGATCCTGCCACCGAAGCAACGGGCTTCAATGTAGCATGCCACCACCAGCAGTGGTCAGGCGAAGCACAGGGCTGTCAATGTGAACTTATGAATGGGATGCACAACAGGAGGCTCCACAGGAGTGAATAGAATACCCTCATTAGTCTGAGTAAGTTGGAGGCAATAGTGAATCCTCCTCTGGCGGTAATCTACCAGGGCTTCTTTCCATGCTGCCTTGAAGCATGGTACATGTCATCGGCCCTGATCCAAGCCTCCCAGGCGCATTTGAGGGATCTTGAAGCAACCACTGACTGTCTCGTCCTGGATATTCTCATCTGACAGACAGTCAGCCTGCGCCTGGTCAGTGGTATTGGTACCATTGTCTTTGATGAATATGAGCACCCCAATCAGCTCAAACCTGTATACGAGCATCCAATGGAAATACTATAGCGGGATCAACCTTCAAACAATTAAACTTTAAAGTAGTTATTATTACAGATGATGAGCCTAAAAGTCCAAATCCCTGGGTCGGTTCGAGTTGTGTAAATTTCAAGAGAACGGATATTCATATTCATACCTGTGAAAACACATAGAACATTGATATATCGCTAGCATTAAACCAGATCAACACCCACACCCAAATCACACACTTAATTTATATACTTAACACCAATACACCTAATTAATACACTTAAGCAATATAGTTAAGGCTAATCAAATATATTACTTAAATATATAAATTAGGTGTATAGATTAGGCAAGTAGTTTAGGTGTATAGGTATTAGTTGTATTAGTGTTAGGTGTATAAGTACTGGGTGTATGGATATTGGATGTGTGGGTGTCAGATGTGTGGGTATTAGGTATAGAGGTATTGGGTATGTAGGTATTGGGTGTACGGGTGTTGGATGTTGGGTGTGTAGGTGTATGAATAGGCCTGGGTGATGCGCTCTGGTTGGCTGTAGTAGCGGTGCGAGTGATGTACTGGTGTATCCGTTCTTAATATTAAATGGATATATGGATACAAGCTACACCATCCGGCTCAGCTATCCTTCCCCTTCTTCTTGGACGACCGACGCAGCTCACTCATGTTCTCCAGCGCAGCGTTAAACTCCTCCAACCGGTCCTCGGCCCACCGATCACTAATTCTAACCTCACCAACCCCAACCCCCTTGCTCCTGCGAATCTCACCCTGCGCGGTGCCAGTCTTGCTCTGACCCTTACCGGCGATGGCCGTCCAGAACCAACCGGCCTCGGGCTTCGTGAACAGCGTCCACGCGTGGCCCTTCCTGCCCGCGCGGGCCGTACGCCCCACGCGGTGGACGTACGACTGCACCGACTTTGGCATGTCGTAGCTGATGACGTGGTCCAGATTGTTGAGGTGGATGCCTCGCTCGATGAGGCTCGACGCGACGAGGATGCGGAGCTTGCGGGCCGCGAAGGCGTGGAGGGTCTTCCTGCGCTCCGAAGTGCGGGTCGTCGAGGTGAGGGTGCCGATGAGCGGGGAGAGGTGGGGGGAGAGGAGGGACAACAGGCGGGCGAGACGCACTGCTGCTTCGTTGGAGTTGGCGAAGATTAGGACTGTGGTGTTGAAGGGCTTAGGAGGGGGCTTGGAAGACGTGGCGCGTCCGTGGGAGGGAGAGGCGGTGGAGTCGGCATCAGATTCTTCTGAGTCGCTGTCGGATTCATCGCTGCTCCTGGAATCTGAGTCCGAGTCTGAGTCTGAGGCGCCCGATTGGGACTCGGGGGCAGACGTGTCTTCTGCCCCAGCATCCTTCATTTCCACGTCATCGGCCTCACTGGCGCTCACAGGAGCCATGTGCTCGCTGTTGAGCAGATCGACCAGGTACAGCGGCTTCAGGTCGACATTCCGAGTCTTGACAGCACTTTCCACGAGTTGCGAAGGCAAGACATGCTCAACCTCACTGTGAGCGATGGTGTCGCTTAGCACAACGAGCTTCGGCCGATACAGTTTCAGCCCATTGAGCAGCGTCAGATCTTTGGTCATGGTCGCACTGAGCACCACCTTGCGAACACCGCTCTTGTTTGAGTCGGCGAATTCCCTTGCCCCGGGCCTATTTGTGGTGCTGAGAAGGGGCATCACGGTGGGAACCCAGTCCTGATATGTCTGCGCTAGAAGCTTATCGGCCTCATCGACGACGAGCCAACGCACGTAGTCGAGCGTGAAGCCCGGTGTGCGCTTGATGTGATCGACCAGACGGCCCGGAGTGCAGATGAGTATGTCGACCTTGGAGGCGTAGTCAATAACATGACCCGGAAGAGGATCGGTTGGTGGGCCGCGTGGGTTGGTCAGGTCTTCGAGCCAAGAGTTCTCGTTGAACTTTCGGTCTAGGTACTTTTGGTAGCCTTCAGGATCGTACCTCTGATCCTCCTCAACCAGGTCAGCCTGTTCCTGTTCGAACTGCTTGTTGCCCATGGATGCCGACTTTGACCGGGTTTTTTCCCCGACGAACGAAGACGGCAGAGCAAGCATTGCAGACCTCCTCAGCCTGCATGACCAACTCACGGGTTGGCACAACAATCAGGCCCCGAATTCGAGTGATGTTGCTGGTTAGGCTGATATCCCGCACCATGGGGAGAGCGTAGGCCAAAGTCTTTCCAGAACCAGTAGCAGCTGACACCACCACGTCACCCTGGCGGTCGGCCGACGGCAGAAGGAGTGGTATGACTGCGGTCTGGACTGCAAAGGCCTCCTTAAAACCTTTTGCCTCGAGCCTTGTAGCAGCATCCTCGGCAATCCCCAGATCCGTAAATGGCGTTGTGGCAGTAGGCGCTACTTGTATAGGATTGGCTATCCAAGGCGGCAGCGTCTCGTAGCTCGGTTTGATTGCATCTTGCTTCACTGGCTTTGGTTGGGGTAGGGGCTCGAGACCATGCGCCTCAACTGCTTCCACACCTTCGTCATCTGAGAGGTCTTCTGTTTTGGGCTGCTCGGCGGCCTTCTTGAGCTCTTTGGAGGCCCTTTCGAGGACAGCCTTGTGCCCTGCAGCTACTTCATCGTCGCCTCTCTTCATCATCTTCTTTTTGCTGTCTGTAACCTCGGTTCTGTTGTCCGCAGTATTCGTCTGCGGTGCATTGTCGTCGACCTCGGCCTTGTGCTTGTGCTTCTTCTTCTTCTTGTCCTTTGCCTTCGCACCTTGATCTTCCACGCTCGCGGAAAGCTCATCGTGGTCATCATTTGGAGCAGCAGCGTTGTCGTCAAACCCAAATGAAAAGGGTTGCTCGTTGCGCTGCTTCTTTTTCTTCTCCTTCTTGTCGGGCATCTCATCCACGTCTTCCTCTCCGTCCGCTAGCTTTGTGTCCTTATGCTTCTTCTTGTCCTTCTTTTCTTTTTTTGGCTTCTTCTCCTGTGGATCAGGGAGCGTTTCAGGTACTGGCTCTGGGCTGTCAATCTTCCGCTTCTTGGAAGGCGACGGTTCGTCGTCGTCGTAGTTGAACACTATCTTAGGTGGAAGAGTTTCTGGAGGAGGGATGGCTGCAGCATTCAAGTGTGTTCTGGAAGTGGGAATGGACCTTTCGACCGTCGGGGCAGATGTAGCGGTTGTGCTCGGCTGTGTTCGTGGTGGAGGAACATATCTGGAATATGGGATCGCCGACGAGGCGGGCGATGCGGTCTCTGGAGGGGGAGATGGGGCCTGTGGCTTTGGTTTGGACGATGCCTTGGGTGGTGGAATGTAACGAGCATACATCTTGCAGGTGATGGTCCAGAAAGCAATGCGAGTTGAGGATTCCAAGGTCCCCCGTCAAGAGGTAAACTGACATGCGCAGCGCAAGTCAACTTATCCATCCCATCGTGGAAATTATTTTTGGCGGAAGGTCAATTCTGCCGCCCTCTTATCGTGGCTTATCGGCCCAGCCATGGATCAACACCGACCCCAGGGTTCCCAGCTGTTAGAGCACCTACTTGGACTTGCAGAGCAAAGCGATGTAAACAACCAGAATTTACTGATTGTATATGCTCATTAAACCGTATATGGGCGTTTCACGGCCAAAATATCACATCAAAAAGTTATGCACTTGACTGAGGGGATTAGTCTAGAGTGTACCGCTGGACAAGAAGTCATCCTGTTCTTTGAGGCTCAAGTCGCACACTAACAGCTGTACTGGATGCGACCTGTACTCTAAAATAGCCGTCCAGGGGATACCGTCACAACGGACGGCTTCATCTCATTTCCCAGCAATTCATCACCGCTCACTGTCTGATCCAGATGCACGAATGCTCGTAGCCTCGAGTATTGGATGGCAGTGAACGTTATGGGTGACCTGTTATGACCCTGAATCCCCTCAAACCTGCGTCGAGGCAGTGAGGTGTCCACTGGGTGGATCGCAGTCAAGATGTCGAAGCCAACATACAACATCGCCATGGTCAGCGACTTCTTCTTCCCACAGCCAGGAGGAGTCGAAAGCCACATCTACCAGCTCTCCCAAAGACTCATCGACAGGGGCCATAAGGTCGTGATCATTACCCATGCGTACGACGATCGGAAAGGTGTCCGCTACCTCACCAATGGGCTCAAGGTCTATTACGTGCCCTTCTTCGTGATCTACCGTTCAGCAAGCTTCCCCACCGTCTTCTCCTTCTTCCCCATATTCCGAAACATCATCATACGCGAGCAGATCAACATCGTACACGGCCATGCCTCTCTCAGTAACCTCTGCTGGGAGGCCACACTGCATGCCCGGACCATGGGCATCAGGACCATCTTCACGGATCACTCGCTCTTCGGCTTTGCCGATGCCGCCAGCATCCTCACCAATAAGTTGCTCAAGTTCACCTTGAGTGATGTCGACCATGTTATTTGCGTCAGCAACACCAGGTATGGCCACGCCCTCGGCTCGCGTTATTTGTGAATGGTGCTGACCGTTCACACAGCAAGGAGAACACCGTGCTCCGTGCCTCACTAGATCCTCTCATGGTCTCCGTGATCCCCAACGCGGTCGTGGCTGACAACTTTAAGCCGCTTGATCATTCCCTTGAGGGTTCCGGCACCGGTTCTGCCAACAGCTCGTTCGGCAATGACTATCCTGTCCCGGCTCATCGTCTAGGCCCCCACGACACCGTTACCATTGTTGTTATCTCCCGCCTTTTCTACAACAAGGGTATCGACCTCCTTGTGGCAGCCATTCCACGAATCCTGGACCATCAGCCAAATACACGCTTCATCATCGCTGGCTCTGGCCCCAAAGCCATCGATCTCGAGCAGATGATCGAGCAGAACGTCCTCCAGGACCGCGTCGAGATGCTGGGCAGCGTGAGGCACGAGGAGGTTCGGGACGTCATGGTCCGCGGGCACATATACCTGCATCCTTCGTTGACCGAGGCCTTCGGAACGGTCATCGTCGAGGCCGCGAGCTGTGGGCTGTACGTCGTGTGCACCCAGGTCGGCGGCATCCCAGAGGTGCTGCCAGGCTACATGACCCAGTTCGCCAAGCCGGAGGAAGACGACATCGTCGCTGCCACCGTCAAGGCCATCGCCGACATCCGGGCGAACAAGATCCGCACGGAGAGGTTCCACAACGAGATCAAGAAGATGTACTCGTGGACCGACATCGCCAAGCGCACCGAGCGGGTGTACAACGGCATATCGGGGGACATCAGCGAGGCGGATTTCTACAACGCGGCCAGCGTGGGCGCCACGAGGGGCGGGATCCAGCGCGACTTTGCCCTCATCGACCGCCTCAAGAGGTACTACGGGTGCGGCATATGGGCGGGCAAGCTGTTCTGCCTCTGCGTGATCATCGACTACCTCTTCTTCCTCTTCCTCGAGTGGGTGGCGCCGAGGGGCGATATCGATATCGCGGCTGAGTGGCCGCGGAAGCAGCTTGTTGAGGACACAAAGGAAAAGAGCAAGAGAGGCAGGTGACGAGCCTTGAACAGCAACGATCAAATTCCAATAACTCGTGTCTCGGGTCACCGGCCGAGCTCGGCCGACGGTTGTGGATCAGGGTTGTTCGAGACCGCTTCGGAGCCATCGGCCGCCTTCTCCCATCGGTCGGGGACCAAGATCATTCCAAACCGCTGTTAGGCGGCGTCAATGCATCTGTGCTTACTTGCCAAGCTCTCGAGATCCGCATGAGCGTGGCGGAGTCGTCTCCAGCGCGGCCATTCTTTGTTGTTGGCCCAAGCCGCAGACGCGTGGGGACCCAATCACCACTGGCCCTTGAGTTGCTGGCCGCGACATGGCGCTGCTGGGGAAAGAGTCAGTTTTTGTACTCCCTTCCGCAAAACCATGAGAATCCAATCGGTCTAGAAACACGTTTTCACGTGCGTGTCGGAAATCATCCCGGGACACACTGCATTGTTGGTGCGGCAACTGACTGCAAGTACCTGTGGCTTGCACTTGAAGCTGTGGCCAGTGGGGTGAGCTTTTTCAGGGGGTGGAGTTGCCCCAACGTCATCGCTAAAATTGAATACGAGGCCTGCCGCCGGGAATGCGCTGGTGTCCGGGCCAACCAACTCACTGCAGGCAGGGAATATTGATATATATCAAACGGACCATGGACTTATGGACGACACCTCTTGATGTCCTCATATTTCAAGGAGATTCCCCTGCAATTCAGTCAAATCCAGTTTTTGAAAAAGGAAACCTTTCCATCCATCAGCAAACACATCAAACACTCCTCAATCGGCATAATCGGATTCTTGTGAAGCCACCACTCAGACCGCATCCGCGCCACCACTCAGACCGCATCCGCGCCACCTAAACCCACATCACACCACTTCTACAAACGCAAATCAAATCAACTTGTTTTCAGCAAATTCATACGAAACAGTCACCAAGATGACTTCCACCGCAGTCAGCACAGCCACGGGCACCTCCGGCGGCCCCAGCGCGACCGGCACATGCGGCAGCCCCTCGCTCTACGACATCCCGCTGAACGACACGGCCTGCGCGGTCCCCTACGGCGGTAACCACACGGACGTCATGACGACGTGCTGCAAGTCGGCCGACGTCGTCAGCTACAACGACGACTGCGGCCTGTACTGCCTCGCCATCGACCAGACCGTGACCGACATCACGGACTGCCTGTATCAGAACGGCATCGCGTGGGCGGACGCCTTCTGCAACGGCGTGGGCAACGACACCGCGACGGCCACGGGCAACTCCGCGCCCACGGCGACGGGCGCGAGCGTGGTCTCGGGGTCGAGCGCCAGCAAGACGGGGAGCAGTTCCTCCAGCTCGTCGACTGGGGACTCGGACTCGAGTGCTGCGGCTCCGGTGAGGGGAGTTAGTGCGATGGGCGTGACGATTAGCGGGCTGCTGCTGTCGTCTGTGATGTTTGGCGTGCTCCAGCTTTAGGTGAAGAGCAGGTGTGGATGAGTTCGTGCTTGGAGATGGGATGAGCCGATTTATTTGGTGCGGCTTTCGGGCAATCAGCGTTTACTTCGACAAAGCTATTTACGGGGTAATTGATAGGGGAGTGGTAATACGAAACCAAAAAGGAGAGGGAAACAGGGAGACTGCTTGAATGAGCAGGGACGAGGTCAAGAAAATATGTAGAATTGAATTCAAAATAATCACAAGCCACATGCTGAAAGCAAGAAGGGCAGTGACATCGAACACCGATGGTCGAGGTTCAATTTCAGCTTCGGGGTGCACGTACTCAAGGGATGGCTTGTGGTGGATTCCTAACCGGACCCAAAGGTCTGCAACAAAATGTAGGTGCATCCACAGGCACAGAAGCAGAAAAATAAAAATTGACACCGTCATGGCTGAGCGCCAAATCCAAGTTAGTTACCAGCCGGGCCGGCTCACGATCCGCAGACCGCAGCCGAACCTTTTCCCCCGGCTTTCCGCTATCGCGCCGGGGAAACGGGGCCCCCACACAGCGCTTGCGGGGTTGAAGACAGCAACCTCGAGGGCCTCATGAGTCTGATTCTGACCTGTCAGAGATTTTCCGAGATCCAAATCTGTGATATTCGTCGAGATTCACCCAGTACAACATGCCGGGAGTAGACAACGAAATCAAGGGGCGCCTGGCCCTCGTCACAGGCGCATCAGGAGGGTCAGTCAGCCAGCTTAATCAAGCCCACCCAACCCCATTTCATTCACTGTCTCTCTCACTGACACTCTCACCCACCCAACAGCATCGGCGGCGCCTGCGCCAAGGACCTGTTCGCCAACGGCGCGAACCTGGCCCTGACGTACTCGAGCAACAAGGCGGCCATCGACACGCTCATCGCGGAGCTGCAGAAGCAGCCGCAGTGGGCCGGGGCCAAGGTGACGTCGCACCAGGCGGACATGGCCAGCGCGGACGACATCCAGCGGCTCTTCTCCGAGATCAGCGCGCAGCACGGGCAGGAGGGGCCGGACATCCTGGTCTCCAACGCCGGGTACGGCAAGAGGATCCCGGACGTCCTGGACATACCCATCGACGAGTTCGACCACACGCTCGCCGTGAACCTGCGCGCGTCATTCATCCTCACCAAGCTGGCGGTGCCGCACATGAAGGCGAAGCGGTGGGGGCGGATCGTCTTCATCGGCAGCCTGGCTGCGTTTGGCGGGGGGATCAATGGTTGTCACTATGCCGCGTCCAAGGCTGGGCTGCAGGGCATGATGCGGAACCTGAGCAGGAAGCTCGCTGGGGATGGGATCACTGTCAACGACGTCGCGCCTGCGATGATTGGGGACACGGGCTTGATCCCTGACGAGAAGACGGTGGCGGGCACGCCTGGCGACCCGAAGAATATCCCCGTGGGCCGGCTGGGAAGCCCGCAGGAGGTGGCGAATATGGTTACCATGTGTTGTCGGACGGGGTATCTGACTGGTCAGAGCATGCTGCTCAGTGGTGGGTTGATGTGAGGACCTCTAAAAGGACGAGGGTGTAAAACACGATTTTCTGGCAGAGAGAAGGATGGTGCTGAAGCAAACTTTTGATTCCCAGCAGATGAGCTTCAAAAGAAATATCAAAGTGTTATGTTTACTGGAGGGCAAATCTTTCTCCAGCTTGTGGATTACTCGGTGAAGATGTACTTTCATGACAGTATGGGCAAAAGCCGAGACAAGCACTCCGGCTTGAGATGAATGTCCCAAGACAGGTAGCAAGGAGGACAGAGAAAGCTGGCCTCTTAGCTGCGTATCTGCCTTCAGAGAGCACCATTTTGAATGAGACTAAAAGAAGGAATGGACGGACTCAAGATTACGCTTCATGTAATGAACTGGATTATTCCAACATGTACCCAAGCCTACCAGCAATTGTCAGGTTGCATAATTTGGCTACCGTATCAACGCGTAGGGCTCTCCAAACCGTTGTCCTCTACGGCCCTTCGTCTAGAACGACAGATTGCTTTACATATGTTGGCTGAACGAATCGCTTTCAGGAAGAGGGTTTTGCCAGTAGTTTGGGGAGTAGAATGATGGCCTTTGAACTGGTTCTTTCTTGCCCAAGTTGACAATATTGAAATGGAACAGGTCTGGGGGAAAACACTCTCTGAACGTGAGCCCGGCGGTCGACGCAAAAAAAGAAATCAGAGATTCGCACCTGTAAAAACGGAGGGTACACTGGTATACCAACTCATACAATAGCTATAGCTAATCAGAGCATATCATTCAGGCCTAATTCGCTCACTCACATCCAACACCTACACACCCAAGTTAAATTAGGCATATAAATTGGGTGTAAAGGTAATAGGTGTAAAGGTGTTACGTGTATAGGTGTTAGGCGTATAGGTGTTAGGCGTATAGGTGTTAGGTGTATAGGTGTTAGGTGTATATGTGTTGGGTATGGGTTTTGGGTGTGGGTTTTGGGTGAGGTGGTGATGTACCGGTGTACCCTCCGTTTTTGCAGGTGCGAATCTCCGTTTGTCAGGCCATGCTTCCGAGGGCCGTATATGCTGACCGTACGGTAGACTTTGTGGGGAAGAGAAGTTTACCGCTAGTGTGGTTGCACCCATCTTGCCTTCCTTACTACCCAGGTACCTACGTACCTACTAGGTGCGTAATTTGGTAACTCCACGAAGTAGGAAAGAACCTTGGAAGCTTGACCATATGGCATCTTCAGCAATGGCAGCGCCTTCAGAGCAGGAGCCATACCACCTCCTTTTCCCACATCATCAGCTGAACCCGTGTCCCTCCTGTCCCTCCCATTTCCACTTCACGACCCTGAGTACACGACGGTCTTTCATTGTCATCACGTTTCTCCTAGCAGTCAACCAAAATCACCAATATTGTCACTGATACTAACCCATCGCCACCACTACCACGAACACTGCATCCATACGCGTGGAAATGGCCTACGACATTCCCTTTCACCGACTTGAAGGCCTGGAGCGAGACACGCCGGATGATGTGGCCGATCTGCTGAAAGCGTCACCGAGGAGCACCAAGACAGAGACGGCGCGGGTATACAACTATGTCGGAATCTCAGAAGGCCGACTAGACGACCCCGATTTGTACGAACTCAAAGGTTTTATTCGCCCGGATTTTGTCAAGCTGATGCTCCCTTTCGGCCCGAAAATCATGCGGTAGGACCCTACTACGCCGCCTAAGAAGCAAAGCCTCCAGTTCCCGGAGCTGTTCCGAGACGTGATGAGGATTCGGCAGGATGTTCTTGTCCGGGAATTCGGTGGAAAGCTGGAGGACATCGCGTCTGATCTGTGGGGTGACTCGGTCAGCCTGCACTGGGTGGTATACATAACGGATCACGTCGCCGACGAGAGCCTCATTCTGGGGGAAGGAAAGAACAGCTCGAACCGTAAGATTCGGATTCCCGTTGGAACAATCAAGGTACAGCCTGTAATTGGAATGGTGAGTTTGCTGCTCTCTTCCCGGGCCTCGTAGCCAGCTTCAGAGCCGTGACGGCTGACCCCCGAGTCGCACCAACAGAGACAGAAAGAGAACAAGGCGGCCATGCCGCCTTTCGTCGGCGAGCGCACGCGGTCCAACTACCTCCAGCTGTCTGAAGCGATGGTCCTCGCCCCGTACCGCGAGGACGACTGGGTCCAGCGCATCCTGTACACTGCCGTCCTCAACACATTCAATGAGCATCTGCCGCCGTCGTTCTTCCACGATATCTTCGGGCGGGTGATCCCCCTGGACGATAAACCACTGAAGGACACACGGCTCCCGGGCGAGGTCGCTGGGACCCGGCGCCAGTGGAAGGACCAGTTCGTCGAGCTCATTCCGGACGCGCTGCAGTGGTCCGGCCTTATGTGCGTACAGGCGGAGATCTAGAGGTATCAATGGTGGTATCACATTGCGGGATTTGAATTGGACTTGGACACCGGGGTGTGGCTCTCCCACGACAGCAGGTCCCACCCTAATATCCTCATGCTGCGCCGCTTCGAGAAGGTCAGGGAGATTGTGACCCCCCGCTCGGTGAGCCTTCACAGACTATCCAAAAAGAGAAGGAAAGCATTCAACATCGACGATACCCATGTCCGCGGGAAGGGCGTGTTAACATGGAGGGTCAGAGATGATCCACGGCAGGTCAAGGATGAAACTGGAGCTGAGCCCGAGCATGAAGGTTGAGGGCTCTGATTAGGGCTTTGCGGGATGCTCGAGGTCCACGCTGACTCGCAGCATGGTTGGCATCTTTCGAGGGGCGTTGCGGGGCGGTATGGTTCTGAAGCCATTCACACAAGGCCGTCGTGATGATACGTACTGGCAACACGAAAAACAAGTGCTGGGTTGTTGGGATGCATGTGGATTTTTTTCTCCTGGTCTGTCTTTGTGACAAGACAGCGATACAACTAGCCATAGAAGGGGTCTCTGAACCACACAAATGCAATCGTTACTGCAAACTGGAAAGACGCAGGACTCGAGAGTTGTGTGTGCGGGTGTGGTTTTGGTATCTCATCATCATCACTCTTCTGGAATACTTCCAGCGTGTTCACCTCTCTTTGAAGAAGGGACCCAACCTAGAAAATTTCCATTGTTTCTTGTGTGTTGTTTCTGTCCGTGAGACCATGAACCATGAGGAAAACTACAGGGACCACGTTAAGCTGTCAACAGCAGCTAGCTGTTGCCTTGCACTTTTCAATCCCTCTGCACTGCAACGATCCCGTGTCCCCAGCCCGTTCATCCATCCACGCAACGCACAACCACACACAAAAAAAGAGAGGCCAGCCGAGACCAATGAGCCAAACCTGATGATGAACGAACCCAAAACTCCACCGCAGGGGGAACCGGGGTATAAGGCCCTCGGTCGGGAATTTTTTTCTTTCGACTGGGGCTGGCATTGTGTGTTTTGCTGTCGTCCTTGTGGCGATTTACCGGTTGGACTTGGCGACACGCTCGAGCTCGTCCTTCTTCTTAATGGCGTACGAGTTGCTGGAGCCCTTGGCGGCGTTGATGAGCTCCTCAGCCAGGCACTCGGCGATGGACTTGACGTTGCGGAAGGAGGCCTCGCGGGCGCCGGTGGTCAGCAGGGAGATGGCCTGGTTGACGCGGCGGAGGGGCGACACATCGACGGCCTGGCGACGGACGGTGCCGGCGGAGCCGATACGGGTGGAGTCCTCACGGGGACCGCAGTTGACGATGGCGTCGACGGCGACCTGGATGGGGTTCTGGTCGGTCATGAGGTGGATCTGTTGGGGGAGGATGTGTGTTAGCTGGCTGGTCATGGGAGGTTTGTCTGTCTCTGTGTACAGGTAGGGAGGATGTCGTTGCTTTGCCTGTCCGGTAGATGCGTATGGTGTATGTGTATAGTAGTATTCAGGGTCTGCAAGTCGGCTCAACTTACGATCTCAAAGGCGTGGGCGATGATGCGGACGGCCATCAGCTTCTTGCCGTTGTTGCGGCCGTGGGCCATCAGGGAATTGGTGAGACGCTCGATGATGGGGCAGTTGGCCTTGCGGAACCTCTTGACGGCATATCGGCCGGCAGAGTGAGGCAGGTAGACGGGGTTGCGGATCTGGATGTAGTCGCTGCAGGACGTCATGTTAGCATCTCGTTCGTGCTGTTCGTCTGATTCGAGCAGCAGCAAATGTGAGGCCAATCCAGTTTGCCCCCGTCTTGATGTCCACTGAAGATGCCTCGCGTGTGTTGTTTGGGTCGTGTCTCGTCTCCCTCGTGTTGTCTCTCCCAATCATGTGTGCGCGCACACACACGCGCGCAAGTCGAATTTTGTCGTCTCTCTTCGCCGGGCGGGCATCTCTCGTGTACATCAAGACGGCAGGGCACATGGACGGCAGAGCATGGCATGTACGATCGTGTGTCTGATGTATGGCAGGTGAATGTCTTACGTCAGGGAGATGTCGCGGATCTCGACATCCTCGTAGGACCACTTGTTGAACAGCTTGACGCTGCCAATCTCCTGGACGACGTCCTTGGGCAGGACCTGGTAGCCGGAGACGGCCTCGACCTCGATCTCTCCGTTGTCAGACATGCTGGGCACAGTTGAATGAATCGACTCGACGAGATTGGCGGGTAGGTGTCGTCGGAAGAGATCCTTCGCTGGCGGTTAGGTGGTGGGCGGGTGGGTTGCGTGGTTGTCGAGGACGGGCGAAGATCAAGATCTTTTTTTCGTCTGCTCCGGCGGTGGTGGTCTGTCTGGCCTGTGGTGGGCTGTGGGTGCTAGCTCCGGCCGGTGCTGCTGCTTGGTGCTGCTAGCAGAACACAAGGCCAACTACGACTCGCTCTACTGGGGCACAGGACCACCCACTGTAACTGTGCCCTGCAAATCCAGTCCTTTGGCAAAATTTGGTGGTTGCGCCACACCCATCTCTTATTGGCTAGACTGACCTCCGCGACCCACTATAAACTGGTTAGGGCTTGTCGGGAGGTGTGGCGCAGTCGTCCACCGCTCTGCTGCTGGTTTGGTCTGCCACAGTCCTCCCCGGTAGTGCGAGGGCGAGTGCACCACTATGGGTTTTGGCCTGATCAGAGCTGTGTGTGGTGCGGTGCACTGACCGGTAGGGATTTGGCAGGCGACCTTTTTTCTTACTACTCCCTCCCACTTCTCCCAGCCCTTTCCAAACAATCGACCGTCCATCCATCTACATCCCATCTCACCCCCAGCAAATCAGTCAAGATGGCCCCCGCTGCTACCGGCGCGAAGAAGCAGAAGAAGAAGTGGTCCAAGGGAAAGGGTACGTGGACATGATGCTCCTCCTCGTCCCCAGCTTTGGCGGGCTCGGCCTCGGGGTGCATTGATTTTGGAGGTGGGCATCGCGATGTACGACGGCGACTGTGCTTGATCATGCGTCACCTGCGACTCCTCTGAAATCAGCTGCATCACGATGGGGCCCCATCTCCAGCGCCGGAACACACGCTAACAGCCGACTGCAGTCAAGGACAAGGCGCAGCACGCCGTCATCCTCGACAAGGCCACTTCCGACAAGCTGTACAAGGACGTCCAGTCCTACCGTCTCGTCACCGTCGCCACCCTTGTCGACAGACTCAAGATTAACGGCTCCCTGGCCCGCCAGTGCCTCAAGGACCTCGAGGAGAAGGGACAGATCAAGCCCATCGTCACGCACAGCAAGATGAAGATCTACAGTATGTTTCCTCTGCGCGGCCGAGCATTCAGACACGACACGGCATAGTCACACAACATGAGAGCATATTACTAACACCCTCTTCCAGCCCGTGCTGTCGGTGCCTCCGAGTAAACCTCTCAACACGACCAAGCTCTCTTGTAGAGTCCCCGTTTCCATGACGTCGTAGCGGAGAACCAAATCCCAGGTCCTCGCGGACGATGTCCTCCACGCATGACAACGTATGAATGGCGTCTATCGAAAAGGGCAGGGGAACACAAACAAGCAGGAACGTCAAATTATGGCAGGCTGGGAGTTTAGTTTCGGGTCTTTCGGTTTGTCAAAGTTTGGGCCGGCTGCTGGGAAGGAAGATGATGCAAATGGCGTTGAGACCTCGTCCGTTTCTGCGGGTGTCGTCTTTTTCTACTGCCCGGTCCGGAGGGATACCCTACACTACACTTTTGCTAGGTGTAGCATGCAACGGGTTGGAAGTGCTCTGAACCCCAAAAACAAGCAATGGAACAGCATTGAAGCACACAAGTGATGGCTGGCTCTCGAAGTGATATGTTGATACAGTCTCGTATGCGACCAGTGTATTCAAGCACATGATGGCCCTCGCACAGCGTGGCCAGTATCCTGTTATCAAACGGCGGTCTCTTTGTCGGGCGTCATTGAAGATCCAAGTCCATACGGTTATCCTCCCCTCTGCAGAGGAACGACCGTCCATACTGATCTCAAATCTTGCCCCGTGTTGCCACAACAGTGATGGCCGTTGACACGTAGAAGCAGGAGAATCCCACGTGCTAGTTGAGAACGTCTCCATCTGGAGTACCTAACACAAGAGCCCTGCCAAAGGAGTGTCACGAGGATGAGCACACTTACAGACAGTCCTCCGGTCTTTGCGGTGGAAGCACACGGAACACAAGCTTGACATACTGATGCGATGCTCCAACCTTCAGGAAGCAAGAAAATGCTACTGTGTAATATAGATGGCAGGGGTTTGTAAAATTGTTCCCTGCCTCAATCTATACTAGAAGCTCACCACCATGACGATACAGTGGTGTCAGTGAAAAGCCAGTCTTTATGCGTGTAATATTGCTGAGGACAGTGCAGTCTGTTGGCAGTACAACCTACGTTGCAGCTTGTGCCGCCCTCCTCATTGGTGCGAGTCTCGGTTCCTGTGTCGGATCTGGACCGAGCATTCTGGAAAAGCCCCGGCTACCCGGTCGGAGGAGGCGAGCGTGAAGCAGTAGGCATTGTGCAGCAAAGGCCAGAGACTCAGGTAGCAAGCATTGCATTTGGAATACTGTCTCAGAAGAAAATGCCCGCTGAGTCGGTCAATGACCTTGTTCCGGAAAAGATGCAGAATATCAAACGTCCCTAGCACGCGGCCTGTGGCTGGATGGCAGGATGGACGGCAAAAATTACTCTGGGTTTTCAGGTTTCCCCAGCTTGCGTGCTCGGGCAAGGCGACCCTAATTAAACCCACTGGGTGAGTGCTGGAGCCGAACCGGGTGAGAGATCCCGAGGGTTGTCCCGGATGGAGGTGGATGTCGAGAGTCGAGGCTCGCATGTTACCCCAAGTTGTTGCCGCCTGACAGCTGCAAAGATCTCATGATGTCTTATAGAGAACCCCAAGATCTTAGATATGCGAGATAGATGGATACAGCAGGTAGGTGGTACTTTGGACAAATGACATAAACAGTGGAGTGCACTGATTTTCCAGGCTGTCCTGAACCTTGGAAATGTCCTCTCTTGTTGGCCAGCCTCCTCCCACTCACTGCCCATCCATACCGCCAGCAAGCCAGTCTGGGGGCGGGCTCCAGTTTGTTCACCGGGGGACAGCTGGGCATTGCACACAACTGCACAGGTGTGATTGGCTGCCACGATAATCTCACGGCTCTGCAAATCTGATGGTGGCAGCCATCACCACCACCACCACCGATCACGGGGGCAGTTTGGCTCCCGTAAGATAGCATGCAATGAGCCCTGGAATACCTGCCACTGAAGTGAACACTGGGCGCTCAGGTACACAGATGATCATGCCCTGTGCCTGGAGCAGCCGCACCAAGCGAAGCACAGGTATCAGCACGGAGCCCTTAGGGTGGCCAGGTTTCAGGGCTTCCCAATTATAGCGACGAGGACGAAAAGGACAGGTCCAAAGATACGGGCAGGCGGGCAGGATTGAGGAGCACGGGCCAGGGTGCGGACTGTTGCTTGCGGCTAGCCGGGAAGTATCGGGACCCACTTTCAAATTTTCAAGCACCCCCAGCTCGCCCGGCCGGCGGCTGCACAGGCCAGACCAGACCAAGGAAGGAGGAGGACTGAGCTGGCCTGGACTGGATTTATTTTCTCGCAGCTGCCAGCGATCCACCTCTTGTTGTCTACATCTCCCTTCCTGCCAGCGACAGGAATTCCATCTTTCCTTCCCTTCCCTTTCTCTTCTTCTATCCATCTCCACTCCATTCATCAAAGAACTTTAGCATCTTTGATCAGTCGGACATTCAAAATGTCGCCCAACGACAATGTCAAGGTCTTGGGCATGCCCGTGAGTACACAATGCCTCCATCCGTCCATCCCCCAAAAAAATTCGCTCGCTCCAACAGCCGAGGCAACCACATTACGAGCTTCGCAACAGCCAGCGCCATCGACACGATCCTCGCCAGCACCGCCAATTGATCAGGGACGATGCCCTCGTTCTCCTTGAGATGGCCGTGTGCTTGGATCCCGCCGTTTGGCGCTGTTTGTGGCTTATCGCGCTGCTCGAAAAACTCTGCCCTCCTGCCATGTGAAAGCCCAAACCAAGACAAAGGCTCAACCGCTGACAACAATCATCGCAACAGCCTTTCGTGGCGGACTTCTTGAGTACGTATCCTCGACAATCTCAATGCCATCTTCTCGCCATCGACACGGTTCAGTTCCTCAAGGCGCAAGCTTTGTTGACACCCGTTCCGTTGTCGTGATGGCTGGCCAGACCGGCTTCCATAGCTCGGGCAACCCAGCGCCCCAGCTTGGACTGAAGAGCGCATAAGCTGACTGTCTCCTCCAGTGGGTGGTGTCTCTGCCGCCGTCTCCAAGACCGCCGCCGCTCCCATCGAGCGTATCAAGCTTCTTATCCAGAACCAGGTACGTGTTCTCTGCCGTCCAGTCAATCTGGATGCCCATTGCGTCATCAGGCTGTCGTCTGCTGGAGACTCGGGACGCATGCTTGACTCGGCACTATAGCACCACAGTGCTGCCTCTGCCATCAAGCCTGCGCCAGTCTCCTCAGTTGTTGACCCAGATCTGATGGCGCTTCGCTCTCAATTGTTCCGTTGCTGACCTAACATGCGTTACAGGATGAGATGCTGAAGCAGGGTCGTCTCGACCGCAAGTACAACGGCATTGTTGACTGCTTCCGTCGTACCGCCGCCGATGAGGGTGTCATGTCCCTGTGGCGTGGCAACACCGCCAACGTCATCCGTTACTTCCCTACCCAGGCCCTGAACTTCGCTTTCCGCGACAAGTTCAAGAAGATGTTCAACTACAATAAGGAGAAGGACGGTTACGCGAAGTGGATGGCCGGTAACCTGGCTTCCGGTGGTGTATGTTCTCTCCCGTGCCTCACTTCTTCCTACCTGCAACCTCCGACCCATGTGCTGACAACAACCGCCAGGCCGCTGGTGCCACTTCCCTGCTCTTCGTCTACTCTCTGGACTACGCCCGTACCCGTCTTGCCAACGACGCCAAGTCCGCCAAGAAGGGTGGTGAGCGTCAGTTCAACGGTCTCATCGACGTCTACCGCAAGACCCTCGCCTCTGACGGTATTGCCGGTCTGTACCGTGGTTTCGGTCCCTCCGTCGCCGGTATCGTCGTCTACCGTGGTCTCTACTTCGGCATGTACGACTCCCTGAAGCCTGTCCTGCTCACCGGTTCTCTCGCCAACAACTTCCTCGCCTCTTTCGCTCTTGGTTGGACTGTCACCACTGGTGCTGGTATTGCCTCTTACCCTCTCGACACCGTCCGTCGGCGTATGATGATGACCTCTGGTGAGGCCGTCAAGTACTCCTCTTCCCTCGACGCCTTCCGCCAGATCGTCGCCAAGGAGGGCATCAAGTCCCTGTTCAAGGGTGCCGGTGCCAACATCCTCCGTGGTGTCGCCGGTGCTGGTGTGCTGTCCATCTACGATCAGCTCCAGCTCCTCCTCTTCGGAAAGGCCTTCAAGGGTGGTTCCGGCTAAGCGCTTCACTCCAAGCTCACAAGCGCGCTTCAATCTCTCCCACTGTACAAAACTAGCACTCGTGCGACGGTTGGAGGGGTAATCGGTGACGACAGTTAGGTGGCACTTCCTTTGGATGCAATGACTGGACTGGGTCAAATACAAAAAGGAGCGAGATGATAGATGTGGTGGAGGAGCCGCGGTCTCCTACCGTCGCTGCCATGCGGCAGGAAGGGGGCTAGCCTCGGCTCGCGGTCTGGGTTTTTGAGCATGCCTGGCGTTTACATAGTGATGAGTCGTCTGGGTGGCTTTTAGACCCTCCGTTGTAATTTACAAGAAGTTCTTCCCAAGTTCTTTCCCTATGTGTGTGCGCTTTGTGTTTACGACCCGGTATGGGTGGTCCGGTGTCAAGTTAAGATGTTAGCAATGGCAACATGGTCACCATACATACATCATGAGACAATAGAGGTTCTTCACATACTACTGCAATCCTTCACGGAACTGTCGCTGGCGAGTCTACTTTGGCCGGCATGTTGGCAGCTTTCTCGTGATGATTGCAAGCTGGATCTATCTATCACAGTCCCGGCCCTGTGACATATTTCCAGGCACCACAAAGTAGGAGCTGGAGCCAGTATTCATTTACTAAATGGTCTACATATACGAACTCGGTCGTGCCATAGATCACTCCGCTTTCTCTGGAGCCCTGCCTGAGGCGAATCTGGAGTCTCTGCTCTGCGAGTGGAAGCGTGGTGTGTGTGTTTGTGTGTGTCTACGGGCAATAAGGCCCCGGAACTTTGTGTCCGCTCTCATCCTCATCTGGACTCGGGAAGAATGTATAGCCTGGGCTCCTGGTAGAGCTCAGCAGACAGTAGGGCAGTAACGCGTCTATTCCACAATGCACAACTTTGGTGGTCTGCTTCCTGCACACGACAACGGTGTATCACCGTGTATGTGAGGTAGGCAGGCTAGATTTAAGCCTTGCTCCTCACTGGCAAATCACTCGTTGTGCACATCTAAGCCCTGTCCCACGGTAATCTCAGCGTTGAGTTCACCTTGGGGTTCCAGATGCTGTGGAAAGCATTGTTGGTGCCACCTGGGCAGTGTAATTCTTCTGTGGTAAAAGTGGGGATGGACTTGGAAGGCCCAGTTCTTGTAGACAAAAAGGGGGGTGTCAGCATGATGTATAAAGCATACCACTTCAGCACTTCTACCTGTGACTCTTGTGTATTATGGAGCCTGTGGTTCATTATGTTGCATGCTAGTAAGCAACAATGGCAATAGCGTTCAAAGGCACAAAGGAACGGAATGAAAGACATGCTCTAAAGCTTGTGGAAAACAAGGAAGACCAAACTCACATCAGGATTCACCCAGTAAATGGGGGCCAGGGGCAGCAGAGATGATATTACACAATTTGATTTTTTTTCCCCCTTTTTCTTCCATTTTTTCCCTTCTTTTCTCTGTGAACCTGTTACGCAATGGTTCCGTACATAAGTATCACTTACCTGCGTTGTACCCAAAATAGAAATGGCAAAGCTAATGAGGAAACAGGCCAAATGGAAACAAAACCCGGATCGACTCCACCGTCCATGTGAACCAGAGTCTGAAAACAAGACTGGCCGAGCCCTCGATTTGTACTCACCTGGTAATGTGCCCACGGATGGCTGACTGCTCTGCAGACCAGAATCACTCGGAGGGCCTGATGCGCGTGAAGAACAGCCGCGGGACCTGCGTGGCGACGTCTGGCTGGCTTCGCCAACCAGCCCAGATTGCACGGATGGCTGGGATGATCTCCATTCGGATACGCCAGTTCGAACGGTCACCCGCTAAGTCGTCGTCGTACTGCACCAGGTTAGCTTCCATCCAGTTGTCCATGTCCTCGTCGGCGACGATCTCGAGGTGGTCGTAATGGATACAGCACGAGGTTATGAACTCCTCCCGGTGCTCCGGGACCGTGCAAGGGGAGGCAATGTCCCACCGCAAGTGGAAATTATCCAACATAAAGACCATGCTTTCCGGTAGCCGGGGACGTGGTAGACCATTCGGGTCATCAGCGAGGAGGGGCGCGTACTGGTCGCCCAGTGTCCGCAAGTCTGCGAGGGCCTTGTCGATAGGGTTCTCGGGATCCTGGTTCTCGTCCGGGTCAAAGTACTTCATGAATACGTCAGCGTTGACCATGACCCGTGGCAGGATGTTACCCAAAACCAGACTCAGAGGAATGATCTTGTTCGCGTCGGCGGGAGGGGTCCGGCCCCCGTCCCGAAGACCGCCCATGTACACAAGATCCGCTCTGGTGGGATAGTACTGTGTAAGGCCGAGCATGCCCAGCCATCTGACCTTGGAGGTATCCCAGCTCTCAATCCTGTGGACCTCCCCACTGCTTTCGCTGCATGCGTCGATAAGGCCTGAGCGTGGGTTTGTCGTCGCGGCGAGGTAGTTCCCGTTCATGATGAACCGGTCAAAGGTCGTCACCGCCCCAGTGCCGGGTATGCCGAGGTGAACGTACATGAGACGAGGGTCGTCCATTGCGTGCTGCCAAATTATTATCCTCAGCTCTGCCGCCAGTTCAGAGAATCTGGGGAAGGTAGCATTGGACTGCTCTCCGGGAGGCGCCTGGGGCTGGGACATGGTGGAGCTTACCTGCTGGTTTGAAGTTGGTGTGAGGGAGTCCATTTCTTTCTCTTGTAAGCCTAGAAGTATGGTGGTCTTTGTCCCCGTTAAGTTCGGTCTGAAGCTGGTGTAATCAGTAATTCAAGAACATATTTATAGTCGTAGATGCTTGATATTTCGGGAAGGTGGGAATAAGTCAAAGACATTGTTATTTTCCTATTCACAGAACAATGCAGTTGTTTAGTCTTGTACTCAAGCCCCAACATCGCATATGTTGAGCAAGGCAGAATAAAAGAATACGACCCATGTGGAACAAACAGCCTACTTCAGCGTTATTAAAATTTAAGATCACTTTGTTTTCTGAATGATGCTCTAGTACATTTCATTATGATCTTGTATCCTCGCCCATAAAGTCCAATATTGCTCCAGATTTTGACATGGTGTGCTGCTAGTTTCTATTGTCTTGTCTGTAATCAGGGAGAAATGAACATACTGTCTCCTGGATGGAAATCGATTTCCAAAATCATGTACGGGGACCTTTGGTTAGTTGAAGACACTAATATATACGTGATTGCAACCCAAAGGAATGCTGGACAGAAGGCAGGGACCTCAGAGGCTATGTCTTATGAGCTGGTACGATCATACCGGGATGTTGAAAGACGATAGCTATAGGCTAATGGAACGAACTTATGTTGGATCTGATTTGTCCAAGTCGTGCTTGATCATCAAGCCCATTGCGGATTATAGAGTGGGACTCAGTGTATAGTGATCAATCGGACTGACCATCTGATCACGTTGCTGAATAAGACATTATATCTATGTTTGAAAGGGGGAAAAGTCTGCGCGCAAACATTTGTTGCGCTTGGTTCACACGGAAGACAGTTTACCTGCAGCTCCTTACAAGTGCCTCAAACTGACTGGCAGCCCCAATTGACTGACAGCCCCAATAAGTCACAATTCCCAACGACTCAACCAGCACCTTTTCGTATAGGCAAAGCAGCAAGTGACTCGGCTGAAATACCCAGAAGCCTCAAACATTCTGAAAATGTAATTCAGGGCATTGTTCGAAGAACGGAGTCTAGTGACGCACTTGGGAGACAGCAACCAGTCCCTCAGCAATCATGGGCTATAAATTGTCCCAGCCTTGAAGTTCCGACCTTCTTCTTTTCAAATTGTTAGATTGACATGACCCAGGTAATCCGCCACCTGAAATAACCCAGAAATCTTTGGTTCAAACGAACAATCAAGAAACGGCCAACTACCAAATCCACAACATTGTGAGACGAGCTATCCACACCATATCAGATGACCGAAGAGACCATCCCTCCCAGCATTACAGTTCACGAAGCCAACCCAACCAAGGTTATCAACGCGGTGATCAGGGCTATGGATACACTCCAGCAGACCGGAGGGCAGGCTGATCAAGTTACCTGGACGTCACAGTCAGCCTGGCCGTGGTACGGTTATCAGGACTATCCAGTGAACATTTCGGACCCTAGTCCAATTCCCATGCAGAACGCCAGAATGAATACACTCCATGAGGCACAGCGTCGGCGATAGTCCTTTCAACAAATTTGTCAAAACCCCCAGTATGTCGATCCACGTGCCACTTACTCCACGACCTCAACGGCGACGCAGACGCTTGATCCGCAGCAGGGAGCACATGACGGACAGCCTGGCGGAGCTGGCTCCAGTCAGGCACGGGCGGCGTCTGGTTCCCCCACGAGTTCGCGCAAACGTCCGCGCGAATCTTAATGGACTCCAGATTCATGAGAATGGATCAGCCATATAATCTCTGAAGATACCAGTTCTTCTCACGGCAAAAGCAGATCCATGACTGGGTACGTGGAAGGCATGGATGAGAAATCCTCAAAGCTGTTGAGACAGGTATGGCGATGAGACCACATGTGGAATCACAAGGGCGTCGTCTTGGACTTGAATTCTGAGGTTGAAATTCTGCTGATGCTGTCTTGGGAGGTTCATTGTTCTGGCGATGTCTCAGGGAGGGCTGTAATACGTTGCTTCAACTTTACAGTGGCTCAAGGTACTGCGTGCTCGTCTTCTAAGCAGACAAATAAACGTTGATGTTGACCATTTCAAAACCACAAGTGATTCCGGCTGTTGATTAGGAATCGGTAGACTCATAATACAGTCAAAAAGGGTGCCCAGATTCCACAATATCATGTGCTCTGTGCCATGTCACCACAGGAAAGCTGGCAAAAGGTTGTAATAAGGAGATCAGGACAGAACCTGGGATTCCTGTGACACATAACTCATACGGAGTATACGAAGTTGCGATAATCGAAGTTAAAAAGGAAGAGAAAACCGCCCAGAGAATGGCATTGGCAAAAGTGTGAGCAAATTGAAAAAGCATCATGCGTAGTTATCCTACAAAAGTGTTCCTCCCGGCCTTCAACCATCAATCCTAAATGGACTAGACTTCATAATTCTAAAGTGCTCGTCGACTTTCGGGAATCCGTCGGAGGATGACTGAATGTCTAGACGCGGTCACCGTCGTGATGATAGGCCAGCGATGCAGGGGCTCCAGAATCTGGAGGTCCGGATTGCTGAAGAAAGCGATGGGAATGGATTTGTTCCTCAAGTCTCTGCCTTTGTCGTGGCATCTGCCCGCTCAGAAAGGTTGGCTGGAAAATTCCCTATAGGGACATGTTCCTTTGTTTACACCCCAGCCGCCGGCCCTACTATGTGTCAATCACCTGCTGAGGAGCCTAGAGCGATGCATTCTGGAACACTGCAAAACCTGACAGATGGAGAACCGCGAAAGGAGAAGAATTGTACTCACATGTGAGGGCGGATATTGGTGGGATCGTTACAGTTGCCGTACCCAGCGTTGGCATTCCATCCCCATGGGGTGAATTGTTGGCCAGAAATGACATTGTCACTCGAATCACTCCTGGGGCCATCGAGGCAGCAGTAGTTGCGAACGAACGAAAGCGCAATTGCGATTTCTTTACCTTTGAGCTTGATCGGGTCCTTGTTATCCTGTAGAGGAGCATTAGCCTTTTTCTTCACTCTCTTTTCTGCTGCCTTCCGCGCAGAACTTGTTGAAATGAAACCTACGTTGCACACCCAGAGGGCGCTCGTATCATAACAGTGAACACGATTGCATTGCCCGCCGTCGATTGTGTAGTCCTCGTCCCTGAGGTCGTTGTCCATATCATAGACGAGGTCAATGAATTTGTGGTAGTCTGCCATGGCATATATGCCGCAGGTCGCCTTGCCTCTTCCGTGTCCCTTTTCCTGTCGCTCCATGAGCGACATGGTGCCATTGGTGTCGACGTCTTCGGTTGGCAACTCGGCGCGTGTCCCCGGGACTGCGGCCATGACTACCGCAGCCTTGAGAAGGAATACGGCGGTAATGTCGATTTTCATTGTGTCGAATATCGAACTGAATGAACAAATGATGATGATAGTTGTTGGTTGGGAATGTTGGTTTGTAGCTTTGGAAGTCCTATACTTGTTGCACAATACTAAGGGCTGCATCCACAATACCAGTCGGGTAGATTCCTGATATGATATACATGGTAGCCATCAGTTGCCAATGGTGCAAAGCCTCGCCTGGAGTCAAAGGCACGGCTCAACCATGTGCAACTGTCAATGATGGACACCAAAGGCTGCAGCCGCGAGGCGTCTTCCTTCGTCGATGACGTTTATCCGGACGGCACATCTATTATCACGGAATCCTATTCAAACCTGGAAAGAGTCTGATTTTCGCCACCAAAACAAATCTCGAGTTTCCGCCGAGGGTAGTTGTCGCGGACATGATGCATCTCAGCTTGACCGGGAGATCAGCTGGAACTTCGGATCTGAAATCAGCCCGTTCATAATCAACCGCCCACAGCTCCTCGTTCTAAGAAATAAATGAAAAGGACGCACCGTGCAACAATTTTGGATGATCAAGCTGGAACTAGCGCTGGGGGAAACAATCGAGATTAACAATGACCGGGAGGCCAATGTCGATTTTCCCGTATCCAAGGGCTCGAAATTGGAAGTGGCAGTCGAGTAGAACAAAGGGCCAACATCCAGTACGTCAGGGGAAAGAGTGCAGACCACTCTAGTCATCACCATTTTCGATGAACTCGGTAGCGTATGTCGGCCCGGAGTTCATCGATAATCCGTATGTGGCTTAGAGAAGATGACATACTCAAGTGAAGCCAGCAATTATGTAAGTGATCGGCTGACGTCGATTGATTCACGAGGTGTGCGAGACCTGTACCCAACTGGAGGAAGTCTCCACTCACGAAGCTATAGGTAATACTACGACCAATGTATGCTAGCCTTGCCGGAATTAATCGAGACGCCTCGTCCGAGCCCGTCTTCGAATCGGCTGCGGGATCAAGCACATAACCGAGAGGTGACGGCCCACTGAGGATAGATTGGCCCCACTGCTTTATAGATGGCTTCATCATCGATCCGCAAAGAAGCGACCACAGCATAGCTTTGCCGTGCACAGCCTCAGTCTCCGATTCCCCAAACAGCAGGCCAGCCTACGTGACGTAGTAATGCCTCGGCGGTCCCAGTCATCATGGCCACTATCTTAGGAACATAGCATACACATTACGTGCGACCAATGCTGGAACCACTCATGCTGGCTATGGAATTTGGACTTCAGGGCTTACGTTTTACGAGTCAGATATGAGCCCGGTGATCTCTGGTCCTCCTTTGAGGCCGCATGCCAGCATCTTTCCACATTGCTTGACCGAGGGGGCAAATGACTGGAATAACTCGTCTATTGGACCCTGATAGAGTTATAGGACTCGAGAAAATTCTTCTGAGTCGGAATTACGGTCTCTGAATCTATGCCGGAAATTCCCACCCCATGTGATGGTCATTAGCTGACCGTCAGATGATAGGCCAGACAGAGGGATAGTCTAACGCGCAGATATCGTTGAATGATGTGTACTAGCCTCGCGAATCTCTATTCTCCGTGCTGCCGACTGGATCCATAAATACATAGATGCCAGAGTAGACTACTTGTGTATGCATCTGTGCTTGTCTTATCTTCATCGCACACACACGCCCCATGAAACATTGTACACAGCCGTCGCATGAACATGAAGTTCGCTAATATTCACGACATCGCCATTATGGCATCCAGCGTGGCATTCGCAGCCGCAGAGGGGGCCACTCGCTTTGCCCCGGACACAAGTGGCTTGCAATACGATGATCCGGCACGCTTCCCTCATTAACTTTGATGGCAGCGCGCTAACTCGTGCTACCTACCTAACAAGGTGGCTTTACTGCCATCCCAATGGAATATTTCAGACTCGCAAAGTCTCTACACGGGAATTGCAAATTCATACTGGTCATCATCGTATATATCCGGCTCCGACGGGCACGAATATCTTGTTTTATCGCACGTACTCGCCACACCGGCTTTGAGTGTATATCGGGGGTCTTAAGTATTCTGGACATCACCGATTCTTCCTTCTTTCAGCAGTTCACTTCTTTCTGGAATGTATCTTCCCTGTGTGCCGGAAACAAGACTGCCCTTGATTTTGCACTGGGTGACGGCTTCTACTTTGGTCTTCCTTCTACTGATAAGCTGGGACCCATGACAACTTGGAACGGCGCGGAGAGTTTCTCGTACAATCTCACGTACGAACTTGCATCCGCATTGATTCTGAACGGTGGGGCTAGGAGTTTCTCTGGAGTGAGTCAAGTTGCACCTCTTTCCTACTTTCCCCCTTCGAAAAGCCAATTCGCTGACCTGCTGCCAGCAACGCCGACGCTCGTCAACGAATGGTCCATGCCAGCTGGGATAACCACCGGCACTATTACAAAGAACGGCACCGAAATCACCGTAGACACCGAAAAGCCCTTCACATGGTACGACCGCCAGTGGCAAGCAGGCCCTTCTACGAACTGGACCTGGTTGCAGCTGCACATCCAGACAGAGGACGAGGAAGACTTCTCGAGGCTCTCCATCTGGTTCTACCCTGCCGGTTGGGAAGGTGGTCCGGAGAAAGCATTCGCAACTATCCGCGAGCAAGCCGGTGTCCAAATCGTCTCTCCCGCCACGAAGGCCGACGGCTCCCGCCATTGGACCTCGCCTGTCTCGAATGTGACATATCCTCTGGACTGGACGCTTGAGTTGCAAGACGGCACCAGTCTCGAAGTGAGAAATATCCGTGACGATCAAGAGCTTGCGGACTCTGATGGCCTGTTTGTGACATACGAGGGGTTCGTGGAGGTGACGGGCACGACATCTTTGGGCAAAGCTATCAAGGGCTTCGGAGTCGTCGAGGTCCAGCCTCCTCAGAGCTCTTGACTCACCTGGGATAATGAAAACCGACTGAGTGGGGTTCAGGGGCTGGCTGGGCAATATTGCTATTCACACGGAGATTCGCACCTGCAAAGACGGAGGGTACACCGACACACCATTTACACCATAGCTGCAGCAAATTGAAGCATAGCACCCAGGTCTAATTCGCATACCTACACCCAACACTCATACACTCAACACCCATGTACCTAGCACCCGCATACCCAACACCTAGTGCTATTGGTCGGCATCCAATGTTGAAATTTCTTTCCTACTTGCTAAGAGATTTCACCCAACACGATGTTTCTCATTCTTGGCTGGCTGGTATTGGAAATCGACAAGGCAGTATAGTTAATATACCGCAGTGTGAATTGCACAGTGATTTTCTTGGAAAAATCTAATTTCTTGTCCATGTGTGAATGGCCCGGGAATGGTGCCCAGATGAAAGTCGCACGTTATCAACGCCATGTTTCGTATTTCCGCCCTATGGCAAACGCGCAGAATTGTTACCGAGATGAGTAATATCCGAACGGGCGTACAACACTGACGCGCCTTTGTTAGTTCATCATGTTATGAGTTTTGCCTGATGATAGTTAAATGCCTACGCGTCACGCTCCAGATGCAGTTATTATAAGCTGGCCTGGGGATTCCTGCCCAGTCCAAGGCAGTCCAACTCGTACAGAAGAGCGGCGATACTTTGTTTCATTCCTTCATTCTAGATCAAACCTCCATTCTCAGCCGACATGATCCCTACTTTCGACATGCGGCTGCTACTGGCTCTCCTGACCTTCATCTTCTTCGCGGAGGCGGGTTTCATCCAGGTCTACAGCCCCTCAGGCCCCAAAGTTCGCCTCAAGGTCGTTTTCAACACCAATGAAGAGCGGTACCTAAAGAGAGATCGAGCGAACGCTCGGATAGTGACCACGACGAGTCAACAATCGGCTACCGTCTTCACATATGACACAGGTCCGCAGAACGCCGCCTTCTTCGAAGCTGATACAACGGCGCTCCCTTCAGGTTGGCAGCTATTGTGGTACGACAAGAGTCTTGAGGCAGATCTCTTTCATTCGGCGGAATCGTTCACCGTACTCAATCCACCTTCCAACTCCGGCCTTACACCTCTGCGCTGTACACCCCGAACAGCGGGAAGCAATACACTGATATGCCAACATGCGCGATTTACCATTGTATCATTTTGTATTGCGTCGCAATCTGATGGCTCCCTCTTGTCTCTCTACAACCCTGCCATCTACACCATTGATCAGGTCTGTGGGCCCGGTGGCACTGCAATCACATCCATCAAGCTTGAATACGTCGTCGATCCTGTTACTACGACGTCTAGCAGTAGCAGCAGCTCGTCATCCAGAAGCACCACCAGCAGCAGCAGCTTACCTACATCTTCCTCGGTGTACACTCCTGTGGGCCCCAGAATCCGTGTCAAGGCCATTACTGATACTAATACGGAGCTTTATTTGGAGCGTTCAACCTTGATCACGATAACCGACTATTTTACACCAACAAGTGATGCACAATTAGCAGCAGTCTTCACATACGACAAAGGCAGAACGGATTACCTCTTCCTACCTGTGACAACCTCCCCATCAGGATGGCGGCTGCTCTACTATGGCAAAGGCCCTAGCACATCTTGGATTCCTGCACAAGACTCTGCTAGTATACTGTCGTCTATACAGAGCAGTACTCAAATCAGAGGATGGGCCTGCACCACCTCAGTGGGAACGGATGAATTGGTTTGCGGAGACCAGACCAGTCCTCGAGGCTACTGTTTTCTTGGAGGCTCTCCCCGTCGGTTGTATACCTACCTCAAAACCTCGTCCCCATCTCCTTGCGGAACAAATAACATCACAATCACATCATTCAGACTTGAAAATGTCGACGTTGTTATAACAACCACTAGCAGCAGCAGTACTAGCAGTAGCAGCTCTTCCTCGTCGTCGAGCAGCAGCAGCAGCAGCAGCACGTCCAGCTCCAGTTCGACTACCGTCCCGCAAACCACAAGCAGCAGTTCATCCAGCTCCAGTTCGAGTACTTCCGTAAAGACTACAAGCAGCAGCCCTTCCAGATCCAGTTCGACTACCGTCCCGCAAACCACAAGCAGCAGTTCATCCAGCTCCGGCTCGAGTACGGCCCTAACAAGTGCCACCTCTCAATCGACATCTTCAGAGGGACCTAGGAGTACAAGTACCGGATCCGCATCTGATCAACCCACAAGTACCAGCTCTAAATCAACACATTCGGAAGAACTAAGGGTTATGAGTACCGAATCCACGTCTGGGAAGTCCTTGATTACTACTTCCGAATCATCGTCCGCAAAACCGACAAGTACCAGCTCCGTGTCAACCTCGTCTAAAGGGCCCACAGGTACCAGCGTCGAATCGATATCTTCGGAAGGACCAACGAGCACGAGCTCCCAATCCGCGTCACAAGCCACAGGCACGAGCTCTGGATCGACTTCGTCTGAACAGCCCACAAGTACAAGCTTCGAGTCCACGTCCTCCCAAGAGCCTACCACCATTAGGTCTCAATCGACATCTTCAGAAGGGCCAAGGAGTGCAAGCACCGAATCGACGTTTTCGGAAGTATCCACAAGTACGAGTGCTCGTTACACGTCTGAAATGCCCACGAGTACCAGTTCTGAATCATCGTCTTCGGAAGAATCAACAAGTTCAAGCTCCGAATCCGTGGCCGAAAGCATAGGCACGAGCTCCGAATCGGCTTCGGTTAAAGAACCTACGCGTACGAGCTCCCAACCAACGTCCTCTGAGCCAACGTCCTCTGAGCCGACGTCCTCTGAGCCAGCGTCCTCTGAGCCAATGTCCTCTAAGGAGCCCACCAGTACGAGTTCTGAGTCAAAATTTGCAGATTCTAGAAGTTCAAGCTCCCAGTCAACGTCATTCAAGTCAATGTTCTCCGAAGAGACTACCAGCAGTAGCACTGAGTTCGCGTCGACTGAAGGGCCCAGTAGGACGAGCTCTGAGTCAACATCTGTAGAGTCTAGAAGCACTAGCTCCGAGCCAACGTCCTCTGAAGAGCCAAAGAGCCTGAGAAGAAGCTCTGATTCAGCGTCTTCGGAAGAATCAACGAGTAGTCGCTCTACTTCCTCCTCATTCGCCACCAACAGCTCATTTCTTCCGGGTGGTCAAGCATCTACCAGCTCGGTAGTGCTTGAGGTTCCACTGACCTCCGAGTCATCCACCATCCAAGAGCCTACTTTATCGGCTCAGACTCTATCTCCATTCGGGGCATCTACAACAACAGGATCTTCTACGTCTTTGAGTTCGCCATCCTTGATTGTCCCCTCATTATCCGCAAGAACTCAGAGTACGGGGACCAGTCTCACGTCACAAAGTCGAACTATCGTCTCTGACAAGTCCACCCAGTCTTCTACATATTACACATTGGAATCGTCTACGACCTTGGATACTCGCCAATCTTCAAGCTGGGTTGAGTCGAAATCCTCATTTCAAACCTCACAGGGAGATCGGCAAACGTCTTCTTCGAGCGCTCAGCCTACACCCAATCCCGGGTCGCAAAGCTCAAGGGGAAACAGTGAAAGCTCTTCGTCAAGCCTACGTCATTCTACAGCCCAGCCTACATTGTCTGAAACCCAATATTCGTCTGAACGTGAATCCGGCTTTTCAGCTACGGAAAGAAGCTCAACCGTGTCTCTTGCAGCGGCATCAAGTACCCCACCAGATGAGTCGAGTTTGAATCCTACTTCAAATGACACGAGTAGCAGTCGCTCAAGTTTAAGTCAGGCTGTCACAACCCAGATCACAACGTCTAGTGAGATGCCCTTAGATACATCCAAGACGAGCCTTGTTTCAACACCCTCGAGCGCGGATCGTCCCAGCAACTCGCTATCCAGTATACCAATCGCAACCAGCTCGTCAAGCCTAGAACAGGCGTATACTTTATCGGCGTCAGGCAGCTCAAATTTGCCGATTGCCAATTCGCAAAGTCTCATGGGAACTACGAGTAGTGACCATGGCACTTCACGCCCGGGTGATATCGCGAGAACAAGTCAGCCTGTATCCTCCGGCGTGTCCTCAAATTCTAGCCAGACGCTTAACTCCGTTTCCTTTCCAATACTATCAAGCGCTTCGAGTTCTTCGTTGCCGTCTATTTTCAGCCAACAAACAGTCGCGACGCCTGCCAGCTTCAGCAGCTCAAGTCTTACCACACCACGGCTAGCCCCAACTCAAGTGACGAACACGTTTGTGAACAGCCTATCGACAGTTTCCCTGACGTCTCGTCAATCAAGCCAGTCGACCTCAGCTTTGCCTCCAGCTACTTCGGCCATGGAAACCATAGGAATCGAGATAATCTTTGTCGTACTAGTTTTTACGGTCTTGGAGCCCCGAGATTTATTGTATCGGAGACAAGGTGAGTCGACTTCGTATAGACCATTTCTTTTTTGGCATTGGCACTAAGTTGACTGATTGACGTTCACAGATGCAAATGAGCTTACCACACAGACTGTGAGTATCTTGCATCGGGACATTTATACCGCAGCTGTTCCAGGACAGCCCTACTACCCAGCTGTTATTGGCTACCCGGCACCAGGCGAGATGTTGACCGTCACAACTGTAAGGAAAATGTCTTCTATGATCTGTTCATGCACTGAAACTTGGACTGCATGATGCTGACAATCCAGGTTTCCACGCTCAACGCCCCTCCAGATCCAACCCCGAAGTTCACCTATCAGCTCTGCAGCGACTGTGCGCCGATATTTGTCATCCGGGCAGTACCCGGCTATATCCCTGGCGCATGCAACGGATGCATACTCGACGCGGTATTTGACCTGTCCAGTAGTACTTTGGACGTGTCAAGCAGCACCAGTACCGGGAGTGCTTCGAGCAGCACGGCTGGTCTCCTCGTCAGCTCCGTAGACGCTTCTTCAACCCTCATCCCAGGTCTCACAAGCTCCCAGTCTACAGGCTCCAGCTTCACAGTCACAAGCGCTTCGGGTCGAAGTGATGTTGTCGACGCCACCACGATGCCCGCCGCTAGTGGTGGTGGGTTGGTAACCGTCGTTACTGGCACTGAGACTCTGACCGAGACGATTACAAGCACGCTCTACCTTGCAGCTTCACCCGAAAATGGTGATCAATTTGGCAGGGTGGTCACCACATGCTACCCAGTGACGACGTGCTCTGAATTTACAGCCACGTTGACAATACCCCCGGAGTCATGCACGACCTACACTACCACGAATGAGGTCGATAACAAGGTTGAGACGTGCACCGAGCAGGTCCCATGGTGGACACCCTCTTTCCAGAGGCCAACGCAATCATCTGCTGCAGAATCTCAAGGTTCGGTAGCAAATACTCCGGGTTCTCCAAGCCCTCCAAGCCTAGATCCGGGGGCGGAAAATCTCGCAGAGCCAGACGCAGGAAACAATGCCCCGCCTCAGCCAGGGGACAAGATCTTCGCGTCTCCAGGAACGCGACCCAACAACCTAGCCACTCCTTATTCCAACGTATCTCAGTCCGGCGAGGAAGTCAATGACAATGGGCCAACGAGTGGAAACCCAGGGTTCATTGTCGAGCCGGCACAGTCACCAAAAGAACACGATTTCAGCCCAGGTGGCAAAAACATCGACCCCCAGAAACAAAGTCCCAGCTCTGTTCCAGATGCACCGTCTGGAGTAGCCATTGGAATTGGGGACACGACTTCTGATGCAAGTGACGAGCGAGCTGGCAGTGGTACTACCCCTGCAGTGGCTCAAGCGATTGGTTGCAGGGCGAGAAGGACGACTGCGACAGAAGCATTGCTTGTTGTTGTCGGGATTACTTTGCTTCTGGTGTATCTATAGAAAAATGTGTGGTAAAAACTACATCTCTCTAGCAGCGATTGGAATACATTCCCTCCACAATGCTGACAAACTCATACGAGCGTCACCGAATCGTCCTCCAATCAAGTTGGGCTCTTGCCGCAAGCGTATGCAGGTGTAGATGGATTATCCTTGCGCACGGGACGTCCGACCGCGCCGTTGTTGTTGGGCGGGAATCGTGGTGGAGCATCCCACTCCGGGCGACAATGGCTCTGTCAAATCGCTTATTGGTATCAAACGTGGCAGAATGAGACGCAGAAAGGACGCAATTGAAAAACCTGTTACGTAGCCGGGAAGGCAAGGCAAGGCAAGGTTTGAGCTCCTTCTTGTCGTGGACGAGACCCACAAAGACCTTCACCGGTCAGATTTAGGACCGACCCGGAGATGCACATGATGGAAAGAGGCATGCGTTCAGCTATATGCAGCAGACCCGAAACGGAAGTTTACGTACGCGCTCCGCGGATATTCATGCTCCATGCCCATGTCTCAAAGCACTGGAGGAGCATTGGGGCAAGAACAGCATCTCCTCGTTCAGCTCTGGGACGGGTCCGTGTTACCTGTCACATCCGGGTACAAACCTCGGCTATCGGGCCAGGGAAAACATGTTTTCCCTGCGCTGACGACATGCGAAGTGTCGTGGGGGAGCAATGAGCTTCATTTTGATGCCTGCAGCATCGCGATTGTGTGCAGATCACTACGCTATCATGCATGCATCGTGGTGTCCTGTCCATTGGCCAAGTATCAGTGTAGAAACCCTCCGCAATCTGGTGTTACTGTGTAGCTCACCGCTCGGCGGCTGCTTCGCACGCGTTCTGGCAGGTAGTGCGACGATAGTACGGTTGCCAGGTTTTATTTGCCCGCGTCGCCCACGAGCCCGAAGCGCCGAAAGTCCCCATTCAACCTGCTACACAAGTCAGACGAGCTTCCAAGGCACGCCAGAGAAAAAGGACAACATCCTGCGAGGCTAAGAGCGGATCCGCGGACAAGCCAAGCCACTTCTATCCGCTGACAGAAGTGCCGATTTCACGACGCTACGGTGAAGAAAGCCACCCCGAGCACGACAGCGGTCCGAAGTGCATAGGCGCATGCAGAGTTGTGAGACAGGGACCCTCGTTCAGCCCTTCGTACGGGTGCCGGTGAAGAAACAATCCTGGCCTTGTGTCACCCATACTTTCTTCGCTAAAGTTTCTCCGACACCCGCCCATGTCATTTCTCGCAAAGCTGGACCGAACGGTGGCTAGCCTCAACACGGGTCCCCGCAGGATCGTAGCGAGGAACATTTCACTTAATTTCGAAGCCGTGCAAGGCACAGCTTCCTGGGTATTGCGACCAACAGGCCGTCGGCTAAGGACCTGTCGATGTTCACGCCTGAGGTACAACGGCACGTGCTCGCAATTCCACCGGCAACCCAAGCCTTATTTGTGAGACATTTAGATCTAATGATGGTGTGACGCATTGCTTGTCAATCTTGGGGCCCTAGCTGTCGGAATCTTAGTATTCAATCGTTCGCGTCTCACCGCCCCTCAACCGCCTTTTTGGAGACAGCCTTGTATAACCCGGAAAGAAAAAAGGGCCCGAGACATTGGGGTCACATCCCCGGGCTTTACAGTTGTAATTGGTCGTGTAGGACGCGGTCACCTTTGAATCTATCAAGCCCTCTGCATCGCGGCACACTTGATGCACTGCCATGCATGTCTTTTCTGGCAGTGTTCGACCAGATCTTCAATGAGCTCAGCCGAATGACCTTGGATCTACAGATTGCTCTCCATCGAACCTTGCCTAGGAAAGATCGACACATTCAATGGAGTGGGGTTTTTTGTTGTTTCTTACGTTGTCGGATAAGGAGCATCAAAAAAGTTGATGCATCATTTCAACATGTGGGCACCATGTTGGTATCGTGAACCGAACATGCCCCCTCAGCCAGCCATCTGAAGCACTTTTTAAGCGAAAGCTGAGAAACTAACAAGGATTTAGACGAGAGAACTGCTGACAGATTGACTACTGGCTGGAGTTTTGAGGCCTGATCGGCTAAGCGAGCTGAAGAATCCATCTTGCGAATCAAGGTGGATTCCATCCTTATTTCCGGTAGCAAGGCAACCCGCCCGGGCAATACGCACGTGGCAAGACAATCCCAACGATGCTAGCCATGCAGGTGATCCTGCCATCCATGCGCCTTACCCAAAGTCGCCTACCCAGCCGGGAGATAACCGAGCATCTCGGACAGACTGGGCTGAATCGATGCCCAAAGGAAAAGTGGATTTGGACCTGAGACAGGACAACCTGTTGACAGGCACTTCCTGGTCCCGCGGTAACAAGAATAGACATGGCTTGCTTCTTGCAAAATTTTGGTGTAGGGAGTCGGCCAAGAACAACTTTGCTTGGGATGTACAGATGGCTGTCACCGGTGTGGATGCAGACGTCCCAATACTGCTGCCAAAGACAGAATTGGGATGCTCAGCGAGCCGTCGTGGGGTACGCCATCAGCTACCCCCACGCCGGTTCGTCAACAGTCGAGGAGGTATAAGAAACTGCGAGAGTCCACGGCGACTTTACATTGCTCGCTGATGGGTTCGAATCATCTCTGCTCAGCCGACAATCTCATAGGACAGCTCAAGGCAGTCCTCTCAATCTGATCCCTTCTTCCATGAATCGTTATTAAAAACCAGGACCAAGAACAGGATTTTGCCTGTCACCTGTGTATCATGATCATGGACGGGTATGTGACCCAATCCTGCAATTTCCTCTGACAGCGCGCTGAAACCCGACAAAGCAAGGCACCTTCGTCCAACGCCTCTCGTATTGGCACCTCCACGTCGCAGACCCACGATCTTGCTTCAACACGTACACAAAGCTTTGTCCAAGAGCCCCCTCAGAATGGCAACACCCTTGCAACACTGCCGTACCAAACCACCAACGTGGATGCCAGACGCCGAGAGATGAAGGTGAAGATGATGGATTATATAGCCGGCTTCGACGACGACTTCCATCGATAGAGATCAAATTGCAGTGGGTCGAGACATGATCCATTTCAAACGCGGGTTTGTTCGGGACTGGTGATATTTCAATGGCGTCGATGCTAGCATCAGATCTGGACCGGAAGGCGAAGTTGTAAATAGAAGAGTATTCGGCGCAATCAGCTTTTTTCGATCCGATAGATCTGCAAGAATATGGATTCACTCAACACCGGACACCCAGCCCAGTCTTGTTCTATTATTCGTAATAGTCATCGTAGTCTCATCCCTTATCCTTGATCTACTAGTACATCTGCCATTTTCGCCCAGTGAACTTCTTTCAATGGAAACCTTTGCTTACTGGGACCGAATCTCGGTGATAATCCTGCAAGAGTGGTCATCAGATGAGTTGGTAATTGGGTTGTCCCAAAACTATATGGTCATTAGAGCGAGTATGACTAGCGACTAACTATGCCAAGGACGTCGTCCACGACTTCACTATCGGTCTCCTCCAAGTCGAGATGGCCTGTAATCCGTTCGGACCGAAGCCGGACCCATTGGTTGGTAGCAAGGAATGGCCAGAGTAAAGTGACATACTGGCTCTTCCCAGTTCTACGGCAGTCTCATACACATATCACTCCAATGGTCAGCTCACGTTCCTCTCGCCATGCCAGTCTGCGAGAAATTTGACTTGCGGCACGCCGAGCGCGAGGGGGCTCTCGGTGTTTCCACCTGCTATCCGCCATGCCAAAGTCATCATCCCAATGCGTGGCACACTTTCCAACTCTAAACTACATGCTCACGATGTGGACCCACCAGCCAATCGTGAATCTTGAGTAATTGCTCAAAGTGAGGGGGAAAAGAAAAGGCATTTCATTGGACCACTTTCATGATAACTTGATCTGAAAGTGGTGTTACCATGGGCTGCTGAAGGCACCAAAATTCAAAGAAAGGACGTTAGACTCCCAGGTGAAATGCTTTGAAATTGAGCGAATATTACCAACCAAAACGTAATTTCGACCCGAAGGATCTCAAGACCCGATTCCTATTCCACGAAACTCCGGTCGCAACTCAGATGAGAAGCTGATTGATTCTGTTACACCAAGCGGGGTTGTACAACGAGCTCCTCAGCGATTTTCCCTAGGCGCAAGATCGACTAGCCTAACCCGGCCAAAGCCGGCCAAGGTACATCGGCCAGGCTGCATGGGAGCTATCCTTTTGAACGCCTGTTTGTAGCCGTCCTCTGAACTGTACAACAACAGGGCGTGGTGCCTGTTGCAGTTCGGCGACGCTGCCATGCGTAATAGCAACCCCCGTGTCTCTGTGAAGCCACCCCATCATCCTTGTCAGGGCCAAGCAAAGCCCCGACCTCACCCTGCGGGTGCGACCGAGCCGGAACGGCACATGACGGTGCCGCTAGCTCGTCACGCACAGCCGTGGCCGAGCTCTCCGCAGTCACTGCAAAGGAAAGGAGTCGGAAATTACCGAAGAAAGGCAGAAGTTACCTTTACCGGCTTCCGCTTTCGCTGTCACTCCTACATGAACGCACAGGGATAAGACAGTCGGATGCATCACCCGGTGCCCGTTCCTTGGTCTCGAGCCCAGTCGTGTGGCACGACAGGCGGCACAGGTCCAGGGGACTCGCTATAGGAAACGCCGGCACCTGTGGCCATTAGATGATGGACCAAGATGTGAGACAGACCATTTCTAGTCTGTTTTTTTTTTTTGGCAGCCTACACGCCGTCCTGGCCCGGGTGGGGCTGCGCACCAACCCGCGCTCACATCTCGTCATAGTGCTGGGTGACAGACCGAAACCTAGCCGTTGACAGGTCTCGGGGAGCCAGCCGGCCCCCTCGGAACCAAGGCCACGCATATTGTTCATGAAATCGTGTCTCCGATCTGGTTACACAGATCTCGTATCACACTCGGCTTTTTGCTTGTTCCAAGTGGATACCTCTCCCAGCAGCCGGTCAAGTTTGCTTATCAACCGGAGGAAAAAGCAAAGGCTTCGCTAAGGGAGCCAATAGTTCAGGATTGTTCTGTGATCGGCCTCGCGAGCACATGCCAATCCGGAACCGTTCGATAATTCTGCCGCCCGGTTCGTCTCTGGCTGGAAACGTGCGCAAGGCCCGCAAGGAAAAAAGAAAGACAAGAGATCCTCCATCGCTTTCTGAGATCCTATGAGACAGGTCATTTTTCCAGTCATCTTTGGTCTGTCAGAGCACGGCCCTTCTGATCCAAGACAATTTGGATGGCCGGCATTCGTTGACGATTCTCATGCTGATCGTGTGAGATCACGCTGCATACAATGTAGACAACTATCTTTCCCCAATTGATCTGACTTGTCACAAGACGAGCGGTTCACACAAAATTTGTCTCGCGGCTATCGCGGAATCACCAGCAACGATCCGCGCATGGTGCATAAATCGCGGGCTAGATTCGGCCATCAGGCGAGGCTGCGGCCAATCACACAGTGTGATCCCTGCATGGATGCGACTAGCGTCTCAGCCTCGTGTAAGTGCGGAGGAGCCGAGTCGCATCAAGCCCAGGTCTCATGCGCCGTACGACTCGAGAAAAGCCACCGTGATCTGCCACGCGATGAAAAGGCGATGACGCAGGAACATTTCAGGAGCATGGAGCCAATTCAATTCGATGCACGAATCCCAATCCCTGGAAGCGAGTGGTCTGTGCTGGCTTGTGGCCTCCCTGCAGAGAGAACTCCTCTGCCTGCTTCGCCCCGGGTTCTGGAAGTCGCCATAAGACAGGACTCATCTCGATCGTTCATCAAATTATTGGCCTGGCTTTGCCTGCTGGCGAGGAGGGCGACCCTCAGCTGCAGTTGCCTGTGCGGGCCTGCATTATCGCCTGGGCCGTCGGATGACCAAGAAGTGCACATTTCTGCCCCTGAGATACACCACGCTAACCCTGAAGCTCGAATCAGCCGATACAGAGGGCATCCCAGTCCATTCACGGACAGCAGCCGGCCGTTGCATTCTGTCGACTTTGGTATGCAAGATGAGGCCAGTGAGTCATTGCCGTGGACGAGGCAAGCGACATCAACTAAGCCCTGGCCGGCCTGTCCAGCTGGGGCGGAAATTGCGTGCCTCCTTGGCAATCTCCTTCATCAATGATGTTGCTGCGGAGACGTGGCATGCGGTTGCACAACATGATTAGGTGCAGTGCAGTCGTAGCAAGAGAGCAGACCTGCTACCGTGGCCGGACTGCCTACAATCGACCGGAATGGGTCACCGAGAGATAATCCACGTCGCTTTTGGTTCCAAAGACGTGAAATAGAGTCCTCGTTTTGCTTTTCCCCAACACTGACGGAAATGAGGCGAGCCATGATTCCGCCGGCATCATGGCCGAAACCACCACCCATTCGCTTCTGCTGCGCCGCAACTGCTGCATGTCGGCCGCAATCCGGAGCCTAGACCTTTGTAATTCGTACAGCTTGGTCCAGGCTGGACCATGCAGCTTGTGCCATCGGTCGCTCTCTTAATCTTGCAGACCATCAAGTCTGTTCGTTGATCTTTTCGGCTCTGCCAGCCGCCACTATCTTGAACGGGCAGATGTTAAGCATCCCCGACCACCCGAGATTGGACCTCGCGGATCTGGTCTATCTGTTGATACTTGAGCTAGTACTGAAAACGTATCTTAATCATAATGTTCCGAATAGCGAGAGGGGACGTTAAAAGCGTGCCTGCTTCACCACAAACACTTGCTGCAGCCGATTGGCACGCACACAGCCTGTGCGACCAACCTCCTCTTCCCACGCAACAGACCTGGTGTCGGATTTAACGCGCGAGAATGCGTGGGGGCAAAGAACGGACAAGGCTGTCCAGTCAGCCCATCCAACGGCGCCGATTCGCCTGACCACAATGCCTTGCCCCAGCGCGTCTTTGCCTTGAACGTGGATAGAGCACAAGGACAATGGTCAGTAGAAGGGGGAGATCGCAGGTCATCGGCGAGTCAGCTCTTTGTTCCACCTGAGACATCGAGGTGTCCGCGTCAGCTGCCAGCTGCATCTAGGCGCGGGTGGCTGCGGCGTTGTTGGCGCCATCGGCCGGTGAGCCCGCACTCGACAGCCACACCTGCGCAGCTTTCTCAACCACAAGAACCTCCCCCCTGTGGGGGAAAAGCCATCTGCTGCCCGCAATGCAAGGCCCGACATTTAAACGGGCCCTTTCCGTCATTTGGGTTGAAAATCTCTTCAGCACGGGTTGCTGCACGATCTTGCAATGCATGTCTTGACGCATCCTCACAACCAACCATGTCGGTCACACGCGTTCTTCGGTGTACCCCCAAGTGGTTTCGAAAGTGCAGGATATGGTTTCCGGGGCTGTCTATCACCGTTCAACGAGGGAGGGGCCCGACTTCGACCGGGCATCCCTGCTCATCACAAATCCCCGTGTGGCTGTCTCTGATGACATTCGAGCGGTACAAATTTGCCGAAGGATCGCTGCAGCTGTGGAAGTCACAGTATGATCCCAGTCGTGGACGGAGGCCGGGAGGATCAAGGTCAGTGTCATGAAAAGAGGAGAGGCGACGATGAGGGGCGCAACGTAGACCACGTAGAGCATCTATCGGGGCACCGCAGTGTAGCCCCGAGGCTATGTTCTTGGCTCCACCGCCCTCTTCCTCCAACTCCCACCTGCCAGCCCCTGAGACAGTGCCCATGCATGCGTTTCTTGTCTCAGTCCCTTTGCGTGGCCGTTTTTATTTAACACGCGCTTGCCTGTTTCTGTCTCGGTTGTTTCCCTTTCGGTCGATGTACCCCACGCTGAGTTTGGTTCGATCTTCGGCAGGCGTCATGACACGAAAATCATCCCTCCTCGATAGGATGATAGAGTAGCACAAAGAAGCAAGGCCCTCGAGGCTTTCTCCACAGGTGCTTTGACTCGATCTACAGCATCTGATGTGTCGAACTGTCAGATGTCAGATCTGAGATGTCGTAAACGGCCGGCTAGGAAAGTTCGCAGCGTCCCCTAGGCGTTCCTTCAAATTCGTACGACAGGACTCGACAGGGAAGGGGGCTTTTCCACCTCGAGACAGCTCACCAAACTGCTGTCCAGTGACATTGGAGAGGCGGCCATGGCGGACCACGTTGTTCGAGGTCTTCATTGGTCGGGTTCAATGCTCAGTTCGGCCTGTCTTGCGGTTTCCTGAGAAAAAGCAAGCAAGCAACGGAATACCCTGCAACAACGTGGGTTGGGCATTCACGACGGAGCCGTAGTCCGGCCAAGAGTGAACGAGGAAATCGAGATTGACAGGAAAGACTCTGCTGTATAAAGATCTGTTCCTCTCCGTCGAACTCTTCTTCCTCCTGCGAGTCCAGGAAAACTGCACCGACGCCTCAATTGGGTGCATTACGTTGATCTATCATACATTCTCAACGCAAGACAAGAGAGAGACAACGGCAGTGTGACCATGCAAAGGTTCGCCCCCATCACTCCGCTGGAAACGGCTGGCGGTGCAGGTGCTGACCACGAGCAGAGCAGAACCGTCTCAGACCCGCGTCGACTCGGCAGCAAAAAGCGGCGCCCTCCCGTCCGACCGCCTAGAAGCCTTCCTCCGAGAGCCCGCCAGAGAGGGCAATATCCTCATCATACTACCGGACTGCACGCCCAGCGTCAAGATCAACCGCAAGGAGAAGAGGGTCTCAGTGCGTGAGAAGGTCAGGGCCTTTGATCAGCAATACCGACAGTAGCGCTGAGAGGCGGAGGTTAGGTGCTTTCTGGTACGTCCCCATCTGCCCACTTGGTGCTGTCACACAGTTTTCCCCGAAGCCCCCGAAATCCCCCCAGTCCCCGTCATTCCTCCATTTAATCGGATCGCTGACAAGGACTCAGTTGAAAAGGGTCCGTCACGAATGTTGCGCTTGTATAATCTTGTAAGCTAGAGTAGAGAGAATATGATGTTTTCGCCTGCACTACCAAAGTGTACATGCTTTCCTCGACAAAAACCCTCTCTACAATTGTGAGCCGTGGACGTGATCTGCCCCTGGATACCACTCTATCTAGAATATGTCGTTGAATCACATCTTGCTCGAGATTCAAGTCTCTGAATCCGATAGTCTTCATGAACTTGATGTGTGGGCGCTGTGAGGCCGCCACCCCACGTTTGATGACCAGTCTGGTCTTCCCTCGTCCTCTGGTTGTCCTACTGTCAGCTGACTGACGTTTGTCATCTCTCGCCTCGTGACACCTTATATCTGCTCCTGCGAATGTCAATGCCAGGCGCGAGTGGACTGGCTGGTGTCCCGGCTGACAGTGTTGCACAGGAGCGGGGTTCAATGGCAAGCAAAATCCTCAGCTCGTTGGAGAATCCCTCAATATACCGAAGCAGACAGCGAGGCTCCCAGATGGCCGGAGGAAGTCCGGAGAGGTCGGCACCGAATTTCACCCGTTGACCAAGTACGTGTCAGGAATGGTTGCGCACGAGTCTGAGAGCGCGGTTCGTCCAAAATGTATTCTGCACATTTGACACTTGACCGGTCTAGCAGTGTAGCCCTGTCTTAGAAGACCTCCTAAATTTACCAGCGGGACTAAGAAACTATCCACAGGGTGAACAACGGGGACGATGTCTCCCTTCTATGATGTCGCACAGCAGAATCCCGCTAATTTCTCGTTCGCCAATGACGGACTCTATCAAGAGCTGTCATACCTAATTTCAAGGCTGCCTAGGCCGCCGTTGCCAACCTCGCCGAGCACCCCACCTCTTCGCACTGGCAGTAGGGTCTAGGCCCAAGATGCTGTTGCACATTGCTGTTATCTCGTGTGACACGTTCAGGTACCAACGGCGGCACACCTCATCATGGCTAGGCCGACAGCAAATTCTGATGAAACAGAGATCCATAATTCCGAGGTAAAACAGAGATGCAAATACATTGGAAGAGGCCGACTCGAATGATGAATCCCCCTCGTTCGTCCACAACAAAAGATTCACTCGGTTGGGATTCTTTGATATCGCATCAGGATGGAGCCCTGGAGCCGCATGAACAGTGAGCGGCATCTGGCCCAGGTCGAAGCCAATAGGAGCGGCCGGGTCTTCCCCGACCCCTGCATTCGGGTACAGTACACGGCTTGCGTAGGATTAAGGTTTAAGCAGCGACCCCATCAGGAAGGTGATCGAGTGGCTAGGAGTGAATATGCCTGCTGCTGAAGCAATGGACTAGGGTCCCCCGAAGGATCCATTGCAATAGTGGGTCTATATCCGGTGTGTGTGGCGCGAGATGATCTCAACACATTCTGACAGGAGGGTAATCAAGCCGCATGCCTGTGTCACTTTCATCTACGTGAACCTGGCCAGTTACTGCAATCCCAACAAAACGAGAGCCCTGGAAATCAGGATTCCGCCACGCTTCGAGGTAATGGCCCTACGCACGACGAATACGGCTCTACGCGAGTGGCATCCAGCACCTATTAATCACTGCACATTCGTGAATTGTGGCCAGAATCAAACAGAGATCACCTGGGTTTCATGACCAGTCACCAATGCGCATGTCAGGCATGACATTGTTTGATTTTGAGAAGGCAATTTTTGATTTATTGTGACCCTTGAGGGCAAATCAGTCGCGGTTGAAGTGTTGGTGCCTAGCTATCATGAGATTTGCTGCCCAGATAGGTTTGTTCCACGCGGCGGCTTTTCGCGGTTGTGAATGCAGGGAGAATGTGGTGATGAGTCCCAACGAATACGTGCCCCCACCTCTTAGCGCGAAAAATATCATCGACCTGTTCTACCTCGTTGGCAGGTTTTGCCGGTTTGAAAATAGCATTTCCTGTCCGCCCAGCGCGGCTGTGACAGGTGACCAATCACACACGATGACTGCGGAGCACTGGCCAGTGGGCGAAGGCTCAGCCTCGTCTAAGTCATTGGACCCGAACCCGGCCCTCGCCTCTGCTTTGAATTAGGCAGGTCTGCATAACTAGCGCCGCATAACCGAATCCGACACTTGCGGCATGTCGTCCGTAGCCTGTGGCGGGGGACGGGTAGACCGTCTCCTAGGGAATGAAGCTCAAGTGTGGGAACAAGCGTGCTGGCAACGCTGGCCGTTGGAGTAAGGATTGGACGAACGAGATACTTTACCGAGGCCGTTATATCATCCTTTCAAGGCGGAAAATGAAAGACAGGTTCTCTGTTTTCCAGGAGGATCTCATTGGTGGCAGGAACTGATGATGGGGCAAGCCCGCTTGGGTAGAGCAGAGATTTGCCGAGCTGCTCAAGAAATGACCACCTCACATACGGGCTCAAATAGTGCTAAGATGATTTTAACGCAGGAGAGATTAACAGGACTTTATCGATAAATATTTAATGACTATAAACCTGCAGGGAACGGTCGGGCGTCTCTTGGTGGACAATGCTGGGAAGAAGGGCAGAGTCGTGTTCCTAAGGCGAGACAGGTGAAGCAGGGTTCATGCCGTGTCCGCGGGCATACGAGAGACCCCCAAATTGGCCCGGCGCGAACCCCGGCGAACCACGCATGCTTACCTCACGCGGCTCTTCAGGCAAACTAGGCTAGAACAAACGCCCCAAGGCAGACCGCTCGATTTTGACGTATGGCACTTCGGTTCCTCCCAGGCGCCATCCGGCTGAAACATACACTGGGAATCCCACGTGGATCTCATGCAGACGCGACGCTAAACGGTCAGCCAACTTGACTGGGGGTTGGTTTCAATCCTTTTTTCTGACACAACCAGTCATTGCACTCCCGACTATTTACTTTTTATTTTACAGATGTCCTGCCTTGACAATAGTTCGGTTGATCTTTCCTCTATCTGTCGTTTCTGCAGCGAACCGCTCAGATCAATGGGTGAACCTGTGAGCGCTGAGCTTCGTTGTGTTTCCCCAAGCTGACTTGAGGTCTGTCGAGATGGGACGCAGGCGACATCTTCCAAACTGCGAAAAAGGATATAAGATCACATCGCCCAACTCAATGCGTGGAAATGTTCTCGTCAAACTCAATCTCGCCATCTATGTCTATAAACGACCTTTGAGTAAAATCAGCGCCAGCAGCATCTTTGTTTAAGCTTCTCCCCCTCCCCCCTCCTTGCAGTGCTTCTACCCCTGTTCGTTCGCGCACCAACGCCATCATCAGGACCGTGTTTTGCACACCACACAACAACCCTGATAGGACAATGGACCGGTATGATGCAGCCCAAATGTTCTCGACGCCCCCATGCTAAGACAGGCCTGTCATAGAAGCACCCCAAACGATAACAGTGGCGGAAAGCCCCAGAACCAAGCCCTCTCCTCACTTCGAACCCAGCCCTTTCTCAAGGAGCCATCCCGTGACGGAAACACCATCGTCATGCTACCGGACCAGACTGGTGACGAGAAAGCCAGGCGTGAACAGCAAACTGCCAGCATCGCTACCAAAATTGCATCCTTCGATCAGAAGTTTGGACGATGAAGACAGTGGGCCTGATCCTGGAGCGATCTCCGATCGCTATTGACCGGATTAAGGCCCTCACTTGACGTTCTTTCACCTTGAATCTCGAGCTGGCTCGTGCACGCATGGGCAAGGGACCCGGCGGTTGGTTCACACGGTGTTGTTCTCGGAAGTCGCAGTCACATTCTTGGGCTTCTTTTACACTCAAGATGTTACCTACTTGTATTCTATTAATTCTACGGTGTGTTTTGGGTGGACTTTTGGATACCAAGGTTTATGGCCACATTGTTGATCCATGCTCCCATTCATTTCGAACTCTGCAACAATAAGAACATTGATTCCCTCTAGCGGTTCGGACTGTGTTCGTCCCTTCAACCAGGTCTGATCTGTGCTTGCCAAAACTTTGTGCCCGTGTGACCAAGGAGAGTGTGTAGCCATGCTGCCAAGAATAGGGATCATAATTTCGCTTCTGCAAGCATGGTCACCCGCAGTGGCTGGCAATTGCTCGTGATCTAGAACATATCACCATCCACAATGATCAGAAGTCACTTGTGACGATGTGCTCGCGGACCTTCAAGTCGCTTTATCGGAGGTCCCCATTCAAGCAGGTGGGAGTTTCCAGTCTGGTTCGGCTGCAATGGAGTTGTCTCAGCGGCCAATAGAATTTGGATGGGCTCATGGACACCAGTTTCGATGCCAATCCAAGGGCAGTTCCCCAGCAGGTGGAAGGTATTCGTGTTTTTGGCAACGAGTTCATTTTCTTCAAAACACCATACCGGCCTTTTCAGGATGGCGCAAGCAGCAACATGCTCCTTGACGTGACACTGCCTCGAGGGTTCCGGGCATTCGGGCCGTGCATGTGTGCATGTGTAACGGGAACGCAGGGAAGGAATACTCGAGAGCGTTTTGCTTTTCAAGAAAGGGACTGTAGGCTTTTGCAGTTACCTAATTTGACCCACCGGCATGCTCAGACACACGCTAGTCGAGTTTCCCATCACGGTCGCGTGCAGAAGGTTGGGTTGGACGAAACAAATAGCCGCCATCTGCTGCAGGTAAGATGCCAGACTGCTTGCTCAGCTACACTCAGGAGGCTTGCCGGGTCCGCCCGACTGGATGGCACCAGGGAGTGACTCGGCCTTACTCCCAGACCAGCAGCAGCCATCCGCTGCGTGGCGCGTACGTTGGTGAAACGGCGCTTTTGCATGTGCATATGTGTAGCCGCACTACTTTCAGCCACGCCAGGGTGATGTGAATCTGAACATTGCCGTCCCTAGAGGGGCGCCAAGTACCGTCCAAGTCCCAGCCCGAAGACAAGAGCGCGGTCGGCGACTCCAGACCGGTGGTTTTCCTTAGCACTACAACGTTACAAATTGTGGCCCGAAAATCCCTTCCCACCGGTCGAGCCCAACAGGCGCAAGATTTAGCTGAGCTGAATCTCGGAGTTTTTACATGGGATGATCAATTTCCCACAACCTTGAGAGGAGCCGGCGAGACCTTCGTGGCCAAGCGATGCCCCATCAAAGACTGACTGATTGGGACGTACCTGCATCGGGGTTACACAGCTGACATCAGCCTATGCACGAAGAAAGTGGGTGGAGGGAGCGTGAGCACGGTGAGGTCGATTTGATCATATTTCCACGACAGAGAGATGTGCTTGTGAAATGTGATCATCTCAAACCTGTCAAATTTGCTTGTGCTCCACACATCTGCAAGGTGCATGGGGTGATTCGGGAACGCACATGCATGCCTGCAGTTGGCCGCTCCGGGCTGCCCAGGTCGTTGACATTGTAGATCAGTATCCACGGTAGGCCTCTATTGTCTTGTTGTTTGGGTCTGTGCGGGGCTTGTCTCTCTTGACAGTTGACCGTCATATTGCCTCTCGTCACATCATAGCCAGTGTGATCGTCGAGAGGCGGTGGTTGCGACTTATTGTGAGTCAGTGTCACGGCATGTGAGCACCGTTCTCCCAATATAAGCGCTTTGACCTACTTTGGTCGCAGACTGGGTTCTATATTGTGCTGTTTCTGGCGTACTACTTGATTCCACCGGGGATGGAAACACCCTCTGAGGCTTAGCTCACGCCGAACCATGGTTCTGCCGCTTGGCTCAGCTTTCGACTTATCATGACAACTGTACCAATTACTGCTCATCTGACCCCATCCCGCTGAGATCTACGGAAGTCAAGACATGAACTCGTGCAGCTAGAATTGGAAGCATGTGTTCATATTCCGAATTACGGCCTTGTTTGGCTATTGTGCTAGACGTGCATGCGAAAGGAACGCAGCAATATGAGCTGTACAGACCTCAATATGGGATCTCTCACGTAGCCAAAGGATGACTGGGATTTGATCCACAAGAGTAGCAGGGACCACGGAGGCTTGCATACCTAAGCAAAAGACGGTACACTGTTGCTCGAGCTGATCACCGTGCTCATGATTTCCAGATAGTCCACCAACACATCGTCATCCTTATGCAGATCCTGCTGCACCCAGATGGATTGGATGGTATCCTTCACCCCCTGGATACTCCTTATACGAGTGTCCCTTTGCGTCCTCTCAATCAAGTTGATGATGGCGACCCTCTGCTCATCTTTATGTGCCTCGCAGGCGAGGATCAACAGTGGGAAGAAATGCTCACAGCTACAGTACTGGATGGGCCCCGAAAACGCCGCATCGATCAAGGGGTCGAGATTGGCCGCTGGCTCCCATGGACTCTGCGAGGCCCGCACGAGATAAATCTGTGTCGCCATCTGGTACAGTTCCACTGCAAACGTAGCATCCGGATCTGACTCAGCCGAGTTCGATTTGACGGGCACTTTCTTGATTCTCCTCTCCATATCTTTGAGGTGGTCTTGATACTCTCCATCGTTGCTTTTGGGGTCTCGAGGATCAATCAGTGTGTCGCTGATCTCGGAAAGCAGGTTCAATATTGCAAACGTAGGATTGACGGATGGCATGTTCTAGAAGAAAAAAGCATTAGTGGAGAGCTATAAACAGGCGCATCTAGAAATTTTACACACCGGCCTATATCTTGTCAACGACGGAGAACGAATACTTCGCGTTGTGGGACAATTGCCGACTGGGGTTGTCGGGACCAACGACTTGTGACGCCAATGATGTACGGTGAAGCGAGAAATTGTTTCGTGGTATTGGACCCAGTTGATCAGGTGGCCAGTGTCGCTCTCGTAGGGTTGATCTTTGAGCTGAGTCGCTTGGATCGTGTCCATGGCTCCCCACGTGTGCAAGAGCCACTCGCCCGACGCATCCGATGGATGTAGTATCTGATCGTGATGATTAGGCAAAGTTTCTGTCTTTCTAAATACTGAAAATTCCCCAAAGCTCACCTCGAAAGACCCCAGAAGCATAGACGCAGCCACATGTTGGGCGGCTTGTGCCAAGACCAGCGGCTCATCCGTCACCGCAGCAGACAGGAACTGAAGTGCCTGTATCTTCAGTTGTACGGCATGCTCGTTGATCCCATAGCGGTGGAGTGAGGAAAAAGCTAGCAACGCGTAGAAAAGAGCAAGCGCCGAGACAGCGTCTTGTGCCAGGGCCATGCTTAGGAGTGTGTCCCGGATCTGACAGGGCCGTTGACCAAACATAACCAAGGAGAGATGGGCAAAATTTTGAACTGGCACGTTTGTCAACTGTGAAATCTGATACGAACCAACAAAGTCACGCATTGGGATGTGTGGTCTGCAGCTTACAGTGGTGGACTAGGTCCATATGCTTCACTTGTTGTTGAGGCTGCCTCCACAATCGTGACATGGGTCGAAGTGGAAGAGAGGGCTGTCTCTGTCCTGAGAGATATCCATATACTTCCATGTCTTGCCACGTCGTGTTGACGAAGAAGACATCGCTGGAACTTTGCCCTGACTGAGACACCAGCACCGGCAGCGCGTTAGTCCCGGTCATTGCCCGTCTCTTGTCATCCTCTCTGGGCCACGAGAGCCGCAACTCATAACCCTCACAGTCCCGCTGGGCTCGGGCACACTTTCTGCACGTCGGCCGGCCACCATCGCATTGAATCTTACGAGCTGGACAGGCGCTGTTAGAAGCCCCCTCCCGAGGTTCACACTGCCGAACGTGAGACTACTAACCTGCACACGTCCAGCAACCTTTTCGGGCCTTCATCGTGGCGGCGGATGACTCGGCATCATTTGAGTCCGACGCAGTGGATTCCGCCAGCCAACATTGGCAATCATGGAGAGAGTGATGCGTTTGTCGGGTCTGAAGAGGTCGGAGAAAGTTGCTTTCGATGGATCGCTGACGTTTCCATTCTAAATACTCTTGCGAGGCAGCTAAGCCCAGTCGCTTTTGTCAGCTCACCCTAAATCCTTCCGAGATGCACTAGTCTGCCAAAGGATCCCTGAATGTTTCCCATCTATCCCGAGCCCCACGCGAAGCAACTTTTATCGAGCCTAAGAGATGTAAGTGTCTCCGCGCTTAACCTTTTTGAGCCACAATGCTTACTTCGGACCTCCCGTTCCCCCGTCGCCTTGTGCCACCGAAGACAAATGCTAGGCGCCAACAGATCATCAGCATACGTGGATTTGTGTTGAATTATGAATCAAATGGAAATCCGGTTGATCCTAAGGCAGATTACAACGGCTTCGAACTGAATATAAATTGCGTGCTTCCTGCTCTGTTCTGTGGGAATCAAATCTAGGAGTTCGTCAGTCTCATCCCGATCTACTCCTTGGATCTGCACACAAGCTACATCGTTGCAATTTGTCTGCAAATCATATCCAGCATGTCCACCTACCTAGTCACTCAAGCCACCGGCCAGCAAAGCCGCTGGGTGATCTCGCACCTCCTCGCAGCGGGTTCCAAAAATTCATGCGGTCGTACGAGACCTTCAAAAAGTCCCGCCAATTCTGCAGGACCCAAACATCACTCTGTTCCAGGGGGAATCCAAGAATTTTGAAGACATCCTCAAAGCAGCACAAGGATGCAAGGGAGTCTTCCTCAACACATTTCCCTACCCAGGACTAGAGGCCCTGCAGGCCAAGACTGTTGTCGACGCCAGCCAGAAGGCAGGCGTTGAAACCATTGTTGTAGCCACGACCCATGGCACAGCCAACAAGGGAATGTGGGATGACGACGCGACCAAGGAAATCAACCTCCACCAGTATTTCTCCTCCAAGGCAACAGTCGAAGAGATCGTTCGAGCGAGCGGATTCCAAGCTTACACCATCCTCCGGCCGGCAGTCATCCACACCGACTTCTTCGTGCCAGGCTGCTATGGGAACTTCCCTCGGCTTCCGACCCACGGGGAGCTGGACCACCTCCTCGAGGACGGTGCAAAGGTCCCTTGGACCGATGCAAACGACGTCGGCAAGTACGCGGCAGCAGCTCTACTGGACCCGGCCAATTTCGCCGGCCAGGAGATCGACCTCGGCAACGAGCTCCTCACTATCGAACAAGTGCGCGACATCCTCACCCAAGCCAGCGGCAGACAAGTTAAGGCGACGAAGCACACTCAGAAAGAGGTGGAGGAGATGGGAATCAGTGTCTTTGGGCAGGCGTTCCACCTCATGTCCAATATCAAGGATCTCACCTGGACTACGGCCCGCGCCAGAGAGGTCCAGGAAAAGTTCGGGATTCCGTTTACTTCACTTGAGGCGGCGGTGCAGAGGGACAGGGCTCTCCTCTTGGAATGTCTGCCAGACGCATTCCCTTGCTGATGGGTCGTTGTCATTGGTCATCGTCGTTGTGGGAGATCCCGCGGTGGACTTATGATAGTTGCGTGTTGAGTGGACAGGGCCGCTCGTTTAGTATGGTCCGACTTAGAATGAATAGCTCTTATATAGTCTGAATCGTTTCTTTAGCCAGAACCATATGTCAGTGCGTGTCATGTATACTCAGCCGATTGCTATTCCTACGAACAGTATATTGTGAGAACATAGTCCATACAGACATTGTCTAGTGACAGACTCTCCATTCGAAGCAAGTTTTAAAGTCCTCAAGCGAGTGGATTGAATATATCTTGGGCCATTTAGTCTTTATATGAGCCAGAGCGGTCATCTTTACCAACAGGAAAAGCTCCACAGAATCTTTCTTTCATCTGAGCCAAGTAGCGTAGTTCAAGTTGATATGGCGCCAATTTAATTTAATAGCACATTAAGATGGGAATTAATGATGACAAATGAAAGTGCGATTGCAATGCCACAAAGTTGCATTTGATCAGAACATAATGATCGCTCGTGCCTTTCTGTCTGGATAATCCTGACACCCTCCCGAGATCCAGAAAATGGGTCACTACATCTTAGACCTCAACCTTGCAGCTGAAAACTCAGCTTGCTGTTGTCCGCCGCACTCAGATGAACCGTGACTCCCTGATTCCTTGGCTCCTCAGCAGGCGTGGTCCAACCGGTCCAGACAGCCTGCTGGGTCGTTGCGTCGTAGTGGATATTCATCTCTGTCCCGTCAGCGGGATCCCAGGGAGTCGGGTTGGCCGGATCCGACATGTCGTCCCCCTTCAGCCATATCCCAGCAATAATTCCCAGAGCGTTGCATATTTTCTCCTCCTCTAACTCTGTCTTGCAAGTGAAGTTGTGCTCCATGTCCTTGACATTGATGACCCACGTCTTGGCCTTCATCTGTTTCCGTACGAAGTCCATGAGGAGCCCTGGACCCATCTAGAATATTCAACCGGAGGTCAGCATTCGTGCTCAGCAGCCAGAATCAGTGGCTCGAGACTCAGTCCACAACCCTGTGGTATTGGAGCACTTGGCCTAGTCTAGGGAAAACAACTCACCCAGTCTTTCTCCCCCTTGATGAACAACACCCTCGTGTCCTCAGATAGCGCAATCAGCTCGTCCTTCCTCCAGTCCGAGTCCCTAATCAGCGGGTAGCTCCACAGTATCAGGTTATTGTTCGTAGAGTACACGCTCGCCCTGGTCGCGCTCCGCGCCCCGAAGCTCCGCCCGCCCAGCGCCCGGACGCTGCAGTAGGCGTCGTTGAAGAAGTAGTTGAACGCAGCCGTCCGCTTGAACAGCTCCTCCGCGCGCGTGCCGCCGGGGCCCTGGTCCTTGCGGAAGGCGAGGACCGCGTGCTCGCGCGCGAGCCCCCTCATGAAGTGCATGTAGCCCTTCTGGAAGATGCCGCGGCCGCCGCCGTGCGTGAAGATGACCTGCGGCGAGACGGGGAGGATGTCGAGGACGCCGAGGCCCTGGTGGCCCTTTTGGCCCTCTGATGGCTGTATTTCTTCCTCCGCCTGCCGCTTGCGGCCACGGCCTTTGGGACCCTTTGGTGGTGGTGGCGGCGGCTTGACTTCTTCTGGGGTATAGTAGAGACAGACGCCGTTGGAGAAGGTTTGTCCGGTGGGGACGTCGTAACTTCTCTCTGGATCCTCGCAACCGTCCAGGATCTCAAAGGTTTCCACGGAAATTAATGGGTCGTCTCGGATATCCTCAACCACGTCAGGGTGTAGTATGAATGAATTCATTCCTTTAGTGTGCGCCATAATGTGATACCAAATACGATTACACTTTGAGTCAGACTTCTAAAACACAGGGACAGGACATTGTAGCGGAACAGAAATTATCAACATGGAGTATGCCCAATGCATGTCTTTGTATCGAGCAGAAGTTCTCTTCAGATTACATGAGGGCAACGTGACGTTTCCGGAAAGGTGAGAGCCCATGAAAAGTGCAGCGCTCTTTGTCCGAGCGCAGTCACAACAGAGAAATCCTCTTCTCTTCTAAAATGAATGTCATTGATACTCAGGATTCGCATGGACACGAGATCTCGCCACCTCAGATCACTACCGACTCAGTACCGAGACTGGAATGTTATTCCGCTGCGATAGGACTCTGTATCACTGCCAGTGGATAGCTTGAGAACACATGGTCAGGGCTTCTATTTATACTATGTACAACAACACCAAGGGAAAGAGAGAAAAACTGATGCAGTTCAGAGAATGATGCAGTCATTAGCATGACAGGAAATGCGTCGAGACTTCCTGGTCAGGTACGATGGGGCAGGAAGCGGATGCAGCGACTTAGTTGTTCCTAAACGGCCGTATTTTGACGCACACCGTACCAACATACTGAAGTGTAAACGACTTAGCGTACTTTGAATTATTTCTTCTTCTCAAGGGGGACTCTGAACAAGTCGAGAGGGGCTCCCTCCTGACGCCTTCTGATCATGACTTTTGCGGTTGGGTCAGGCATAAGAGCGAAGCCGACATCGAGCACCTTGGGATCAGTGCCTGGCGCCAACTTCAGGTCAAAGTTCAGCAGTAAGTGAGCGAGCGCAATCTTGGCCTCCATCGCCGCAAAGAAGCGTCCTGGGCACGCGCGCTTCCCGTGTCCAGATCCGAGGTGGTTCGGGCCCGTGGTCACCAGCTGGGCACCATGCTCGTGTTCAGGTTGTTCCCGAATTCTCAGGAACCGATGGCCGTCGAACGTGTCGGCGTTTGGATAAACGTTGGAGTCCCACATTCCATAACCGGGGGTGACGATAGTGTGGTCTTTTGGAATCAGCAATCCGTCAGACAATTTGATGTCTTCTGTGGCGACGCGTTGAACGGCAACTAGCATCATGGTCAGCCGGGCCCTTGCGAATTTTATGCTGCGAAAGTTAGATTTACCCAATGCAAGTGGTTTCACCCGCTGGCTCTCCTTGAAAACGCTGTCCATAAGCTTGAGGCTGTTAATGGACGACCTCTTGAATCCCTCGGCACTGAAGACGGTCACAACTTCTTGACGCAATTCGTCAGTCAGCTGCGGATGGGAACAAATATCGTGCAACTCTTGCACGAGCATGTCCGACGTCGAATGGATGGTGACCACAGCTAGAGTCAACTGGAAGGTAACCGTGTCAAAAGGCTCGTCCTGTACGACCTCGTAAAACCAGTCGATGGCATCCCGGGCTTCCTTCGGGGTTTTCTTGTTCTGTCTCTCCTGCCGCCTCTGATGGATGAACGGCCCCATGAGCTTCCGGGCTTCCTTGACGTGCCCGCGTACCTTCTGGCAATCGGAGATAACCCCAAGTCGAAAACACCGACAAAAGACTGCGACACATTTTGAACATGCTCAGCAAAATCAAAATGGACGATGGACTCGATGCATTTCCCCTTCAGGGTCTAATGCTCCAAAGAGCCATGCTTCAGATCTTCATCCGCCGCATGCTGCTCATCTTACACGAGCCGTTCGCGAGGGATGCAAAGAACTCCGCCAGCCACACATCATCACGATTCGCCGTCATGGAGTGCTCGCTCTCTCTACTACACTGCCACAGCAAGCTTAGTGAAGCAGCAACGCTCGGGAACCCGGTGTGCAGTGGTTTCTCAACTTCTTTAAGGAGGACTTCGGCATTGCCACGATCTACGTCGCCCGAGCCATCCGCCGGAATGACTTTGATGCAGACGCACAGGTCCTGCCCCATACTTGCCCTAAAGAAATCGTGTGGACGGCACTCAGACAATCGACTGAGATATCAGAGGCCCATGCGGCGGACTCGGTCAACCACTTTCGAGTCTACATGGGCAGCGTGTATTTATTGGCTGCACTTGAATCTTTACAGTCTGGCTGTCCCATGCTCGACAAGATGATCGAGGCTGGTCGAACCATTATTCGCATTATACACACTAAGAAGGGCAAGGAGATTTCTGACATGGATTTGTTCCCTTCTAGTAAGAATATCTCAACAGTCGGCTCATCAGGTAGCCCAGATGAGGCGGACGCGGAGATCCGTGACTGGGCGCGGGTTGGATATGATCCGCTATGTTTCGACGAAGAGTCTCAAAGCTCGAGAGGCTTTTTCTCATGGTAGAGTACCAATTATTGGAATATCGCGTCTGATCCATACGTACTTTATGATTCATGAAAGATGCGGGAAAATTGACCAAGGTGAGGTTAGAAACGGCGGATGCCTTCGCAGCCGAGTCACTTGTTCTATTTGCACTTCGCGATACAAGTTCGGTCTACTTCTGAGCTACTTGCAAATTCTTATACTACCTTTCCTTGAGCTTTGAGAGCTTGCGTTGAATAGTTTTGTATTGTCTGAGATATGATCTTCTTCTACGACGGAGCCTGTGTTTATCTCCATCGTTGATAACTAGAAATGCGGCCTTGAGAGCGGTCGAAGATGTGTCGACACTTGTCCACAAAGTTTACAGCTATTTGTGACCATGAAATTTCATTTGTTTCGGAAGACACTTGGTAACGTATGTCCACGGTGTAATCCGGTAGTTTTGGACGAATTTCTCGTGCAGACTTTCTCCTTGTATGTATCCATAACCACTTCGATATGAATATGTCGAGGATTCCATCACAACTGTTCTGTCTACTTGCACCGAATGAAGAAAAGGCTAACAAATCAAAAAAATATGAGAGGTAAATTTTGACTGTAACACATGGTTGTGATTCTCATACCAGCGGACCATGAATGCAGGTCTTGCTGTGAGCTATGGCCTCACCTGTCAAATGCAAAGACTCTCGAGTTTGGCCCAGAATAGCTTCAAGTTTTGCGGTGCAATTTCTTGCCATTCCCGATATTGAAGCTCAAAAGACCCCTACCTTCGGTGCACAAACTAGAGTCCACATGAAATCTGTTGGCTTGCCAGATATCAGAGAATACTATATTCGGTTTATCGAGTGGCATGAGATGGCACGCAAATTTTGGTAGGGGCGTCAGACGCTGCTGGGAACACACGAGGCATGTTGGTGACAAAAATGCTTGAATGTCTAACCCGATGCACAGGCAGCGAGGTGACATCATTTCTGGGAGGATGCCGTTGGCTTTCCACCCTGACCTCTTACCCGAAGGCATACGCCTGGGGTAGCTGCAGGCGACTGTGCTGTCAATTCTGCTCGAGCAGCTACAGGAACTCCACAATAGTCCAGTTGAACAACGCGCGTTGGTTTCTGAGGGCTAAATTTGAAATTTGATTTGCAGCTACGTAGCTCTGACCCTGACCCGCCGCCCACTGTTGACTGGAGCCACAGCAGCACTCAGGCGGCTGCACGGCTACCCCGAATTTCTGTCCTGGCACATTCGTGCCACCCAGACGTTGCTGCTGTTGTCAGAGCAATCAATCAGCTCCCACGCCGTCGGGACATCCTCAGCTGACTGCAGCTCGCATCTCACAAACCAGGACCGATCTGCATCTTGTCCATGCAAGAGGGGACGCTGACCAGAATAAAGGGGCAAAACCAGACCTATACGCCGCCTCGTGGGCATGTGTAATGGAACGGAACCAGCCTTTTAGAATATTGTATCTTAGCATCGGCCTGCACAAGGACAATGCCTTACGAATGTCTGCCCTTTTCTACAAACAGCGAGCAGAAGGACGCTGCTGGGACCTCTCTAACTGAAGTGCCAAGTCGAGTTCTGCAGCCTTGTAAACAAATGTCAGTATTCAACTACGGTCTTTGCGGGCGCAGAGGCCCGACCAAGGCAACATGTCATGCGCTTGCATATTGCACCCTGCATGGGTCAACAGCAGCCTTTTCATGGAGCAATGCGAACCATGAAAACTTTTGTGAGCGACATTCTTGTTTGAATAACTTTCGTAGGCTGACTTGTACTGGCATTGTCACGACTATTGCCCCATCCACACTACCCGAGTTCCTCACTTCTGCAGCAGACATGCAAGCAGGGGTACACGGGTAAGCTCAGGCCACCCCGGCTGCGTCAACTGGTTTGCCCCATTGCACAAGCTATCATTGCAAACCACCACAAAACTCAGGACATTCCCGGGAAGGCACATGGGCTTCTCCCGCTGCTCTTTTCCTTTCATCCATCCATCCACGGGCCTATGATGCATCCTTACCCTGAACTGCTCACACAGGTAGCCGGACAGCCAGTTGTGTTGACAAACAAAGAACCGTCTGAGGAGCTACGAATATTTGGCAAAGATTGATGTGTCTGACGAGCAAAAATTAAACTCAGCCACAGGTAAAGATTTCAGGTAGTTAGCTGTGGGTAGCAAGAGGCTTACCGTGTGTGCTAAGTCACATACCTAGGTAGGCATCTTATATACCATACAAACTATTTATATTCTTTGAGTTCCTCTACTAAGCTGGAACAATAATGATTGCCTTAAGGGAACAAGAGATAATATAGGTTGTATGCAAACTCTTATATACCATATAACCATAAGATCTTGTCTTGCTGCTCCGTGCCATTCTTATCTAGGAAACAGGTACTACTTTAGATCTGCTCTGTCCCGGTACTGGCGACCGTAAATTTGACGTGGGCATATGCTAAACGTCTGCCTATTTCTACTCGCCCCTCCCAGAGCTGGCCTTGGCCCCTGGAGCACCTCGGAAGCACTGCGTATGCGCATACAACATCTGCTCAAGGTGACATAAAGATACGACTGCCACCCACTCCGTCTAACACCGGTCCACTCGTGTAACCAACCTTACTGTGGAACGCGAAGTGCTGGGTTGTGAGTCTGACCAGGATGCAGCTGCACGTCAAGGTGGACTAACGCTTCCAAGCTTAGTTGTGAGCGAAGCTGCCTCCCACACACAGCAGAGCCGCATTACCCAGCACGCCTCGTATGTGATTGGTCGAGTGAGACTGAGCGAGGCGGAGATCTGGCACCTGGAACGCCCTGGAATGCCGACCAATTCCACCACCTTTTCGCAACGCGCGAGAGTCAGCTCTGACGACGGGACTCATGTCACCCCTTCCCACCGAGCCCCCCCCCCTTCGAGCGGTTGGTTTGACAGCCTTCCCAACCTCTCACTTTGCAGTACCTAGGTAGCTTGATCTTCAGCCATGAGCCCGAAGCAGGCACAAACCCTCAGTATGTACCGATATGGGTGACACAGAGCTGAGCTATTGGGTTCCTACCGCCCGCCACCACCTGGGAGAGACCTCGAGGTTGGGTGGAATCGGTATCCCGCTCTGCAGATGCACTAAATCTGGCAATGCAACGCTGACCTCGGAAGGAGAAACAAAAGCTTCCCATGCCATGCGACCCCTGGACCTGTCAACCCATACGCTCCACTAACATGTTCCCTGTTTGGTCAGACCTGTCCAGGCCGTCACTGCAGCTATCCGTGTGCCCCTGTTGAGTATGAACATGAAGGAGGCAACAAAATGCCTGCTGCCGACTCGACCACTGACAAAGGGCTGTCCCCGGAAACTCGCGGTGGTGGTGGTGAGCAGGCATGGAAAGACCCAATCAGGGCGTTCTCGGTGTTCTGAAATCCGGTGTCCCGCCCCCCAGAGAACGTGTGTAAGTATGCGAACCTGCCCGGGTGGCAGACCGCGAACCATGCGGACGAGCCATCTACTCAGGTATATAAAGTCTCGAGTGCTCTCGCACCCCAAGATGTCTCAACAAGTGATCAGCATCAGTCGGTATCAATAACATCGGGACCAGCCCGGTCTTCCTTGTGATCCATTGCTCCCTCTATATTATATTCAACTACCTCAGGAGTTTCCACCACGTCCTTCATCCCATCACAACGCCCCTCTCCTCCTTCTGTGACTGTGAAGGAATTGCCTCACACAGAATCGTCACCCCATACACCCAGGACAAATCCTATTGACCTGCTCTCCAAGCCCTTGAAATGTCGAAGTACGTCCCTAGTCCCCATATCACCTTAAGGTAGTGGTGTTGATGACAGACAGCAGCGGAGACCGAGTCCAGTCCTTCCTCTGGGACACAACCCAGCAGGGGTACACCTTCGTCCCAGGCAAAGAGAGCAACCAACGATCCGAGAGGGTCGAGAGGATGATCCAAGCAGTTGACCACCAGTTTGCCAACCCATCCGTTGGATTCGGTGTCACCACGGCCCAGAGCCAGGATGCCCATCACAGTGGGAGAAATAAAGACCTAAATGGTGTTGGCCAACAGTTCTATGGCTGCAATCATCACTGAAATGTTAGGCTGGACAACGGAAATGCCTCGCTGCCCTTCTCCCTTGTCGTCCTTGGCTGGGCTGAATGACCCCCTGAAAGTCCCAAGCCTCTGTGAGCCAAGAGGTTCTGGCCACTCATCTTTCCCTGGCCTTCCCATGACGGAGAGCTTGTTAGTGGCCAAACCGGCCCAAGCACCGTGTCGCCTTGTCAGTGCGGAATGATGTGGACTCCCTGCTCGTTTTGCCCGTCACAGACGACGGGAGGAGAACCTGATGGCGAGGATGCCCGGTGTTGCTTCCCGATGGTTTCCTTCTGTGACCCGACTTTATCTCCATGCCTCCACCCCTCACCTTTTCCTTCACAAACTTTCCCCGCTATCATTTCTTCCCAATCTTCTTGAAGTCTCATCATTCAGTCTTGATTAACTTACTTCTTCCTCTTCTCTACCTTCTTATGCTTCTGATTACTCTCTCACCCTTTTTGTCTCTTATCCTCTTTCTTTCTTTCTTTTGGAGGAGGCAGGTATGTGGTGGGAACCAATGTGTTTCAAGATATGTCCTGAAGATAGGTCCAAGAACTCTACGCCGTAGAGGCTCTGGGGTGGGGGTTGGTCTCACGGCCCTATTGACGGCCTGGATAGTACTCATCTTCGCAAGCTCGTGTGAGTAGATAACAAGTCTGAAGATCTAAATGTCTAGGTAGATCCTAGCCAAGGTACCACTTCTGCCCAGGGAAAATATCAAGGTGATCCGAATGCTGCCCAAGCCAACCAGGCTCATTGAGTGTCAACGCGGTGCCCAATTGCCGACCAATGGATCAGGGCTGGAATTCAATCTAGAGCCAAGACGAAGGCTGGCTTGCTGCAGCAAAAGCAAGCAACGCAATTCTATTTTCCAACGAAGAGTCTCAAAGCTTGAGAGTCTTGTTCTTATGGTAGATTATTGGAATATTGCATTTACGCCATATATACTTCGTGAGTCAGGAAAGAAAAGGCAAAATTAACCAAGGCGAGGCTAGAAACTTAGAAACATAATGTAACAGAATGTAAGCCCCACACCCAATTCACTTATTTGCGCCTAATTTGCACACACGCGCCCAAGTTGCACACCTAATTCGCATACCCTATTTGCAAACTAAATTCATATACCTATGCTTATACTTATTTCACGTACTTAATTTATAAATAATACATGAGTATATAAATTGAGTATAAGTATGCAAATTAGATGTGTGAATTGGGTGTAGATATATGATTCGGCGTGGGTGACAGGCATGGGTGATATGGCTACAGCAGGAGGCTCACATGCATGCCATCAGGTCTATATGCCAACAAATCAATCTGCATACCCATTCACTTGGTTCAAACCGGGGTTACATTTGCGAAGCCACTGGCGTTCAACATCTCATGCAACACCCGCCGTCACCAATTCGGGAGTTCCTGCTTATCATCTCAGCCGGTTATAAACGCATATAAAGCCTAAATATGGATATCGCCGAGCATGAAAATATAATACCATTGTTAATTCAGACCTATCCCGAGCCATACAGCTAAGTATTCATAGATGAGCCTTAAGGAACTTAGCCTGCAGGCTAGCAAGGCGGAGTTGATTCTCTCCTACTGGGTTTTTGCCTTGCAAATGTCCGTCTTGTTTCTTTTTCAATATTTCAAACCATTCATCACCATGAGTGACTTATTATATTTTGGTCAACAAACGCAGTGAAGATTGTAGATTCTGGATCCCAACACATTGCCAACAAAAGTCTCTTGGCTTGCCAGATATTGTGATCACACAACTTTGCACTGCCCAATTTCCATGAGATGATATGGATGTATTTTGATAGGGGTGTCAAAAACTGCTGGGGACCAACGAATGGTGTTGTGGCAACATAATTTGTATGCTTATTGTGTGTGTGAGTATCAAGATGACATCAGCTTCGCAAGATGCAGTTCACTTTTACCCAGTGAACTTACACTTGGACAAATATGTCTGACCTAGCTGCAAGTGATCGTCATTGCAGATATGGCCAAATAGCTGCAAGATCATTATTATAGCCCTTAACTTAGGCCACGATGAACTAGCCACATCTGTGGTGTCGCCTGTGTACGCATGGCAATGGTCTACAATGTTGGCCTCTAAGGATGAAGACGACTCCGGACCAATCATCTGAAAGTATATTGGTGTAGGCAAAGATGAGTCGATTTCACGAACAATTTCCGCCACCCGCCACCCCGACATTGTGTTGATGCTGTAGCTTGCACTGCCTCATTTACCTATCTGCCCAGTTATGCACCTAAAAATAGATCTTTTCAGCAAATGCACTTTGGTCTTCATTGGACAACACATTTTCTTCTGTCTATTGAAGACTAAGTTTGATCACACCAGGCGTACTAGCATTGGACCTGAACCTTGTTCCTTTTGCTACTCACCCTGCCGGCCGGATGAATCCCATGAATCCGGGCCCGACTCCCAAGCCACCCCAACGAAACTGCAGCATACAGCCTGCAGCATACCGCATGTAGCGTACCAGCTGCATATTGATCCCACCCCAGGCAAGGGGAACCGGTAGGATCTCCCGTGATACAGGGATAGCTTCAGGTAAGATCGACTCCTGGCCCGTGCAGCCACGAGGCTGTACACAGCCAGGCGACCTTTCGACATATGCCGGGTAAGATCGGCCCCTGGGATACTCCTATCTAGACGGGCCAGGACAGGCAGGTGCCCCGTATCGTGTACCGCCTTTACCGTCGCATATAGCGCTGCGATGTCCCGAACTGCATCTCCACAGGAATTCCAAACATTGCTTGTCTTCGTACCTTTCCTCCTGAGTACCTAGCACTCAGGATGGCACTTGCATAACACAATTCGAGACATTGAGAGTGCCTAGAACATATTTTCATAGTAAATGAAGAATCGCTGGAATTGCATTCGAGGCGCAGTAGGATGTTTTCGGAAATGTGGAAGCGCTTGAGCAATTCATTGTTCCTTGTCGGGGCCGAGGCCGACTGACTACATTCAATCAGTCAAACTCCACACTGCAATCAGATCGATTTGAACCAAGCCCATGCCATATTGCATTTTCTCATGTCTCCTCCATGACGGTGAAAGTTTTTCAATTGCCCATAGCCGGTCTGCTAATGTAAGTATATCGACAGAGTACTTGCCTCAATGGGCGTGACACTGAGAATCCTGGTTGATCCGGTGCTTGTCTCAGCTGAACATGGTGTGCTTCAAGGCAGGGTATTACGCAGGCGGTAAAGCACCGCCCTATGATATGGGGGAATTACCTGGCTTCCGTCTGCATCCCAGAGACCAGGAGGACTGGGACCATGTTGCCGAAGCATCTCCGTTGACCTGCTGCTTCTCAGACAAATGACTGTGCTACAATTACGCTGACTATCGTGGGTTTTCAGGCGTCGATGGTGATCGATGGAATACAATGCCAAGGGCGCCATTAGCAATCGCAGCTGTACAAGGCATGTTTCCATCATCTCATGTGCTATGTCTCAACGCTTACATTTCCTGCCCCGCAAGTTTGAGTATCAAAGACCGGCACACCGATCCTGGAGGGTAGGTGGTTGATGGCATGGATACAAACCGTCCGCCCGAAGGCGTGGACAAGCCGAGCGATAGGTTGAAACAGCAATGGATGGTCATGTTGGGTAGCTAGGCTAAACAACGGACTCAAGCCCTCCTGCGCTATGTAGCGTCTTGGTTCGCTTGGGTGGTCTACATCTATGCATTCATGGTCGTCCCAGGTGGTGGAAGCCATCCCGTGTCCGTGCAAGTGTCTTGAATACGGCGTCATTTGACGATAAATAGTGAGCCGTGATCCAGCAGAACAAGCCATGAGGCTGACAACAACAATGTCGAGCCACAAATGTAATAACGTCGGCCGTGCAAGATTGGCCTGTTGCTAAGCATGTTGAACCTTCGTCGGAGCTTTTCGGTCCCAGCGCCGACGTATAATGTGTGTGGGGTAGAATATTTGCTAGCTACTCAATTGTATAGGAAGGCAGAGGAAACAGATTCATCAAGGGCAAGTAGGCAGAAAGGGTTAGCACGTTTTCAATGCTAGGTGAGCTGCGGCGCGCCGTGTCCAGGCCTGCTAGGTGTGCGTGCAGTCGGACGGGACACGGGGCACCAACAGGATCGGCCGGCCGCGTGGTCCAAGCGAGATCTTGAAGCGTGGCCTGACTCTGGAAGTGCTGAAATAAGGTAGGGTGGGTGCTGCTCCTGGCTGGAGCTGTCCCTGGTGCAATGGCATTGCTCGAACATTCAAGGATCAGGCTCGAGCGGGGCAGCCTGATTCTAAGGAATGTCCTGACGGCCTAACACTGGGCACCCAGAAGAGCTGAACGAGGGGGTGACCTGGGACCCTGAACTCCGCAGAGCCGCAATGGCGAACTAGGCGAACTGTGGGGGTTCGCCATTAGGCAACCAAATGCGTACCGGATCACCTACCTAGTTAGGCACATGGAGCTGTTCCTTAGGTACCTAGCAGGTCGCCGTGTTTCCCAATGCACATTCGCTTGAGCCCCAAGAATGGTTCGGATGGTTCGCGGACTGATCTCAAGTAGGTGCACTGTGTTTCTAGAAGCAGGAGCCCCAACGAGTGAACCCCCGTCATTGACAAGGCAACTGTTTCCACACTCCACCACCTCAGCAGAACGTCCTAGTAAAGAGGTAAATAGGCCATTCTTGGCCCCGTCTATGATCAAGTGCACCCTTTGGGCGCTGGTGCTCGTGGGTCAGTACTTTACATGGGTGCGGATTTTGCCCCTAGGACGGACGTCCAGATCCCCAGGCTCGCGTGGGCTACTTTGCATCGCATCTCGCCTGTCCAATTTGGTGTTCGCCCTTTGCTCCCAGGAATCCGGACACCACACATATTGGCCGACGGGAGCGTAGACCCCCTTGCAACCCGGCAGTACGCAGTGGAAAGAAAGAGCTGAGCCACCAGAGCCACCACCAGTGCACCTGTTGCACTAATATCAGAGGGCCTCTTGGCGAATCCGCCACCTTGCACCGCATTTTCCAGGCGGTATATGCCCGTGTTGTCAGGAAATCGGCTGACATCCGCTGCAGAAGACTGCCTGCGGGAGCGGCGTCGCTGACGCATTGCCTTGTTTGACTGCTTATTCCAACACATGTGCAGACAAGCACACGCGCTAGTCCGGGCACTTTGATGCCTTGATAATTACGACTAGAGCAACGGTCCAATCAGCGCAATCAAGGCGCCGTAGGGCGGCGGACAAGAACTAATGCAGGTACTCGGGAGCGAAAGAGGAGGCGAACACCCCAATGGCGCTTCGGTAACTATTTTAGACTTGAGAACAATCCAAGTCTTGCATTCGAGTCCACTCAAGTCAGAATCACCTCTTGAACCGGAATTCTGGCCTACATGTACCTCTTGGTCTGCCTGAGCTCCGCGTCAGATGCAAACCAGTACGTGATGAGGAGGGCAGTGGTGGCCAGGTCGGACGTCTACTTAATGTCGCTGCTACGCACCTTAAAATATCGAATGGGTCCTGAGTATGAATTCGTCACTCCCTTCTCCTTGATCATATCGATCCGCTTTCAACAGAGACCATCACATCCCTTGCCGCTAGCCACGTCGTCGTTCTCTCACCGGGTCGGATTCCTGGGTCCCTTTCGCGAAAGAGCCCTAGACAGGCAGAACCCCCATCCTGTAGCAAGGCCCAGCCTGAGCAATCTCCCTTCCTGTTCCCAACAACTCAAGCATGACCACGTAGGCCCAGTGTACCCCTGGTCGCTAACAAGGAAGTCCTGCTGATGGTAGACGACAGCCCAAACGCGGACCGTGGTGGGGAGCGAGTCCAGTCTTTCCTCTGGGACCAGACCCAGCAGGGCAATGCCTACGTCCCAGGCAAAGAGGCCAAGCAGTCCAGAGCCGAGAGGGTCAAGAGGACGATCCAAGGTGTTGAACAGCAGTTCCCCAACCCATCCTCTGCCCAGGGGCTGGCCCAAGGAGGACAGCCCAATGCTCCATCCAACTTTACCACCAACACTGCTCAGCATTATTATACCTACAACGGTATGAATGCAGAGCTGAATGGTGTTGGTCAACAGTTCCAAGGCTACGGAAATCAGTGAAGGGTAAGTCAGACATACCAAGCCCCTCTTGTCCTCGCCCTTAGTGTCCTCGCCCCTACAAGGCTCTGTCTTGGGCTCGGCACCCTCCCCCCTCTGGGGCCTGTAAGTTCTTGGAAGACACGGCAACTAACCGGTGACAGTCCCAAGCCGGACCCGAGCACGAGGCGTTCATTGTTCAAAAATGCCTTGCCGGTGCGTGGTGGGGAACGGCCAAATGGCCGACAAATCTGATGAGACGACGATGGACATGCGAGCACTCGATGTTGTCCAGGCCGTGCGTCGCCAGGTCGTCGTTGCAGCCCTGACGAGTGATGTGAAGTCCACGGATGTTTTGCTCGTCATCGACCATGCCAGAGGGGAACCGTGGTGGCGAAGATGTCCGGGCTTGCTGTACGGATGTTCCTTGGTTATTCACCTCAGCTCCTCACCCATTCCACGCCGCCCTTCTCCCCCACCCACTCCCCCAACTCAACACTGTTCCCTTTCATATCCTTTCTATACATCTGACTGTTCGATCTTCTTCGCATTCTTCATCTGTCCTCCCCCATCGCGCTTCCTTTTTTTTTCTTCTTCTTCCTTGTACCTTTTTTCTATGGATTGTGTTTGGGACATGTGGCGTGGCTCAAGTTGGAACACAACATGTTATGAGGACAGGTCCAAAAGCTTTTTCATGAGGGTGGCCCTGGACTTTCTTCACGATCTTGTGGGCCACCTTGGCAATGGATGCCTATGGCAAGGAAAGGGCGCAACGGAATATCATGGCCATGGCCCTGGAAGATCCAGGGCAACTGGGCAGGGGACAGTAGCCAGTAGCGACTCGAGATGGGGTCGGAGGTGGTCTTGTGCTTGAAAGCCTTGTCTCTGCAGAGCCTGAAGCCTCGGTGGCATTCATGCAGGGACTCAGCTGTTCTCAAGTTTCTTCGGCCAGACCAGGGGAAGGGTAGAGTTTCCATCTCATTGGCAGTGATTGGCAGTGGTTGGTCAGCCTATGGGCTTGTGTAGACGAGAGTTCTTGTCGTCAACAATGAGTGGTGGGCGGAAAATGAGCTGCGGATGATAGTGGATTGATAGATGACAGTGGAGTGGTGGATGGGAGTCAAGTGGCGGATGAGACTCAGGTTGTGATGAAGGTCAGGTGGGGGATGAACGCCAAGGAGGGGATGAATTCAAGCCATGGATAGGAAATAAGGGAATAACGAGATAAAAGCAGCGGTAGCCTTTGCAGTTCAGAACAGTTCCACCACAAGACACTCACCCAGATGGCCTAGCGACCGCGAATCACACATCACCCGCCGTCGGGTGACCAAACTCATCACTGTGAATGCGCTCTCCGATGTTGAACTTGGCCCACTCAGCCTTCCACCCACAAGGACTGAAATGCCCACGGCAGAGGCATTTACCGACCGACCAATCGAAGAACGAAATCGACCGAGTTGGAACCGGACGTGGTGAGAAAAGACATTAGCATTATGCAATATAGACCAAAAGAGCCCACCCATCCGGTCAATACCAGGATGAGGACCCAAAACCAACACGTGATGACCCCAAACGCCCTCTCGCAATGCTCAAATGAGTGGTAAAAAGATGCTCTCCTACACCGGGTACTCTTTCTGGAAATAGACGACCGGCCGGAGCGAGAGCGCGGATGTGCCACGGCCGCGGACGCTGACGTGGAAGCCCAAACACACAGACTCTTGGTATAATGATTCAAGGAACGAATGTATGCCGTGGCGCCACATCCTCGCTGGCATGGCATACCTGGATGTGAATCTTCTCAGAGGCTCCTGCTTCTCCAGAACACATGCTCACGTTTCCAAATCGCCCCCAAGCGAGAGCACATACGGCAACCCACCATCCCCATCCGCCCGCCCAGCCAGCCGGATGACAACAGACCCCGCGCTCCCGCTGGCGACAGACGACCGCCCGGAGCGCGACCGCGCCACACGCGACGCGGCGGACGCGATGCTCGACGTCGAGGCCGAGCCGAAGCCCCCGATGCCGTCGCCGATGTGGTACGGCCGCCTAGTCTGCGCGAAGCTGTTGGCGCTGCTTGAAGACGACGACGCTGACGGCGACGCGGCCGTCTTCTGCGTCTTGGGCGTCGTCGGCGCGGTGCGGTATGTCGTCGCGCCACCCCAAGTCGTGCCCTGCGAGGATACGCGCGCTGCCATCTGCGGCCTCGTCGTTGGCTGTTGCTGCTGCTGATGGGGCCTCCTGCGGATATAAGAGCCGCCGCTGCTGCCGGACTTGCCGCTGCTGGTCGTCGTCGTGGTCGCGCGCGACGCGGTGCTGCGCTGCCGGCGGAGGATGGAGTTTCGGCTGGCGCGGCTGCGCGGGGTGCTCGGGGGACTGCGCCGGGGCGCGTCGTCGTCGATGTCGCTCTCTTCCTCGCCCTCCGAGAAGTCGTCTCCTAGCGCGATGAGAACGGCCGGGTCGAGCGGCTGCATGGTGCGCAGCAGCTCCGCGAAGAGGTGCATCAGCTCGCGGAAGCGGGCGTTCGAGATGGGCCGCGTCGAATAGCGCGCGTACTCGTACGCGGACAGGAAATCCGCCGTCGTGCGCGAGGGCGTCAGCACGCCCAGCTCGGCCAGCTGCGTGAGGTACTGCCGCAGGGCCAGGTTGTCGGGCCGCTGAAGGAGGCCGATCGCCTCCGGGTCTAGGACAGGCGGTTCGGCGTGGCTCGATTCGGGGATTGGGGGCGCCAGTGTCAGGGCCTTGGCCTCGATCAGGTTCGGCAGCTCCGATATGACCGTGCTGTACTGTAGGTCGGGCAGGTCCAGCGAGTTGGGCGAGGACCATCCGTAGTGCTCGATCTCGCCCCATACGGCTCGGTGCGGGGGCAGGGTAATGCCCATCTTGTCCTCCACGGTCGGCGCCTTTTTGAGTTTGAACACCCTTAGGGTAGATTTCCTGGCCTTGCCTTCAGCCTCGGTCTCATCCTCCTCTCCTTCCTCGGGGTCGGTCATCGCAGTGGGCGGTCTCGCGGCGGCAACCCTTGGCTTCGACTCGTAGGCAATGGCGGCGCTCCTGCTCAGACTAGCGACGATCATCTTGCGCACGCTCTTCTTGACCTCGCCCCGGCCAATGGGGATCCATGGCTTGGGTATGTTGGCGAGGGCACTGCGGTTGACATACAGGCGGGCAAAGTAGAGTAGCACGACGAAAAGTAGAGTAGCGGAAAGGCAGACGACAGTTGTCAGGACGTGGAGGTTCTGGTGATTTTGCAAGGCGAGGCGCAAATTATCGGCGGGCGTGACGAGGAGCAGGAGCAGGACGATCAGGGAGAGAAAGACGTAGAAGGAGTCGTAGATGACGCGGAAGATGATGTGCACCGCCGACATGATGGTTGGATCGCCAAGCCCAGGGTTCGGATGAATATGTTGCTATCCAGATATCGCGGTCGCGGTCGCGGTCGATGGCAATGCCGCTATGGCTGTCGCGGAACAGTGCGCTGATCGGTAGCTGCTGACGTAGTGGTGGTGTTATTATCTATTCGAGGAGCTCCTCGGCGGTTCTGGTTCGATGGCCAACTGCCGCACAATCGAAGACCTCGGGAGTGATGATGTCGGTATCATGATGGAGGCTATGGCGAGCGGGTGCCCAGGAGTTCGATGTCTAGCATTGGGGACGAGCTAGAGATGTCGACAGCAGCGGGTGGACGTTGGTTGGGAGAAGCATTTGAAGAGGAGGAGAAAAGGAATGAACGGAGGCTGATGCGGAGGAGTAGATGTAGACTAGACCACTCCAAGTACGAGGCGACAAGGCAGTCAAGCGTGCCTGCATGCGAACCAGCCGGCTAGACCCACAGCCAATTAAACGTCACCAGCACCACCCCTTCCCAATCCCCTTTCCACCTTAGCAGGCCACATCCATTTCCATACGGTATGCAAGTGCGGGACTTGGATGATTGTCACACCTCAAACACTCAACTACCTCCAGATCAGAGTTGGGAATTCCGAACTTCTCCTGGTCAAAGCTGGTGATACCTCGGCAGCCTTGAGCATCGATGAATGCGCCATGGCCCCTGATCATCCCGATGCTGTCCCTCGGCTCCAACACTTCGCTTCAGGCCCAAGCAGCAATTCACGCAAGCCAAGGAGCAGGTAGTTCATAACCATGATGATCTGTACTGTTATGCAGTCTGAGCGACGCGCTCGGGTATAATCACACAGCCACCACAAATGCCCACAGTTCCAGCCAAATTCCCGTCTCCCTTTTCTACCGTGATCACCGAATCTGCCGCATTTCCGGCCCCGCCCCATCAACTCTGGCGATAGCAGCGCCTCCTCCTTCCCTGCCAGGCAGGCCAGCCGCTTCCCGTGCATGTCTCACGTCCGCAAAGGTCAACCTGAGGTCCCTCGCATATGGGCCAAATGCCGTCACAAGTTGCACGAGCCCCTCCCTGAGTGTCTCCAGAATCGCATCCACTTCCTTGCACTCCCTCGCTGTATCGTGGTCCGTCCAGTGCAACGGGAAATCCGCCTTGAACGCGTCCAGCTTCGTTTTAACCGCCGTGAACGTCCGGATGATGGACGCCACGTCCCGCTGGACGTTTCCGTAGCTGTCCTCTGCCAGGCTCAGCACCGCCAGCCTCGTCAGTGCCGATATGGCGTTGATCGCGTGTGCAGGCTCTCCGTAGGGTCCTTCTAGGACCACAGTCGTGATTCTTTGCGAGAAGCTTTGCGTGAATGGCCGACCGAGTGGTGAGGCCAGGACTTGTCTGGTCCAGTACTGGAATGGGTTGTCGTCGGCGTCCGAGCCAGTCGCCTGCCTGGCAATATCCTCCACGTAGTCTTTCGCATGGGTTACCCCCTTCTGCACCAATGGACTTAGCCGAGAAGGCTGGCCTGGCGACACGATCTTTTTCTTGGCCAAGTCGCCCAACTCGTCTCGGAAGGTCTTAGTCGGCGTCTGGACCAGCGCCTTCTCGCTGCTGCCTGCTTTCGCGGCGGTAGCTGTAGCGGCGGCAGCAGCTTTGGTATACTCGTCGATCCTCGACTCCACGTCTTTCACTGCCTGGAGACATAGTGTGTAAACTTGCGACCACATTGGGCCGTCTTTCCTGTCAATGTCCTGATAGATAGCCTGGCGCCGCGGTTGGAAGTCCCTGGCAATCAGTGCCAGTTCCCACGTCGCGAAACACTGTTCGAAGTCAGCTGTGAAGAGAAACTGGAATGGAGATGTCAAACTGACCTTGATAGGCAGCTTCTTGCTTTTCAACCCGTTCAAAAGACTCCCGTTCGGGTCCTTCGACTCCGACGTGAGAGGGTTTCCGTTCTTCAATGGTGGCCTGACAAGGAACATTGAGAACATCCTGTTGCCCGCCAGCCACAAGAACAGCAACATAAAGCTAGCGCCGGAACACTTGACCCATAATGGAAAGCTTATACCACCGTATGTTGTCGGAGCTAAGTTGGTCTTCGGCATGGTGTAGAAGGGGCGGAAGAAGACCAGCGCAACCCTCCAGGCTAAGCTCCGCAGGACAGCATGGTAGAAGACAATGTTCAAGGCGAGCACGGCCAGCGTCTGGATGAGAGCGCGGTGGGCCAGGAGGGGAACCTCGCTCATCAGCCGTGTGGACCAGGGCCGCGGCGGTTCTGCTGCAGGGGCATCGTGGGCCCGCAGCCTCGCTGCGCCGAGGCTCAACCGGTCGTCATCGCGGACGATGTGCAGGGCGCCGTGTACGACGCCCAGGACCAGGAAGTGAACTGTAAAGAAGATGGGCTTCTCGTTCAATCGCACCCTGCCGCCCACGCCTGGCTGAACTGACACCCATGCGAGATCCTCCGTCGCCGACCGCAGGTAAATTTGGCTGAAGAGCCATGATGACAGTGTGTATGAGACGACTGCTTCCAGGGTCTGAGGAGTCACAGCGCATTTGACGAAGGTCTGCAGGCCGGAGTTGGAGGTACGGAGGCCGACATGGTATTGTGCGATTCGGAGGACGAGGATCGCCAGGCCGCAGAGGAAGATGAAGAAGGCTCGTATGCCGGTTGGCCCAACTGGGAAGACCGCCCAGAAGACTGTAAAATGCGCAGAATTTTAGCAGATTGGCTCTAGGGCAATGCAGCAGCGGGTGCAGGACACGACTGACGGGAGTCCCAACTGGCGAGGACGACAGACTCGACGAAGGCGATGGCCAGAAGGATGGTCGCAGTGCTTGTGAAGCGCCGATGCAGCGCAGGCTGGAGAAAGTCCTTATAGGGAGCCCGCCTGACTGGAGCCATCTTCGCTGTCAGGCAGCATTGAGTGAAGAGAGAAGGCGAACGACGTGGTTGGTGGTTGGCAGAGAAAAGCGTGGTCGAGGCCGAGGATGGAGGAAGCTTGTCTTTGAATGCACCTAGACAACGTAGCCTAGTAAACAAGAGCTCTGCAAAAAGAAGCAGCCCGTTTCGCGGGCGTGCACCCCTGCAAGCAATTGTGCAGGGGGGCTGGTCCCCACTGGCACCAAACATCTGAGACGGCTGCGGCCGACGAGGCGCCTTACGTAACCAACCGCCCGGGTACCTAGGTATACCTACCTAGGTAGTCTCGTGTCAATTTTCGCCCGCCCCGTCCCAGACGGGTTAGTCAGCCACCCGCCTCTGATCCGCCCACGCCTCACCACCACTCCGTGACACTCCGTGACGTTCAGTGTATGAATTAGTCTTCCTTCCCGCAGTCTGGACCGCGATACGTCCTCACTGGGTTAGTTAGAGATCCACCTTTGATCTGCCCACACCTCACACGGTGCTCGCTGATGTTCAGTACAAATCACCTCGAACCACCCCTTGACCCCAGCACACATCAAAGCCAGACTATCCTTGTTCAACATCGTGCGACTTCAGGCGACTGTCACCACACGCCATACGCCAGGATTCCGGCTACCTCTGCCAGAACATCTGGACAATGGCCGCTTGCAAGTCCAGACGCTCAAGGGGCCATGATACCGCAATCGACAAGACAGAAAAAAGTGATCCAATCATCACGGGCAGGGATTTGGTGAGGAAAAAAAAGTCAGAGATAAAAGAAGAGGATCTGGTGTCGTCCGACTCGAACTCACTTCCTTCCCCTGACATTCATTTAAAAATGGACACATGCCAATTGGGCCATCATGCCAAGAGATAGGTACATGGCAAGGTCCGTGCACAAGTACCCACTAACAATTTTCGCATGCCCCGCGGTACGTACCGTTGGACACAGTCAATGACGCCATGCCAGTGTACCATTACCGGCTGCAATCTCTGAAAACTGAAAGCAAGCTTGCAACATGTACCGCAATCTGAGCAAATGAGAGGCTGCCTTGGGCTCTCTGTTGACGGAATGTAGTAATAGGGCAGGGCAGGGCAAGGCATAAGTAGAGACCAATGGGAATTCACTTCAGCAAAAGCGACTGCAGATCATGGTCAGAGCGCCACTGCATGCAACTGATATCCTGCAGGCAGGATGTATTGCTCCACAGGCTCCCCCAGATACAGCGCGCTTTCTAAAGGGGCAAAAAAGAAGAGATCGCTGTACAACACCAAGTATTCGCTCATCGTCACCGACAGAGCTACTAAATTGGCGCTCACGGGCTTATCAATCGGAGATCTGACGGGATCCTGAGTTTCCCCGAGGCTATGGTCGTACAGGTACTCTGTTGTCTGAGGGGAATTGGACCCCACGGATGCACCCTTCGCTAATGGGACTACTAAGTGCACCCCCTCCGCCCCAGCTGCGCGCCCCCAATCAGCTTGAAGCAGCCTTTAATGCCGACGCTATGACGAATTCCTCGCAGGGTTAGGGTTACCCCCGCGGCTTAGCCGTTGCGCGACAAGCTTGGGAACTGGATTATCTTAAAAGTTAAATGTCTTTTCATACGCATAACCAGGCTTATGGCCTGGCCGTGATATAAAGGCATAGAATAAGTAGAGAGTTTATATTAAAGAATTAATTACTATAGTATATAATATTAAGCAAAGGATATATATAAATTAATATAGCCTTCCTATTTATTTTAAATAAGAAAGCTGCGCCTTATTATAAAGCTATAATGAAATTAATTATTAAGCTAATTTTAAATATATATAAAAGATATTTAAAATTAAAATATAAAAAAAGTTAAATTTAAGTATTATTTTATATAAAAGTATAAAAAATATATTAAAAATACTTTATAATATTATTATAAAACTTTATATTTATACTTTTAAAAATTATTATTTAAGTTATAATTTTAAATAAGGATTTTAAAAATATAGTTTTTATCTTTTTTAAAGTAAAATTTATAAAGTTTAATATACTTAATTAAAAAATTATATTAAAAAGCGCCTTATTTATTATTAATTACTTATATTTTAATTATTAATAATAATAATTAAAAATATAAAATTTTTATAAAAAACTTTTAATTAATTATTAAAACTTATATAAATATTAATTTATTTTTATAAGGTATTATTATTAATAAAAATAAGCATTTATTTAAAAATTAATTTATTAAATAATTAAAAATTATTAATTAAGATTTTGCTTATTAATATTATAAATATAATTAAAAATATAATTAAATATTTTTTAATTTATAAAGAATAAATAAAAGCTATTATAACTTTATTTAAAGGCTAAAATATTATACTTATTATAGCTATTAAGTATAAAAAAAGTACTTTATAATATATATTTATTATATTTTAAAATAAAATTATTATTTATTTTATATTTTTAATAAAGCTTAAAAAAAATAAGTTAAAAATATTATAAAGAATATATAATATATATATTTTATTTAAGTTAATGTTAACTCTTATATATAAATAAGTTTAATAATATAATATTAATTAAGATAAACTTTTTATTAAATTTAAATAAAGAGTTTATTAAAGAATATAATATTAATATAATTGCAAAATCCTTAAATTTAAAAATAAATTAAAAAGGGTAATTTTATATATATTATTATAAGTTTAAAGTAAAAATAAAATTAATGCTTTAAAAGGCTTTTTTATAACTTAGCATTTAATAATTAAATAAGTATAATTATTATTAATAAAGTATATATAATTATTATATAAGGGAAAAGCTTTTAAATTAACTTCTTTTTTATTTATTAAATTAAAGAGTTAATGTTTTGCTAAATATTATTATTTATTTATATAATTATTTTTAATTATATAAATTAAGATTATATTTTTAAGTATATAAGTTTAAATATTAATAATATAAAAATAATTTAAATATTAATTAATTATTTTAAACTTTTAATAATTATTTAGCTTTTTATTTATAAATATATAAAAAACTTTTAATGCTTATACTTTTTATTAAATAATATAAATCTTTTTAACTTAATTGCTATTATAAAGAATTTAATATATATTAATAATAAGAATAAATTGCTATAAGCTTATAAGTTACTTATTAAATATTTTTAAAAATATTATAGCTTTAATTTTTAATAAGCATTAAACTTTTTAAAATACTTTAATATAAGTATTTATAAGCTAAATTAAAATTATATATTTAAAAAATTTAAAAAGCTAAACTTTAAATATTAAATAATGATTTTAATTATATTTTTTAATATTAATCTTAATATTAATAATATTATTATTATTATATAATTTAACTTATTATAGTAACTTAATATATTTAACTTTTAATAATATAATAAATATAATATAAAAAAGTAATAATTTTAAGGGTAATTTATTATATTTACCTTTGCTTATTAATTTAACTACTTAAATATAAAGGAAATATAATTAAGTTAAATTTAATAAACTTAATTATTTAATATTTTTTATTATAAATAAGCATATTAACTTATTTAACTTAGTTATTTCTATAAGATAATGTTAATAATAAATAGCATTATTAATAAAAATAGTAATAAAAGTAATATAAAAAGTATTATAAATATTAAGTTTTAAGTAAGTTATAATTTTAATATTATAATTAATTTTATAGCTAAGTTAATAAATAACTAAGCTTTTAATATTATATTTTAAGATTTTTAAAATTTAAAATTAATAAAATAATCTTAATTTAAAATAAAAATATAAAATATATTAAATCTTAAATATAAGGCGTTTTTAAACTTCCCTTGCTTTTAAAAGTATATTATAAGTTTCCTTTAAAAGCTAAATAATTTTATATTAAAGTATAAGCAGCTTATAAATGCATTTATTTATTATAATAGCTAAGCTTATAAGGAAAATAGCTTAATATTTAAGCTTTTAATAATTAACTTTAATTAAATTAATAAAAATATAAAGCTATATATTAACTTTATTTAATATATAATTCTTAAGATTTTATCTTTATAATGCTTTATTAAAGCTTAAGATTTAATATTAAAGGTATATTATTAAGGCTTAATTAGTAGTAAAATATTTATAAAAGATATAATGTAATAAGTTATTAATTATTTTTATTATAAGGCTTAAGTAAGGAAAAATTAACTTAAAAAGGTTATTTTTTAAGTAAGTAATCTTAAGCAGCTTTTAAAAAAAGTTCCTACCTTATATATATAAGAATTCCTTAATTAAAAGGATAATATTTTACTTAGCTTATTAAAAAACTTTATTTTAATAATTTAAGAAAAAGTAAATATTTTTATTATTATTAAACATAATAAGCATTTAATTAAAGAAATATTAAAAGATATTAAAGCTATAAAGTAATTAAATATAAGTTTATAAATAAAATAATAATATATAAAATTATAATTAAGTTAACTTAATTAAGGTTAGCAAACTCCTTATTATATTTTAATAAAAAGCTTACGCTGCCTTATATTTATAACCTAAAATGCATTACCCTTATACTTAATATTTATTAATCCTTTCTTAATAATAATAATAATAATAATAATAGCAATAATAGCAATAATAATAATAATAATTAATTTATTATAAATCCCTTAATAATATATATTTATTTAACTATTAAACTAACTATTTATATAACAATATCTTATAATTTTAAAGTAATTAATAAAAAAGGTAATGAAAAAGGTAATAGCGTAAATAATAGCAGCTTAGGTATATCTTACCCTTATAATTATATTAATATATATTAAATAAACATTTAATAAATAAGGAATTATTAATTAGCCTAAAAATGCATATAATATTAATTTTATTCTTTTAATTAAGCATCTTTAATAATTTCTTTTAATGCTTATATAAAACTATATTAAAGCAAACATTCTTATAATAGCTATATATTACTTAATAATAAGGCTAAATAACTAGCTTATTAAGAA